TCAGGTTCAGGTTCAGGTTCAGGTTCAGGTTCAGGTTCAGGTTCAGGTTCAGGTTCAGGCTCAGGTTCAGGCTCAGGCTCCTACGACTCCGAGCAGGACTCTTCGCCTACCGCGCCCGCCCCTACTGAATCCGCCGCATGGCCCACCGCCTCGCCCACCGCCCCGTCCACCGGCTCCTGCGCGCCCCCCTCTGTCGGCGGGACCATCAAGCTGACCGCCGCGACCACCATTCCTGCCGGCTCGTTTGTGACCTTTATCTCGGGCCTCAGCGTCGTCAGCGTCCAGGCCACCATTTCCGGCGCCGACGTTTCGGTCGTCATCCCGTCCATCGCCACCGGCCAGACCTACGTCTTGATCACCAGCGCCGATGTCGAGGGCACGCTCGATGACACCAAGGTCTTGTTTGGACCTGCGATTGTTGAAGGTGAGTTGAGCCCGTACCTCGCACACTGACAAGGAAGTATCAATATGCTAACCTAAAATGACAGTCTTCCCCGCCGCGCCGGCCATTGACTTCTCGGAGATCTAAAGAGCAAGAGCTGAAAGAAATGTCAGTGTGGAAGTGGATATGATGATTATCTTTCCAGCGTCTCTGGCTTTTTGACGTGTTCTTGCTGGTCGTTGGTTGTTTACTTCTGTGACGGTTTCTGTATTTACTGCCGGCTGGCGCGGGGGGACCGGTGTTGTAATTCGGTGGTACAGTCTATGTCTCTTCAATAACGAACCATCAACTTACATTGTGGCACCCAAATTCTTCTATGGTCGATGGCTTAGCCGCGAGCAGATACCCATTTATGCAAACTTAGAGCGGTAGTAGAGATAGCTACTTAACATATAGCAAGTTTTAAGATGGGTCGTGGCAGATGTTGGATCCACCGAGTGTTGCTCGAGTTTGATGGCGGCATCTTCGCCGGTACTCACTTTGCGACCTGGAAAAGTCGTGGTCGTGGGCGGTGATCGTTCCACAGGCGTCTTTCCTTACCGGTGCGGACCGAAGAAGGATCTTCTTCGTGTGGGTAGCCTAAAGTGAAATTACATACTTCCCCGCGACGATCCCTAAGAGCCCGAGAAGGGTACAAATACAGTCTTGTTCCCCCGCCACCCAGGTGTCAAGTACTGTACCAGTATAACTTGACTCAAAAGAACGTTGCTTGCTATATGGATGATCAAAAGTCGACTTATCGAAGAAGATACCCCTGGCTGGCGACTTCGAACGTGACGTCGCTTCCCCCGATGGAGTAACCACGAGCTAGTCCTAAAGAGGTTAGACCGTTACCTTATTTGGTCCTCCCTCTCCGGCCTCACGAGACGGCTAGAAAACTTGTCTCCCTCTCGACATGCTGATGCGGGACGCGCACCTGCCGCCCGTCGCCTCTCTATCCATGGAGGGGCGAGAATGCGGCCAGTTATTCTATGCCCATGTGCTGCATCTGGCGGATGCCCTCGTGTAAAATACCCTGCCTGCCTATGTGACTTTCCTGGGATCGTTTCAAATATCCTTTCGTCTGGCGCCTACAAGTTGCAGCATAAGACCCATCAATCCTCTTGCACACTCTCATCCAAACTATGAGAGGCCGCCGACGAAGGCAAGATGCTTCGTCTAACACAAGTCGCCCGCAACAAGGTCTTTTCCTCGGCACCTCCCTGGTTCTGTCAGCAATGACTGATAAGTCGCAATAAGTGCAGTCCCGTCAAGGATCCAGAAAGACAGTCCTCAAAGACCGCCGCGTCGAAGTACACGTCTGAACAGCATTCCTTCCATCGAAAACATCGATCCTAGTGCTGTTGAGCAACCACGCGCTGAGGAGAGACGATCGCTCCGCCCTAGGGTAAGGACGTCCTCTCCGAGCACGCAGTCAAGCCCTCTTCCCCAAGAATAGCTTGCGCACCACAGTCGAGAGGCAAGAAAAGAGCAAGGGGAGATAGCGACTCAGAAGATGGGAAACGACGTCGAACGTCCAATACCACGGAGGAGACTTCGCGACGAAACGAAGATAGCAACCCGATCGATTATTGGCGCAAATCGGGATATTTTTGGCCACAAGGAGACTGGTCGAAGGAATTCATGGACAAGAACCTTGCAGTGGGTCATTTACTGGCTTGGGAGGAGTCGGCTAGCTCCTTGCGTCGCAAGAGTTCAGACAGCGAGTTGGCCGAGCAGAGCTCAACCACTCCGAGCGACCAGAAATCCCGAGAGGCCAAGAGTGCCCCATACCGAGATGCACGCTACGAGACTCTGATTGCAACCAAGGGCAGTTTCATGGGGAAATACCATCTCGGCATCAGTGACGCCAGCAAGATTACGTGTCAAAATCTCCTCGAGACGCAGCAGTCAGTTCCTGGAGACACAATGTTTCACGACGATCTATTCGAAGAGACTTGTGAAGCTATTCGAAATAGGAATGAGGCGCGAGTGATTCGGGACATCTCGCTATTAGTCGTCCCCTCTACGGAGAGTCTGGCGATTCGTGGCGACAAGCATCTCCGCTGTCTGATTGAAAGCGTCAACGAGGGATGGAACAACAGCATCCCGCTGACCGGGACTCGGCCACAGCCTGACTATGCAGTCGGCTTCCGTCGAGAGGCGTTCACTGAAGAGCAACTCGCGAAGCTGCAGCCTTTCGTGGGCGACCTTTATGATCAGTCCTTCTTCATGGCGACTTACTACCTCTACTTCCCATTTCTGACTTGCGAGGTCAAGTGCGGTGCCGCGGCGCTCGACGTGGCAGATCGCCAGAACGCTCACAGCATGACGCTCGCCGTCCGCGCGGTTGTAGAGCTGTTTCGACTGGTCCAACGCGAGAAAGAGCTGGACCGCGAGATCCTTGCCTTTTCGATCTCTCACGATCACCAATCCGTTAGGATCTATGGCCACTACCCTGTCATTGAGGCGACGAAGACAACTTTCTACCGACATCCGATCCGTAATTTCAGCTTTACCGAGAGGGAAGGTAAGGACAAGTGGACAGCGTACAGCTTCACGAAGAATATCTATCGCACCTGGATGCCGACTCACTTCAAGAGGCTCTGCTCCGTCATTGATGCATTGCCTCCTAATCTAAACTTCGAGCTATCACAGCAGTCAGAACTACATTTTTCTGAGCAGACCGGGCTTTCTCAAGATCTTGCAAATCAGGATCTGTCGGCGTTGTCAGCACAGGGAGATGATAGCCAGTTGCAGCCGCTAGAGCAATCGGATACCCCCGATACTTCGTTCACGAAAGATTCGACACGGGGAGGGACAAAGAAAACTAAGAGGGGCCGTCGTTGAATTGATATACTTTGAATTGGGTCAAGAATAGTATACGCAACGATTCGGTCTTTCCGCCCACCCTGTTCCAGCAGGTCAGTGCCCTCTATTCGTGCGACAATTGTCAAAGAGGCACTAGGTATCTGTCGCAGCTCATTTGACCGCTTCTGTGACCTCTTTCTACCCTTTCTTGACACGGCTCTTCGTGCCATCGTAGCGTGGGCACCACCGCGATCGTCCCTTTACATAGCTCCCTAGTCCTATTTGGAACTAGTGACTCTTCTTAACTCTTATAACCAATAATTAGAACTAACTAGTTAAAGTGAGATGAGACCAGGCACGCAGAGAAATGTTCTGACATTGGATTGCTTACTCAGAAGATGCACGTGACCCAGTCCCATACGAATTATTTAGGGACAAGATAAAATTGGCTTGAGTCTCGCCATCCATCTTCAAGTGAACGACGTCTCGTCACCTTACGATCTGTTCGCGTCGTCCGCCTGTCTCCGAGTCATAGTCCCTCCAGAGACCCTCCTTGCAAGTCCCGGTCGCAGATTCCAGGCAATACGGCCATGCTGAGGCATGGCGCAGTCCGTCATGGCCTCCAACGCTGTGCGACCGCACCTGTCTCACGGCCCTTCCTCCCCTCGTTATCCACAAGAGGATATGCTTCGATAACAGACGTGGAGGCTTATCCAAATCCGGGAGAGAGCATTCACGGGTTCACGTTAAAGCAGATCAAGCATGTCCCAGAATTGCATCTGACAGCTTTGAGGTTGGAGCACAACAAGACCGGGGCGGAATACTTGCATGTGGCACGAGATGACAAGAACAATGTGTTTTCTATCAATTTCAAGACCAATCCGACGGATAGGACGGGCTTGCCTCATATTCTGGAGCATGTTACACTATGTGGAAGCGAAAAGTACCCTGTTCGAGATCCATTCTTCAAGATGATGCCGAGATCATTAGCCAATTTCATGAACGCATTTACCTCTTCTGATTACACCTCTTATCCATTCGCGACCACGAATCTGCAAGACTTTCGCAACCTCGCCTCGGTGTATCTCGATGCGACGCTTCATCCCCTGCTGAAACGGTCCGATTTTTTGCAAGAGGGATGGCGCCTAGGGCCTGAAGACCCCCGAGAGGCTCCAACTGAACATAACGTCAAGTTCAAAGGTGTCGTATACAATGAGATGAAGGGTCAGATGTCGGACGCGAGCTATTTGTTCTATATCAGATTCCGAGAACATCTCATTCCTTCTTTACATAACTCCGGTGGAGATCCAGAGGCAATGACTGAGCTGACACATGAGCAACTGGTCAAGTTTTCGCGCGAACACTACCATCCGAGTAACGCGAAGATCTTCTCTTACGGTAGTCTAAGCCTCGCCGAACACCTTCAGCACGTGGACGAGGCAATCTCGAAATTTGACAGGGGTGTTCCTGATGTCGATATCAAATTGCCGATTGATTTGTCCACTGGCCCTCTGGCCTTTGAAGTGACAGGCCCGGTCGACACAATGCAACCCTCAGATCGACAATTCAAGTCGTCGATCACATGGATGGGATGCCCCTCATCAGATGTTGTGGAAACTTTCTGCGTCAGTATTATGCTATCTTTACTGATGAACGGCTATGGCTCGCCGCTGTATCAAGGACTGATTGAATCTGGATTGGGGTCCAATTTCAGTCCCAATTCGGGGTACGACAGCTCAGGTCGGATTGGAACTTTGTCGATCGGCTTGGATGGCATGAGGTCAGAAGATGTGCCTGAGCTGAAACAAAAAATCCAAACAATCTTAAAAGAGAAGGCTTATGAGGCCTTCCTCCCCCAGAAGATCGACGGATATATGCACCAACTAGAGCTCACACTGAAACACAAAACGGCGAACTTCGGTATGAGCTTACTAGAGAAGACACTCGCCGGGTGGCTTAACGGAGTCGACCCCATGGACGGGCTTGCCTGGAATGACATAATTGATGCCTTCAAGCAACGTTTGAAAGAAGAAAAGTACCTCGAGAGGCTGGTTTACAAGTATTTCATCAACGACAAGTGCATGCAGTTCACTATGACGCCTTCAGATTCGTACGGACAATTGCTGGAAGAACAAGAAGAACAACGGAGAAAGAGCAAGCTAGAAACTCTCGAGAAGAACGCCAGTTCTCCCGAAGCGGCTCTTGCTGAACTTGGTCGGCAAGAAGTCGAACTACTAGAAGAGCAAGAGACTGCTCAATTCCAGAATCTGGACACACTTCCAACCCTTCGTGTCGATGACATTGTGCGGGAGAAAGAAAGGAAACCCCGATATCATTCGAAGATCGGTGACGTGGATTGCTTGTGGCGGGAGACTTCGACCAACGGAATCACCTATTTCCAGGCGAAGCACCTACTCCGAGACCTCCCAGAAGATCTGAGGCTTTTATTGCCACTATTTACGGATTCTCTTATGCGTCTAGGCACTAACACAAAGTCGGTTGGGGATCTCGAAGCGGAGATTCTCTTGAAGACTGGCGGCATCTCTATCTCGCCATTTGCAGCGCCTGAACCGTGGAGCTTGGACAAGTACAACGAAGGCCTTCTCATTGACGGCTATGCCCTTGACAGAAATGTGCCTGCAATGTTCGAGCTCATCCGATCGCTCTTGTTGGAGATCGACTTTTCGAGTCCCAAAGCTGCCGCAGCTATTCAGGAGCTCCTTGAATCCAAAACATCGGGTGCATTGGACTCTGTCGCAGAGAGCGGTCACCATTTTGCCATCACCAGTGCATCCGCTGCTCTGACCCGTCGAGGTCAGGTACAGGATCAGCTCTCCGGTCTTTCGCAAATAGAATCTACGGCCAGAATATTGGATTCTGCCCGCCGCAATCCCCAGAGTCTCCAGGATGTCATTCGCAAGCTGCAGACAATCCAGTCGATAGCAATCAGCAACTCTTCCAGTTTGTTGCTTCGCGTGGTATGCGAACCTGATTCGGTCCGATCCAACCAAAACTTGATCGAAGGGTTTCTTCGAAGCCTGCCACGTGAACAGTTGGGTGTTGCAAGCTCCACTGCTTCCGACACTGTCCCCGGGTCCTTTCTCTCCCGCCGAGCATTTTTCGACTTGCCATTCCAGGTGTCTTATACTGGAACATGTCTACAGACAGCACCGTTCTCGTCACCGGACAAAGCGCCACTCAGGGTTCTGGGACAGCTGCTCGTCCACAACTTTTTGCATCCCGAAGTCAGGGAAAAGGGCGGCGCGTACGGCGCGTCGGCTAGTGCAAGCCCCATCAGCAGTCTCTTCACCATGTCCTCGTACCGTGATCCCAACCCCCGGAACTCTCTGAATGTCTTTCAACGCGCCGGCGCGTATGCTCGCGATAAAGACTGGGATCGCAGAGAACTCGAGGAGAGCAAACTGAGTATCTTCCAGGGTATTGATGCCCCCAGCAGCGTGAACACGGAAGCGAGCAAAGAGTTCATGTACGGCATCACGGAAGAAATGGACCAGGAAATGCGCGAGCGTTTGTTGGATGTCACCAAGGAGCAAGTCCAACAGGTCGCTCAGAAATACCTGGTGGAGCTTCCTGCCGAGCTGAAATCTGTGTGTATACTAGGAGAAAAAAAGGACTGGGTCGGACAAGATCCAGAGCCGTGGCAGTTGAAACACTTGAAGATGTCTGCATGAGTCATGTCGGATCTTCAGTCGGTGAGTGCCATCTGGATAAGATGTATATTAATTCCCCTCTTCAGAAGATACCCAAATCAGCCTGTCTGATCAACATCCCCTTTCTCTTCCTCTTTCTCCTGATTTCTCCTTCTTGTCTTCTTGCTGTCAGCGCGACTCGAACAGACACAACCGTCTACGACCACACTCTCATGGTCGGAGATCACAAGTCAAATGCCACGAGCATTTACCGCGCGAGATCGAAGACCCAGTCCCAAGCTTTCCTGGCAGATTCGGTTTCGGCCGACGTTTGCTTGGAGAGCGGCGGATGGTTCATGACATACCTATTTCAGAACTGTCGTTCTTTAAGATAAAGGAATGGCAGACTAGAGGTGTGCGTACAGGACATTTTGTGCTCCAAGTTTTTCTTCTTCTTTTTCTTCGCAACACCTTACCTTGACCACACGTCTGGTCCAACCCAGCCTATGCTATACATTCACCATACTACTACAGTCTTGCCTCCTGCTACATTCGTCTCTCGTCTCTCGTCTCTGGCCGGCGACCCGTCCCCCACTACTAGTATTGTAGAACTCATCTGAATTCCTGACAACCTCCTCCCTCCCAGCTCTTTGGGATCAAAATATCCAAGCCCAGGGTCACGGGTCACCTTACCTGGCATTCATAAGGTACTGTATACATAGTACGGGTATGTGTTCTACTGGCTGTTCTTCACAAGCATGTTTCTTAGGTTGTCATTTATCATGGCGTTTGGGGCGAAGGCTGCCTCGGCCGGCAAAAGTGGTCATTTTCGCAAAGGAGAGAGAGAGAGGCTAGGCCGGCCATTACAGTATATCTTAGATACATGGCTTTGTCTCACCTCACTGACCGAACATGATACATGGTACGACCCCCAACCCAACGCAGCTATGTACCGTCAGATCCGGCTTCAGAATAAGTATGTATGACGGACGTCCTTCTCCACCTGTACAGCAAAACTCCAAAACACCCATGGCTTCCAGTCGAAGAAATTTCCCGCTAGAAACAGCACAACAAGCCCAAACCCCCCCATTACAGTTGTACACGATCATGTATCTTTGAGTGTTGGTTGCAGAGTGAAGATTGTCATTAGGGTCATTCGGTCTTAAGCGATGTTGCCGGCCATTCCCTATTCAGTCACGTATCAGCATGAGCCAGCCGATCCAACATGCTGCGCATCACATCCCAGAAGGTCGACTCACCAGAAAAATCGCCTGCACGGCAAGTTGCAAACTCCACAACCCAACCTTCTTGAACCGTCTCAATCTCGCCTGTTCGTCCGTGACGTCTCTTGCAAATGCGTCGTAGACCTCGGCCGACAGATCATCCATCAATCCAGAGTCGAAAAGAGTCCAGCTGCCGTCAAAATCTGACAGACGCTTGACTACTCGGCAGTTGATTGGAATGAATGTCCGGCGCGAATTGATGTATGCAACAATAGGTCGGATAAGCGCGTTATTGATGTAGGAAAGATCGCGGGTGAAAAGGGGAACGACGGCACGTACGTCGTTTAGGTGAATGCGGAGATCCATGACCATATACTGCTTATCTTCATAATTTTCACCTGCAGATCTGGCAAAAGCGACCGGTGTCGATATGTCGATACCAGATAAATTGGTTTCAGGAGCATCTTCTCGGGGTTGCTCCAGGTGCTTTCTCGAGGTGAGTGCTGCTTCCATCCGTTCATAGAAATCAGTCATCACCTTGATGACTGACTCGTCACTGTCATTGGGAATCATCATATCGGCAACGATGTCGACATTCCCCTCGTGGATCCAAGACAAGGGTCCGACTGCCCCCCGATTCAAGTGGTCGATGTTCAACCCGTCGATGCGTATTCGAGATTGTTTCTTCCATGGCTCGTTGTCAGCGTTGTCCGAATCATTGAGATGCGCCCCGGTGTAAGAATGGGTTTGACGAGGATGGATGGTGAACAAAGAGCGATCAAACTCCCCTGTCATATTGTTTGCACAGAGGAAGTCGTAGAAAAGCCACTGCTTCCGTAGTCGAGGGAACTCCGCGTTATAGATGCTGACGGGAAAGGGCCTAAACCCCTCAGGTTGAAGAACCGTAACGAGAAGATCTTCGATTTTGAATGATTCAATTTCGAAGTCTCCCGGCGTATGTTCATGTCGATAGGATTTTGGGTCGACCTCTTCACCGGTCCAAAAAACATGAGTGCGGTCCACAACACCTCGGACGTGCTTGACCTCCACATTTTGAAGAAGCCCCTTGGAATTCCACCACTTGCTAAAGGATAGACTGACATTGATTTCTCCAATGGTGATGTCAAACTGTGTATAGTTCTGCTCCTCAGCTGGTACCGGATCTTCCGTGGAAGAGGCTTGTGCGGCCGCTTCGGGTGATCCTTTGGTCACTCTAGAACGGTTTTGCCCTGGTCTTCTGGAGACAAACACATTCTTGAAGGTGATGACTCCATCCCGCCACTTTGGAACGATGGCGGATTCAAACACGACCTGCAGCCCGGAAGATTTGGTCAGATAGTGTCCGATCCATCCAGCCAAGGTTTCTTGAGCAAGCACGGTGTTGATCGCCAGGATCGCAAGAGAGACAAAGGTCGTGGTCCCAATGACGATCCAAATAACGTGGCCCAATGCAATCCACGAAATAAAGCCCACGATTTCATCCACATTGAATGGCCGGGTGCTTTTGATGGTCACCCATTTGAAGCGAACCTTTAAGCGGGACCAGAAGCCCGTTGCCGCGGCCAGGAGTTCTTCTTTCGACGGGCGATGGAATTGTGGCATGTGTATTCGGTCATAGAAGTGCTCCTGTTGTGACTGCTGTTGTTCCGAAGAATGCTTTAACGTGGACTCTTGTTTAGCATTGCTATCTCTTGCATCCTGGATCTTGTTGCCCTTTCGTCCTGCCTCAGTTTCTCTTGCCTGCCTGGTTGTGACATGGAAGCCTCTTGAGCGACACCGAAAAAATGCATGTATCGGTATTTTCCCAGCCGTGTTTGTGTTTGACAGTAGGCCGGAAAACGTGGGCTGCGCTGCACGCACATGGCTTGAAGCCTGGCGACTCAGTGCCGAAGTAGACAGGACAGCCTGTGACGGTACATTTGCCGCCTTGGGGACGGGGCCCTGGCAGGCTCGGCGAGCCACGATGCGACTAGCATGGCTTCCCGATCCGTACTCAGAGAGCAGCAAGCTGGGTAGAACTGATATCCGTCTTGGGGTATGATATGTAAAGCTTTGGTCGGAAGATGCGGGAAGCCTCTGTATCACACGAGTGGTCCGCGGAGCGAGGGTCACGAATTTCGAGACATCGCGTATGCCTCGGACGAAGACGTCCGTCATGATGGACGACTCATTCTGTTCACTCGGGCCGTGGAGGAGTGCTGTGCATGGCGACGGTCTTGCAAATTGGGGGGGCGCAGTTTGATGGAAAGCAAGGTTGGAAGAGTGAGTGCTTTACGCATGTGCAGGGAAGATGATGCAAGTCCAGGCCTGTCACAGCACACAGGAACTTTTTGGCTCGACCCACAACTTGATTCAGTGCGGAGAAAAAGATTTCTTTGCCGGGCGAAACATCAGCCAGACATCAGTCAAGACATCAGCCAGACAAACGCTCTCCTACTCTGCGGGCCACTCTCTCACAAGGACAAACACAGTACGAGTAGGTATCCTCGTCGAAATGCCTGCTCCCACAGCGCTCCAGCGCACTTCCGAAGCCCCCTCAGAGGCCGAACCCGACGTCCTCCCTCTTCCTCCCAGCACGAGCGAGAGCGACGAGAATCTGGACGTCGACATTATTACCGCACCCCAGCCCTCTGAATCCGATGTGCCTGCCCAGGTCACTGGAGACACGGCCATGCAAATAGATGAAGAGGGAAGACCCCGATTTGCACCAGCATCCTCGCACCCAGAGTCCCCGACCGCTCTCCGAATACAGTCGCGCAAAGTGCCGATACCTCCACATCGTATGTCGCCGTTAAAGACGAACTGGCCCAAAATCTACCCTCCTCTTGTCGAGCACCTCAAGTTACAAGTACGAATGAACATCAAATCCAAAGCGGTCGAACTGCGCACATCAAAGTTCACCACGGACGCCGGGGCGTTGCAGAAGGGCGAAGACTTTGTCAAGGCTTTTACTCTTGGCTTCGATGTTGACGATGCGATTGCCCTGTTACGACTAGACGACCTTTACATTGAGACCTTCGAAGTCAAAGACGTAAAGACTTTGCAGGGTGACCATCTTGGCCGTGCGATCGGTCGAATAGCGGGCAAGGACGGCAAGACCAAATTCGCGATTGAGAACACCACCAAGACCAGAGTGGTGTTGGCGGACAGTAAGATTCATATTCTGGGAGGATTTCAAAATATCCGAATTGCACGAGAGGCCGTGGTCAGTTTGATTTTGGGTGCGCCGCCTGGCAAGGTCTACGGCAATTTGAGGACTGTCGCCAGCCGGATGAAGGAGAGATTTTGAATGGTGTTCAATGCATGGGCCAGTTATGATTTGCCACGATTGATGCAGAACTCAACGGTTTCTGGCGCCCTGGAGTCGGGGCGGTTTCGGGATTTGCGCGGTGGGCATAAGATGTTAGTTGTTAGTCACAGTTCAAATGCATCGGATACGAGAGAATTGTAAGGAAGACTTGAAGTTTTGTGCCACACGGGCCCCAAACCTTGGTTGATTCCATTCGCCGAACTATGCATACAAATACAACGGCCCCCAGAGTCCCGCGGTCTTCACAATCCGGCTCTAATCTCTTTTCAGGGGTGTGTAAATTTCCTCGATGCCGTCCTTCGTGATGATCAACATCTGCAACCCATCGCCCACCTCAATGTGTCTTTCCGTCGCACTGGTGAAGGCATCTTTGACGAGTCCAATGACATCTTCCTTGGGCAGACTCTCGATTGCTCTGGGCTGCAGCTCATGCCCAGTCCCCGAGGCTGGAATGTACTGGTTCTTGTAGTTGACTTGATTGTCCAAGAAAGGCATGATCAAACTGGCCGCCGCTCCAGCTGCGCGACATTGTTCCCGCTCGTAACTGCCCACAGGATCATAGCTGTACAACGCTCCCTTTCCGTCATCATCCAAGCCGCCAAGGATGGCGTGGACATAGTAGGGAAAGAACCGCTTCTGGTAGAGGATCGTTGATAATCGTTGTGCGCATGCCTTGACGCTCATCGGCTTTCCGTGTTGGTATTTGTACATCTTGACAATGGCATCCAGCCGTTCCTTCAGGGCGTTGCCATCTGCTGCGAACCCGACGACTGAAAGGACAATGCGGGAAGATGAGTCGCCATCATCGCCAATACGGAAGAGCTTGGGGGCATATCGGGTGTTGATATTGTAGCCAGATGTCGACCGTGTGTCGCCAGCGAGGATGGCAAAGTCGGCGCCGGTTACCCCCAACGTCGAGCCACCGTTGTCTGTGTAGCTATGGTGTGTTAGATTCTGGTGGATAGTGGGCAAGGCCTGGCAAGACTTACGGGTTAAAGGCGTGTTGTCTCGGTCCCGAGCTCTCAGAAGGCGCGGAGGCGTTTGAGAATGAATAGCCTGGTTGATCTGAGGGAAGCCCGCCGGCATTCATGATGGAGGCCATAGTGCGAAATAGAGAGAAATCGTGGAAGAGAGGAACAGAATGGCAGATACAGCTTGAATCATGCGCCTTGTACCAAGTCCATGAAGCCGCACTCACGTATGCAGTGTCCGCCTGGGAGACTTGCACTGCGGATCATTCTGCCACAAACGCACGTGCGGCTCTACAACTGACTGTGCTGGAGATAGATTTAGAGAATAGAATTTCCAAGTCCAAGCAATTCCCTCAAAGCTATTCTATTTTCCTCGTCGCCTTTGATTAATATGAGCGCCCTTGTTGGTTACGAGAGCAGCGACGAGGAGGATGAGTCAGTCGAGGCTGAAGTCCACCCGATAGTTGAAGCTGTTGGGACGACTGCTGATGCGCAGGTTAGTCAGTCCGCCAGTGTGACTACGCAAGCGTCAAAGCAAGGAACAACCAGAAGCCATCAAATTGCCGATGGGCCCATTGTAGGTCCTACAATGCCCGACCAAGGGGCCAACGAGCTTGACGGAGAATCAACGTCGGAGATTCAGCAAACTATGTCTGAGCGCGATGCAGTTCGCTTCCTCACCCAGGCATCTCATCCTATGACATCCATGCCATCTTCGCCCCCAGGATCGCCTGACCCGGCTACCAATGCGAGGCTCAAGCGGTTTCTCGATCTGAAGGCGAAAGGCGTGCATTTCAACGACGACCTCGCCAGTAAATCCACGTTTCGCAATCCTAGTTTTCTGGCCACAATGATGGCCCGGGTAGGGCTAGACAGGCAGGATCAATACCGAACATCGTTACCTCACGAAATCTGGGATCCCCTGTGTTTTCCTCATTCCGCTTATAAGGAAGACCTCCTGCGAAGTCAGCAAACTATACGAGAGCGAGATTCTGCTACGAAGAAGAGCCTCTCAGTTTCGGGGAAAAGAACGATCGAGTTCACGTCCGGAGGAAATTCCGGGGAGAACAGCAAGGATTCGACACCAGGGTTGTCAAATAGTAAACGGAAACGACCTTGACAACACAACCCCCTGCAGCGACCGTTGTTTTCACCGGGGGAGACCACCGATCTAGAAGGATGGCTGTGGCAAGACACCCGACTTACCCACGGGAAGTGAGCTTCCAACAGCACAGTGGTCAACATTGTGGGCCATATTCAGTACCGGGGATGGGTGATCGTAAACGCAAGGCTATGGTGCCTCGACTTGTCAAGTGTGAAGCTGGAACACAAGCAACAAGATTGTACGATATTGGAGGGGCCGATGGGGACTTGCGACCACAGCCTGAAATATGGTGGATGTCCCAGATAAGGCTTCGGGTCCAGCATATCCTGTGGCTACTAGGTGGCTACAACTATGGGGGGTCGGGGATGAAAGGTGCATGAAGCAGTGATGGCCGCCCCACTGAAATCTACTGTTCACGGTAACAAACACCTTCTAGACAATGACATGGGCACATGGACGTTTTTACCTACTTGACGTGGACTTTTGAGAAGGAAATAAACCAGATTTCAAAGATAGATTTCAGCATTGGTGATTGGGCTGTATGCGAGACCAATCCCACGGAAGGACTGACAATGGTCGGGATCCTGCAGCTGAAACGAGGCGAACCAGCAGTCTGAGTGTTCGCATACTGCAAGGGGTGAAAGAAGACGAGATGAATTTCGAGGGCACCACAGGAGGGGCAAGGACACCACGACGTGTCATGAATCATGATTATTCACCGCAAGTCTGCTTTCTTCGCTTCGCTGTCGGACATAGAGGGTCCAGAATCTGATCGCCGTTTATCCCGACTAATAATACTATGGCCTCCTAAGCATCCTGTCGCGCTGGTGCTGACAGCCCCCGCGGCATGCGTTCGCCGTTCGGGGTGGCTCGAGCTCGACCTTCAGTTGCTTCAGTTGAAACAGGGGGGCGGAGCGGGGACGGATCAGCCTGTTTCAGGTTTCCCCCAACTGTCTGGCTGGACTCTGGAGAATACGGGTTCTCGCTGTCAGGCACGCCAGGTCGGAGATGATTGGTATTGAGGAAGCACTGGGTCGGATAGGAGCGTGAGGGTAGTGTGGTCGTTCACAGCGGAAGAGGTTCGGACCAGGCTCCTTGAGGGCAAAGGCGAGATGTTTCTTCTTATCTTGGATGCAACGGAGACAAAGTTTCCAAGGGGGCAGGCTAAGCAAAATAGCGGAAGGACGGTTGATTGCGTCTATCTGAAGGAGGGATGACTGGGTGGGTGTGGACGAAGAGGTGTCAGACTCCGGGCCTGATCCACCTCCACGCATTCTTGCCTGTCGCTGTCTGTCTGTCTCTCTGTCCACTGTCCACTGTCGCCATGTCGCTACGATGCCTGCCTAAGGCCCGCCCAATGACAGCCTAAGGAGCCGTCGTCACCCCCATCTCCTCCCTCTCCCGGGCGCTTACGGCCACCATCTGAAGCTTACCCTCTTTCCCGCCGAACGCTCGAGGGAGGCGTTCCTTTCTTCAGGCAACTTTGACACAGTAGTCGTCAGACGGTGTGTGGGATTCCTGCGCTTCCTCTGCACCCTCACGCCGCGTCGTGCAGCTGGCCTGTCAGCGGTCAACAGGTGTGCAACCTGTCTGTCAATGGCTTGAGCCAGCATCTGTTCTCATGCAGCAGCCATAATGCTCCAGCCGACCACCAGCGACAGAACCACCCCGGCCCCCCAGACTCGTTCGAACCAAGCAGCTACTGCTGTTTCGTCCTCCTCGCTGGCCGATGCTCATTCGCACCTTGCCTCTCGCAAACCAGGCCACCCTTTGCTGAGCAATAATTTAATTCCTCGGGACTACTTGAGCTCTCCGTCCAGCTCCAAGTCGAATTCACATCAGAGTGGCAAGGCTGCGCAGAACTATGATTTGCATGGGTTAAGGTCGGCATCTGATGTTTCTGAGAAAGGTCCTGCCGCACACGTACAGCAGGGCGAGGCTGGCCTGACGGGGAAGCACGACGTAAGAAGCACCATACGCCGTGAGGACCTCGCGCCCAACATAGAGGAGTCGCAATCTGGACAATCGAGTCGTAATACTGAAGAGCAAGCAGCCAACCTTCTCTCCGAGTCTCCCAAGTCTTACGCGTCGTCTTGGACGAGCGTGCTTCCTCCCACTAGCATGCCGCGGACCTCTTCCATCGATTCCGCCATTTCGAGCATTTCCAATGCTTCCCACCCACAGAAGCAGGCCGGGGAGGTGAAGGATCCAAGTCGAGAAGAAGTACAGCGTCTCATTGCCACAGTCGGCAGTGCGGAGAACCTGGTTCAACACCTGCTCAGAGACAAAAGCCATGCTGCGGCCCAGAATGCGCAGCTCTGGAAACTTGTCGATAAGCAGAGGGCTCTGTTGCTTGGTTTAAACAAGGATCTTGAGCGCTTGACAAAGGAGAGAGATCGGTACCGGAGAAAGGCCAAAGATTTGCAGGCCCTCCCGTCGTCTGGGCCTATAGATCCTGAGCGCATCGAAGATGGTCACTCGCTCCAACCTGACGGAGATACCTCACTCGTATCTCAGGAAAATGAACCTGCGGACGGGTCAGGCCTGGGATCGAGCGTCGAGCAACAGACGTTGGGCAATTTGTCAGATACTCAATCGAGGAGCTCCCCTGTTGACCCTACGATGATACCATCACCACTACATCTAGAAACAGCACCTCGATTAGAGAACATTTCGACACACCTAGCGCAGCCCACTTTCTCAGTGACCCAGGCGACTCCGTTGGCAGAGAAACCTCCCAAATCTTTTCAGGCCTCGAGAAAGGCACCACCCAGACCTCTCGACCTACGCCAGACAAAGGACGGCAAATCCAACAGTCAAGTCATTGTCCCAGATGAAATGGTGATCAGCGACGCCGATGACGATGAGGAAGATCGACAACCTAGCCTGCGAGGTAGACGGAAGACACGAGAAGAAGATGAGGTTGACCGGGAATTACTCGTCCTGAAGGAACGAGAGGCGAGAAGTCGTTCGAAAAAGGACAAGAAGTATAAGCATGAACCAACAGACGCCGATCTTCAACACAAGTCTCCTGGACCTCAATCAAGTTTGCCTCCAACGCAAACGTACAAATCGCAGGATCATTTATCCCCCTCTTCGACGTTGTCTCAGGGATCTTCGGCTCAGTTGTCACTCCCATTGCGCAGCCCTGGTCTTCCCATGAGTCCGCGTCCCCTCGCCAACAACCTTGCTAGCAACCTCGCCGGGGCTTCACTCCCAATGTCCCCTCGTGTTCCCGGCGGAAACTTTCCTCTCTCACCACGAGCACCAAAACAACCTTTACCTATGCCGACCACACCTGGCCAACAAGCACCTGCTCCAGATACGCAACAGGCAGTCGAACCTTTACCTCTTCCCAAGATGAACACCAACAGCACCGGCATCGATTCAGATCGGGGTCAGATTCGCGACTCTCCCCTCAGTCCAAGTGACATCCCACCAGTTGATCGGAGACTTGTCAGTCCCACATGGCCTGACCTTCTCCTTCCCCCAAATGCTCTGCCTTCGATCCAAGTAAAAGTGGCATCTTCTCGATTACGACCTTCCAGGAACAGCATACTCGCACTGAAGCCACAGGAGGACACTTCGGTTTTTAGTCTATCGATCTTTGAGCGTGCCACTGCATCTGAACTCTGGCGAGTTCAGAAGGTCCCTGCTTCACTGCCAAGTCTTGAACAACAGCTGTGGAGTCGATGTGCCGATCTACCCAGATTGCCAGATCGGAAGCTGTTCTCGGGTCATTCTCCAGCTGTGGTAGATGCACGAAGAATTTCAATCGAATCCTATTTCGAGGACCTGTTGGATACCCCCATGGATGAACAAGCTGCTGCCACGATATGTCGATTCTTATCAACCGATGTTATAGAACCTCGACCTCGCAACCCCGTTCAGAATGGTGAATTCGATCATGACAAAACGGTTCCAGCAATGCAAGAGAGTGGTGTCCCGACCAAATCCGGATACTTGACGAAGAAAGGCAAGAACTTCGGAGGCTGGAAGTCAAGGTACTTCGTTCTGAGCAGCCCGGAATTGAGGTACTTTGAAGCTCCTGGCGGTGCGCATCTCGGGACCATTAAGTTGTTGAATGCCCGCATTGGCCGGCAAAGCCAGACTGATCATACGGAGGTCGACGCGGAAAATCAGTATCGCCACGCTTTCCTCATTCTAGAGCCGAAACGGAAGGATCAGAATAGCCATGTCCGTCACGTCCTGTGCGCTGAGAGCGATGCTGAACGAGACGAATGGGTGGAGACATTGTTGCACTACATTGACGAGAGACTTGAAGATCCCAAGTTGCAATACCCTGTAGGGATTCATTCTCCACTGACAAAGGAGGCCAAGATTCTTCAACGACCTGGAGGCGATGACGGAGAGTCGAAATTGGCTGGAAGTCCGTCATTCAACGAAGCTAACAGCGACACGCCTTCACCGTCCAATGCCTCTGCCAGCACGTTTGAAGGTGCTCAAGAGCCTGGATCGACCACCAAACCATTCACTATCTCAGGCCCAATGAATGGAGCGGTCATTTCGGATGTCGGGCTTTGGGGCAACAAGGCAGCAGGACATGGCGGCAGCAAGGAGCGGGAGCAGAAGAAACGCAACATTTTTCACTTCAGGAAGGCTTCTCATGAGCATCTCGGCCAAGGTGGTCAGGCAGTTCAACCCAAGCGACCAGAGGCTGCCACGCGCCGAGGCGGCCATGTGCGACCAGTGTTCGGGATGCAGCTTCAAGAAGCAGTTGAATACTATTCACCGATTGGCGTGGATGTGTTTCTTCCTGCTGTCGTCTATCGCAGCATTGAATTCCTGCGGGCGAAGAAGGCTTCCAATGAGGAAGGATTATTCCGGCTCAGCGGATCGAATATTGTGGTCCGACAGCTCAAAGATCGGTTCAATACTGAAGGCGACGTGGACTTGTTGACAGATGAAGAAGATTATGATGTCCACGCTGTCGCATCGCTTTTCAAGACCTACCTCCGAGAATTACCGTCCACCCTTCTAACCAGAGAGCTGCACTTGGAATTCCTCAAGGTGCTCGAGCTAAATGACAAGGCGCAAAAGATCGCGACCTTCAACACGCTGGTGCATCAATTGCCGGCCGTGAATTACTCGCTCCTGCGAACCTTATCGCAGTACCTGCTTGAGGTAGTACAGAACGCTGACCGGAACAAAATGAGCGTCAAGAACGTGGGGATCGTGTTCTCGCCGACTCTCAATATTCCAGCACCTGTGTTTGCCACGTTCCTCACCGACTTTGGGGCGATCTTTGACGACCCTAGCGATCAGGAGTCCATTCGCTCGGCCGAAAATGAACGCGAAGGAGCCTTGACGCCCGAAGACATCCGTTCGCCACGTCGTCAAATGTTCTCCGACCTCCCAACACCGCTCTACAATCAGACCAGTTTCTCACAGAACTCAGCAACACTGCCGGCAACGTCGGGGAGTGGCGGGCCACTCGAGCAACATCTGTTAGATGCCACCACCGACATCGGATTTGCACCCGTCCAACAATCGTACGAGACCAGAAGCTACGTTTCGATACCACAGGAGATGCCGACTCAGCCTCGCTACCCACCACCACAACCTGTACAAGGGGACAACAAGTACGGAGGGGTCAACAATATGTTGGCGCCAGATAATGCCGCCAGTTTGAAGGCAAGGCGGCGGGAGAGCTCCATGTTGTTCATGTGAAGGAGGGCAGTTGAGTGAGAAGACGGAATTGGCGTTTGAGCCAATAGTTTGTGTTTTGGCGGAGTCTCTTTCCCTTCCAAATACCCCCATTTGCAGGCGGCTCGAAGTTTTGTTCACCTTGGGTTTTTCACACTGTAATTTGAGCGATCTAGCGTTTTTATCCGCACATCCCCACAAGCTGCAACGGCGGGTCCTATTATTATGTCAACCATTGATGAGAGCTGTGTTTTACGCGGGAACTGGGAGTCTGGATGACAGATTCAAGGAAAATAGCAGCCATGGTACCAAGTTTTGGGGGGCACGGATCAGGACATTGCGAAAGATGGGAAGAGGTTTATGGTTATTACCTCCAACTTAGGTAGAAGTCAGCCATCTCGAAGGACCAGTGTTCTCCTCTGTTCTCCTCCAGTGTTCTCCTCCATCACAGGTTGTACCAGGCCCATGCCCGGTGCTCGCGTGACCCTGCAGGGCTTCAAGAATGGTAGACACTAGGCCGGCCCTGGGCCCCCTTTTCCCATGTCCCATTGTCCCCCTCATCCCCTTTTCTCATCTCGGGAAAATTCAAACAGAGAAGCCACCTCCACAGCTCGCCGAATGCTGGGTCCTGATTGGCCAGCCTCACCGCACCCTGGACACATGCAGTGGGACGTGGCTCTGTTATTAGCAACACTGGTCCGGCCCTAATTCTGGGGGCAGCCAACACCAGCAAGGAGCACGAAGGCTAATCTACTTTTGTCCCCGTTCGCAGAGCCTTGGTCTTGGTCCTTTCGAGGTCACCGGGCCGCGTCGAATTGAGTGACTTGACCGGCCGTCGGGCTCGAGTCTCAATCTGCACGGTTGTCGAACCTGCAAATTGAAGCGACGCGGACCGGTGCTAGGAGCCAGGAGGACGGAGTGGTGCAGGGGAGGGCATCACCTGCATGCTGCATGCTGCAACCGCGCATGGCGGAGTTGAACTGCCAGTGCCAGGGGCAGGCACAACCTTCAAGTTCCCCAGCCCCAAGTCATCGGACGTCCGTCTGATCGATGGCTGACAGCCGTGATTGACCTGAGGATCCACTGCCCTACCTACCACCACCACTACTACCTACTACCAGTACGTAGTATGCGCGGGAACACCCTTGCGCTTTGCTATTTGACTCAACAGGACTAATTAGCAGCAATATTGACGTTGTGCGCTGTGCGACTTCAATCCATCCAAGCGGTGCATCGTCTCTTACTGCATGTTTTGTCCCCATCGCCCTAGTCAACACTCAACACTCCGCGATTCTTGGACAACGAACGTCGAACGGTATTTCTAGCTTGGGGACCCCGTTTCCACCGCCCGAAATCTCCTTCGTCTTTTTTCCTCTCCAGTGTCACCTCCCTGGCGAGCCCGAGTCCGCTTCGACATCGCGCCTAGCATCTCCTTCATGGCTTCCAACGAAGACCCCAAGGGCACCAGCCCGCCGAATGAGGCTTCAACCGAGTCCCCCGCCAATCCAACTGTGACGGAGGCTGCTCAGGAAGAGAAGGCGGCTACTGCCACGCCTGATGTGCCCAGCAAAGAAGCCTCCAAAGTCGCCTCCACCTCACTGCCTCCCTCCATCTCTAGCGAGGAGGAGAAGCCGCGCCCTAGCGTGGCAACGGTCGACCTCGATCGGATCGGCGAGACCCAAGGCTACGTCCTCGACGAGGCCAAACTTAGGGAGCAATATGGCCTCGCTCCAAACGTGCCCCTGAAGAAGTCCAAGAAGGGCGTGGTCTTGATCCCCCAGCCCACTGATGACCCCGACGATCCGTTGAACTGGCCGGCCTGGAAGAAGGGACTCATCCTGGTCGTCCTGGCTGTCAACGCTTGCACCTCCGATTACTCGGCGGCCACGGGCGCCAGTGCGCTGATTCCCCAGGCTCAAGAATGGCACATCTCCCCTGACAAGGTCAATCATGCGACGGCCGGGTAAGTTGGCCCACGAGCTTCTCTGGTATTGCATTGCCCTGAGGCTGACCTTGTGATAGCAACACTTTCATGCTGGGCATCGGTGGTCTCGCAACCGTCTGGCTCAGTGCCTACTTTGGTCGTCTCCCCGTGCTCTTTTGGTTTGGTTGCCTCTCAGCTGGAACGGCCGCTTGGTCGGCCGCCGCCCAAAGCTTCTCATCCTACATGGCGTCTCGAATCTTGAACGGCCTGTTTTGTGTCGCCGCCGCCGGTGGTGGCTTGATGTGGATCAAGGATGTCTTCTTCTGGCATGCCCACGCGCAAAAGATCAACATGTGGTCGACCGCCATCATCCTGTCACCTTTCCTGGGCCCACAGTTCATGGCAGCCATTATTAGCGTCGACTCCTGGAGGACCGGAATGTGGCTCAATTTCGGTATCATCGCCCTCGGCCTCTTCCTCACCGCAACACTGGGTGACGAGCCTTTCTATCCTCGTCATCTCATGCCCGACCGGAGACCCAAGCGGAAATCGCGGATTCTTCGACTCGTCGGCGTGGAGCAGTACAAGACCAAGTACACCACCAACTCGTTTATGGAGGCAGGTAGCCGCTTGGGGTTTACTGTCGCCAAATTGCCGGTTTTCTTGATCTGTCTCTTCTACTTCTTTGACTGTAAGATCCGGTCCCCGTGTTGTGTTCGAGCTCTTACTAACTTACGCCAGTCCCCTGGACCATTGGAAACAATACCACCATTTCCGTCTTCATCATCCCGGCCTACAACTTCAGCTACCGCAACCTGGCAGCCATTTATACCGCACCCGTCGTCGGAGCCGTCCTCGGGTTGATCATTGGCCACTTCATGTTCGATTTCATCGGCAAGCTCTGGGCAAGGAGCCATAACGGACGCATTGATCCCGAGAACAGGTTGATCCTCGTCTGGCTGGTGCTACCGCTTAAACTGGTCGGTTACAACCTCATCGGTGCGACACTGCATCATGCTCCGGCATGGTCGTGGTGGGTGCTGGCGATCGGCTGGTGCATGCACAACTTTGCCACCATCGTGACCACTACAGCTGTCAGCGCATACCTGCTTGATTCATACCCGGAAGCCAGTGGTGAATGTGCGGCATGGCTCAACTTCTCCCGAACTCTTGGAGGCTTTATCGTGGGATACATCCAGATCAATTGGGCCACCAAAGCTGGGACTCAGACCGAATATGGGATTCAGAGCGGCATCATGGCGGCAGCTTTTTTGGTGATCGTGTTCTTACAGTTCTTTGGCGCCAAATTGAGACATGCACAAGGCCCACTGAAGTTCAGGACGTACTAGCCGCGGGTTTGGATGTTCTATGAGACCCTTTAGCGACATATTGATAGGTGGATATGTAGCTGGATTGTACTTTGTAGCGGTAGTATGAGTTGGGTACCTACCTACCAGGCAGTAATGAACAAGATCTGGATTTCACAGAGCTTCACCGTCCTCTTTGTACTCTGTATGCCGAGACCGACTGAAGAAGACTGCTTACCTCATTGTCGTCCCGTGAAGAAGTATGACTCCTGTATATGTCCTCAGTAGTACTCCTTACTCCGTCTGCGAGAGTGTAGGGAGTACATATGTAGTGGTGAGTGGTGAGTGGTGACAGGTGAGAGGTGATTGACAGCGGTTTTGGCAGTGCGCGAATTGTGTCGGCGACGTCATCCGGTATCCGGCGCTAGGATGGAAGTGGAATGGCCGCCGCCCTTAGGCCCATGCTCGCACGCTGCGGTGATTGGCGATGTCGGCGGAGCTTCTTCACGCTGTGCAAGTGGCAGAACAAAAGCTCCTCCTGCAAAGCCAGGACCGTCCCAGTTTGGATTCTTGCTCTGCACCTTGCACCACCACACCAGTTTGCCCGGGGATCGGTTCAGGAGCTTTCTGATCTTTGCAGCAATGTCTCTGGCACGGTCGACTCGCAGCGCTCAGGTAAGGAAGAGCAGACTGCCCCTCTCCGTCGAAGTTGTCGAGGAACTCACCAGCTCTTTTTCCAGTCGCTATTTCGCGCAGCTCAGCGGGCAAGCAGAACCCAAACCACGTCGGCCCTTCTCGCCAGAAGTGAGCATACAAGCCAGTCCAGAAAGACCTCGCGGAAAACTGACGGACCTTCCTAGCTTATGCCACGACCGTCGAATCGGATATTTTCAAGCCGACAAAATATGGAGGAAAATACACGGTGACCTTGATCCCAGGTAGGCTGGACCCTAGAAAGGCATCTGTCGATTTGCAAGGAAAAGTGCTCACACCCGATTGCAACAGGTGATGGTATTGGTGCCGAGGTCGCCGAAGCCGTCAAGACCATCTTCAAGGCCGACAATGTCCCAATTGAGTGGGAACAAGTCGATGTCTCGGGCGTCGATACTGGCGACAAGCACTCGGAAGAGCTCTTCAGAGAGTCCATCGCTTCTCTGAGGCGGAACAAGCTGGGCTTGAAGGGTATTTTGCACACGCCCATCGAACGATCAGGTCACCAGTCCTTCAACGTCGCCCTCCGACAGGAGCTCGACATTTATGCCTCTGTCGTTCTGATCAAGAACATCCCCGGCCTCGTCACACGGCACCAGAATGTCGACCTTTGCATCGTACGTGAGAACACCGAGGGCGAGTACTCTGGTCTAGAACACCAGTCTGTGTCTGGCGTGGTGGAATCGTTGAAAATCATCACCCGGGCCAAGTCGGAACGCATCGCCAAATTTGCCTTCTCTTTCGCGCTCGCAAATAACCGGAAGAAGGTGACGTGCATCCACAAAGCCAACATCATGAAGCTGGCCGACGGTCTGTTCAGAAATACGGTCAAGAGTGTCGGAGAGGACTATCCCACCCTCGAGGTGAATGACATGATTGTCGACAATGCCTCCATGCAGGCTGTCTCCCGACCCCAGCAATTTGACGTGATGGTCATGCCCAACCTTTACGGCGGCATCCTGACCAACATTGCCGCTGCTCTGGTCGGTGGACCTGGTGTCGTTCCCGGCTGCAACATGGGCCGAGAGGTTGCTGTCTTCGAGCCTGGATGCCGACACGTTGGTCTCGATATCAAGGGCAAAGATCAAGCCAACCCCACCGCGCTTCTCCTTTCCGGCACCATGCTGCTCAGGCACCTGGGTCTGGACGACCACGCCAACCGCATCTCCAAGGCGGTGTATGATGTGATCGCTGACGGGTCAGTTGCATCACCTGTTCTCTTCTCAATGATCCCCAACCACTGACAATTTCACAGCAAGGTACGCACCCGCGACATGGGCGGCAACAACACCACGCATGAATATACTAGGACGATCTTGGACAAGATGGAGCAGGGCCTGTAAGTCCCAGTCTGGCCGAGTTGTCGATGAACGTGGATGGCGAGGGGATGGTCTTTGCGCTTTCGAGGAGCGGTCACTGTACTCGATTTGTCCCAGTTTGATAGGCCTGCATTGATGTTAGAAATGATATCTGTACAAAGTATCTGCCACTGAGTGACGCGGTCCGCAGTCGCGGTTGGGCTTCATCGGGCGGCGAGAGACTTCTAAGCCATCCGGGTCGAGCGAATAATGATAGGGTAATCCTTAGCCTTATTAGGCCCAGGTGCGGAAGCCGGCAGGGTTAGCATCGCCTATACGACTAGTCCGCAGACGACAGGCGGAAGAGACCAAGTGGCAGCTCAACGACAATTGCATGTGAAGGTTCCCAAACTTTTCCCAACCGAACCTGTGTTCATGATGGATCTCTTGTCTACGATCTCACCCTTCTCATTCTCTTCCTCTTTCGACCCGCCATGAGGGAATCCCTATGACCCCGCGCGTTCATTATCTCTCATATCCGAGGCACTCGCTCCGGCGTACCCTCCCATGACTTCTTCGCCATCCGTGCAGCACGACAACGGCCGAACCAACTCCCAGGAGATTCACCATCAGTCCAGTCTGACGCTGTCTCGCACCCCACAGCCGTATCATCGACGAGGAGACAGCCTGGCGAGAAGCCGGACAGGCCCTAGCAACCATGAGTCCGAAGCCACGAATGGATACGCGGTGCCAGTCACCAGCCGCTCGGAGTCGAGCGAGAGCGGGACAGAGGCCGACGATGAGAAGGGTCCCCTCTTGAAGGGTCTACCGGCCCCTCCATTACGCCTCAGGAAAGGCCTCCGTGGAAATTCGCCCGCAGGACTTACGCCGGCGGCCAGTCCTCTGTCGACACCTCCCGCTTTTGCCGATGCACACGAGTTTCGGTTCTTCCAGCCACGTCACAGAGGAGCGAAGAAGGCTCCGGAGGGAGAAAGACAAGTCAATGACTTCGAAGCATACAAAAGTCGGAAGCGGCGGGAGATTGTTCGGCGATGTACAGAGACTTCCCTTCTGTGTGGAATCGGAGCCATTGTTTGGTCCAGCAGAGGGGGTACAGCTGGTCTCGTCGACTGGTTGAATGAACTTACCACTTTCCTCCTGATACCGCCTTTCATCTATACACTTTACCCGATCCGCCTCACCTTGCGAGCTCGAGCTCGAGCTACGGACAAGACCCTTGGGCACTCCGTTCGCCAGGGGTTTCATATACCCTCTCGCTTCGATCCTGGGCCTCTGCTGTACCCGGTTGTCCTGCCAGTCTTGATAGCGCTCTCGCTGTTCCCGCGGAGCACTGCATTCCTCCCGGCAGCACTTGTTTGCGGCCTTTCGTCCATTCCTCCTTTGATCACAGCAACCCCAAAAGTTCCTTCCATTGGAGAGTACTTACACTGGGCTCTCTCGCTACTACCACTACACCCCTCGAAATTACGACTTTTCCCGACCGGTCGCTTGACGCCACTCTCTTTGAAACTCGAGCAGAACCACCATCTGGTGCGAGAAGACTTGGCCTTGCTGTTCCCCCTTCACCAGGCGCTCATGACGGTCTTGGGTTACCTTACAACTTCGAGTCTAGACGTTTCAGAACTACAACTTCTCTCCACCGCGTTAACTAATCTCTTCCTCTTTGCCCAGACTCCTCAAGCCGAGATCCTGAAGGGCATGATTTGGCTTGGAGGACTGTGTATCTTCATTTCCTGCAAGAACATCCTGATATGGGAGGTTACCCTGGCAAGAATCCCTACTTGGAAACTGCTCCACAAGCGGCGCCAAGGGGGCCTAGTTTCGCAGATTGACCGGGCAGTCTGTCAGTTCCTCACCCGTCGAAGAAGTCAACGTACCCGGCGGCTCGTTTCCGATAGCGACGACAGCGACGAGGGCTCGTCGAACACATTCTGGAGGGTTCGGCCGCGTCAGAAAACTTCAATGAATGAAAGATATTCCATCTTAGCCGCTGCTCCCGAACCTGATTCCGCGACCCCATCGCTAAATGGAAAGGGCCCTTCGCCGGGCACATCTATCTCTCTCCAGCTACGTCGACGCAATACCTTTGCAGCTTTTGAACGTGGCGGCGGCAAAGGACAGCCACGCAGCGCAAGAAAGCCCAAATCAAACCCGAGCGGTCCATCGGCCGCTTTCTTGTCATTCAGCGTGGAACAAGCTCACATTCGTAAGTATGCGTATGCCGGGGCAGCATACCTTTTGGTCATCGCCACGATACTGGGCCCAGTTCGAATGTACATCAGCCAACGAGCATTGTCTGGCCACGAACCATTTGGGTGGGCTCTCGGCTATCTCTTTGGGCAAGTGCCCATGTTTCGATTCTGGGTCATCAGCAACAACCTCGACTGGTGGATCTGTCTACCGCCTCGTGAGACGAGCGATCTGACTAGTGTTCGATTCGGCATCGTCGAGAATGCACGCCAACACGTCCTTGGTCCTGCTAATACACGGCTGTTAGTTTGCGCTTATTGCGGAGTGGTGTTGCTCACTGGCATCGCCGCAGTCCTCCACCTCACTTCAGTTGTCGAGGTCGACACAAGGCGGAAGGTCTTTCATGGCATGATGGTTGCTATGCTTCTGCCAACCATTTTTGTGGACCCCTGTTTTATTGCACTGGCCCTCAGCCTGGTGCTGGCTGGTTTTCTCCTGCTCGACTTGTTTAGGGCTTCACAACTACCGCCCATTTCAAAACCCTTGACCACATTTCTCGCGCCTTACGTGGATGGTAGAGACCACCGTGGGCCGGTTATTGTGTCGCACATCTTCCTTTTGATTGGGTGTGCGATCCCACTCTGGTTATCCCTTGCCGCCGCCCCTCGCATTGGTCATGACCCCTGGATTGGCTGGGATACCTCTGTACGAGACTTGAGTATGGTGAGCGGCGTTATTTGTGTCGGGATGGGGGACGCCGCTGCGAGCTTGATCGGGCGGCGTTATGGAAAGACAAAATGGTGTTGGGCAGGCGGAAAGAGTTTAGAAGGCAGCCTTGCGTTTGCGATCGCGGTCACGGCTGGTCTATATGTCTCATGGCTCTGGCTTAGACTAGGTGGGTGGGCACCATGGCAGGACGAGACTCTTGATCGGACGCTAGCAAAGTGTTTGATGGCAGGAGTGGGAGCTAGTTTGCTGGAGAGCACCTTGACTGCAGCGAACGACAATGTAGTCGTGCCGATTGGACTGTGGTTGATAGTCCGAGGGCTGGACATCTAGTTCTACTCAGTAGTAGGGACCATATTATGACGAAAGGCTCTCAGGCTCTCAGATGCGTGTCCATTGTGGTTGCAGTAAGTGTGTGGCCGGCTTAGCCGATTGACGATCGAATTTGAATGGGAATTAGACGCTTGCTTGACCATTGCGCTATAACGAACGCATCTGGTGTCTGTTTCCGGATGTTTTTCCCCATAGATATGCAGAGTACGGAGTGCAGACGCCTTTTGGTGGACGATCATCTGACTCCGTCTGACTCCGTGGGGGAAGGGACCGAGCACCCCAACGGTGATTCGCTGGAGATGCATGACGGCATCTTTCATGAACATGCACGCATGAGACAGGGTAGCCCTGTAGAGGAAATTAGTCCTAATAAGTACGCCGCATCGAGGTACGTAGATACCTACCTAGGTACTTATCTCCGTATTATTTATTGTACGGAGTAGACGTACAGTAACACTGGTGGTAGGTGACTGGCACCTAACTGGGTTCGTGGTGTGTGGTGAGTGGTTGGCAGTGGGCACCAGGTGGTCGCAGCAACGCAAGGGGCGCACGTGATGAGCCTTATCGCCTACTATCTCAACACCCACAGTAGTCCGAGGCGAACTTACGTCGAGACCAACTGACTTGCCATGACTAACTGGTCCGTCCCAAGCACATAATACCATGTCCTACTAGTATCGCGCTGTCTGACTTCCGTGCCCGTTGCCTATTTCCCAAAGCCACTTATCATCTTCATCTACTTGGCATCTTCCGCCTCCGAGCCCGCTGTCCTTTGTTGTTGAGGTGCAACGGCAGGCCCGGTCACGCTGCGTCACATCCCCAAATCACGCTCCTGACGACCACCTCGCATCACACGCCCAAGCCCACCGAAGCCCTCCCGGCCTGGCCTAGCCCTCCTTCCTCCATTCGATCATTGCAATCCCCTCTGAGTTGTTGAGCTGTGCCTCTTGCAGTTGCACAGCATCCGAATCCAGCAGCCTGCCGTCCAATTACGCCATCTCCGCACTCTCATTGACCTGTCACCTGTTCCCTACGACGTCCGCTGTTGCTCGGGGAGCCTTCTTCTGTATCGAGCGATCCATGTCAAACCACATCACTGCCACTCTCTATCCGCAATTGAGAAGATAGCAACATCTCGCCGCACCTCTTGCCCCCTCGGAGGGCTCCGTCGACCGAAGTGGTGGAGGAGGTGAAGATGGCGTCCACAGTCTCCCAGACCTCCACTCCTAGGAGGCCAAAGGAGTCGGACAGGATTGGCAGTTTCCAGCGACACGAGGAGATAGGACGAGGCAGCTTTGCAACAGTATACAAGGCAATCCACACGGTAAGTTGGGAGTTCTCCAACAGGCTTCTGGAACAACCGCTGACAGGTCATCAGGGCAGTTCCGGTGTGCAAAGCATCGTTGCTATCAAATCGGTCAACATGTCGAAATTGAACAAGAAACTAAAGGACAATTTGACCTCGGAGATTTCGATCTTGAAGGGACTGCATCATCCTCACATCGTTGCCCTTATCGACTGCAAGGAATCAAGCTCGCATATACACTTGGTCATGGAATATGTTGCTCTGGGAGATCTTTCCCATTTCATCAAGAGGCGGAACGAAATCAAGGACAGTGAGCTGGTGGGCAACATGATGGTAAAGTATCCCAACCCTCGGTACGGAGGCCTTCATGAAGTCGTTGTCCGGCATTTCCTACAGCAACTCGCAAGCGCTCTACAGTTCCTGCGGGCGAGAAACCTCATCCATCGAGATGTCAAACCACAGAACCTGCTTCTCAATCCATCACCCATTTATTTCGAGACCCACGACCCCCGACCGATGCCCTATCAAGCCGCTGACAACTCTCTCACCCCCATCTGCGGAATCAGATCGCTCCCCATGCTCAAGATAGCTGACTTCGGCTTTGCCCGGTCGTTGCCCTCCACGGCACTGGCGGAGACCCTTTGTGGCTCGCCCTTATACATGGCACCCGAGATTTTGAGGTATGAAAAATACGACGCGAAGGCTGACCTTTGGTCTGTGGGGACCGTACTATACGAAATGATGACCGCTAGACCTCCTTTCCGGGCTTCCAACCACGTCGAGTTGCTCCGAAAGATAGAAAAAAGTGAAGACAAGATCAAGTTCGGGGACGAATTCATCATATCCGACGACATGAAGAAACTCATTCGACTACTGTTGAAGCGAGATCCGAAGGAGAGACTGTCCTTCCCGGACTTCTTCAGCAATGAAATCCTAACTGGACCCATTCCGGGTCTGCATCCCGAGGATATGCCTGACGAACCGCCCCAGCCTGAAGTCAACCGCCGTCGAAACAGCCGGACGGAACCTACAGGAATGGCCCATCCAAGCCCCAGGAAGGAATCAGAAAGCCCTTACATTGACTCTGCAAAGACAGTCTCTGATGATCACCTGCCACGGCAACATTCTATAAGCAGGCGGATATCTGGAGCCAGAGAACAGATCAATACCCAGCGTCGACCTTCTGACGGACGGAGAGCAGGTTCCGAATCTCCCACCACACCAGGCGCAGTGCGTCCAACCCTGCAACCACATGCGACAGCGCCAGAAAGACAAGACTTGTTTCATCGGCCTACATCTATCCCTATGGGTCGCCAAACAAGCGCAGGATCACATAAGATGCCGCCTTCCTCGCTGCGTGGTCAGGTCCACGATGAGCACCGTGAGTATACTCTGCGCAAGCAACAGGAAGAGAAAGAGCTTGAGCGAGTAGCCCAGGACATTGCATTTGAGAGAGACTACGTTCTCGTAGAGAAGAAGGCGGTGGAGGTCAACGCTCTAGCTGATGAACTAGACGCAAGTCCACGATTGAACAAAATTGGTCTGCAAACAGCGGTACCGCCGAAGAGTGGAACAATGGTCCGCAGATCAACTACTCAAGGTGTACCTGGGTCAGCAACCGGCGCACAAACCAGCGCATCTCGAGCTGTGCAAATTGCTTCAGGAAGAAGGCCTGATACCCTCCACCATCGCCAAAATTCCTATGAACGACGTTATGGCCCGAGTCCCAGTTCAGCGACATCCGCGATCTCCAAAGCATTGAACATGGCCAGCGGGCGTCTGTTTGGGGTGGGATTTTCACCTCCTGTGCATCTGATACGGGGTGGCAAATCCCCTCCCGTCGCCTACAGCCCGTTCCCCAATTATCCCGGAGCGCAAAGCAGCCTTGTCGTGGTAGGAGACGTAGGGAAGCCGGCAGCTGCTGACGAGGATACCAAGTCCGTGCAGACCGTCGAGGAGATCGCTACACGAAGTGACGTCGTCTATGGCTTCGCCGAGGTCAAGTATAAACAGCTCATTCCAGCCATCCCTTCTCAACCCGGACTGGGGTTGCGCAGTACCGCTGGCAGCAATGCTTCAGACAACCTATTTGGCGCTTCCAACGACGATCTGACCGTTGAAGCAATGGTGATCGTTGCCGAGGAAGCTCTAGTGCTCTATGTCAAGGCCCTGGCTCTACTTGCAAAAGCCATGGACATTGCAGCACGTTGGTGGGCACGTAAAAACCGTGGCGAAGTGACTGGTGACGCCGCTACATCCCGCCCGATCGCAACTTCAGCTGCTACTGGGCAGAGGATGAACAATGTTGTGCAGTGGGTCAGGGGTCGATTCAATGAGGTCCTGGAAAAGGCGGACCTCGTCCGACTCAAGCTCATTGATAGCCAGCGTCGGCTACCTGATGATCATCCGAGCCATCCCAACAACATCTCCAGTACAACTACTTCCAGCGCTGGCCTCGGCACTTCCGCGGATCAGGTTGTTGTTAGCTCTGGAGTCACGGCGGAGAAGCTCATGTATGACCGCGCGCTAGAAATGAGCCGTGCAGCTGCGATCAATGAGCTGACGAATGAGGACTTGGCCGGTTGCGAGATATCATACGTTACCGCCATCCGCATGCTTGAAGCAGTCCTCGAGCAGGACGATGACAGCAACTCCAGTACCCAGGATGAGAAAGAGGATGCAGCACCAATCAGCGGACTAGAAGCAGAAGATAGGAAGGCAGTCAAGAACTGTAAGTTTGCCTCGGACGCGGGAACGGCAAATGCTAACCTTACTTCAGTGGTAACCAGCATCCGGGGAAGGCTCACTGTCATTCGACGGAAGTTACAAGTCATTCAGCAGCGCGCATCAGCTCCAGGAGCGGCGTCTCCGACTAGCAGGGCATCTCCTCCCATTCCTTACCGCGGCAGCAATCCTGCATCTGCTGTCACGCCGCCGCGCTCCTGATTCATCGACCGACGCTTCCTCTAGAACGCCACAAGGGGCTCTTTCGCGGCAGACGAGAAGGGTCTCCGGTGGAGGCGGCGTGCGCTCGGCACCTGGGCTATGTCGGCCTACTTTCGACTTAATGAATCTCGAGCTCAGTTTACACCAGCCGCAGTGCACCAGCTTCTGGCATGTAATTGTTTTCACACTACTCTTTGATTTCAGGGGGTGGGAACGGTTCACAGGGCGTTTGTGTTGAGGCATCGTGCATGTGGGCATATTACGGCGTTGCATTATATTAATACCCAAACGATCAGATTGATAACAACGGCCCCATTTTTGATGAAGAGACGGTCGAGCTCACTGGGAGGTTGGACATGAAGATACCCGTCATGAGAGAATCGGAGCCGGCGCCGTGGGCTACAGGCTTCAAGCATGCTGCGTGGCGTTCTGTTGTGTTTGTGTGCTCTTTCACCCTGGGATATACCGAGAGCACGGGTACGGAGAGCCCGGTCTGATGGCGGCTCCCGAGTGTTCTTTATGGGAGACACAATGAAACGGCAATAAGCCTTTTTGAGAATGATAGCTTGAATTATTACGAAGAATCTCCACCTCATATTATCTAGATGTACCTAGGACTTGTCACGGTGTTCCAAGGCCCTACTAGTATTGGGATCCTGATTACCGGTTCCGAAATGTGCCAGTCGATTTTATAGAGAATCACCCACAAAAGATAGTGACTTCCTCAAACTCGCTGGGCTGGAAATTTGCTCTGGCAAGAAACTAAAACAACAAATCAAGAGCGCACGGGAGAGATGAGCGTTCCGATGCCGGTTCCTGCATGGGGTATGGATGGGTATTGGTGTGTTTGTGGCTCGTGAGGACATGACCCACGACCGATTATATAGGCTTGGAAGAGGAAGGGGCTAAGGCCAGACTTGCTCCTGACATTGAAATCAACGAGCGCGAACCGAATAACATTAACACGTCATGAGGGTTTGTATAGAAGTTGAACGAGGAGTTCAAAGCTTCCGAATTTAGGGAGATGGGAGACTGGCGTGTGGAAGTGGAATGGAAGGAGAAGAGAAAAATGATAATGATAATAGTCAGATGGCTACTGGGCCCCGACTGGCTCGCCGCACTTTCCTGCCTGGGTAACAACTGATCTGGTTCCACCATCCGTCTTCTCTATTCTCGGCTACGCAGCGGCCGCCGAGTTCACATCGTGTACTCGTATGATCCGCAGTCTCGGCCTCTTACAGCTCCCTTCCTGAGGTACACAGCTATCCCTTCCAGTCATTCCCATTCCATTCCACTCCTTTGGCTTTTACAGACCTATAAGAGCGTGGTTGCCAAGTCGAGCACTCCCTTACCCTACCTATGTTGGTAGATGAAGCCTTCCGTCCGCTCTCTTTCAAGGCTTGTTGAATCTCGAATTCTCCGACCGCCCAACCTTCAACAGAGCTTCCGACAATCCTGTCCCTCCCGAGTGCATATCAGCACTGTTCGCCGCGGAATTTCAGCTTCTGCACTGCGCCAGGCGAAACCCTCACCCCTTACCCCTCAACGACGTCAGGCCTCAGTCCATTGGCGACATAGCGGACCCAAGATGTGCCGATTCATGTCCGACTCTCCAGGCGCGGCCAGCACGCAGGGCCGAGTCATCCTCCCTGATGATGTTGTGCCCAAGCACTACGACGTGACCCTTGAGGTCGATTTTGACAAGTTCACGTTCGAAGGCACAGTGATCATTGCCCTGGACGTTGCAAGAGACACCTCCTCGATCGCACTGAACACGTTGGAGCTGGACATTCACACCACTACCATACACGCCGACGGCGCTCTTGTCACATCATCTCCCACCCTTTCCTACGATGCGGAAACGCAGACGACGACCATTCAGCTTGGCAAGTCGATCACAAAGGGTCAGAAGGTTCAACTCAAGCAGACATATACCGGGCAACTGAATGATAAAATGGCGGGTTTCTACCGGTCCAAGAGAAGGGACGGGCAGTATCTTGCCGTCACGCAGTTCGAGGCAACTGATGCCCGAAGAGCATTGCCCTGCTTCGACGAGCCTGCCCTGAAAGCCGAGTTTACGGTGACTCTGATCGCCGACGAAGACAAGACGTGCCTGTCAAACATGGACGTGGCTTCTACGGAAATTGTGGATTCCAAGATCACCGGGGGGAAGAGGAAGGCGGTCAAATTCAACCGTTCCCCGCGCATGTCTACCTACCTACTCGCGTTTATCATTGCCGAACTCAAGTCCATCTCAACCGACAAGTTTAGGTTGCCCATCAAAGTATGGATGACTCCCGAACAAAACGACGATGACGGTAAATTCGCCCTTGATGTCGCAGCGAAAACTCTGGCGTTCTATGAAAAGGCATTCCAGGCACCATATCCTTTGCCCAAAATGGACATGGTTGCCATTCCGGATTTTGCGGCCGGCGCCATGGAAAATTGGGGTCTTGTCACGTACCGTGTGGTGGATCTCCTCTTTGACCAGAAGTCTGCTGGGGCTGCTACGAAAGAACGTGTGGCGGAAGTGGTGCAGCATGAACTGGCTCACCAATGGTTCGGCAACCTGGTTACCATGGATTTCTGGGATGGACTCTGGCTCAACGAAGGCTTTGCCACCTGGATGAGCTGGTACAGCTGCAATGAGTTCTATCCGGAGTGGAAAGTGTGGCAGACCTTTGTCATAGACACCCTACAGGGAGCCCTAGGGTTGGATGGCCTACGGAGCTCTCACCCTATCGAGGTTCCTGTCCACCGTGCGGAAGATATCAACCAAATATTCGACGCCATCTCCTATTCGAAAGGCTCCGCAGTCTTGAGGATGATATCCAAGTATCTGGGGGAAGATGTCTTCATTGAAGGGATCAGGAAATACATCAAGAAGCACGCCTGGGGCAATACAAAGACAAGCGATCTCTGGGATGCACTTGGAGACGCCAGCGGCAAGGATGTCGCACACGTGATGGATATCTGGACCAAGTACATTGGGTATCCGGTGGTGACGGTGACTGAAAATGAAAAGGATTCGACCATCACCGTCAAACAGAACCGGTTCTTGCGGACAGGTGACGTTAAACCTGACGAGGATCAGGTCCTCTACCCTGTGATGCTTGGTATCAGGACCAAAGAAGGCGTCGACGAGAATCTCATGCTTACTGAAAGGGAGCAAACGTTCAAGATCAAGGGTGGTCTGGAATTCTACAAGTTGAATACAGACCATTCCGCGTTCTACAGGACCAGCTACACCCCGGATCGCTTGATGAAGCTTGGGGAAGCAGCACAAAAGGGGCTCCTTTCTGTTGAAGACCGAGCCGGTATGATTGCCGATGCTGGCGCTTTGGCAGCGAGCGGTTACGGCAAAACATCGGGCATTCTCAGCCTGCTACAGGCATTCAATACCGAGTCCGACTTTGTGGTCTGGAATGAAATCCTAACGCGGATCAATGCCGTCCGAAATACATGGCTCTTCGAAGACGAATCGATCAAGGATGCCCTCAAGGCGTTCCAGTTGAATCTATGCTCGGCAAAGGCGCATGAACTTGGTTGGGAATTCTCCGACGATGAAGACCACATTCTCGGCCAGTTCAAGAGTTTGATGTTCGGATCCGCGGGACTTGCGGGAGATCAGAAGGTACAAGCGGCAGCCAAGGAAATGTTCGCCAAGTTCTTGAAGGGCGATTATAATGCTATCCATCCGAATCTACGGGCCTCAGTTTTGGCCATGGCCCTGCGCGATGGGGGAGTCAAAGAATGGGAGGCTGTTCTGGCGCGGTATCACTCTGCGCCTACGGCAGATGAGAAGAACACATGTTTGCGCAGCTTAGGTCGCGCCAGAAGCCCGGAGTTGATCAAGAAAACATTGGATCTTGCTCTTGGGGGAGAGGTCAAGATGCAGGACATTTACATGCCAATCGGCGGGCTTGGGACGACGTCGGAGGGGGTTGAGAAACGGTGGGAATGGATGTGTAAGAATTGGGAGACGCTGGTGGAGAAGCTGCCACCTAGCATGTCGATGCTGAGCAGCGTGGTCAGCATCTGCGTGGCGGGATTCACCAAGGAAGAGCAACTGGGCAAGATCGACGAGTTTTTCCGCGACAAGGACACGAAGGGCTTTGACCGGAGTCTGCAACAGAGTTTTGACAGTATCAGGGCCAAGTCGAATTGGTTGAAGCGGGACGGGGACGATGTGTTGGGATGGCTCAAGGAGAAAGGGTATCTGGAAAAGGGGCGATTGTAAGTGCAGTTGTGGATAGAGGAGAGACGGGGCAAGACAAGGTCCCGGCGGAGAGAAATGGATCTGTATCTGAACCCGGCCTGACTCAATTGTACGAGTATCAGTTTAGAGCAGATGACCCAAACCAGAGGTGACATACCGATGTCTGATCACTCCAACTGGTAATAATACGAGGAAAGCAAATGGTGGATTGTGGATTGGTGGCGACACTGGCAAGGACGGAGTATATCCGTACAGTGGACTGATGATTCTCCCAGTCTAAATGCCAGTCATACCTATGTACTCGGTACAGAGTATCCGTACAGCATAGCACGTACTGCGCCAACCAGTAGCAGTAGCAGGATTGGGGATGGATGGTGGCTCGATTCGGAACGCAGCATCCAGAGTGGCGGCGGGGACAGGGATGCCGTTGTATCAATATTAATGCACAAGGTTACCTTACCTACCTACTACTAGGTGCTTAAGTGGCTTAGGGGCTCCGCCAATCGTGCCCGCTGCGTACCTGGGATAATTTACAGCATATCCGTACGGCGTATATCTTTTATTTTCGACCTCAAGCACCAACAGGGACCGCCCGAGTCGAAGCAGCCAGGCATTCGACTTCGACTGTTCGCCAACGCTCTTTTGCAACTCGAGTTCACCACCGTCCTGCGTGCGACCGTCCATCGTTTTCAGCATCCATCCACCCTATCATTCAGCTACAGTCTATCCCTCTATACCTACCGTTGATCTGCTGAGCTTGCAACACCCGCCCGCCCGCCCGCCCAACCATGGGTCTCCTCACCACCGTCGCGGTGCCTGTCGAAGGGCTCGTTCGAAGCCTCCCTCTCTATCAACTCATCCTCCTCGGCTTCGCCACGCTCATAGGGGCCGCCGTTGTCTCCCATGTCACGAGACAACTGCTGTTCAAAGACAAGAACGCGCCGCCCGAGGTGTTCTCTCTCTTTCCCGTGATCGGAAGCACGTAGGTGGTCTCTCTCGATACAATATACACATACCATTTCAAATTGGAGGTCCAATTTGCTGACTATTGTCTTGTACAGGATCTGGTATGGCATGGACCCGTTTGACTTCTTCTTCGCCTGCAAACGGAAATACGGCGATGTCTTCACGTTTATCCTCCTCGGAAGGAAAGTCACGGTCTGCTTGGGCACGAAGGGGAACGAGTTCATCTTGAACGGAAAGTTGAAGGATGTCAATGCAGAAGAGGTCTACACTGGGTTGACGACCCCAGTCTTTGGACAAGGCGTAGTGGTCAGTCGAAACATAGCAGTCGCCGATGAAGCAGATGAGCTGACGCAGTTTGACATAGTACGATTGCGAAAACTCCAAGTTGATGGAGCAGAAGAAGTTTGTCAAGTTTGGCCTGACCCTGGACGCCTTCAAGTCCTACGTCGATCTGATCTCGGCCGAAACGAAACAGTTTATCGAGACTTCTCCCGCGTTCAAGGGATCGTCCGGCACCATCGACATCATCCCCGCCATGGCTGAGTTGACGATTTATACCGCATCCCGGTCGCTTCAAGGAAAGGAGGTGCGGGAGAAGTTCGACTCGACGTTTGCCGACCTGTACCATGATTTGGATATGGGGTTTGCCCCGATCAACTTTATGCTTCCGTGGGCACCCCTCCCTCACAACCGCGCACGGGATCGAGCACAGAAGAAGATGGCCGAGACATATATGGCCATTATCAAGGCCCGACGGGCTGCAGGCGGGAAGCGGGTGGAGGGCGAAGAAGATATGATATGGAACTTGATGGGGTGTGCTTACAAGGACGGCACCCCGATCCCGGACCGAGAAGTAGCACACATGATGATCGCGTTGCTCATGGCCGGTCAACATTCTTCATCATCGACCTCGAGCTGGATCCTCTTGCGACTGGCCACGAGGCCCGACATTCAGGAGGAGTTACTCGAGGAACAAAAGAAAGTGCTGGGCGATGACCTGCGGCCGCTGACATACGATTCACTCCAGATGTTACCGCTGCACAGCAAAGTGGTCAAAGAGACTCTGCGGCTGCACTCTCCGATTCACAGCATCATGCGCAAGGTCAAATCGCCCTTGACCATTGTGGCCGACACCGCCACGGCGACCAAGACGTACCAGATCCCCACGACGCACACGCTCATGTCGGCGCCTGGTGTGACGTCTCGAGAGTCGGAATATTTCCCCGAACCAATGCTCTGGGAGCCGCATCGATGGGACGAAGGTCACAAGCTGGCCTACAGTCGGATGGGAACGGAGACGGAGGAATTCGAGGACTATGGGTTCGGCATGATCAGTAAGGGGGCTTCGTCACCATACCTCCCGTTTGGGGCCGGTCGACATCGATGCATTGGAGAGCAGTTTGCCTACGTCCAACTGGGAACGGTGCTGGCGACGGCGGTCCGGCTGGTCAAACTCCGCAACCTGCCAGGTAAACAGCTGGTGCCGACGGATTATTCGAGTTTGTTTTCCCGACCTATCGCCCCGGCGGTGGTGGAGTTTGAGAAGAGGACGGAGAAGGTCGAAAAATAAAGAGGCAAGCGGGCGCTGGTGCGGTTGGGAAGACGATAGATAGAATTGTATATAGACTCCCGTGCAGCAAATGATGCGTGGGGGTCCTAAGCACTGCAAGGCTCCGGTAAAGCGCGGTACTACTAATTGCCAATGGGCGGTGGTGGTGGTTGGGAACATGTGCGGGTTACGGAGTAGGAGTATTGGGCGAGTCGGGAGCAGTCATGATGCTGTGCAGAAGGTTTGATGCGCTCGATGATGCGGTGCGCGTCAAGGAAGCCGAAGCCTATTCATAGCTCTCAATACCTACCATTAATATGCGATGTTTTGCAGAATAAGTTCTCGTGGAGATGGAGATATAGAACATGGGTGTCCACTGTCGTCCAATCTTGACTCAGACTCAGTGGCTCCTCAGGAGTCCGCCTCGAGTCGGAGCCAAAAGTCACCGACTTCGCAAATAAAGAGCCAAGGCTGCTGCCTGATCTTTATTTAAGTGTTGACTGCGGGCTGAAATTTGTCCGATTCCGTCGACCCATTTAACTTAAATCTGCAAGTTCCCGTGGAGACGATCGTCACGTCACGACTATGAACGGTATGCGAATACGAAGGAGGAGAAGCAGGGACATTTATTTAATATTGCTGCCTGGCAGAAAGGAGGTGATGAGCACCCAGCACAAGACAAACCTGGAGGAGCAGAGGGAAAGACGAAGATGAAAGATGAACGATACCGATATCAGCATCAGGCGTGGGAGAGTGAGAGTGAAGACTCCATACTCCGTACCCCGTACTATCATTATCATCCTCCCACAGCAAAGTGTCCGTAGATCCAAACTTGCCCAAGGATTTCAATATTAGAAATATAGTCCCAAGTGACTGCCTTAGCTACTACTAGGTAAGGTACCTATCCGTGGCTTGGGAATTGATATGCGCCGAATTGGTCGTATCGCATCGTATCGCAGAGTGGCTTGTTCACCTCCATCCCTTGACTTGATCCAGGGTCGCCATCCCTGTGTCAGCATGTGAGCATCTTTTTTCTCTTCTTGTCATGTACTTTTTACTTTTTGCATATTCCTCCGTGCTGATCGACACTTTCCACTTCTCCTATCGCGCGGCGCGTTCTTCGTGCCCTTTCGCTCCTCTGGGCGTGGTCAACTGTTGTTTGTTCCATTCATTCTTCATTGTATCAGCCGCAGCCGCACCAGGCGCCCTCATAACAAACAACTTCAGTCCACCCGCCGTTCTGCCACCGTCATAGTCATCCTGATACCATAATATCCCCCAGCTGCAAGGCACACCCGCTCCGCTGGCCCTGGTTCTCGGCAGCCCTCCAGGCCCCCTGGGACAGCCACAGTCAGGCTTCCTCACCTTGCGCACCGACTCTTTCTAAAAGACGGCCAGCCCCCAACCACAGACTACACCAGTTTCCATGGCCATGGCCCTCTTCCACAAGAAGCCGACTTCCGCGGGCTCTGGAACTGCCAATGCCAAATCCGAGACCACCACAGTCGTGCCCAGCCAAAACGTGTCAAACACCAACCTCGAAAAGCATCCTCGATTAGAAGCGAATGCTGCAGACATAAACTCCCATCCGCAGACACAGGTGACGCAGACGAAGACGGGTCCCGACACTGCAACTCAAATATCGAGCAGAGATTCTTCTGAGGTGGAAATCCAAAGCACGGAGAAGCATGCGGATGGCGTCGCTCCTTCACCTGAAGACGACGAGGCTGTGTATCCAAGTGGCCTGAAATTGGCCCTCATCACCCTCGCCCTCTGTCTGTCCGTCTTCCTGGTCGCTCTCGACAACACCATCATTGCCACGGCCATTCCGAAAATCACTGATCACTTCAAGTCTCTCGGTGATGTAGGGTGGTATGCCTCGTCCTATCTGCTCACCACCTGCGCGTTGCAATTGTTTTTTGGAAAGTGAGTGTCTCTCCTACCTGGGCTTCGATTGGCTGCTGATTGCATCGCCAGATTGTACACATTTTTCCCCATCAAGCAGGTGTACTTGGTTTCCATCGTCATTTTTGAAGTGGGCTCTGCCGTCTGTGGTGCCGCGCCCTCTTCCAATGCCCTCATCGTCGGCCGTGCCATTGCGGGTGTCGGGTCTGCCGGCATTTTCTCCGGTGCCTTGATCATCATCGCGTACACCGTACCTCTGGTGAAGCGACCAATCTACACAGGTATGTTGAGACAGTCACTGCTTTGTTTGTTTGTTAGAGGGAGAATGTAGCACTAGGCAGTACTTTGTTCAGTATCTGAGCGCGCTCCAACTGCTATATGCTTTTCGCCCCTCTAACAGCCTTCCATAGATCATCAGCTGACTATCTGTTTTTATCTGCGTCGAAGGTATCATCGGGGCAATGTATGGCATCGCCTCAATCGCTGGGCCCTTGCTTGGTGGCGCCTTCACCGATGGGCCTGGCTGGCGTTGGTGCTGTAAGTCATGGCCGATCTGGTTGTCGTTGTCCCCTGCTCAAGCTAATACCTCCCAGTCTACATCAATCTTCCTCTCGGTGCCGTCACCTTGGTCGTCATTGTCTTCTACTTCCACTCGCCCCCGAGAAAGGCCGAGAAAAAAGTTTCCTTGAAGGAGAGGGCCTACCAACTCGACCTGGGCGGGACGGCGCTTTTTATCGTCGACATTGTCGTCTGTCTTCTGGCTCTTCAATGGGGCGGATCTACCTATCCCTGGTCCAACTGGCGCATTATCCTTTGCCTCACGCTCTTTGGCATTCTGACCGTCATCTTTATCATTGTCCAATACTTCATGAAAGACTTCGCCACCATCCCTTTCCGCATCATTTCTCAGCGCAGTATCGCCGCCGCATGCTGGTTCGCTTTTGCGTTGGGCTCCGCCTTCTTCGTTCTCGTCTACTGGATTCCCATCTGGTTCCAGGCCATCAAGGGCGCCTCGGCATTCAAGTCTGGAATCATGTGTCTGCCCATGGTTCTCTCGCTGGTCATTGCAAACATCTTCAGTGGAGTGGGTACCACCGCCATTGGATACTACACGCCGTTCTACTATGGAAGCGTCGTCTTAATGTCCGTCGGAGCGGGTCTTCTGACGACCTTCCAAACAACCACCGAGCACGAAAAGTGGATTGGATATCAAGTCATTTACGGATTTGGTGTTGGTCTTGGAATGCAGCAGCCCTTGATCACCGTGCAGGCCATGCTTCCACTCAAGGATGTCCCGACAGCTACCGCGCTGGTCATGTTCATGCAGACATTTGGAGGCGCACTGTTCGTGTCGGTGGCTCAGAACATCTTCAACAACCGCCTCATGGACGAGCTCCCCAAGTACGCTCCGGGTCTGGATCCCGGCATCATTCTTCACGTGGGCGCCACGTCCCTCAAGAAACAAGTCCCCGCGCAGTTTCTAGCGGGTGTCCAGAAAGCCTACAACATTGCCCTCACAAACACATGGTACATCAGTGTGGCCATGGCTTGCTTCACTGTCCTTAGCGCCATCTTTGTCCAGTGGAAGTCTGTCAAGGGCATGAAGCCCGGTGTCGTCGCTGCCTAGCAGCCACATCTGGGTTTGTCGACTGGTCATTTATCGCATTTGTTGAATACTCCCGATGTCATGTCTATCTGGCGGTCTGTCGAGAATTTTTGTTTCCGGTTACATTGATGATCAAGACAGAAATTTGCTAACGGCCAGCGGTGGTGTCTGGTATTGTTTCTTCTTTGAAAAGCCTCCCGGGGGTTGGTATGATGGTGCAATTTCACGTCTTCCACTGTTCTATTATACACATTTGGAGTATACAGGCCTAGGGAGGAGGATTGAAACAGTGGCGAACGACCTCGTGCCTAATGGTTTCATGAACAAAGGAGCGATAGACGGTAGCTGAATCGCATCTCACCACACTCTGTACTAAGAACACCTTCCATTTGAGCAAGTTTTCAGTGGATTAGAGGAAGAATTGACAATATTAAAAGCTCCGTCCTATCCTTCATATACCATTGTATCGTGCGAATCCAGGGGCTCTGGGGGGCCATGCCACCTTTGCGTCAATCATGACAATAGCCGTCTCCGCTCGTTCAACTGGACCTATACAGCCATCGTCTGTTTACTCCGTACCGCAGGCCTCAGATCAGAGCAGCATGTGCTGTTGGTCGCCCGCCCCTTTTCCAAGAAAGGAAAGCCTGGCGATCCGCGGCTGCGCACGTGACAGGGCCAAAGTGCCCCTACACGTCTGGAGGTCCCCTATCACCGTGGGCGCAGCTGGCGCCGATTGAGTACCCAGGGAAGGTGCTTAGGTGCTTAGAACTAAGGAAAGCTTAGGGGCTCCTTGGGCGTCTCAGCTTAGTCAGCATCTGCTATCTGCCATCCGCGCGTATCCATCGTCCATCCCACGCGTCTGGCTCCATGTGGCTTGTCGAGCCTGTGCCCCTCAAGCAAGCCACTGACACCTGCCACCTGCCACCTTCCGGCCGCCAAAGTTGCGGTGAACTGTCCTTTTCTCAACGCCGTGTGTCTCTCCAGGTAGCTCTCTCTTTCTAGATCTCCTGTACGGATCCGAACCCAGTCGACAACTTGTACATTGTTGACTGCTCTGCCAGCTACCAAACGGGTCTCGTTCGACCCTCTCAACAATTGGCATCGTTATTGTAACGCCCTCCCGCCTCGCTCCGCAGTCGGTCCTCTCAAAACCATGGCCGAACTCTACCCCGATCTCAAGGACCGCCCTATCAAGGAGACCATCGTCCTCTTCGATGTCGACGGCACACTCACCCCGGCCAGACGGGCTGTCTCGGCTGAGATGTTGCAGCTGTTGTCGCGCCTGAGACAGAAAGTTGCAATTGGCTATGTCGGCGGTTCCGATCTCGTCAAGCAACAGGAACAACTTGGCACGCCCTCTCTACCCGTCCAAACCCTGTTCGATTTCTGCTTCCCCGAGAACGGTCTCACCGCCTTCCGCCTGGGTGAAGCGCTACCCCGGAACTCGTTCATCCAATGGTTAGGAGAAGAGAAATACCAGAAACTGGTGCGGTTCTGTCTGAAATACATTGCCAACATCGAGGGCATCCCCAAGCTGCGCGGGACCTTCATCGAGTTCAGAAACGGCATGATCAACGTCAGCCCTGTTGGCCGTAACGCAAGCCAGGCCGAGCGAGACGAGTTTGAGGCTTGGGACAAGGTGTCGGAGAGCAGAAAGAAACTGATCGACGCCATCGAGGCCGAATTCCCCGATTTGGGGCTCACGTAAGTCTTGTTACCCCAAGCCAACCCCAGAGGCCCAATGTGGACTGACTGACCCGTGTCCACAGCTACTCCATCGGAGGCCAAATTTCCTTTGACGTCTTCCCGAAGGGATGGGACAAGAGGTACTGCTTGCAGCACGTTGAAGCAGAAGCAGACCCGACCAAACACCTCTCAGGAATCCAATACAAGAACATCCACTTTTTCGGCGACAAGGCTTTCCCCGGTGGTAATGACTGGGAGATCTACAGTGATCCTCGCACCATCGGTCACGCCGTCACCTCGCCTGAAGACACCATGAAGCAGGTGAAGGAGCTCTTTGACCTTTGATCGGCACAACCCCCGCCACAACTATTGTCCAAAGTGCGTTCGCCTCGGGACCATGGTGAGGAGCCATGTCTCTCTTCTCTTTCGATATGGATCGTATAGGGGGTAAAATGGGTATCGCGTAGGGCTAAGGCTTCGTTTGACCTCGGCCACCGGGGAACGGGAAACGGGATGGCGTATTCGGCGATGCAAAGCCAGCCACAGAGCCATAGACGACAATGGAAAGTGATGCAGACATGCACTCTTGATGATTCATGATTTTACATTTAGACGCAGTTGACAGGCTGTCCACTTGTTCAAGACCCCCAATAGCTGAACCTCGCTCATCTGCCAAGCTGATACGGAGTCGACAGCGACACATCAGAGACCGAGCCTGGCCGAAACGGTCATGGTCTGGACACTGGCAGGGAATCTCACGACACATTGACCAGGGCACCTAAGTATTGGTATTTGACCTCTCGCTGGCATTATGTAGGTACGCACCAAGTACTCCCGGAGGAACAGTAGCATTAACGCAGTGAAGACGACCTGTCCCCATCAGTGTTTTGCCACTACTGTTGATAAGCCGCATGGCTTCTCGCTGCGTGCCCTAGTTGGCATTTCTCCTTGAACCGTGGCATCGTCCCTGTATCATCAACGATAGGCACATGGGTATTCATGCCCGCCAATCCTTTCCCGGGCCTTCTGCCAACATCATACAAGATCATACCACATTTTCAAGTCTACCCGTCCCTTCCACCATGAAACAATCCAATGCGTACCCCCAGCGCCATCGCTGTGGTCAAAATGTAAAATCAAGCCTACCCAATTGAAACAAAGCCTGTCCCGTCAACGCTCATACTGTGGAAGCGCCGGTAACGTGTCATCATGACTCAAGGTCCGTACAATATATTCATCCTGCTCGTGGATTGTTGGTGCACTCGGTTCCAAACCGGGAGCTGGGGTCCTGCTCAAGGCTTGTGCCCCATCTTCCGGAGGTGGTGCACTCGCCTCTGCTAGGAGCCGTTGTCGCTCTAGTTCTTGTTTGTCATCGCCGGCCATACCATGGCTGGTAGATGGTGGCGCGCTCGGAGGAGGGATTGGATCAGGCCGAATGGTGTCGCCAGACCTTGCCGACGCGACCGAGCCGGTGGCATGCAGCGAAGGGGGTGTCACATTGCCAACACGGTGGCCGTCATCCCTCCCGTACAGGAGACTGGGTGTGATCACAGGCGCAGAGGGCTGGTATGGAGTCGCGTTGCTGATGGAGGTCTCCCCATCTTGTGGAGGCCGGCTAGGAAAAAGCAATTGTTCTTGCATCCGCAGCCGGGTCTTCTCATCCACATCTTCATGGGTTTCCGGGGGCGGGATGATGGCGTGGCCTTGCACGGGCAAGTCCCGATAGTGATTTGGATCGGTCGTCGTAAGATCGTCACCATGATCGTAATCATGGCCGTAATCCTGGTAATATGGACCACCCATTTGATCGTAATACTGTCCATCATATCCACCATTCTGGAAGTCCTGATCGTGCCAATTGTCTTCTGTCCATTGCGCGATGGGTTCCGGGATGGGAAGCTCAGGCTGCTTGTTTTGTCTCCCTTTTCTCCCACTGTCTTGAGTCCCAACCACAAGCGGCATTTCAAAAGTCACCACACTTCTCATCCGGCGTAGCTGAGTTGTATCTAATATAGTCTGAGACCAATCATTTGTCAGGTGATTGCCACTTTGAGCATTGTGTGAAAAGATGGGATCGCTGGATGTCAAACGAGGCCAGATGCGAGTCTCGCCCAATTTCCCAAAAAGGTCGACCACAACCTCGATGTGATAGGTAAATGAAATCATGCCGCCCGGGACGTTAGCAATTGTGGGAAAGACAGTATCAGGTACTTTGAGAGATGTAGTGATATCCGCAGTCATTGTGGCTGGATTGACAATCATCATGGTGGAAGACTGAGCCAGATCCTTCCGGAACACGCTACTCGGGGATGCATTTGCAAAGTATAGCCCTCCCAGACCTGTTCGTGACTTGGGATACACATCTTCGTACTCGGCTTTTTGGTCCTTCCCCGAATTTCCCAGGGGAATGGTAGGATGCATATCCACCCTGCCTTGACGGTACAGAGTCGCAATAATCATGCCCCTCACATTGGATTTGGTATGGGTGACAAAGACGCGGATTGGCACTGTATCTCCCGGAAGAGCCCCGTGCCGTGGGAGCTCTGTGGTGGCAGTGATTGTTTGGGCGGATGAAGAAGTAGTATTACTCCGCGCGTCGCAGGTTTGACTGCTGAGTCTCTTTGTCGAAAATTCAGCGCCCATCGCCTGGGAGCTATGACTGCTGGGGGTGGTGATGTTCGTCTGCACCGTATCTTCGCTCGGTGCCGGGCTTAGCGGAGGGTTACCAATAGAATTGGAACTCCGACTGGTGGTGCTTTTCTGCGTATTGTTGCGCGCCAAAGGTTCACGGCCGCCGTTGGCCGTGGTCTGAGTGGCGAGAGACGAGGTCGGCTTAACGACCTTTACCTTACCCCGCCGAGAGACTGGCTCCAAGGTAATGACTCGAGATTTCGGAGTGTACATCGACTCGATATCAATGCGATCCTGAAATTTGACTTTGGTACTGCGGCTCATCGTCGGGCTGATGGTAGTTGGGCGGGTGAGCGTGGCGGTAAGCATATAAGAGACCGTGCCTCGCTCGAACTGCAACCGATATCAGTGCTGGGACCAAACCAAAAAGACAGTTCAACCCACATTGATTGTGCTTGGTAGGCTTTTGTTTGGAAAAGGGACCTCAAATGCGAACTTGTACACATGCTTCTTGAGAAAACCGCTCCCACAGAGAACCTGCTCGTGTTGGAACAGGGATGCCAACCCGTTACCGTGATATTGAAACCCCCTGGAGTTTTTCCCATTTATGAGGCCTTCCGGGGCTGGAAGTCCTTCGCCCGGTGCAACCTGGTGTTTGTAGACTTTTGCATATCCATGAAGAGCGACCACCAGGTGTGTGATGTCGAATCCCTTTGAAACCGAGAGTATAACATGACCCTTCACAGTCTGTCCGGGCGAATAGACGCGAAACGGATCTTCAGGTTCGATGACGAGGTCGAACATGTTCCGTGCATGTCTTCCTAACGAGCTGGAGAAGTAGCCGAGGATCGAACGCGGACGGGTCACGGCTGGATTGGGGTTGGTGAGCAGTGACTCGAGAGGCATCGCCGTTAAGACTCGAGCCATTCAATGCTATAGGGGTGGTATGGTCCAGAGCATTATTGACTTCGCTCCCCGGAAGGGCTGGAGGATTGACGGGGGGCGGTTGTAGGCAGGCAACGTGGCTTAGAGGTGAGGTTGACTGCGGCTGGAGATCAGTCAGCTTGGCCCTCAGACATCAAAGTTAGGCCTGCAAGGCCTCCTGAGGGCACACATTAAAACGCATAAGCACTGATGTGTGGCACGCGACAAAGGGGAACATCTAAGCGCATACCTCGCAGCAAGTCGCTGGGGCTAAAGCCTTGACTGATCAGTCTTGCCGTGTCAGACCGAACACTGGGGGAGGTCGGGTGCGAGGGAGCGCCCACGCGAACAACGGGTCACGCTTGGGGGTTCAGTCGGCGGCGGGGAGGGGTTCGTCGGCGGGGGGGGAATGCAAGGAGTCCTTGACTATACTGGTAAGGTATACAGGAACGAGAAGGTCGACAGTTGTCACAGTGGTTCAGTATGATCTAAGATACACAAGGCCAAGCTTTGCTGTAGCTGGTTCGGTGATGGAAGAATGGAGATGGGAGCGATGCAGCGAAGGCTTGTCTCCCCGTTCAAGCTTCGATGCTTGGCAACTGGGGGCCAAGGGGCCGTGAAAGAGCGCCCAGTACGGAGTAGGTGGCCCAGGGTCTTTTGGGCAAAGGAATAACGCATGTTGCATGTTGCATGTTGCACTATTGAGGGCAACAGCAATCCACTAATCTACTGATCTACTGATCCCTACTCCGTACTCCGTACTCCGGTCATTAGTGCCACCGCCTATGGCTGTCCGGATACATAAACGCGCCTGTAGCAACACCTCGCCTTGCTTACCCGGTACCCGATCGCCATCTGCGGACCGTGCAGACACGCGAACGCTGGCGCCAACACCGACACCGACACCTTTTGTCACTGGCACCCGAATCATATCCGGCTCCGGCTTCCGCCATCGCCTACCTCCGCAGGCACAATACACAATAGCAGAGTATCCTTCCCTGTTGTGCCACTCATGATTTATCCAATGACGAAGTGCAGAGAATGCTTTCTCCCATCAAGTTTTGCCATGGGCCGTTGCTTGAAAACTTGAACCTTCGTTCAAAGCCGCACCGAACGCGGAAAGAGAGGCTGATATGGTCAATTCTATGGTCGCCATCCCAGGTCAGGTCTGGTCAGGTCATGATTCAGCGTGTGTCCCGGCTCTGCGGTGAGAGCAGAGGGCAGCGTCGCGCCTCAAAATGTGTCCGATATCAGTGTCTACGTCGTTTGGCCGGTGATTCGTCGTTTTCTTGGACACTTTCTTCGTCCGAGGTGTCCTTGGGTCTTATCACTGGCGTCACCTTGCCCTGCACTTGATGCTTGGTCATCTTGCTTTCTTCCAGTGCTGCATCCAGCCCTTCTGGCTCGACAAAGACCATATCTCCGCTCTCTCCCAATGCCTCTCTCACGGCTTCTTCCAGCAGAATTCCCACGGCGATGAGGGCTGTCTCATCGAGGGAACGAAAATCATATGTTCCCCCGTCCGGGGTGGTAGTACTGTAGAAGTCGGATACATAGGTGTGCACCGCTTTGAGCAACTCGGACTCTGGGAGTTTGACAGCACTGGGGAGGTCTGCTGCCGCGTCGTATGACTCGAGAATGAATTTAGCCGGAATGCTCGTTTTTCGTAACAGGACGTCCTCTGGCGCTAGTGGGAGTATGTTCTGGGACTGTGTTTGTTGCCGCGTCAGAAATCCATTCTGCCCGGCCCTTCCTGCAACCACATCATACACTGACAGTGGCCGCTGCAATTTGGTGGGCAAAGACTCTTGCACTGTGGAGGCCTCCGCGAGGCGATGAAAAGTCTCGCTGTTGGTATGTTTGCTGTTGTCGCCCATTGTATCTAGCTAACAGAAACACACAGGAACGACCACCAGACCGGATCTAAGTGGCTTTACAGAGGCACCGGCTGGAATAACGGCCAACGCTTGTCATCGTGACGGTGTTGACATTAGAGGTTTGACCCGTGCGGCGACAGAGAGTAGGTACCGTATGTACGGAGTAGTCGGTGTCTTCACTAATAGCCGTGCATCATGATGTACGGAGTACGAAGTACATAACTTGAAGTTCAAGTAGCCAGCCCGCGCCAAGCCCGACGTAATTGTACATGGACGTGGCACAGCCTTAGGCGCCTTCCTCTGTACAGCCTTGGTGCAGAGCCTGATTGACAAGACCGCGCGCCTGGCCACCACTGCACCTCAAGCCCCTAAGCCCAGCTCATCAGCTAGACAAGTTCTCGCACCCATTCCCCATTCCCTCCGAGCTGGCAAGCAAATATTTCAACTCGTCCGGAGGTCAATTTCCCGGCTAGCACCGATCAGGCTGTTCCGATCGGGTTGCCCAATCTGGAAGGCTATGTACCCGTGGGGAGTCCCCAGGCTTCACGGTGTCGAACAATACGGGGAATGCTGCTCTGTCAGACGGAAGTTTTCCCGCTCTGGCGCCTCAAGTTCTCTGGCTTGTATGGCGGTACGCAGTAAGATTGGCAGCAATTACAGAGACTGACACGAGGCGTTGCACAATGGGGAGTTTGCATCGGCTGATGGGCGGCATGCTCTCTAGCCCGGCCATCCTATAAATCAGAGGGTCCCCTTTCATGGCCCGGCTCAGCACTTTCTTTCCTTTCCACGAGCAGCGGCAACTGCAGGAACACTGATCCCAATCAGCGTCCGACTTGGCTCAACCCCCCACCGACCTCCCCCCCCAATAAAGGACTCAGTTTCGAACATGTCTGTCGGGAACACCAGACGACTCCCAGAGTTCGACTTGACGGGAAGAGTTGTGCTCGTGTCTGGAGCTGCTCGAGGCCTTGGACTCGCCCTTGCTGAGGCATGCCTGGAAGCCGGTGCGACGGTCTATGCTCTTGATCGGCTGCCACCTTCCGAACAAAGTCCAGACTTCTCTCGAATACAGGCACGTGCAAAAGACGAACTGGGGACACAACTTCATTACCGCCAAATCGACGTGCGTGACGTGCCCGGACTGAACATGATTGTGGGCGAAATCGCGGACACGGAGGGCCGGATGGATGGTCTTATCGCCGCGGCGGGAATCCAGCAGGAAACCCCGGCCTTGGAATACACCCCTGAAGACGCGAACCGCATGTTCGAAGTCAACATTACGGGTGTGTTCATGACATCCCAGGCTGTTGCCAAGCAGATGATCCGGTTCAAAAATGGAGGAAGTCTCGTCTTGATCGCGTCCATGTCGGGAACAGTCGCCAACAGAGGCTTGATATGCCCAGCATACAACGCGTCCAAGGCCGGTGTAATCCAGCTGGCTCGAAATCTGGCTTCCGAATGGGGACAACACTCCATCAGAGTGAACACGATCAGTCCTGGCTATATTGTCACCGCCATGGTGGAGGAACTATTCAAAAGTTTCCCCGAAAGGAGGACGGACTGGGCCACGCAGAACATGTTGGGACGACTGTCCGCTCCGAACGAGTACAGAGGGGCTGCTGTTTTTCTGGTCAGCAACGCAAGCAGCTTTATGACAGGATCAGATTTGAGAATAGACGGAGGCCACAGTGCCTGGTAGCGATATCAAAGGATGTTGGAATATCTGCAAGAAGGCCACCACTTCGAACTTGTTGTTGCTGCTTTGGAGTCGAATACGCTGGATGACAGCCGACAGACACTTTGTCCCACAGGCAAGTAGCTCAGACTACGTCGTCACCATAACATTGTACTGCCTGAGATGATTGTTCAGGACCCGCGATGTTATGGGTGGACATCGGTAAAGGTGTAGAACCCAGCTACCAGCATATGAATGTGGCATCGATCTTGTATGCAGGCGATTGCTTCATGGACGAGAAGACGCCTTTACTGGGACCCATAGGCCGATCGAACCGGTGTTGACGATGTCCCGCTTTCCTGAGACCGCTGTCGAGGTGAGACCGCACGCGGTCGGGAGTTGAAATAATGTGACAGTCGCCGGCTTCGAGTTCTCTGAGCCACTGTTCCAAATGAGGCTTCCAGCCCACATTCTCACTTCCGCATACACAGAGCCGTTGCAGAAGATACCACTGTTCAGTGACAATACAGCCGCGGTATTCGCACTACCACCACAAGCTGGTGATGTCTCAAAGCAGGTCCTAACGGTCTCCGTGTATTCACAGTCCGTACAAATGCAGGCGCGAAGCTGCGACTTGTCGACATTGGGTTTGCCGCAGTTGCTGGCACCAATCAGTAGAGCATCGCTGAAGCATTGCTGCGCGCAAGCTGGCAGCAAACCCCAGCCCGTGTACTGCGCGGTGACGATCCGAAGGCTGGCGACCAGCAGGTATCCCGCAACTATGAAGGGTTCGGAAAGGTACATTTCGGTGGATGGCAGTGCTGGTCAGTACAAATCCTGATGTGAGTTCCAGTTTGCGACTTCCTGATATTCGTGCAGGCTGAGAATGGGGCCCCTGACCCTGAATATCTCTTTCTCTTCAAGGTCATTCATATACCTACCTCAGCAAACGAACTGTGTCACTCTGGCAGGTCACACCTGGCTCGGCTGGACGACAAATAGCCAACAAGACAACAAACCCAACGACAATGCAGGCCCGTGATGGCTGCGACACTGCCATTGTGAACGGCCCATAGTAGGTGCTAAGATTCTAAGCATTGTCATCTCATGGACAAGTCACAAGAGTGGCGGTCGGGTGCCAGCGGTTGAGTGATTTTGGAAGTCTAGGCTTCAAGTTGGTCTGCCTACCAACGAATTCACATACCATTGAGAATACCACTCCATCTCCTCTTCTTGCCCTCAAGGCTCGCGGCTAAGCGGCTATTGTATAATTTGATTCCAGACTTGTTCGATTTTACGATTTCTGTAATTAAAGGCAGCCTTGAGTTCATGACTGGCGTCTTGCTGAAAAATCTTCACCTTGAGCAAACGCTCAGGTTCTGAGGGCAAGGAAGTGAGGTCGGATTGAGCTGCCGTTTCAAGTGCAAATGCCCGTGATGCGACAGTAAGCAATTCTTCTCTGTCCCAAAGTCCCTCCCTCCTTGGACTATTTCCTATCAGGCGTAATGCCTCTTTGCGCAAGGAGAAGTGCCGACATTTCAGAGCTGTGAAATACAGCGGCGGCAACACTCCCATCTCAAACGTGAAGACGTCATGGATTGGTTGCCTAGTAGCAAGAGCCTGACTAGCTTTTTCGACGATGACCTGAAAATAGTCTCGGCTTTCATCGAACGACATTTCAAAGCCCTCGAGCGGGTTTCTTAACCAGATCACTGCGGTGGCATGCCACATGCTCAGCGTCGCGATCACAGCATGGTCCGGATCGTCGAGGCTCCCACACATTTGACGAAAGTCGCTGTGCCATTTATCCAGCTGGGAGATCAGCTTTTCCTGTCGCTGCAAATAGTGTTTGTGCGTCGAAAACGACGTACAGGTCGTAGAGTTCAAGCCCTTGACAAATTCGTGCGCGACGACCAAGTGCTGGAAAAGGATATCTCGGGCGCTTTTGAGGCTGTTGAAAGCGGATAGTGTTGGAATCGGACTAGACGGAAATGGCAGCTTGGAATAGTTGATTGGGAAGTTGTGGCCGAACAGCTTTGCCATCATCATAAGTCTGTTGTACATAGGACGTAGAGTCTCGTTAACGGTTGCCCAGCCAGATGTAGCAGAGTGGCGATGAGTTCCCCTTTCGTAAGACTGCATCAGAATGTGTCCATGTAGGAAAAGGGACATGGCCTGCAGCTTTTTGCCCTGCAGGAATTCCAAGCAAAGAAAGAGGGGACAACTGAGTATCGCCACAAGTTCCGGGTCGACAGGTTCTGTACGTTGATTTGCCTTACAAAGGGCATTTTGGTAGTATATCAAAGCGGCATTGCAAGATTGCTGGGGCCTTGTCGCTCTGAAATGTCTGTTGCGTTGGTCAATATATGCTGCAATGGCAATTGCTGAATAACGGATCAATGACTCCGAGTGAGAAGCCTGTAGAAGCGTCGTGATCCAAAAGTCTTCGTCAAGGATACCGCCTAGCTGAAAGACGACTCTGTTGCGGAAATATTCAAACAGCCGACGCTCATCGTCACTTCCGGGAAAGATGCTAAGTTGGCGCTCGAGGCTGGCGGCTGAGTGGCTAGGCTTGTGGGCTGGAGTCGCAGAACGTTTTCGCGAGAGATTACTGGCTCTAAAGACATCTTGATACCCAGCACAATGAAGCTTCAGTCGTGCGCATCTGGGAAAGGTTGTGTCAGCGGGCATGCCGGGTTGGTGGATGTGTCGTACCTCTTGCACTCTGGTCTTCTCTCATCACACTTGACCCGATGCTTTCTGCGTAGGCATGAGCAACTCCCGCTACTTGATAAAAATGTCTCCGATTGTTTGACTTGCCGACAAGTGAAGCAGCCGGTCTTCTTTTTCTTCGACCCCAGTCGACCATTGACCCTTTGTGGCTGTGTCTCTGTGGGGTTCGTAACCATCTCGTGTCGCTTGTACTCAGCTAATGATCCCCTGCGCATAACCAGCTGCGGGAGGCGCACAGATCTCCGCAAGAGGCGATTCTTGATCGAGATATGAGAGCGAGGATACAATAAGAGGATGGGAAGTGATGAAAAACCGGCGATCGAAGGTGGTGACTTATAGGCGGCCTAAAGAAAAGCAGCCCTCCATCGACTCCATCGGATTTCCATCGAAAAGGCGCAGTCTCATTGGGCCGTCGCTCTTGTTTCCTCCTCGGGAAGCTGCAGCAGCGATCAATCTCTCAGACTGGAGCTTCGATGTATACCTACCATGCGAAGCTTGAAATAGCAATCACCGAGTTTATGTATCGAAGGCGATGCTCAATGCTGATCAAAGGGCGCAGCCGGTGCATCCAGCCACAGCTTATAAAAAGCCCATGGAAGGCGCGACGCAGGCATCAGTCTCCATCAATTCTACAGCTTACCTCGACCTACAACTACCCGAGTCTCAAATCGTGCTCGTGCATTTCAGCTGTAGTTCAACATGCTTCTTCAAATCTCATTCATCCTCTTGTTATCCCTTGTGCCCACCTCGCGTTCGCAATCCTTCCAACCATGTCCCATCCTTGGTCCACGGTTTCCCCTTCCTACCGGTCTGGCGAGTGACAGTATTGTTCAATCTGCGCTGAAAAATGCCACTGCCACACTTGATGAACTTGTTTCCACCTCCAACAGCACCTATGGGACCATTTCTTCAAACACGACATCTTTCTCCATCGGCCTGTTCACTTCAAATGACCCTCTCAACTTTTCACATCCATTCTTTTATGAGTACAATTATGCGGCACCCGCTTTGTCCAAAACAAAACTGGGAACGTCGAAACTTAACTCAGAGACCCTTTTCCGTATCGGCACGGTCACGGAAGTTTTCACGGTCTGGGTGTTTCTCATCGAGGCCGGGGAAGCATATTGGATCGACCCGATCACGAAATACATACCAGAATTGGTGGAGGGGAATGGTCAGATCGCATTTGGACACTTTTCCTGGGAGGATGTCACACTTGGTGACCTTGCGCGACACCTTTCAGGAGTACCTCGAGATTGTAAGTTTGAACGATTAAATCAGGTTTCTATCTAACAGCAGACACAGACGGCATCGCCGATCTGAGCACGCGGAACTTTTCTCTTCCCAATGCGTTGGTGATTGCGAATCGCTCTGGCTGTCTACAGCCAACTTGTACGAGAGCAGGCGAGTAATCTACTATAGCAGACTATACTTACGACGATAATTAATGACAATGTACAGATTTCTTCAGGGACCTGAGCGGACGATACCCCATTTATCTCCCGGGCACAACTCCGATAATGTCGAATACGGCTTTTCAACTGCTCGCTTATGCCCTGGAGGGCATCAAACAGCAACCATACGATGCCATGTTCAACAAAACAGCCACGTCAATAGGATTATCACGCAGTAGCTTGCGTTATCCACTAAGCACCAGAAATGCTATCATTCCGGGGGCAAATGAGAGCGTGAGCGGCTGGTCTACTGACTTTGGCGGCGAAGACCCGTGAGTACAAATGAAGCGGAGTGTTACACCTACTGACTGCATTTCAAAAGGGCCATCGCAATGTATTCTACAATCACCGATATCTCAAGAGCAGGAATAGCGATGCTTAATTCCACATTGATCTCATCTGCTATGACACGTAGATGGCTCAAACCAACCGCACACACGTCAAATCTGGTGAATGACGCCGGTCGCCCCTGGATTATCTACAAATCCACCAAGGATCAGAGTCCCATCAATCCTGTCATTGATATCTATACTAGCTATGGCTCGGTGGGCCTTTACAGCTCATATTTCGGGCTTGTGCCTGATTATAATGTCGGCTTCGTCATCCTCGCAGCAGATGAAGCGTCCGCACCAGATCTTAATGTCCATGTCGATATTGTCGCCGACATGCTCCTACCGGGCCTTGAGAAAGCAGCGATCAGTCAGGCAGGGTCTATTTACTCGGGAGAGTACAGATCAAACCAAACAGCTGCATCTCTGATCATTGAAAAGCCGGATGGCATGCCTGGCCTGTCCTTATCCAACTTCACGATGGGATCCAAAGACATTCGCAAAGAACTTGCAACAGTCGCCGGAATTTCTCCATCAGCGTTGAGTATCAGGCTTTACCCAACGGATTTGATCGAGAGAACCACATCTGGAGGAACCAAGATTGCCTTCCGAGCTGTTTTCCAGGACGAAAGCGCCGCCATTGACGCCGGAACTCCAACGTGCATCACCTGGTTGAGCGTCGGTGCACTGAGTTACTACGGAAAACCCCTGGATTTATTCATTTTCAATCTGAGTGAGGGACAGACGAGCCTTGAGATCCCAGCATTCAACCTGGACATGATCAAAGAGCGGTAGATGGAGAGCAGCCCCGTCAGCCTAACTGTCAGCCTCACGGCGACCCTAGTAGTACGCCGCTTCCTGCATCATAGTGAGCGGCATATAATCCAGTTACTAAATTACTAGTCAAAATCATCCTGGGTAATGTTTTCAACATATTTCTTAGGCGACTTAGCTTCTTCTCGAACAATATAACGGATATATCTTCCTCTAAGGTCGATTATAAGAGATCTTCTACTGATAAGTAGTTCGGTAACGGTACTTGTAGCAAGAAGTCATGGATATCAAGGTTATTAACTGAAGGTATATCGTGGTTGTAATCGACCACCAACCTCAAGAATATGGCGCACAGCCTCTTCCACTCCCTCGTCTTCCCGCAACGTGCCACGCTGAGCATCCGTAGAGAATTTGTGGGATAATCGTTGCCCGATACACTTGCCGGAGGTTGATCAGTCTAGAGTCCATTTGTATAGCCAGATATCAGCACGACGGTGAGGCCTCAATGGTGGCATATGGCAAGCGGAGGGGTCTGGTGGTGTCGATCCAGAGGTCTCTGGTGAAGCGGACCAACTCGTATATAAAGTAGAACGCGGTAAAGTACTGCGTACGTCGAGATCACGCTCGGGGAATTAGTGAGTCGTGCGACGCCGCTTTTCAAGGTTGCGTGGTACACTTTAGAACGAGTATATTGAGTTGTTGTCAGATAGGGGCTAATAAGGGGCGTGCAAGACCGCTGTCGCCCGGCCAGGTGAGTACAGGGCGGCGTCACCCTCGTCCCGATCGGGTGAGCCTACTATGTGACACTACAGGACCACCTCTCCCTCTAACTTCTAATTCTTACCCGCCCCAAATTCCTCCTATACAATGATGAAGGCCAAACTATGAGTTTGCAGCAGCAGCAACAGCAACAGCAACAGCAACAGCAACAGCAACAGCACCAGCAACAGCGGCCCAGTATAGGGCGCCTTGGTAGCAGAAAGTCGACGAGCGGATGTGTAACCTGCAAAATCCGGAAAGTGAAATGTGACGAGCAACGACCATCTTGCCAGAGGTGTCTGAGCACTGGCAGGCGGTGTGATGGCTATCGCCAGGGGAATTCTGATCTCTCTGTTGGGTCGAACGCGCCGACCAGATTCACACACATCTCAACATTCGGAGGCGCTGAGCGGCGAGAAGTCCAGTACTTCGAATTCTTCATTCATCAAATTGTGCCTGGATTTACTACACGCATCGTTGACAACTCGTTCTGGCACAAGACAGTACCTCAGCTTAGTCGTGAGGAGCGGCCTCTCTGGAATGCAGTCGTTGCTTTTGCCTGTCTCATACAACATCCTCAGTTCTCTTCAGCTCCGATTCCTCCTGGAAGCGAGAGGCCCGCCGTGACAAATGAGCATCACAGAAACGCTCTGATGTGGTACAACAGATCGATCAATGGTCTACGAGATCACATCGGGATGAAGAAGAGTTTGTCGCCATTGGCACTAGTCGCCTGTATCCTATATATCTGCATTGAGTGCTTACAAGACAACACCACGCAGGCGATTGTGCTGTATCAGAGAGCTGTGGCCATGTTAGGCCTGACGAACCCTGGAGAAGCGACGCAGTCAGCCATCGGCCCATTAGGGAACACACTCCGCACTTTGTTACGACACGAATCGGTGTTGCACGGTCTACCAGTATCTCGACCCAAGCCGATCTTGGACTCCACTGCTGGTCGCTTCGAAACTGTGACGGACGCTAGAGAAGAGCTATATGCATTACTGGCCGAAACCCAGGCGTTTATTCAACATGTTCAGGCTATCAAAGACGCCCAGGGCAAAGACTGGTTGGCTTCCCCGGAACTGGTTGCGCAACAATCACATCTTCAAGACAATCTGCTGAATTGGTATTCAGCCCTATCCAAAACGCCTCGCAGGTTTGGCTCCGTTGCTGAATGCGATGAGGAAGAATTGAGTTCCATTCTTCTCACAGCCTATCGTCAGTATTCCATTTGGTTATTCTGTTGTTTGAGCACCTTCGAGACCGCCTTCGATGCACACTTTGACCGGTTTGCGTCCATCATCGAGCACGCTCGCTATGTTGTCGGAACCTCGACACACCATCACAGTCCGATATTCTTGTTAGAGACTCGAGTCATTCCATCATTATATTTTGTGGCCATTAAATGTCGCCAACCATCTATTCGCCGGGAAGCCATAACTCTGCTTCGGCAAGGTCCCAAAGTCGAGAATCTGTGGAAAGCAGAGCCGATGGCGGATGTGGCCGAACAAGTGATCGGTATTGAGGAGTCTGGCTCATGGTGTGGAAAGTTCAACGCAGAGGGTTTGATGGGCGATTTGCCGCCTGAGGAACACCGGGTTTATCGACAAGAGGTAGTCGAGCAGAGGGACGATACCAACCAACGCCGCCACTGCCTTGTGGTGAACCAATGGCAGCAGGACACGGACTTTCAATGGAAGAGGGTTGAGTATATGATAAAGATGTGAACAGTATCCGTGGTTCACCCTTGCGGCGTCGCTTGTGCCATCATATCTCTTATGTTCCGATCTCTGACACTGCGGAGATACTGCCAGTGCTCATCCGACCGCTCCGGGTTCTCCTTTTTGTCGTTGTTAGGATCGTGGCCATAAAGACGCCACATTGAGAATCCGACGACTGTGGAAGCTGCTGCACAGACAATGATGATGACAACGATGGCTTGGTAGCCTAGCTTTCCCATCTCGCTTTCAAAGGTATGCTCTGTTCAGTTTATGTGTTGAAGGACTGGCTGCTCGAAATGTTGTGAATCAAAATGTGGCTTTGCTGCGTTTTCGTGGTTCAAAGGCAAAGGGGTTTGGAAACGTCCGATATATAATATATTGGACGGACTGTTGCAGTCGCTTAACCAGTCATACTTACGAAAGTGCGGCGACACTGAAATGCCGCATAACGGACCTGGAGCCTAAGGATGATTGGATTTTGCTCCTGATCAATGCACCCCGCAACCCGAACACACCAGTCACGTTGGAAATGTATTAACTCCTCACATCAACCCGTGTTGTGGCTAAAGATGAGCCCCTGAAGTCGGGGGGCCAAGAATCACTAAGCCTGAGAATCAGAAAAGAATGCCACCAACTTTAACCCTTGTTAATTTTGGCGATGCTTGGATAGGGAAGAGTCTCAAGTGATACCGTCAAAGGTCACTTGTCTGACCCACTACTAGGCTGATTGACAACTTGGACGAGATTCCGGAGTTGGTCCAAGACGACCAAAAGGGAGCTCTGGCTGTCCACTTTAGTCTCCACAAACCGAGCAGACCAATCAGAGGAAGTAGCGATCACGACGAGGCTGCGCGCACGGAAACCAATGCCACTGGCGCTACAACTTCTCCTCAAACCGAGCCATCCAACAAGATCGCAACTATACATTTACATGGCAGGCATGTCCATCTCCTCCAGAGGACGATGCTTCCTCACATTTGAGAGAAATTCAGCATGCTTCCTGACCGGGTGTGGATGATTTCCCAAAGTCCGTGTCCGAGTGGGAAATAGTCTAGCCACACCACCCGCCGCTTTATCGTCCATTCTCGATACCTTAAGGTAGGTATACGGAGTACAGAGAAATTCCCTTCATACTCCAGCCTCTACCGACCTACCGTACTACGTACATACCGGGCTTTGTACTGCGGGAGTTCTATCGATAAGCATGTGGGACACACTGCACCTCGAGTCGTCGGAATCTCATCTCCAAGCCTCGGCGTGGCGCAGCAATAGGCGGTTGGCTGAATGGCGGGGTTGTGGCTGAATGTGGCGCTCCAGCAATTCTCAAGCAAGCTGGCTCTGGCCTTTTCCCGTTCGGTCTGGTACCTGCGTCACGCGCGCAGACTCAACAATCAACGTTTTGTGCCTCCGTCCCCTGTGGCCCAACCCACCACTTTTCTGACCGGTGAATTGTCTTTTGGTTCATTTAATGCTCTTGTTTCCTGGCCCAACACGTTGTCTTCGTTTCTTCAGGCTGTCTGGTTGCCTACGACTATCAGCCTGTTCCTCCAAAGCCGCCTGTCCCATCGGGCTTCGAGCCACAATGTCTTCTCTGACGCCTTTCGCGAAGAAGCATAAGGTTACAGTGATTGGATCTGGCAATTGGTATGTCTGTCCGACTTGCAGAAGCGCTCTACTAATCACAATACAGGGGCTCGACCATTTCAAAGCTCGTTGCAGAAAACACTGCCGAACACCCCGAACTCTTCGAGCGAAATGTCCAAATGTGGGTATATGAGGAAGAAGTTCAGCTGGACAGGAAATCAAAACACTACAACGAGTCCTCCGAACTCAGTCAGGGGCCACAGAAGCTCACCAAACTGATCAATACCTTTCACGAGAATGTCAAATACCTTCCAGGCATCGCCCTTCCTCACAATGTCATTGCCAATCCTTCTCTCACCGATGCCGTCAAAAACTCGTCCATCCTCATCTTCAACCTTCCCCACCAGTTTATTCTGAACCTGTGTAAACAGCTTCGAGGTCACATCCTACCATTTGCACGAGGCATCTCTTGTATCAAAGGCGTCAATGTCCACGAGTCCTCCATCAGCTTGTTTTCCGAAACAATCGGCCAAGAGCTAGGAATCTACTGCGGCGCCTTGTCAGGAGCAAACATCGCCAATGAGGTTGCCCAAGAGAAATTCTCCGAGACCACGATTGCTTACGATCCCCCACTTATGGACTCACAGTCCCCTTCACCGTCCCCTTCACAAACCTCTAGTCCAGTCTCCAGCCATGTGGATCTGACCAAGCTAGTCCATAAGGATGTTTCGGGACAACCTTCAAAGGTCAGACTTCGACCGCTTCCTCCTGAATACCACCCGTTCGACCATGCCACCATCAAGAAACTGTTTCACCGAAAGTACTTCCATGTTCGAGTGGTCTCCGACGTTGCTGGGGTCTCTCTGGGCGGCGCTCTGAAAAATGTCATTGCTGTGGCAGCTGGTTGGGTTGATGGCTTGGGATGGGGTGACAACGCTAAAGCAGCTGTCATGAGAGTCGGCCTACTGGAGATGAGAGAGTTCGGAAATAGGTTCTTTCCGCATACTATCCATCCGGATACTTTTACTGTTGAGTCGGCTGGAGTCGCAGATCTGATCACCACATGCTCCGGTGGCCGCAACTACAGATGCGCTATGCTGAGCATTCGGGAAGGAAAACCCATTGAAGAAATTGAAGCCAGAGAGCTGAACGGCCAGAAGCTTCAGGGAGCCTTGACTGCTGTCGAGGTCAACACGTTCTTGAAGAGTCAAGGCTTGGAAAAGGATTTTCCTCTTTTCACGGCTGTGTATAATGTTTTGAAGGGCAATGAAAAGGTGGAAAAGCTTCCAGACTTGATTGAGCCCGAAGACGAGTAAGTTGGACACACATCTCTGGTCTATCCTGTGTTTTCATCCACCAGGCTGTTTGTTTCGCCGCGACCCCCTTGAAGATGGCTCTGCATACTGGGTGAATTATGACTATTGGCTTCAGTATGATGCATGATGTGCAAAGCTCAAGGTACAACCGGACGAGCCATGGGAAAGGCCCTTATGCAGGAGAAGCTCGAGCCAGATCCTGGTTGATGGAAGACAAGAGTCATGAAACGCAAACAGAAGCAGTCATCATCAATGAACTAATCTCTTTCTCCAATCCTCTGTTGCCTTGTGTGCTCTGTCCTCTGTACAGCGTGTCATTGACTGAAGCGTAGATAGGTTGACCAATGTCCCTTGTGCGAACTCTGTGCGCCCATCGCCTGTTCCAGCTTCACCACAGTCAATGTTATCAGTAACACCAAAGGCTGACGGGGAGACGGCTCCCGAGACGAAATCACACCTTGCGAAGGCCTCAATAGGTCGGGGTAATGAGAGCCAGCCCACCAGGATGGCACCACGGCCGGCTCTGCTGCCAGCACCGCCGCTTGCGTCTAGCAGATACAACCGGCAACTTCTCTTGCCGCAGGTCCGCGTGCGCGGGCAAGAACACCTTTTAAACTCCAAGGTGCTGATCATCGGCCTCGGGGGGCTAGGGTCTCCGGCATCGCTATACCTTGCGGGCGCGGGCGTCGGAACTCTGGGCCTGATGGACGGCGACAGCGTCGAACTGGGCAACCTACACCGGCAGATCGTACACACCGAAGCAGCCGCTCGTAAGGGTCTCTTGAAAGTGCGCTCCGCCGCGGCGCGGTGCAAGGAACTCAATTCCGAAATCCGCTACGTGCTACACGAAGAGCGCGCCAGCGCGGACAACATCCTCGGCATTATAGCGCAGTATGATCTCGTTCTCGACTGCACGGACAATCCTGCAACGCGATATCTGATCTCGGACGCGTGTGTGGTGCTGGGGAAAGCCCTCGTCAGTGGCGCCGCGCAGAGGGGCGAGGGCATGCTTGTGGTACTGGACTCACCTCCTTTTCCTCGTCCAGCGGCAGCCGGTGAGGGGGGCCATGACAAAGGACCCTGCTACAGATGTGTGTTCCCGCGCCCGCCGCCGCCAGAAATGGTGCGTGGATGCAGCGAGATCGGAATCCTGGGACCCGTGGTCGGCGTGATAGGGACTCTGATGGCCGGTGAGGCCATCAAGATCATTGTCGCGGGATGCCATGTTGCTGTCTCATCTACACCTACATCGAGCAATGACTCACACATGTCTTCACCTACCTCTTCCCAGCCGGATCAGAAGCCATCCCAGAAACAGCCACATCACACAATGCTTCTCTACAACACCTACGCTGCCGATCCGCGGGGTATGTTTCGAACCGTCACAATGCGGGGCCGTAAAAAAGACTGCCTGGCGTGCGGCGACGACGATGCATTGGCACGGAAGGGGTTGAGCCGGATCACAGCAGACGTGATTAGCCAGGGTCGTCTCGACTACCAGGCCTTTTGCGGCGTGTTCGAGGATGTCAAGGTACTGGGCGAGGAGAGACGGATCGGAGCCAAAGAGTTTCTGGAGACGCAGACAAATCCCGAGCACAATTTACTAGGGGAGGAATTCGAAAGTTTGCGGGAAAAGGGAATCGTCATCGATGTGCGTGAAGAGCATGAGTACGAGCTCGGTGCCAAAGTGGCCGGGAGCCTGAATATCCCGTTATCACGCATCTTGAGGCTTGGTGGCAGTGCTTTCGACGAGTTGGGTCTTCTTCGACGGGACGGGGATAAAGGCCAGATCAGCGCCGAATCGCATACTCAGACGACGGATGCGGGGGACGAGGCTGATGGTTTCGACCGTGGCCCGGAGCAATCCGGTCCTGCCAATGAGGAACTGAACGTCACGCTGCAGCCGAACGGGGTTACACATCAAGAGAGAACCCAGACTCGTCAGAGCCGACCGCCCCCGGTCTATTTCGTCTGTCCGCGCGGCAACGACAGCCAAATCGCGGCGCAGAAGTTCCTTGAACGGCTCGAAGCCGACGGCGCTGCGAGCCAGCCATGGGGATGGATCGGTGATGTCAAGGGCGGATATGTCGCCCTGGAGAAGCATTCGCAGCCGCAAGATCCGGCGTCGGGCCTATGATCAAGGAGCGACCACCGGGGATGGTTGATGAGGGTAGAGATTTGGGTGCCTAATGCATGGCGGAAAGACGCAGGCGCGGCGCGGTGACTTTCTTTCTTTTTTCCTCTTTTCTCTTTTGATTGAAAAGTACTCTTTATTGTTACTTGTGATACCCAAAGTTGTTTGAAATGAAGAAATCCCACTCTCACCACCCAGCCTTGTTCGATTGGCCTCCACACATCCATTGGGATAGACCATCACCTCATGTATGGCGAAGGATCGAGGGTCTTGGGGTAACGACCCTGACTGGCATTGGGACCAAGATCCGCCACTTCGGACTTGACGCGAAAACACCTGGGCTCACTCTCAGTCAGCGCATCCGGTCCCGCACTGTCGTAACACAAGCGAAACACGAGCATATCTGAGGCGGAAAGGGGGGCCCGTGGTGAGGGGCGGCCCAGTGGCAATCTGGTGTCAGAAGGGGAAAGAAAAAGAAAGGTTATTCGCATCGACCAGCTTTGCTGATCTCGACCAAATGTAAATTTGAATCAGCGAAAGGTTGGATCATCATTGAGATTGCATTCGGCTCAGAGCGGTGGGGGTTGGATTCGTTTGCGTCCCCTTCCAGGTTCCATTTCCGTTTCACGAGAGCAATGGAGATCATGCAGGCCAAGTGTTGAGACAGGTCCCGGTTCAGGTCCAGGCTCAGGCTCAGGCTCATGGAGGAACCAAGGGGATTCAAGACGAAGATCACAGAGGCGAGAAAGAGAGTCAACGTACCACTGGCTGTGAGCTGCAGAGAGCCCGAGGAAGCATAACGTGTAGCTTACTCTGCGCCTGCTGCAGCAAGCTTCTACGAAGGAGAAAAGAGAGAAAAGAAAAAAAGGAGGGAAAGTGACCAAAAGATCGGTTAAGTGGACAGGAAATTTGATGGGTACGGATAGAGAGAGATCTTTCACCTGACCACTCATCTGTGGACTAGCAAGCACGACGGGGCTCTAGATAAGAGTTAGTTGATTCCCCTTACCACGCCTTCCCTTTCACATTTCACGTTCCGTGCAAGAACCAGGTAGGCATTGAATGACATTTCTAAGGTAGATCTGGGGTCGCGTGTGTCATCTGCTCTCCGAGGAGGGGAGGACCCAAAGCGATCGGTGACTGAAATGCCTGGAATGCAACCCTCGAAAGGAACACGACAGGAAGCGTGCTCCAAGGGAGCAGATGTCCGTATAGAAGAAAACGCCATGCTGAAGTCATTTCCTCATTTCTTCATGTTTCCATAGCCCTCATTGTCTGTCCTCAACTCCGTTCTCCATAATTGGTTCGTTCCTCAAGAATTCTTGCTGGTCGGAGAGTCTATCCTCGGCGGGCTTCTGGATTTTCGACCGGGATGAGGTGAATTGCTGAGCCTGTGATAGAGAGCTATTGTCAGCCCCCATGCAAGCCTCACACCGACACCAAAGATGACAAAGAGGTAAAAGGATGCCCTGCAGGGCTATGAAGCAAGGAAAGCACTCACGATCTTCTTCTCTCCCCTTCTCTTCTAAAGTCGTCAATGATGCGCAACATCTCTTTCCTGCCTGCACTTGCATCGACTATCCTCCCACCCAAGCTCATGCTGACTTTTTCGTGTGTCCGGACCATCAACAACCTCTTCAGCAGAAGGTGCCGCATGTTCAGGCAGACAAACACCCCACAATCGGACGAGTTGTCTTGGAGCGGGCTATCGTTTAGTTGGATAAACTGCAGCGGTTTGTTGATCAGCTTCGAAAGCTTCTGTGTGACGTAGTGCGCTTCCTGCTGGTTCCCGGGAGGCATCGAGTCGTAATGGAAGGCAAACCCGTCGACGATGGAGACAAGTAGAAGTGACCAATGCGTTCCGCCTTCAGCCACCGTGACTGAGTGGTTGTCGTTGATCGGAAGGAAGATGTGTGTGACGTTTGTGAAGTCCGGGAGAGCATCCTGCGGGATTAGTCTTCCGACATGAGACTCCCAAGCATACAAAGGGAGCATGTACCTTGATCGTGCTGGGATCGGGTGTCTGCATGAGCATGAATGACATGGTCGGGCGAAGCAGGACGATGTGGGAGTGTTTGTACTTGGACAGGTATTCACGTTCCAGATATCTATTGTGATTCTTCGTCAGGCTCGATCTTTCTTTCGCTTTTCTACACAGCCGCTTTGGATGCCCTACTCTTCCCAGAATGCGATGACCTATGTTGATGTCAGTCCCTAGTCGCCTAGTTCCAAGTCGCAGCGTAGACAAACATTATCGGTGAGCCAGTCATTCTTCAGCACTGATATATCTTCTCTTGTCACTATCTCGGTCTCAGCAGAGTTGCAGGAGGACGGTGGCCGAAGTGGACGGAGCACCAACATCGAATATCATAGTCTGCGGCGTCGCAGTTAGTAGAGATTGGACAAGACAGGGTAGATCTTACATACAACTCAGGTACGCGTCTTCTGGCGCGAGCTTTCGAGCCATGGCTGATTAGTTCAGGGCCTCGGCGACAAGGTGTGATGAGAAGATCAGTAGAACCGCGCGATCACAATCAGTGAAGAAGAGGGAGGAAGCCTGCAAGACTCGCGCATGGGACCAGTCAACCCGAGATGTAGTGCACGCACGTACCGATCTACCGAGGTGTCGACTTATTCGACCACCAAAGGGATGAAGGTCAGGCATGGTGTTGTGGTCGAGGTCGACAGGCTCCAGTGACGTGGATAGAGCTGGGCTTGCAAGTCCAGTCGGCTGTGGTAGCTTGGTGGCTGTACTCGTACTCGTAGTGGCAGTGGATGGGGATCGTGATGTAAAGGATAAAGGATCACAGGTTAAGCCTGCGCATCTCTCTCCCGTTGACTCAGATCTCCCATCCTGACTGGCAGATGCAAATCAGATCTGCATCCTACTCAGTACAGGGTCCGTGGCCTCAACTTCCACTCCCCTTCCGTGCTCGCACCCTCTACTACTGAGATACCTGATACCCCTGATACCTGGTACTCTGCCCTGTGACCAAGGTTGGCGGATGCCTACGTAGAACTGTAGAACTGTAGAAGTGTTGCGTGAAGCTTTCACGCTTGATTGCTCTCGTAGGCGGTGCAAATCCTGCTGCCTCCTTCCAGCCTTGTCTTCATCGCTGTCCAGCGTATTGTACATTGATCGTCCTTTTCCCTGATTGTCTTCTGTGTACAATCCCATTCAACGCCTGCCCTTGAATCCGTCGCTGGAACGCTTCAAAACAATCGCTTGAATCCCTACCAAGTCGTCCCTCTCGTCCCTCTCGTTACCTTTCCCCTCCACGGTGCATCGTCCACGATGCTTCCGGAAACTGGCAGCTGTCCTCTTCTCCCCAGCCTGACGCACTAGTACAACGTGAAAGGAATCACTCGTCTCCATTTGTGAGGTACCTCCGATATCATCAGCCTCGGTGCCATGAATACCCTTCGCATATCCAAGAGATGCTGCCAGAATGTCCTGTGCTCGGATCTTGGACCTTACGCCAGCTAAGTAACGCATCCAATCTCAGTCTGTCAGTTTCGTAAAATGTTTGTTCCAAATCCAGCCGATCTCTCTGGTCGGGTCATCTTGATTGATGGCTAGCCAGAGTTCCCCCTGCTCGGCTATCACGTCGAATATCTCCCCAGCAACATAAGTCAGATACCGGAACCCGCCTTGTTGCCTCGATCGGTCAATATTGAATTCATAAACGCTGGCTGCAGTGAACAAGACCCCCGGTTCTGGATGTGCCTCAGCGGTCTCAGATTCCTCCCCTTCCTCACCATCCTGACCTCTCGGCATAGCGGGCGAGAAAGTGCTCGCTCCACTCATGGCGTGCAGGCTAGACTGCGACTGATTTGGTTCAGGGGCTGCTGAGTAGAACGTAGAGGTGGAGGCGTGTTTGACTCGCATCGGCGACTCGACGACTAGAGGACCAATTGAAGGGGAGGGCGCTTCCAGGCTCAGTCGAGGAGTTGAATGGCGGGTTTCTTCTATCTGGCCCGGGCTAGTACCAGGTCGAGAGACGTTTGCGCTGTTGACAGTGTGGATTGAGGCAGCCGGTCCCCGGCTGCCGGTCTCTGGAGTCTTGGGTATCCTTCCTGAAGTCGCCGACGTCGCACGAATTCGACTATTGACAAAAGTGAAGGAGCTTCGCTCACTTGGATCGTCGTTCTGGGAGCTGAGCGGCCCTCCGCTGTTCCGATAATATTGATCTGCCATTGAGAGCTGGGGTCCTTCTTCGTTTGCTGAAACCGACCGCTTGGTCACACTGTTCCAAGAAGGCTGTCGTGGGGAGTCCTCACTAGCCAGAGTTGATCCTGGGGTCAGGAATGACACCATGTTGACAGCCTCGGCTAGCAACGAGCCATTGCAGATGCTCAAAGTCAAGGCCGCAGCCTCATGGTAATCGAAATCCTCCTGCCAGTCCTTGACAATATCGGCTCTGTCCAATTTGTCCAGCGGAACATCCATCAAGGCCGAAAACTTCTGTCTGCACATTTCCAACCAACTGAGGTGAAGCTCAAGAAGAATTGCCAGGCACGACTTCGCTAGTTCTCCCGTAGACTTGAGGAGGCGTCTCATTCTCTCTTTCGCTTCCAGATTTAGGGCCTCCCATTGCTCCATGCGCTCTGTCATCTTCTTATCGAGCTTTTCGCCTCGATCCCTCTTGTTCTTGAACTGGTTATAGTCGAGCAGCCTCTTGTCCCGTTTCTGGACCAACCCCTTGGTATCGTTCTTGAACTTCGCCAACATTGCGGTCGTCTCCCCCATTGGCTCCAGTATCCGCCTCGTCACCTGGTCGACGTGATCTGGAAGGGCAATCGAGGTGATCCCACGAATCACGATGGCAAACTGGCGGAGCCTGCTCTCAGCTTGGGAGTGGCTGGTATGCCCAACATCAACCCATGCTTCCGCAGCAGCAGCAAGGTCGCACATGTGAACGACCCACTGTTTGATGGCATCAAGGTATCCCTGACAATCTCTCGCCACCAAAAAAAGATGAGCAATGTTGTTATCATAGCAGATTTTCAGCTTGGTGTACTCTGCGTCCTCATACATTTCATTGATACCCACATGTTGTCTCAACTTTTCTGCACGGCGACCAAATGCCTTTGTGAAGCCGTTTCGCACGTCCGAGTCTTTCCGCTTCCTGTTAAGAACCTGGTCGACCAGCTCGGTGTGCTTTTTGACCTCATTAATGCGCACATTAATCTCAGTGACATCTTCTGCTGCTCTGCGAAGAAAGATGGCATCCGGGTGTGTATTGGGGGTCGCCTCTAGGAGCTGGTTCAGCAACAAAGGATATTTCGTGATCCGTTGAATCGGCTTAACCAGTAGTGCATCCAAGCTCCAAGCGTTGGTGATATCGGTTGAATTTTCGCTGCATTCCTTGAGCCATTCTTTGACAGCAGATGCTGACTGCAGAGCTTCCAATCTTTTATTTGCCGCATGTCGTGTCCGAATGTATTCAGTGTATACTTTCTCCATATCACTTATCGAGGCTTCAAATGCCTGGCCAACTCTGGTGAGCTCATCCTTTTCGGCATCAGTCATGTCTGCCACACTGTCGATCGAGGTGGCCGAGCTTTGTAATGTAGAGGCTCGATTAGTTTCTTTCCGGCGATCAGTTCTCTCCATCACGTAGGCTGGTCTCACCACTTGTTTCAGAAGTCCCAGAAAATCTTTCGAAAATTGTTGCACGGACTCAACATTGCCAAAGAGGATCTTGCTGTCTTCATCACTGATGGCCACCACGGCGGTCTGTTTGTAAATGTCGCACAACACTCGCATGTCTCTCTCGTAGGTATATTCTGTATCGACCAATTCTTTGAGCACATGCCTCCTCTTGGTCAAACGGCGTTGTTCAGCAGTCTGTTCTTCCACAGAAGGCCTCGTAGCGCTGGAGCTGGATGGCATCATTTGATGTTCTACGCTCGATCTCGCAGATATTTGTGACATTGCAGTAAAGGGTCTTGGAACTGGGACTGCCGGCGACATCGATGGCTTGATGCCGGTCAAACTAGACCTGGAGATCTGATCGATCGATGGCATTTTGGTAACTGGAGGCGGTGGTGGAGAGTGGGACGGGGGTCGTGGAATACCAATGTCCGCCTCTGCCGCCAGGGTGCCTCTGTTTAGATCGACATAGTTGGTCTCTTCGTAACCTAGATCGGAGAGCGCCTCTTTTGCTGCCAGTGTCCCGGTCTCAGGCGCATCTCGAGCCAACGAAGAGGGCTCCCGTTGCGACCGAGCGTCTAACGGTGAGTGCAAACCAAACTGTAGCCAGTCCCCAACTGACGGTGAGGTCTCCGCCCAGTCCTCTGCGCTGTCCAAGCTGGGCTTATACCTGTGGGTTCGATGATTTCGTTGCGTGGGCGGGGGATGAAAGGGCGCATAATGGAGAGCCGAATCCTCAGGCAGGTTGTTAGAATTGTCACTATTCCCACCGGGCATGTCACGTTGGACTCCCTCGAGTGACTCGGAGTGAAGATACTGCTCTGACTGAGGGCGAGAATTCTCAGCCTGTTCCCAGTGACTGCTGTATTCTTCAAGCTCTTGTAGACATAAGCGTTTGACTTTCCCCTCATCAACACGCTCCGCATCGGCTAGGTCCGGGGAGATCTGGATAATACGATGGTAGATGCTATCCACAAGCTGTTGGTCCACAACTCCGGAAGGCGTCTGTTGCTGTAGAACGATATTCACAATCGTGTAAGTGTCATTCGACTCAACGCCCCCGTCGGAGTCATCCTCGCCGCCGGAGCCGTCAGACAAGCAATCGGATTCCACCTCCATAATTTCCTCTCCTCGACCTAGCGAAACCGTTGGATCGCCGTCAGCTGCGATTGTTTCGTCAATCTCCGATTCGCGGTGGTTTTCTATTGAGGAAGTCCACGAGCTTCTTCCATTGCTGCCAGGACGCATCGACCCAGAGTCAAGCGGGGGGACAAACGGTCGATAGCCTTTTTCAACGGCCTCTTCGTCATCAAGATAAGTCGTCTCTCGAAGCATGAGGCGGACAGATACCTCATCAGCATGATCAGAATGAAGACGAGAGACCTGCGAGGTCGAGGATATGGGAGAGTCCGAGCCCTGACTTCGAAGAGCCCTTATCTGATTAAGTAACGACTGGCCTCGAGTCTGGAGTTGTGTCTCGTCATGTTCGGGCTCCATGTCAGTCATAGTCGCTTCAGTAGCGTCAGTCTTCTCGGTACCGGCAGCAGAGTAAGGATCTTGATCGGATTGTGCAGGCAGTAAATGCGTGTTCAGCGTAAACGGTATGTCACTGAAGGATGCTTCGGGGCGACCAAGGGTGGGAGAGTCCATCTCTTCACCAGGGTGCGGAGTGCTGCTTTCGACAACTTTCAAAGCGTTGAGGGTGAAAGCTCGCTGGTCTTGTGTAAGCTCGTGCCCAGAGGTATAAAATGCACGCTCATCAGATGTGTCCATGATTGGTTCGTCCACTATCACGGCCGGAATCTCATCTCGTCCCATAATCTTCTGGTTGATTTTGTCAGATTCTTCAGTAGAAGCAGTTGTGCTGTTCGTTTGGTTAGCTGAGCTACTACGAAGTCCGTGTCTTTCGTTTTCAAGTTCTTGCCCTTCTCTTGACCTACTCAACGCTTGAGTAATTCTCAACCGTCGAGCTTTCAAATCGATATCGGTAAGTTCCGGTGGCCTTCTACGTCCGAGAGATTTCTTTTCATTTTGTTGCTTCGCCATCGTTTCAAATTTCTCGGCCATCTTAGCACGAGATGCTGCAGTGGTGGCAGCAGAGACTGGCAATCGCGGCCTCGAGCTTCTCAAAGGTGGCGAAACCTTTGGTGGAGGGGCGATTATGTTTGCTCGGAGCGAAGGGCTTTTCTCCCCAGTAGCGGTACGGGGCCCTCGGCCTTGCTTCCCTGGACTTTTAATCTTCACGGGAGAGCGAGGTCTACGCCGGGGGCTAGCAGGTTTGCGGTCTCCTGAGGGTGAATGATTCGGTAATGATTGTCCGGATTCGTGCAAGCGTAACGGAAGTTGGGAGGAGAGAGGGAGGCAATCAGTAGGCGAGTTGGCAACCGAATCGGAAGCCATACGGTGATGTCGTGTACTCACTGGAATTCGTGATTGTCCGGATGATCTTGCTGAAGGCTCCAGCAGATAGGGTATCTGGTTTGCGCCAGTAATGCTTTCTGGATATTGAGTTTGACCCCCATGGTGAAGAGCTTTGGACGGCGCCCCTGCGAAATCGCTGTTGGCTCGTCGATGTTTCTGCCCAGAATCGCGTGGCATTGATGGAAGCCCAGCATGAGACTGTCCGAGAGGTTGCCAGTGCAAGCTGGCAGATGGTTTGGACTCTTCTTGGATTGGAGGGCCCCGCATTGAAGAAAACATGGGATTCGGACTGTGCATGGGAGATCCCTCTGAACCACGTCTGCGACGGGGATTAAATATACCATAGCCTGCAGCAGGCAAGGTAGACTGTGTGGGGACAACTTCCCCAAAGAGTAGTTTGCGGCCACCTTCTTGCACTTCCGGATTACTAACGACCTGTGTCAAGCGACCAGGAGAGCTTCCAGCGCCGCGTTGGCCGTTGTCGTTGCTCAAAACTCTGGTTTCTGCAGCGGCTGCATTCCTAGTTCCTCTAGAATCGTACATCCCCGGTCTCGGTCTCGCAGGTTGCGGAAGGCCGCTTGAATGAAGGTCCGCTGCTCCTTTGGACGCATATGGTAAAGGACTTGCAGTTCTTGAAACGGGACGGGGGATTTGCTGGATGGGCAAGGGTGGGACTTCTTCCGGCGATGCATCGAAGCGCGCTACGAGGTCCTTGAAAGATGCCTTCCTCGATCTGGAAGGATTTGGTGCCGCTGGAGAAGACTTTGTGTGATCGCTATTCCAGGTTCCATTCGCCAGATGCTGAGTATTCAGAGATAGTTTGCGCGAAGTCACGGAGGACCTGCCAGGGCGCGTTGATGTGCCATCGTTTGCCTGACTAGAAGCGAAGCTGGACTTTCGCCCGTTAGCAGCCCGCCCTTCTCCAGTATCATAAGTCGTGGTCCGAAAGGCTGCTTGATGTAGGGCAGCCGGGGATGCACCCGAGAAAGGTTCCTGGTACTGTCTGTAGAACTCGTGCGGGTCGACGGAAGGGTCTTCGCCCCGAGCAGGGTCGGAGGTAACGTTGAGGTTCGAGGCTGAGGGCGAAGAGGGAGTTCGTGAACGCTGGGTAGCAGGCTGCGGTTGTGTATACGTGGTCGAAGGGAGAAAAACCAGGGACCGGTTAGGTGATTGAATCTGCGACGGGGAGTTTCTGTTGAGATCGGCGAGGTTTATCTGCGACCGCGACGACTGTCGGCGATGATCAGATACATGATAGGTATCTTGGTTTGACACCACGGTAGGCATGTCGTCAGGAGGACAATGGGTTTGGGTGTCGGCCCAAGCCCAAGTCACGCAGAGGCCTTCCTTCTTGGACGGTGGTGTCTACTGTGCAGATGCATGGCCCGGGCCCGACATCGCTCGTTCTCTGACGCTTCCGCTATTGTGCTCAGACCTATCAAAGTGTATCCCAGTAATAGTCCTTCTCTTGATATAGAGGGTCAAGTCTTGCACGCAGACAGCTGACAGCAGTGACACCAGAGTCTATGGGTCTTCGGCAACTTCGCTTAGATCGGTAGGGAGGCACAGCAGACGGGTCTTAAGTGAGCATAGGCGAAGACCACAGTAAGTCGAAAATGCTAGGATCTTCACAGGACTAAGAAGCCGATCTGCGAGCGCAGGTGGACAAGGAGGGATTATTGAGGCTGTCGGATGTGTGCATGTGGTCGTTCAGAGCTCAAGTGTTCTGTGTGGCCGGGTTATCGAGCACCATAAGGGCCGCAATACCACGTTCAGATGCAGCGTCGTATGAGGTGAGGTCAAGGGCACAAGTCGGAGTGTTTGGACATCAGAAGATGTTAGGCTGCGGTTCTCTCGCTCGTCACGATTCCGTACAACGGGTTGGTGTTTGAGGCGGATTGCCGGCAGCAAGCGACTGGGTGGATGCCGTGCAGTTGCTGGCAGTGGAGTGAACTAGACACCGCACCGCAGCAGTCAATCAAACTCCATATACCGGGACCGGGGAACTTGAAGGGTTTCTGATGGTTGCTCCACGGGCACACCTAACCTACGGAGCATGCTGGTGCTGCTATGTATCCGTACAAGCATCCATCAATGCCTGACCCACTGGTAAAGAGACGACAAGATCTACATGGACAACAGAGAATGCCCTTTGTTTGAGAGATTTGAACCCAACAAAGACCAGCAAGAGTCCCGCAGGTCACGTCGGTGTCGGCATTAGGCCAAGTGCGTGGAACAGTCAGGGTTTCTTCATGGGTTCCTAAGGCTTCCCTAATTGTTCAACCGAACTCTCGTTTAACCCAGCTCATAACTACCTGGTAGGTACCTAAACATATCCGGCCTGAGCCCCTGGTCAACAAACAATAAGCTAATTAATAGCCTCCGTACTACCTATCCGTACATATCCTCGGACCTCCAGCCTCGATGCGTACCCCTGTCGAGATATATCGGTACCTGACACGAATACGCGCTTGCCCGTCGCGCGTCGCCTCTTCATCTCCCTGCCCTGCGCCACGCGTTTGTCTACACCATTACTCCAGGGTTGCCCATGCTCCCTCGTCTCATGTTCCCCTAGTCTAGATCAACCTGACGATCTCGAGAGGGGACGTTTGAACAGGTTAGCGCCGCCCATCCTCCTCATCGCTTCCTACAACCGCAACTCTTGTGATCGTGAGCAATCTGGGTGTAAGGGTCATCGATGAGGAAAGGAGTGCATAGGTCCATTGACATTACAGTATTTGGGGTCAAAGACCAGATCCCCCTGGGGCTGATTTTGAGCTCCTTCTAGCAAAACCGGTCGTCACTCGGTGCGCTGTATTCATGGCCAAGAAAAGAAAACACCAGTACAACCTGAGTGCGTCGAGTCGTCCCATCAAACGCCAGCGAGTCACCGATCAGAAGTCTTCTTGCCCTGATGATACAGCCTCATGCAATGCGTTGCCAGACATCCACCATGGCGTGCTGTCTTCCCTGTACCCCAAACTATGCACGTTGAGGCAGTTCCTTCTTGCCAATTTACCTTCTACATCCCGTGTTCGGCGGCGCAAAGTGACTTCTTTTGGAAGCGATGATGCAGCTTGCTTCTTCGATACTTGCTTGGTGGGCGTTTTGAAAGAGCCGTCCACTACGGTCAACAAGTCACGCAAAGTTGATTTTGCTACCTTTACCCAAAGTCAACAGCGCGCGACTGGCACCAATACTGCCCAGTCACAACTGTGTTGCATGAGCGAAGTAAGGCGCCGCGACATCTACTCACTTCTCCTCGAAGCAGCCTCTAACTCGATTGACAGATCATTGATTTTGTCATTTGGTCGCTGTTCAAAGGCCAGGCCATCCTTGGTACAAGGCCTCGCCATATCCTGTGCCATGGTCTGCAAAGGGCCACTGTGACCAATGCTCATGGGCATGGGGGCATAGAGGCAACTTTGCTACCTGGCATTGTTCGGCACCATCCTAACGCTAATCTGGAGCAATTGAAATCTAGGCCTTGGTCGGATATTCTCTCGCTCTTGGGTGAAGATGGTGAAGTTATATTATCAAGTTTGTTCTTGGATTGTGGGCTTTTCACTCGACTACCCTCTGGCTCTGACAATTACTATCAACTGAGTGGAATTCCCATTTCCGAACTGACACCGCTTCATTCTTCACAGTCAGGGTGTCCCCAGTCGGCTCAGACTCGGAGTACACAACTCTCAAATATTCGATTTGTGAGAAATCGAATACTCTATGCCAAACCATCCTTGAATCGCAATGGGAAAGTTAGAGTTGGGTTTTCTCACGCACATGTTCTTCAAAGATTCTCAGATGCTAATCGACGAGACCACACTGTTCATGTAATGAAGTACATTTTTCCACGTCAATACGATCTGCACAACGTTTTTACCTCGAGAGTCAACTCCACAGAAACCACGCAGCAATTCAAAGACTACACTTTCCGAGAACAAGAAATGTCTGGCCAACACACCACATCTTCGACATGGGTCCCACGACGGTTGCGTGGCGAGGCTTTTCGACTTATTCAAAAGGTTCAGCGACGTCAAAATAGTTGCTCGTATGGCCAACTTTTCAGGCACCACTGCTCCATCGCTGCTTCACCGACAGAACGCCCTCGGGCATCAGCCTTAAAACAACTGCGGCAGTCTACATCTAGTCCCGAGGCATTGAGCACTCAAGCCCCATTGTCAGGCTCGTCAGGGGATATTCTTGAGATTCCTTCCATTGAGCACGAGACCGATGCTTCCTTCATTCCTCATGCGACACCAGCAACAAGGGTTTCAGCGTTCTGCAGATCAGTCATCACAAAGTTGCTACCCAGCGACGCCTTCGGGTTAGGGCCAGAAGGTCGGCACAACTACAAAATGATCATGACAAAAATGGACGAGTTCATTCACATGCGACGCTTTGAAAGTATGACTTTGCATAGCGTTGTCCAAGGAATCCGTCTGAGGCCGATTAGCTGGCTTGCTCCACAGGGGAAGCTCGATCAAAAGCTGTCCAGATCCGATTGTAACAAGCGTCTCGAGATTTTGTACGAGTTCGTATATTACATCTTCGACTCTCTGCTCGTCCCCTTGATTCGGACCAATTTCTATGTCACTGAGAGTTCAACGAACCGAAATCGCCTGTTCTACTTTCGACATGATGTTTGGCGAAAACTCTCGGGGCCTAGTTTCGCGGTCCTGAAATCCAACATGTACATTGTGGTTCCTCCCAGCCATGCGCGCCGAACACTACGATCGCGGACCTTGGGTTATAGCCATTTGCGACTTCTTCCCAAGAGCGAGGGCTCGAGACCAATCACCAATCTCAGACGTCGGCAATTGCGATTGGTTTCTGGAAAGAGGGTCCTAGGAAGCAGTATCAATGCTCAACTTGGTGCTCTGTTCAGCATCCTGAATTTTGAACGAGCGCGTGACCCTTCGCCGTTAGGCTCCGCCTTGCTATCGGTGGGCGACCTTCATGGTCGCTTGGTGCAGTTCAAAAGAATGATTCCATCAGGGTCTCGCCTATACTTCACGAAGGTCGATATCAAATCTTGTTTCGACAGCATACCACAGGAGCACTTGCTCAACATAGTCCAATGCCTGCTTGGAGAGCCAACATACAGAACGACGAAATACACAGAGGTCAAATTCGTGGAGGACGGAGTGCGAGATGCCAAAAGTCGACTCGGACGTCGCTATATTGGGGCAGCTCGGGCCGCTGATGACAACGCAGTATTCTCAGAGTCTCTAGCTTCTGATATTGCGTTGAAGAAACGCAAAGTGGTATTTGCGGATACGGGAAACCACAGAATCTCGCCCCGAAGATCACTGTTGCAACTCTTACAGGAACACGTGGGCAACAACATTGTGAAGATCGGGAATAACCACTTCAGACAAACATCAGGCATCCCTCAAGGTTCGGTGCTAAGCAGCATTCTCTGCAGTTATTTCTACGGGGCTTTCGAACAGAGTGAACTGAGTTTCTTGGACTCACGGTCCAGCTTGCTTCTACGGCTCATTGACGATTTTCTCCTGGTGACGACTGACGATGGCCTTGCGCGAAAGTTCCTTGATGTCATGGTTCGAGGCAGTGAAAAGTATGGCATAATCGTCAATGCTGAGAAATCTCTTGCCAACTTTGATGTGTCAATCCAAGGACGAAAAGTCCCTCGAATCCACGGTAGCAATTTCTTCCCTTACTGTGGATTGGGAATCGAGATGAGCACCCTGGAATTAAGCAAGGACCGTGAGAAGAAGGACGCATACATCAGTAACGCCTTGACAGTTGAAACTTGTTCGAAGCCTGGAGCAACGTTGAGACGAAAGATTCTGACCTCTCTGAAGCTACAGATGCATGGCATGCTGTTAGATATGTGTCTGAACAATCGCCAGCAAGTCATATCAAGTCTGCTAGGAAATTTCACCGAGTCAGCCATGAAACTGCATCGATACATGGCAAACATTCCATCACACAGGAGACCTTCGCAAGGCCTGATTAGGAACTTGTTCATCGACTTGGTGGCAGTAGGCACGAAGCTTTGCCGTGCGAAGAACAGCAACAACGGACATATCAGCAAGTCTCAAATGTACTGGATCGCGGCCTCGGCATTCGAGCGAGTGCTATTGCGCAAACAAAGTCACTACCGGGAGCTTCTGGGGTGGCTGAAGTCTTTGAGAGAAAGCACTGCCGTGAGGATGAACTTGGGGCCGGCAAGGCTGGAACAGATGCTGCAAGAGAACGAGAAAGCATTCCGTGGATACGTGTATTGACTCAATTGGGCCGGACTGCGACTGTAGCAAGACAGCGACAGAGTGCAGTGTCACCGGTCATCAGATGAAATGCATTACATGTAAAAGGTGGGCCATGACAACGCACGCCAAAGCCATGGAATGTGTCGGCACTCCGTACTCCGTAGTGTAGAGTCTAGAATTGAAGAAAGGAAAGGACAGGAAATGAACGTAATTAGAGGCAGGTAAACAGTTTGGGCGCCGCGTTGGCTGCGGCCTCGACGTGGCATCAGTTGGCCTGCGCAGGCGGATGGAGTCGACTGCCATTCACCTACCATCTGTACGGAGTACACCAACGACAACAACAACAACAACAACAGTCAGTAATTACTAGTCTCCATCCACCAGCCTCCTAGGCCATAGGTGCCCGCCACCCACAAACCCATCCCCATCCCAGTCTTCGCCATTCATGAAAATGCATCAATGCGTCCCAGCCAGCGCCAGGGCCTGAATGCACCTGCCTCGGAGCATTTACATTTCATACATCGCTCGCCCTCTTCCACGGTCGTTACATTTACAGAGTACGGATCCTCCATACACAGTCTCTGTTCCAGCGATCGACCAGCCAAAGGAACCAGAACCAAGAACCAAGAACCAAGAACCAAGAATCTTGCATCCCCCGACTCTTTCTTCCACACAGCCATTTGTCGCCATGAAACGCCGACACTGCGTCACCATACGATCCTGCCTCTGATTTGACCTCTTTGCACGTCCTGCTGCTCCCTGTCCGGAGCTACAAATCGGAAATCTGCGCTTACAGTAGTCCTTGTCCGGGGCCTGCGACGCGTTTCCTTTCCTCCTGAAACCTACCCGCGACCGGATCCAACAGCAGCCGCTATACACCCTCATTGCAATAGTAACTGATTTAACATCCATCCCCTTCCTCACAACCGGGCGAGCCGTTAAGAGTTGGGAGATCTGCAAGCCTGGACGAACAGTGGGTCGAGACCAAAGTGCTGTCAATCCCTGAAACCTTCCCAATCGTCGAGGTCGATTGTCCACTGTGCAGAGCCAAAACCTGCCAGCCCCTTCTTCCCGCCCAGTTTCTCACCCGCTAATACCAGGCCCCGAGCCCAGGGTGGTGGAGGTGCTCCAGCAAGGCCCGGACTTCCTTCAGCACATGTCAGCCTGTCATTGGGAATGGAGAATCCGCTAATCCAACCACCCCTGCCCTATCTACGCTATAGTTTGCAGACTGGAGCTGTCCCATCATCATGCAAGCCGTCAGCGCCATTTTCGAGCCCGCCAATCGTCCCGGCATCTCCTCCAGGGGTTGGCCCATTAGCACCATTCGAGGCCTTCCTTCTTGGCTCCTACTACCATCCAGCTTCGACTCTCGAGTTGACTGACGATCAAGCCATCCTCAACCATGACCACACCATCTGGCGCATGCCGACACTCGTTTCTTCAACACTTCCAAAGCTGGAGCAGCCAGCAGAGATAATATCCCACTTACGCACCGACTCTCGCACTGGCACCACCAACAACAACTCTCGTTCTTCGGAAATTAAATTTCCACCTGTATCTTTGGAGCAAGTCAACCTCTTTTCGCACCCTCAGCACGAATCCGACTTTGTCAATGAATTGTCCATAAAACCAACACAAGGCTTACACCTCGCAAATCGTTCGCTTACCTCCTTATTCAATGCGCATACTTCCGACATGACCACGACAGCCACCAGTGCTCCAGGATCGCCTCCTGACTTGGCAGGAGATCGGTCCTCCAAAGCCTCGTCTTATTCTTCCACCTTTTCGAGTCCAGATGGCTTGGATTCAGATACTACAAACTTTGAGGAGATTGGTCTTGAGGACGACAAACACGCGGCCACAATAAGCTACCATGCCCGCGACATCTCGGTGCAGTCCTTCGGGTCACAACACGAGTTGATGCGATCCAGAGAATCGGGCTTGAGGGAGAAAAAACCAACCCTTCCACAATTACAAACACACGGAAGAGCATTGGGCTATCGGCACGATTCGGCACCACCTAAAACAGTTGGTTCAAGAATGATGATGCTGAAACGCGGGTTCACAAGCCAAGAGACATTCTATCCTCTCGGTAATATAAGACCGAGGTCATCATCTCCACCAAACCGACGAATCCTGGCATCTGCCTCAACGACATCCCTCAGTGCGGGCGGTCTACGACCGATCTCTCAATCTCCGGCGTCCTCCCTTGGGGTACCAGCACGTCGTGCGTCCTGGCAACCGCACCGGAAGACCGTCAAGGAACTAGAGGCTGAATACGATGACTCGGACGATGAACTGCCTGAGGATGCTAGTCTCTGGAACGTGCCAGTATCTCCTTTTCCATCGGGAACCCGGTCACATCGGTCAAGTCTTCGCGGAAGCCCGGAAAGAGATGGGATTGCTCACAGTCCTCGACCAATCCCGCTCGCGCACGCCAAAACAGCTCCCGAGACGCCTCCTCGGCCGACCCTGCATTCCCAAACGTTACCAAAGCACAGAGGATCCTCATCAAGAGCGGTAACTCTCAACCCGTCCGTATCGAAGCCGTTGTCGCCGCGCAGTGCAAACCGAGTGTCTCCTGGGAGGACTAAGTCGTGGAATTTCGTCATGGCCGATTTGAGTGAAGAAGCCAGGATTATCTCGGAAGCTTTGGAGTATCACGCCGAGTCCATGGGCCAGGAGGCGCGTGAAAACCTTCAAGGAGGTTCTTGGCCAGAGAGCATGGAGACACGGATTGATCGTGCTCCAAGAAGATCGCCTATACAATTGCCTCCGATTCAGAAGAGCACACTGGATTTCATGCCCATCTCCAAAGAAAAGGAAGCGGTTCTGTCTCGCACACGACCATCATGGTTGCCACCAAAAGATCCCAAAGAAGAACGTCGACACCTGGAAGAATATAAACGTATGATGGCAGCCTCCATGGGCACGGAAAAGAAACGTCGCACAAAGCTGCAGGCCCTGCAGTGTGGAAAGGACGACGCTCGGGACTCTCTGAATCGAATTTGGCACTATTTTGTGGCTGAAACGACCGATCTTGCCACGATCGACAAACGTGTCAACAGTCTCTGTTGGCGTGGGATTAGTCCCAACATCCGCGGGAAGGTCTGGCAAAGAGCCTTAGGGAATCCGCTGGGTCTTACCAGTCAAAGCTATGAGAAAGCCCTCCACCGAGCCAAAGAGATCAAGAAGCGGCCCACTGAAGAGCTTGATCAGAACGACAAATCCATGGAGGGGTGGTTCGTGGACATTGAAAGGGACGCTGAGACAGCCTTTCCCGCACTTCACCTATTTCAACGGAATGGGCCCCTTTGGCAAGATCTGATCGACCTATGTGAGGCATATGCGTGTTACCGGAGCGACGTGGGATATGTATATGGAATACAACTTATCGCCGCGCTGCTTTTGTTGCAGCTGCCAACACCTGCGGATGCTTTTGTTTTGCTAGCCAATTGCTTAAATCGGCCGGTGCCGCTGGCATTCCAGAGCAACGATCTCTCTGTGACTGGGCGAACATATAACCACGCTGTTTCGACTTTGGGAATCAAGTTCCCGCGGCTTCACGAATATCTCTTTGGCTCCATGGAACAGGGCGGGCTCGGGTTTACCGCGGAAGAGGTTTTCGAACCAATGTTTCGAACCATCTTCTCAAACGGTCTGGATGTTGACCGATTGTGCCGTCTTTGGGACGTTTGGGTTTTCGAGGGCGATCAAACCCTGGTCCGAGCCGCGGTGGCAATCCTCGGCAGTCTGCAGTCTCAATTGTTCGGCGTACGTGGCGATGTCGACTTGAAGCGGCGCAACATCCAAGAAATGCTTGGATGGGGACCATTCAATCGACAACCTCACTCTGGCCACTGGAATTTTTCAGCCTTGGGGAGCGAAGATGAGTTCATGGAAGTAGTCCGGGTTGCAGGCACACTGGACTACACGGGCAACTGAATAATAATAACGAAGTGCACCGACCTTGTACAAATGGATGTTGTCGGGCGCGACCTGGATAGGGGTGTGGGATTTTTCCTCCTCTGGATCTGAGGCTTTAATCGACGAACTTTTCATGATGGATTATGACTTTTGTTGCACCACTAGGGGGTGGAAATATTTGTTTCTCGTGCAATCTGGCTCTTGGTTGGGTTCGCCGAGCCAATGCCCTCTCGTGGCATTCGGCCTTTCGATGAAGGAGGTTTGCAGAAAGCGATTTTCGAGGCACCAAGTCCACATGTGGATGAGAATGGTCAGCATCATGCATCAGGGAAGCTCAGCCTCGTGTGCATATAGCGCTGTTGTCCCTGTTTCTCTTCTTTTCTTCTTTTTGTTGCTGTATGAGATCAAGACCCTGACGAGGCCGAGGCCGAGACGAGACAAATTTAATACAATTACTTGTGCTACAGTAATCGTACATCTACAAACGCTGCGCTGTTGGGTTTTGCCTTGATCTTCCATTCGAACTTGGACGGATCCTAAGGACTCGACAGGAGCGGTGTTAAGAACCCCCCGGCGGCATTGCGGTCAGCAAGCTACATGTTTCCATCCACTCCAGGCTTATATCCGAATCGCCCTAGCACTGGCCTACACATACCCATCCGACACCAACCCGACATGCTGATGAAGACTACTAGTAATATAAATTAACTCAATGTGGATACATACGGAGTACTGTACACATGGAAACAAGTACAAGTAATGACTGGTGGGCGATTGGACTTACAGTACGGAGTACCATGCTTATGGTGAGTGATATATAGTATATTGTACATATTCCAGCCTGAGCCCTCCGGCCGGACCTTATGCCCTCTGTCCATCCAACTTCACTCTTCACGGGCTCGCGGACTACTCCAAGGCTGCCATCCAAAGTCTATCGTCGAGCCAGGCACGCCACGCCCCGACAGCACCATCATCTAAAGAAATCATGGTCCACCTGATCCTCACGGGGGCGACCGGGCTCGTCGGGTCCAGCGTGCTCTCGCACATTCTGTCGCTGCCCAGCGGCGGCAACATCACACGGCTGAGCATCCTGACGCGCAACCCGACGATCCCGTTGCTGGCGACGCCGCCGCCGCCAGGCACGCCGAGCAGCAACAAGAGCACGCGCATCGAGGTGATCGAGCACCGCGACTTTACCACGTACCCGCCCGAACTGCTCGAGCGGCTGCAAGGCGCCGACGCGTGTATCTGGGCGCTGGGCGTGAGCCAGAACAGCGTCGACAAGGACGCGTACGTGCGTGTGACGCGCGACTTTGCCCTCGAGGCGGCCAAGGCCTTTGCCGGGTTGAGGACCAGCAAGCCGAAGACCAAGACCAAGAATCAGACGGAGACGAACACGAACACGAACACCAACACGGAGACGACCACGAACACAGACATTGACAGCGACGCTTCCAAGTTCAAATTCATCTATGTGTCGGGCGAAGGCGCCACGCTGACCCCGGGCCCGTGGACGCCGCTGTTCGGCCGGGTCAAGGGTGAAACCGAGGCCTCGTTGCTCGCTCTGTCCAAGTCACGACCCTCGCTGGCCGTGTATTCGGTGCGCCCGGGCGGCGTCGACGGCCACAACCAGCCCTGGCTGTGGCGCGATATCCTGGCCAACCGCAGAACCGCCTTCGAGCGCATCTACCTTCCAGTCTTGTTGGCGCCAGTCCGCTGGGCGAGTGGCGTCGGCCTGGCCACTGTCTGGCATTCTCCCACCGACGAGCTGGGCCGCGTGCTCGTCGAGATGGCCGTAGACGAGAGCAGGGCGCCGTTTGAGGGGCCAGGCGTGGACGGCGAGGGCAGGACCTTGGCTAATCTTGCTTTGAGACGGCTGGGGCGGGCTGGCAAAGACGGTCAGAATGGAAATGGGCATGGACAATGAAACAAGCCCGTGGTAAACGCCCGAGTCAAAAACCTATTTGTATCTATATCTGTATCTGTATCTGTCACGCAGTGGCCAATGCCCGCTATATCTCTATCCCAAGTCGCTGTTATACTGTGTCTCCCGCGCGCTTGGAGGGGGTTTGGGTATATATATAATCAATTCCTGTTTTCCCTATGCATGCAGAATTTTCTCGCAACAACATCACTAACTCATAATCAAAATCTCCGTCCATATCTTTCGTCAATGATACACGTCTCAAGCCAGATTGGTCCTTTGGTCGAGCACAACTCATGAAAAGACTGGATCAAATCATCAAATCCTCATCACGACATACCGAGTCCCAACAAAACAGCGGCAATTGTAACGCAAACCGCAACAAACAAGTCACTCTGATTGACCTTGACGCTGGGACTCCCTAATGACGCGCCAGTGGCGGTGGGAGAAGCGGTGCTGGTTGAACTGGGGACACCACCAGTGGCCCCTCTGGTGGCATCCAGCTCACTGAAGCCGTCATCGCCGTCACCTCTCTCGGCGGCCACGTTCTGTTTGAACCAGTAGTTGTTCTGGCCGACAAGATTGCCCGGGGGCCAATACTCGCAGACCAGGAAGACGCCGCTGACATTATTCTTGCCGTGGCAGTCGGTCCATCCGCAGCCCGTCGCCTGCGTGCTCTTCCATACCAGCTGCGTGAAGTGGCCCGTCTCCTCAGTGAAGCCTGTGGGATCGCTGCTGCTGAAATCATAGTCTCGCCGCTCATCTCCCCATGCCTCCACCGCGGCCGTCACATTGGAATACCCTTGTGCTAGGTTCTCACCATACGGGCCGTGCGAATGCTCCCACACACACTTCTCCGAGTACGACTGAGCATATTGGGCGAGAGTCTCGTTCCAGTAAATATACGAGGCTGAGTGTTCATATCGATAAAAGTTGGTGGAATTGAGAATCGACTCTCGGAAGTCCAGCGAACCTGTGTACTGTGGAGACAAAGGCATCGTCGGCGCCGCTGTAGTATAGTAATGGGTGATGGTTGTAGCGACGACTTGGGTGTCTTGACACAGCGTTGGCCCGAGATACAGCGCAAGGGTTGTCAGGCAGAGGCACAGGCGGAACAGTGCAGCAGGGTGCATTTTGTTTGTATGTTTATATGGATGTTATGAACGACTGTTTTCTGCTCTCTGTTCCTGTTCCCTTCTCTTTCAACCCTTTCCAGATGGTCTATAATAGCATGGTGGTGCTGACAAGGGATGATCGTGAGGGTATCTAGCAACGGCCTGACAACAATGTTGTATGTAGATGTGATGTTGTTCAATCGTGTGGGTATGTGGTAAAGGAATGCCGTGTAGTAAGAGACTGACTGGACTATAGGCGACGACAATAGAGAGTGAAAAGTAACACGCTTGATAGTAATCAATGAGAGAGTCTAAGCACAGGTAGACAAACCATATTGAGACGATGCAAGGTGACCTGAGCCTGTCGAGGATGCTGATGGTCAGCTATGGGCCCCGGGCCTGAGGTGTTTCCAAACTGCGCCGCTCTGTCCGTGAGGGGCGACGTCATTGTTGTTGAAATCCGTGAATCCAGGCACTTCAGGCACCTACCACCTATACCAGGGATGCTTCTTTGCCAACTGACTTCACCAAGTTGTTTCCTTTTTCCTCGTGTCCTGTCCCCGTCCTCCGTGCTGATCCTGGGCAAGCAGGCAGCCTGACATAAACAAACAGACCGACCTACTCTTCTCCTCTCCTTCGGACCAGCCGGATTTGCTAAAGACAACTCGTCTCGGCTGGAAGAGTGCAGGCCATAATTGGCGAGGAGAAGCAAACAATGAAACCGTCCATTACGGGGGTCCACCTCTCGTGGCAATTAAAGCACGGTTTACTGTTCAGCGGTGAGTACCATGGTGTCACCTTGGATGAGCATGCAAGAAGATGGACCAAGATGAAGGATACTGGTAGCAAACAGACAATCAGGGGGGAACTCATACATATGGCCCTCCTCAGATGATAGAGCAGCTAAAGTCTTGCTCTACGATTCCAGCTGTAGAATGTTCTCTTTCACAGGCCTGTGTTGGGAGAGTTTATACAAGTGTTAAAGTCGTCATACGACGAGGCAGTGTTTCCAGCCTACTTCACTTCACCTTCTAAACACACCTGAGTGTGACTTCTTTCCATTTCGTGCTCACTTACTCTTGTCGTTTCTATTTTGTCGTCGCAGCCATTCCCTTCTATCGTGAACCACCATTGTCCAGTCAATCTCAGACAGTTGCGTTTGCACTGGCATCCAGCCATTCCTTGTATCCACGGACAAGAAGGACATGAGTCTGATAAAGCCCCGGCTGCATCTCCCACGGAATTCACTGGTCGTAAGTGCACACTTAGCCTCCAAGCAGCGGGCGAGAGAGGTTGATCTTGACACAGACACGAATGAGCCTACGACTTTCACAGGGCACGGCATCCGCTCTGTAACGTCTAAGTCTCATGTAGGCGACTCCTCTGATCTCCTGTGCAACATCAGAGCAGACAAGGGGCAGTATGCTGAAGCAAAGCGTTGCTAGACGGTCACAGAAACTCCGTGTCTCGTCGGCCAAAACCGCGACCCAACCATGACCGAGGTCACCGAAGCCTTCCTCCTGAACATCTTCAGCAATAAGCTGGCATGGGAAGTTGCCCACAAAGCTGCTCTTGAGTCATCCAAGGTGTATCGTAAAGGCCTTCTCTCTCGTCTCGCATACCTGACTGTCCTCAAGCAAATCACTGTCCCGGACCTCCTCGAGCGCTGCCAGATAATCAAGTCAAAAGCCAGGATCATCGATGCACAAAGCGTAGCCAACCACTATGACTGGATGCTGTACTGGCTCGACTTGCCAGACATGGTCGACGAAGTGGTCAAACACGCCAACTGGGTCAAGCTGCTCGAGGAGGAATATATCAAGATCGAGCCTGTCTGGAGGGATTTCTGGTCGCTCATGAATGAGCCTGACTCGACTCTACTTTGCGCACCTGTGATGCCTGTTCGAGACAGAACCCCTAGCCAGATCTATAGGGAGCTGGCCGAACACAATACCAAAAGAACTTTCCTGCAGACCCGCATCTTGGAGGGTAAAGAATTTCTCCTCAAGTTCTACAAGGAACCACCGGCCTGGTCGGCATGGGGGACCGTCGAGACCGAAGACAGTAACCTCGACGAGGAGAGGAACACTGGGTTTGTCGAAGAACTCGAGGAGGATGAAGGGGAAGAAGAATTCGAGTTGTAAATAGAGAGGCCTAGGAGCAGACAGAAGGATTGACAATTGACCAAACCTGTTGATCTATTGGCGACCCTGTGCATTACATGACCGTGCATGCCTCACCTCGAACCTTGCCCTCGACCCTGCTTCTGACAAGCAACCAATCGCTCCGTCTTTCCGCAAACTCCACTACCTCCTCGACCGTAAAGACGCCTTTATACCGCTCGCCGTCTGAAATGATCGTCGCCATCTCTGCCACATCCCGCTCGCTTTCGCCACCGATCAGATAAATCTGCGCGACCTCACGGAGGGCCGAGAAATACGATGTCAGGTCATTGTTCTTGAAGCCGGCCACAAAATTCGCATAGGCGGTCAAGTCGGAGAGAAGTGGCAGAGCACCCAACGTCGAGATACGCTGGCGTTTGATATGTTTGTTCAATGTGGTGAATAGGCGCAGGCCAACTTCTGTTGTAAACACGTCGAGGAGAGTCTTCTCCGTTGCGCCCTTGAGCATACTTGTATGGTGTGAGACAAGCTGAATGACGAGAGAGGCCGTTTTGGTCGGTTGACCGGAGAAATCGAGGATCATTGAGTTGGAGCCACCGGTTTTGACTCCGTTTACGCTGCTGGTACTAGCGAGTTCAGGATAGAAATCGGTCGGAAGCTGTGTCGTCGCGCATAAAAATTCAACCTCGTTCATGAGGACATCAATGCCTTTGCCCAAACCTGCAGCCACCCGTTCGTCAAGCATCGCTTCAAACTTTTTCTTCTCTTTGACATTGATGTCGAGGAAGTCGTCGCGGTTGGAGATGCGCAGACGCACTAATTCTGACTCATAGAAGACGTCGAGCATTTGCTGGATCAGATCACCGACATTCACGAGTTCAAGAAATGTGACCAAAGGAGCAACTTGCATTGGCGGCGTTGATTCGGCGTCCTGGTTTGCTTCTCGTGGGTTGTAGAGCGAAAGATGCTCGATAGCCTGGTCGAAACCGGCCTTGACGTGGCGGACACCAACGGATTGAAGAAGGGTGATGAAGATGGCAGAACACTGATTGCGGGCTGCCTCCCCTGGTTTGCCTCCCAAAGAGAGGAATTGAGCTGTTCGTTCAAGAGAAGCTTTGGCGGCATGGACAAGATTTAGCGCCACTTCGATGGAAAAGAGAGATCGGATATTCTCCAGCTTTGTATTCATCAGGGCAGCTTTGGCAGCCAGTTCAGACGTCGGGGCTGCAACCGGGAGCGATGGAGTCGCAGTCGCCGGAGCCTGTGCATTGGGGGTCGACGGCCGAGATGTAACACCAACGTCGCCATTTACTAGAGCTTTCGCTGTAGTCTTGCTGTTTGAGGAACCCGAAAAACTGGGGAGGATATTGACAGGCATCATGACCACTTTCTTGAACGATGACATAAAATCCTTCTTGTCAGCTTGGCGATTGATGTTGGACATGAGGAAACTTTCGGTCGACGCTGCCTTTTCTGATAGTGCTCGATCCCATTGCTCAACCTCAGAATCTGCTTTCTGGCGGAAAAGGCTCAATTCTTCGGCGAGATACGAGTCGAGATGAGGACCAAAGATCTGAGTCAGGACGGCATTGGATCGGGATATGGCGTCATCGTCGACATTATCGGGAAGAGCAACGGTGGCAATGAACTGTTTGGTCGCAGCAAATGCTCCGGACACAATTCGTAGATACACAGACGCTCCCAGAGATTGTGCATCTGCAAACAAAGAGGATAGAAATGGCAAGAGAACATCCTTGGCCACCTGTTCGAGGAAACGCAAAGAGACTTCTTTCGGGTTGGGAAAAACCGCCTCGATAATGACCTTCTCATGGCTAAATGCATCTTCCAATCTTTCAAAGAAGGCCTGAATCTTCTCTAGGGAAAGTTGACCATGGCCTGAAGAGTAATCGAGACAGTCCGACACCGTGCCAAGTGATATCTTCTGAGTGATGAGGTTGTTGTCGTGTAAGAACAGTTCCACGCAACTCTTGCCATCGTCCAGGTAGTACATGACTCTGGCGTACAGACGCATCCTTCCTTGGATATCTTTGTATTCATAGCCCCTCCGGAATTCCAGCAAAGCTGCCGTATCGAACATCTCAACCGCTTCCGCAAGTCGCCTTTCACGGGCTCCCGAGCCCGGAGAGAAATCACTCGCGGAGAATGTTCGCACATTAGCCAGCAGCTGTGCTTGTTGATCTGGCACAACGAAATCTCTAAACACGCGGCTTTCCAGGGGCTTGGGACACGAGAGTAGATCGAGGTAGTAGGGAGCCAACAGTTTGTAGATCTTGCCGTATTCTTGTCTGGCTTGTCCTCGTATGGATTTGACGTGTTCAAATACCGACAATGTTACATTGCGGTCAACCATCGATTCGGCAGCAACAATCGCCCTGGGACGTGACACTTCTGCCACGTCAAACCCATCTGCTACGGCCGGTCGGGCTCGCAGAGGTGAGAGCACGTTGGACTGGCGCCGCTGAGGAGATGAAGAGGAGTCGATATCAAACAGAACTTCGGGTCTGCCCTTCCCATTCACCACGGCGCGATCTATCATGCTTTGTCTCCGACCTGAAGTTGATGGCGCCTTGACAGGCTCGACTCTTCCTCTCGCCTCTGCATCGTTCCAACAGCCCATGCTCCTTAACCTCTTGATCCATCTCGCATCATCATAGACCATCTCATGCATTCGACGTGACGCTCGAGCGAATCGCAGAAGATCGGGGACGTCTAGGTAGTCGACAATAGTGGCTAGAACCTCTAGAATAGTTTAGTCTTCCTAGAACAATCTAGGAAAGTGCAGGGAGGCCCTACCTGCTGGGAGGACTGGTTTTGAGATGATAATATCAGCGAGCTTCAACGAAGCCAACGGATCTCTCCGCGGCGCCTTGTTGGCAGCTGGGGGCTTCTTTGATCTAGACATGCTGTGATAGCCGCGTTCGTGTTTACCCAGACAATCCACCGGCTCAGTTAGAGCCGTGCCATACTGGAAGAAGGATCGGCTGACCCAGGAATCTGATCATAGCGGCGCCAGTCTTCGTGCCTCGAGGTAAGGGGCCAGGGGCACCAATGGACGTTGTAGAGGTCGTGGACACCTAGGACAGTCAGAGGTGGTGATCGCAGGGTAGGTATATGTAGGGTATGAAGCGCAGATACAGAGTGCCAGGCCTGATGCCCAGTCTTCGAGCTGTCGCCGCTTTAATTTGTAGACACACCCATTTCTAGGAGTATAGACACTCCCCACTTACGGAAAAGGACATATGCTCAATACGAAACGCACGAGGACCCTTGAGTATACACGGACAGGCCAATGTGGGATGGGAACATGCGCACTGGGAAGTTGGGAAGTACAAGAAAGCCTCCGACCTGAACGGCGCCAGCTATAGCGGCATGACCTCGGTCAGCACTCGCAAGAAACAACAATTTCATAGACTGCGATGCATAAAACAAACGACATCCACCGTACTCCGTTTAGTTATCCTGACAAGAAGAGTGGTCATGCCCTTTTGCATATTTGCTGGATGCTTTCCGCCGAGCCCAACCAGCCACGCTACGATCAAATCCGAGTAGGTAGCTATGGTGGTCAGCCATCCCTCAAAAGGCATCATCATCGAGCGGGTGATTGCTTGAGATTTGCAACTCTCCATTCTAATCTTCCTCGTCATAGCCGTCTTCATAGTCATCCTCCTCGATGCCCTTTCGCTTTTTGTTGTTGTTTCCATCCACCTTCCTGATGGGGATTTTGATGCCTTGTTTTGCAAACTGCCGATTCAACTCGGTGGTTTCGATCACACCAGGGAACTTCTTGGCACTATAAACCTTGAAGGGCCGACTGAAAGCTGTTGCCAGACACGGTGCCTCGCTGAAAAGCTCGGGGTTCTGAAGGCTGCCACTGCTGTCCCCCTCCGTGAGGTTAAACTCCGACAAATTGAAGAAGTTCATTTTCAACCGGAACCATCCTTCAGTACGAACGCTGAGGTCTTGAAGCACAAACCACAATCCAACCTTTCCTTTGTTATCAACCAACCGGAAGGCACTTGATGATGCGCTTCCAATAAGATTTTTGGCGATCTGAGTGTCTTTTGGTGGTCCGAGGTCTTGGGATGAACGAGCAGAGCGTATCTGGCTTCCGGAAGATATTGAGCCAACAGTGGAGGCACGAGAGTTGTAGGATGGCTCGTAACCATTTTGGTACTGGGCATTATATGGATATGGTGGATTTCTTTGTGCGTAGCTGGGACCACCATTGCTGTACGGACGTGGATCGTCGTTGTTGTAGGCCGAGGAGGCAGAATTTGGACCGCTCGTGGTGGGTGATGTATAGGTCTGAGATGAGTATGTTGGGGGATTTGTAGTGTTGTAGGTTGGAAGCGGTGCTGCAGTACCAGGTGTAGGACCTATGATCGTTGTAGGATATGCCGTTGTCACAACTGAAGAAATGGATGGCGAAGTGTTATTGTGCTTGACACAATTATCCTCTCGAGAACCGTGGAGATTCCACAAGTCGACGTTCAGAACCAGTCTCGAGAGATCTGAGACTTTTCTGCCTGAGGTTAGCACAGCACCGTCAAGGCGGTGGCCAGGCGACATACTCATAGTCAATCTCTACTCCCGTCCTTGGATTAAATATGATCAATCTGATACATGGCGGAGGGGATATAGGCCGGCGATCCTAGTGACATGTCAGCAATCGGTGTTCCGCGTTTGACCGTGGTAGATGTGGTACCTTGTCACCAAAACCGCACATGCGAGCTCGAATTGGCTGCTGGACAACCTCGAGTGCCCATCCTCGACCCTCCCATATCCTTGATATCGGTGCAGGGCCTTGCACATTGAAGTTTGCATCGTCATTTGCATCGCTACTCTGGCTCGGACTCGGCGGCGGAACGTTGGTGGCCGGCATATTGAACGGGGGGTATGGGGAGGTGTTCTGGGTTGGAGATTGCACAGGTACCGAGAGGGGTGGTGGTACGGGATGCTGCCCTGGTGGCCTTTGTTGGTAGTTATGCTGATGCGCCGGATACATCTGTTGATGCAAAAGGAATTTTGACGTCGAAGAGAGGCAGAGAGGAAGAGAAAGAGCGAGGGCGTGTATCGCAACTTAAATACGACGCCCTGAGGACCTGCCCAAGTCCCTCAGGTGTCTGTTGAGTCTTTTCCGCAGCAAAGTTTCTTCACCACTGTATGCTCAGTAACGACAGGCAGGGGCAATGGGAATCTCTATCGGAGTTCCAGTGCGGTAGTAGCTCCCGTGGCCTCAGGTCCTCATCGAAAGTGGTTATTATCTGAAGAACTCGGCGGCACCCCTCCCGTGCCACAAAGTCCGGTTTGTGGAGTTCGGCTCGGGCGTAAATATCGAATCTAGACTCGAACCACAGAATTTAAATGGACAAGAGGATAGCTTAGCTGAGGGATGGCCGTTGAGGTGACACAGAGAGTCGGAGGAAAGGGTGAATAAGAGGATCCTTTGTGTCGGCTTCTAGGTGACACCAGTGGAAAGTCAGGGCTTGCCGTGGAAGTTATCCGTTGTATTTATTGGCCAACGGATGAAGAGTCGGGTTGATATGACAGTGACAACCACGATCTTCTGACAGGTTTGACGGGACCCTCGTTTAAGGCAAGACTACCAAGATCTGTCAGGTTGAGAGGGTCGTTTGCGGGCCCTGACAGTTGAAGGGGGATGTTACCGTGTCTCCCAGGCGCGAAGGTTATACTCAGATACTGTGAATCAGGTTGGGACCGCGAGAGACATGCAGATGAAAGATGAGGCGGGCGGGACTCAGAGGGTGTGATAACAAGGCTGGATAAGCGACTTGAATGGACCAGAACCACCGTAGATGCAGCCGGGCTTGCCAGAGACGAGCACCGCCATGGAAGATTCTGATCGCGAAATATCCGTCCTGGTCGATCGAAGGGGCAACGGGGCGTCGCGACTGTGGATCGAGCCGTATCAGGAGTGGATGAGGTCGACCGAGTCGAGTCGGGCGTTGACTTTCCGAGGCAGGGTGGTTGTATGCTGGAGAGGGTGGCGTGGCCCGTGTCAGAGGAGGTGGAAGAAGGTCGTCAAGGGTATTTGAACACGACGCAACTTGAGCCTGGCGTCTGTTGAAGCAGATGACAAGCTGACTCGAATGGGAATGAGGTGGTGAACAGCTGGGGCAAGTAGTATTTAGTGGCTAGTCTGAGTAGTACCTGGTCGGAAGGGCTTGGTGGGGATGGAGAAGTCTCGGATGCTGGTAGGAAGATGGATGCGTGGATCTGACGATCAATCACAACATGCACGAACCGCGAGACAATGGTGGATCGAGGATGCGATGAGCATTGAGGACACATGCAGCGGATGGGGAAAGATGAATAATAATAGATGATGGGCCCGTACTCCGTACGTCAAGCAGTGCGAACCCGAACAGTGTTCGTAGTTAGTCTGTAGTCTGCAGTCTGCAGTCTGCGGTCTGCAAAACCTGTGCCGTGCCCAGGTGTCAGGACGCTGGCGGCGGCGGCGGCGGCGTCCCCAAAGATCCGAGAAGCAAGCCATCCGCATCTGGATTAGCACAATGGGAACTAGTACCCCTAGTACATATATCAGGATGTTTCCAGAGGAAGCTTCGTGCTAGGTTCGAACTAATTCCTGACTAGGCGCCTTACTCCGTACCGCTGTTCTTGTTACAAATTAGTACGGGGTACTAGTACCTCTCTCAGGTAGCTAGATACCAGATGGTTCGAGCACAAGTGGTCAACAGTCCCCCGGGGGGCCCAGGCGTCTGGGTCACAGTCGAAATACGGATACAGGCGCATGAACAGTTACAGAGTCTGAATAGCCGTGCTCGGGTACCCAGGTGAGCAGGTATGGAGGTATTAAGTAACTGTACAAAAGCCCAGACACCTACCTAGTATATTGTACAGCGGTACTACTATTCCTACCTAGGTTGATGTACTTGAGCTCTCAGGCACCTAGTCAGGTGTCAGCCAAGTGCCTTAGCAAACAGCTTCTAAGTAGGAGAGCAGTCTAGGTACCGAGTACTATGTACCTAAACCGAGCCAGATCCTACTACCTAGGTAGTAACACTCCATGGCCGATAAGGGCCTTTTAGCTGTCTACCTAGGTCGGGTAGGGTATCTACAACCTGTAGATACGGAGAACCATCACCCTACTGACTCGTCGTCCTAAGCCGAAGTCCTAAGGATCCCTAGGTCCCTCACCTGTTAGGCACCTGAGGTGTCCAAAGTACTCCGTACGGATACTCCGTACTTTCTTTATATGACCGGGGTCTGTATTTCACTAACAAATGACTAACATTAGGCCCTGGATAACGCCCGTTCAGCCCGCGCCTTCTCCCGAGACGAGGGTCCCCCTGCTTTGTTGAGCGCCACTGTATCTCTTGTTGGTTACCATAAAATGCACCCTGGTCTTTGCATGGCCAACGCTGCAGTGTTGCCTCCGGTCTGTTTCATTGTTCTGTTAGATCCTGTTCCCCAGCTTCAGTTATTTTGGTTGGACACATGATGTTCTATTCATACATACTCAGTACGAGTACAGTGTCTGTGTCTTGACCTCGGCCATTTCATGCTCGCTCCGAGCTCCATCCATCATTGGGCCACTCCAGCAATACTCCGTACAAGAATACGTACCTGTATCCTACTGTCCTGTCAAACGCCACCCGTTGCTGAGAATCACAGACCCGCTTCGCTTCCTAGACCCATAGAAAGCTGCCAGCTTTTTGTCGGCTGCGGTGGTGCTCCCGAAGAACTACGGAATACGGAGTACGTACTCTGTAAATGCAGTGTACACTGTACAGAGAGGTACTAACCTAGCCCTAGTCCAATGTTACAGTTTGTCTTTTTGACAGGTCGCGGCGTTAGCTAGAGTTTTGCCCCCGATCTTTCTTCAAAAAAATGCGGACTCCACAGAAGTTGATCGCCAACACAGAGTACGGAGTACTGCATAGTGTATAGCAAATACCCATGGAGACTAAGTACCGATGAGGCTGAGGCTAATTTTATACTCGTCAACAGTGGCACGGTGGTGGCACACACGTGTCTGTCATAATTACAACTTACAGAATAGATGCCAACATCGCATGCCATCCTTCTGGTTGATCTTCCGTGATTTCGTGTCGCGTCATCGGGCTGTTCGCTGTTAGGCCAAGAGCGCACAAAACATGTACGTAGTGAGTAACCAGGTGGAAACGGACTCTCCATTGCAACGTGTCACTTTTCTGCCACGCGCAAGCTGTGTTAGGCAATGATGCACAACTTGAACAAAGACCCCGGCACTCGGCCCCTCTCTCTCTCTCTCTCTCTGCCAACGTGAGGGGTTATTTGCAGATCAACTGTGCTCTCAACTTGATCGGCGAATGTGGAAGAGGACTTCCGTGATTGCATCGCCTGGTCGATCGTAACCTGTTGTATCCTTTTGGACTCTGGGCCGCAAACAGTAAAGAGAAGCCGTCAGTGCCTTGGTAACCCAGGATGCTCTCACGAACGAACATCCAACACAACATTCTTCGGACTGCCCATATTTGCATCCGTCCAAGTTTCGAGACTCTCATTCGCCTTTTAGACCCGTCTCGACCCGACCGCTTTTCTGGCCTTCACCTCGCCAATTGCGACGTGTTCCAAACTGTTTTTTTGACACTGTGCATGCGCTAAAGAACGGTTAGACCTCGCCGAGATCATCCGATAGATGTTGCGTATCAACAGGCATGTGGAAAGATATCAGAGGATGTCAAAAATGTATAAATCATGCTCGCTGCAAACGAGCCTGCTTGTGACCATGACCACGTTCGTTAATTAGTCCAAACACCAAAGCATATCAGTCGCCCGTAGGGCAAAATTAAGGTTAGACGCCATATGTCCCATATCAAGTGTACGCAATTCGTGCGGTGAATCCCTCAATCCTAGGCACCCACGCTCATTTCTCGCCTTCGTGCTTTGTAGCTACACCTTCATTGGCCTTTTTCGCGAGTGCTCGGACGACGCCTCGATCCTCGGATCCCTGACGATTGAAAGATTCTGTGCGCACTTTCTCATTATGCGCTTTGGCGGCCTGGAGCTCGCGTTCGGTGGGTTTGTATGTGTTGGCTACGCCGCCTGATGCCAATAGTCAGCCAATGCCGACTTGCTTTCTGCACCTCCCAACAGCACATACCTCTACCGGTGTGATACGATCCTTCTGGAAGGGTGATGCCCGGAACATCCACGTCTTGGGCGCGCCGCGCTTCTTCCGGGTGCTTAGGGTCATTCTTAGCCATGTTGCCTGCACCGCCTCGGCCAGTAGTGTAGGTTTTGGACTTCAACGTGGGTGTGCTTTCGGGTTCGAATTTGGGTGACCGGGCGGATTTGACGGTGACATTGCCTGAGAAGATCTTGCGTCAGACAGGGCAGGGTCAACCAGTCCCGGGTTGGCTCTTCCACTCACCTGCACCACCCCGGCCGTAGGTGACAGCGGGAGCGGGTTTGGACATCTTCGACTTGTCGGTCTGATGATATGAGAAAAGTCAAACCGCCAGAGAGTATATTCCGGCAACACAGCGCAAGGATCACCGACTGGGTGGGGGCTCTGCTACAAAAAGAGAGGCTTTGGGAGCAGTGGTGACGGTGGACGGTCAAAGTCTGTTAATTACTCATGCATGTAGGTAGGTATAGAGTAACAGCAGGTTATTGAAGAGAATATCTACAGGGTAGGATATACCATCTTTTCTACTCAAGCCTACCCTGTGCTGGCGCGTGTGCTGCCAGAGTTTGCATCATTGCGCCTTTGGCTAGGCCAATGCAAGAAAAAGCTTTTGATGGTCACACGTACGGAGTGAAAAGAGCCTGGGGAGGATGACTGAATGACGCTCAGGCCAACGCGAAACAAAGACGTAAGAGAAACAGCCTCATTAGCCTTTGGGAGGTGGCATCACATCACCCAAGAGGCTAGAAGGGCTAAGAAAAGATCCATCAGGCTGGGCATTTCAAGTTCTTCCTGCGAGTGCTAGTTCTCCGCACTAAGGTAGCCGACCCAGGACCGAATTAGTAAGAGAGGCTTAGGGGCTTAGGCTCCTCACCTATGTACCTGAGGTACCAACCTACCTAACTAAGGTACACAAGAGATGTGCGGCTGCACACCCACAGGTTCTTATGGCCATTTTATGCCTAGTAATAGTACGAGTAGGTACTACTACTATCATATGCGGGATCAAAGCTGGAGGCAGCGAATGCAATTCTACCCCAATTTGTACAAATACCTACCTATGGTATTGTGCAGTTGTGGCTGGACAACCTAACACCAACATGGTGCTTGATTGTCAATCTGGTGACAGACAGCTCTATGCGTACAGATTATTCACAATCTGTCTTGCTCTATTCGGTCTGACCAGGCGAAGACTCTGCTTGTGCTAAAGCTCTGTAGTTCAGTTTGACCACGATGTTGCCGTGCCTGTACGGAGTACCACGGGTAAACATGCCTGAATAAGCGGTCCATGAGATGACGCAATGTATGTGTACTCACTGACTCAGAACCCTCGAGTGCCACTGCCATCATTAGAACAGCAATCTTCCCTCAAGCCACCGATGCTGACTAGATGGGAAGTGGACACGGATTGTGGCTGCAACCTACGTAACCTATCTATGGAGTACTCCGTACTTTGGTTCCTACCTTAGGTTAGGGAAGTAGCATTGCACCTGGCAGGTGCCTGGGAGCCTTAGCCCTCAGGCGTCATCTTACCGATAAGCCGCCCGCAAGCTTAAGTTGCCGTTAGGCACTCGTATAGGGACTCTCCCGCCTAATCACACGCTTCCGTGCTCTGCTCCTTCCCCGCCATTCGCCTGTGCAGAGTTGAAATGCAGGAACTATGGCGCCGGCTTACCGTGCCTACCCAGGTTTCTGAACTTTCCCATGCCTGCCTGTTGGCTGAGGCTGCCTTGTATTTCAACGCGTAGCGTCTGATAATTCTCGAGCCATGACTTCATTCATTTGACTTGATCTCACCAGCACCGGCGGCGAGAAATATCGTTGCTCTTCATCCTTAGTTCTTGTATCCGTATTACCCCTTCGTTCTTTGTCGATACTGTTTCTCCTTGCAGCTTCTCAGGACTCTGTTGCTAGAGCTTTTTGTGTTGACGTTGACGAGCAAACTATGAGATAGCTGTCCGTTCTCCAATCCAGCAACGAGTTCTGTTCGCAGAGCTGCCTTTGCATCTGCATCATGCCCCCTAAGACTCGCCAGAGCACTCGTCAGGTCTACCTGCTGCCTCTCACCGATGCCGGCGCACCGGACGTTCCCCAAGAATATATCTACCTTCCTGCGCCTATCGATCCCCCCTACTACCTGAGGTTTGCCATCGAAGGGACAAGCTCAATATGCCGTCAAGGAAGTCTCTGGCTCAATATACCCGAACCCGGCCAACCGTTCGATCGAAATCATTTCCGCGAGTACAAGCTGCATCCGGACTTCAATCGGACCCTCGAGATTGATGTGCCCATTACCTGCGCTGGAGCATTTTCCTTCTACACCACCTACACCCCCCTGCCCGAATTTTCGGTTGAAGATGTCGAAACGCCTCAGCCGACTCGTACGCAAACCTACTATGTCGACATTGAGCCAAAATTAACCTTGGCCGGTTCGAGCCTGCCCTTGGATGCTTTGGGCATTTTCTCGGTCGTCTCTAAGTTCATGGGCAAATATCCGGAGGATTGGGACAAGCACTTCAGAGGTATAAGTGCGAGAGGCTACAATATGGTTCATTTCACTCCGTTGCAACAGAGGGGAGAGTCCAATTCACCTTACAGCTTGTACGACCAATTGGCTTTCGACGAAGAGCTCTTTCCTGGGGGAGAAATTGATATCGCAAAGATGGTAAAGTCAATGGAACAAGAGTACGAGCTGCTAGGTCTGACTGATGTCGTCTTCAATCATACCGCCAACAATAGCAAGTGGCTAGAAGAGCATCCAGAAGTGGGCTACAATATTGTGACTGCACCGTGGCTGGAGTCGGCACTGGAGCTTGATGACGCTCTCCTTGAGTACAGCGAGCAGCTCGAGTCGCTCGGCCTGCCGACCGTCTTCAACAGTACTAGTGACCTGGATCGGGCTGTCGATGGAATCAAAGCACACGTTGTCAACAAAATTCGTTTGTGGGAGTACTTCGTCTGCGACGTCGTATCCGACACAAAAGCCGTTGTTGACGCCTGGAAAAGGGGAGCCACCAAGCTGCCAATAGGGGGATTCGAGGATGCCGTTGGTGGCGGACTTGATTCACTGAAATCATGGTCACTCTATCAGAAAGCAAATTTTCTCAAAGAAAAGGGGCTCCTTAATGGTCTGCGTATAGATGGCCGCTTTTCTCGGAAACTCAATCCTGAGATTGCATCGGCAATGTTGACGGTTTTGTATGGACGGTACGAAGATGGCGCAGATTTCCATGCAGCTGAAGAGGCAATAACGGCAATTCTAAATGAGCTGAATCTTCCTTTCTACCAGGAATACGATGCAGACGTTGCGTCTATCCTCGATCAGGTCAAAGGCAGATTACAGTACACTCGGCTGGACCCAAACGGCCCGAAGTTGGGCCCGGTCACCAAGGAAAACCCTTTGATCGAGACCTACTTTGCTCGACTTCCGTTGAATGAGACAACCAAGAAGCACGATCCCAGGTCATTGTCACTGGCTGTCAATGGGTGGATCTGGGCTGCAGATGCCATGAAAGACAATGCGGGCCCGGACTGGCGACCTTACCTCAGAAGGGAACTCATTCCATGGAGCGACTGTGTCAAACTGCGGTACGGCAAAGGACCGGAGGATAGTCCCTACTTGTGGGAGCACATGACAAAATACGTTCGACTGATGGCTAAATACTTCACCGCCTTTCGAATTGACAATTGTCATTCCACTCCAATCCATGTTGCAGAGTATCTACTCGACGAAGCAAGAAAGGTTCAGCCGAACTTGGCTATATTTGCCGAACTATTTACCGGCAACGAAGAGACCGACTACGTCTTTGTAAAGCGACTCGGCCTCAGTGCCTTGATTCGAGAGGCCATGCAGGCTTGGAGCACACAAGAACTGAGCAGAATCGTGCATCGTCATTGTGGACGACCTATTGGCAGTTTCGAGATCAATGTGCCTCAACGATCGAAGCACCATCCTAACAGTACTGTTAGTGAAGATGGGCCAAGGCCCAAAGAGGTAGTCAAGCATATCAGACAGAGTCCAGTGCATGCTTTGTTCATGGATTGCACCCATGATAATGAGATGCCGGCTCAAAAGCGTGACGCGCGAGACACCTTGCCCACAGCCGCTCTAGTCAACATGTGTGCATGTGCTACGGGCAGCGTGATGGGGTTCGACGAGATATACCCAAAGCTGGTTGAAATCGTGCATGAGCACCGTACGTACACATCCGCGAGCTCCGAGGGAGAAGTCAAAACCGATGGGGCGGAAGGAGGAATCGCCGGGGTCAAGAAGATCTTGAACCAGATCCACACTATGATGGGCAAAGACGGCTATGATGAGACTTTTCTTCACCATGAAGGCGAACTAATCACCCTCCACAGGGTGCATCCAGATTCCCGCAAGGGATATTTTCTCATCGCACACACGGCTTTTCCCGGTTCGGGTAATGGCAATGGTGGTTTGAGTCCCGTCCACCTAGCTGGCACTAAAGCTCGCCAGCTTGGGGCCTGGGTGCTGGAGGTGGATCAGAGCAGTGAAGCAAAAGAATCTGCTTTCTCCGATGAAGAGCACCTCGTTGGGTTACCATCCCGGGTCAAACAGATCAAAGGCGCTACTATCGAGTCTGACAACGGCGACACTACCATCACCATAGCAGATTTCTTCCCACCTGGGTCAATTGCTCTTTTCGAAACGTGGGTTCCCTCCGCAGAGCATTCTCTCGGCCTCGGTGCGTTCATCGCAAGTGGGACAGAGGAAGGCTTTGGAGAACTTGACCACACTGATCTCAATTCTGTCCTTTATCGGTGCGAGGCAGAAGAGCGCGATTCGAGCTCTGGCCAAGACGGCGTCTACCACATACCTGGATACGGTCCTTTGGTATATGCCGGGCTTCAAGGATGGTGGAGTGTCCTCGAGAATATTGTCCGACGAAACGACCTTGGCCATCCTCTTTGCAACCATCTTCGCGCAGGGCAATGGGCATTGGATTTCATTGTCGGGCGCCTGGAAAAGATTTCTGACCGCGAAGGACACTCACAGCTCCGGAAACCCGCCCAGTGGTTCAAAGAGCGGTTTGATGCGGTACGCCTTATTCCAAGTTTCCTTTTACCGCGTTACTTTGCTTTAATCGTCCAGAGCGCATACAATGCTGCATTCAAGAGAGCAATGGCTTTGATGAGCACGAACATTCGACAAGGCCAGGATTTCCTTCAGAGTCTAGCGATGATGAGCGTACAAATGGAGGGAAATGTCAAGTCTGCATCGTTGTGGCCAACTAGGAGTGTGCCCTGCCTTGCGGCAGGATTACCTCACTTCTCCGTGGAGTGGGCCAGATGCTGGGGTCGAGATGTATTCATCTCGTTGCGCGGCCTATTTTTGTGTACCGGTCAATTCGAAGCAGCCAAAGAGCACATCATAGCTTTTGGAAGTGTCTTGAAGCATGGACTGATTCCCAACTTGCTGAGTAGCGGTGCGGCTCCCCGGTACAACTCGAGAGACTCTCCCTGGTTCTTCCTTCAGAACATCCAAGACTACACCAAGATCGTTCCAAATGGGCTATCGATTCTGCAAGAAAAGGTCCCCCGTCGATTCCTTCCATACGACGACACATGGTTTCCCTATGACGATCCCCGCGCGTACTCCACCGAGTCCACCGTGGAGGAGATAGTCCAGGAAATCTTGCAACGTCATGCGTCTGGATTGTCGTTTCGGGAATATAATGCTGGACCTGAGTTGGACATGCAAATGAGGCCCGAGGGATTCCAGATTGATGTACAAGTGGATTGGAAGACGGGGATCATTTTCGGAGGCAATCAGTTCAATTGTGGAACTTGGATGGACAAAATGGGCGAGAGCGAACGAGCCGGCAGCAAAGGGATCCCTGGGACGCCCCGAGACGGGGCAGCCGTGGAGATCACGGGGCTCTCCTACAGTGCACTGCGATGGGTTTCTGAACTTCACGAGCAGGGGAAGTACCAGTACTCGGGAGTCGTGATCGACGAGGGAGAAAAGATCTCCTTCACTGAATGGGCAGATCGCATCAAAGCAAACTTTGAACGGTGTTACTGGATTCCGGTGGACCCAAGAGATGATGTTGACGGTGACATCAACACCAAGCTTATCAACCGTCGCGGTATCTACAAAGACTTGTATCGGTCCGGGAAACCGTACGAGGACTACCAACTCCGACCGAACTATTCCATCGCTATGACGGTGGCCCCTGATTTATTCACGCCTCAGAGGGCACTGGTGGCATTGAAGATGGCAGATGACGTTCTGCGTGGACCAACAGGGATGGCAACGCTTGATCCATCGGACCTGAACTACCGTCCCTACTACAACAACTCGGAAGATTCGGCGAACTTTGCAACGTCAAAAGGAAGAAACTATCATCAAGGGCCGGAATGGTTGTGGCCAACTGGATTCTTTTTGCGAGCATTACTCAAGTTTGACATCAAGCGACGAGACACTGCCGCAGCTCGGTTAGAATCATACCAACAGGTGACACAGCGTTTGGCCGGGTGCAAACAAGCAATCAAAGACAGTCCCTGGAAGGGGCTGACGGAGCTGACTAACAAAGACGGGACTTTCTGCGCAGATTCGGTATGTTATTGCCCAAGACTGCTTGACTCTGGTTATACTGACTGTCATATAGTCACCCACTCAGGCATGGTCTGGGGGATGCTTGATCGACCTGTTCCACGATGCATTGTCATTCGCACGCGAAGTGAAAGAGGCCAAAACTAATGGGGTATAGCTAGATGTTCAAGGAGATGCGGGCGCACTCTGACTCCAGCTAAGAGTATAAATGCCAGGACCTACGGAGTACAGGGCAATAGATACATGATGTGCGGATGGATAGACGGCTGGAGACAGATTGGTCAAGGGGCTGGGGGTGAGAGATTGGGTCGCCGACAAAACCACTGCTGTGGTGAAGGCCCTCAATGACCATCATTATGAATATTATATATTAGAGAATACCATTGTCTCAATCATGAGTCGAAGAAGATCTGACAAGGCTGTGGATAGGTACAATCCTGCTCGGTACCTGAGTTCTCCGTACTCATTCCGTGCAGTGCCACTGGGTGAGATGAAGAGCCTCAGCCTCGCCCTCAAGTCAGCGGCAAGGCTGGACTGCCATGTCCGCCAATCGGGGAGTCGGTATTTGTTGCACGGTGCAAGTCCCAGCGTGCCAGTGCCAGTGTCAGTTGCGTCATGGCAGGAAAATCCAGAGGTGATATCACACCAGACCGGTCGAGACCTTTAGGCTTTTACCCATCTTTGGTGGGACTGGTAATACCTAGTGTTAGTACTGGGCCGTACTAGGCAAGGGGCTCGGCTCGGCTACCTACCTAGGTACTAGAACGGCGTAACATAGTACGGAGTACGTACTACTAGTAATTAAATTTCTGGATGGCGGGCGACTTCAACAGTCACCGCCGTCGTCGCAGCCTCACATTCGCTTTTCCTGTCGACAATATCCGTACATCACTTGGTCTGGTTGCGCATCCGACTTCCTTCTACGCGTAGGTTTTCTTCCTGGCTCCTCCTGTCTCCTCCTGTCGACTTATCTGTCCTCGTTGCAATTATGGCTGTGAGTATCCCCGGGCGCTCTCTCTTACTACAATGTCCCCGCATGTTGTCCAGCAACAAGCCTCTTACACACTTGCTCGCTCACTAACTTTCTGAGGAACACAGTCCTACTACATTACCAACCCCAATGTCGGGAATAGAGAGAGCTCAGAAGACTGGCGGAGTATGTCCCCCCGCCTGGTCCATCTTGATCGTCTCATTGTCTGACTCATTCGTCCAACAGTCCGAGGATACAATCCTCTCACACCGCCAGGCCTATTACAACATGAAATTTCTCAGACCGATGCCTCGAAAGCTACTGTCCTCAAAGGCCGCGACGACTGCGTTGCCGTGATCCAAAACACGGACCCGAACCGACGTCTGCTAGTCATCGTCGGACCCTGCTCCATCCATGACCCTGTCTCCGCGCTCGATTACTGTGATCGGCTTTTGAAGCTGAAGGAAAAGTACCAGGATGACCTCGTCATCGTGATGCGGTCATACCTTGAAAAGCCTCGTACAACGGTTGGATGGAAGGGGCTCATCAACGACCCCGAGATCGATGGCAGTTTCTTGATCAACAAAGGCCTGAGATTGAGTCGGCAGTTGTTCGTCGATCTGACAAACAAGGGCATGCCAATCGCTAGTGAAATGCTGGACACCATCTCACCGCAGTTCTTGGCTGATTTGCTGAGCATTGGCGCCGTGGGTGCTAGGACCACAGAGTCACAACTTCACCGAGAACTGGCCTCGGGTTTGTCATTCCCTGTGGGCTTCAAGAACGGCACGGATGGCACGTTAGGCGTTGCAATTGACGCGATCGGCGCGGTTCAACATCCTCACCATTTCCTTTCAGTGACAAAGCCGGGCGTCGTGGCCATTGTGGGCACCGTGGGTAACGAAGACTGCTTCGTGATCTTGCGTGGTGGCACCACGGGGACCAATTACGACAAGGAAAGCATCCACAAGGCGAAGGCGAGCTTGATTGCCAAGAACCTCAACCCTAGAGTCATGGTGGATTGTTCGCACGGCAACAGCGAGAAACAGCATAAGAACCAGCTAAAGGTCGCCAGCGTGCTGGCTGATCAGATAGAGGAAGGAGAGGAGGGTATATTGGGCGTCATGATCGAAAGTCATATCAATGAAGGTAATTCACCCGCCCAGCCCCCCCCCCGTTGGTGCAACACTGTTTCAGTCCCCCGTGTCTGCAATTCAAATGAGACAATTACTGATGTTTTTGGCTTTATCCATCCAGGCAACCAAAAAGTGCCTTCAGAAGGCAAGGCAGGCCTGAAATATGGCGTCTCCATCACCGACGCCTGCATAGGCTGGGAAGACACGGAACAGGTGCTCGAGAGGCTAGCCGCTGCCGTGCAGAAACGCAGACAAAAACTCGGCGCGAAAATCGTCAATGGCACAACAGCGGCTGTGAATGGTAATGGGCATGCTTGAGGATGATACTGATTCATATTCGTGAACGAGAAAGAGGAGCGACGATGTGCATCTATAAAATCAGGGACCCGGACTGAGCGACGAGGTCATCATCATACACAGGGTCGAAACGGGGTTCAAACAGTAGGGTACCCTTCATCTCTGGAGAGACGGGGCGTTTCGAGGCGTCGTTTTCTCTAAAGCACCCCAGCATATAATTGGCGAGGCTAGGGTTAGGGTTGTAAAAAGTCATCAACACTGCTCTTTTACATGGAGATAAATGGAAAGAAAGCAAACAAAAGGAAGGGGATGGGATGGGAACGAAGCCGAGTTCTTCCAGCTCTTACTCTTGCGCGTGGCTACCTTCTACAGGTCGGCCGGTGCAAGCAACATACTTACTAGTTACTGCCATTCCACGCACTATATCCGTACGCAGTTCTGGACCAGTACAGTAATGCACGATACTCGGATCAAGAATGTGATATCGTCTGTGCTATGTGCCAGCACATGTAGGGGAGGCCGCAGCTACAGCTGCACCGTTTAGAGCCGTACGGAGTACGAGTAGCTGATATTGTTAAAATATTGAGGACTCGGAGCATTCCCCAGCCGCATCTACAAGTCCTCCACTATTCCTGAATATCTATATTGTATGTAGTCAGGGTGCGCCCTCCACCCCCATCTCGCTCAGACAGAACCTAACCTGGTGGGAGGGGAGGTGAAGTTGAAGTTGAAGTTGAAGTAAAGCAAGCCAACTGGAACGGAATGGAAAAGAAGCGGCTGTCACAATGTCGAGCTCTAAAAGATAAGTTTTTGCATGCTGCCTATGTATACAGGTATACAACCAAGTGGGTGTGTGGGTGTCAATGACTGGACGGTGTTATTGTTAAGAAAAGACTAGCCAACTACATGTAGATCGACGTCCAGCGTCGACTTCCTACTCGGCCGGCGTGCCGACTTCTCTGGGGTGCATAGATGTCGAATCAATCGACCTTAGATTCCCACCTCCCTCTACCACTGCCACCATCACCAACCTTGAAGCTAGTTCTCCTCCTCGTAGTGGTAGGGATAGTAGTAGTAGTCTCCCTCGTCGACTTGGTCGGGCATGGGACCGCTATTCCCGGGGCCCATGGGCGCGCGGAAACGAGTCGGGACCTCGGGACGCGCCACGGGATAGAAGACCTTCTTGTGCAGGGCCACGTTGGCGTCGGCGTCGGCGTCACGACGACGCAGACCCATGCCCAGCGTCCGGCTTTGCTGCTTGAAGTTCAGGTTGCGGATGTTCGGGTTTCCGGTCACCAGCCCCATGAACGGCTTGCTCGTCTGGTAGTCGTACCATTTATACTGCTTCAGTTGGATCCCTCCTCGACGGGCCAGCCGGCGAGGCGAAGGCTCCTCAGGCGAGAAGTCGAGGTTGACGGCGCGGCGGGCTAGGCGTGCAGCCTGGACGTCGCCGTCATCGTCGTCATCATCATAGTCATAGCCCTGGTACTCGTTGTTGTCAGGCGCAGGGCCATGGGAGCCGCGCGGACCAAACCCAATGCCACCAGGGACGTTGTGTTGGCCTTGATAAGGGTGCTGGTCGCCGTCGTTGTCGCCTTGGACATCGCCTTGCCCTTGGTATGGCATGCCATTGCCTTTTCCTTGACCCGGACCCATGGCTCCTCGCGGACCTCCACTCTGTCCCGGATTGCTGGAGGGCGTCCAGCGCCTCTCGATGTAGAGTCCTTCCTCGGGATAGTAGACTGGAACAGACTCGGGAGCGGGAGGAGGAGTTGGGGTCGCCACTGCTTCGGAAGTGGTACTCGGCGGAGAGGGCAGGGCACTAGCCTGGGCTATAGTGTAGGCCAGGATGACTGCAACTGTTGATGCTGTCAACTGCATGGTGACTTACTTTTCGATACTTCTTTTTCTTCCTGTTTTACTGTTATAAGTCTGTGGGGTGTATACAAGATAGACAACAAGAGGGTATCACTGGCCGGCGCATTCTTATATCGTGATTCCCTTTGAGGGATATCACATAAAGAACAGCGTAGGGCAGGCCTGGCAGAGATGCGGCAGTAGGACTGAGTCCTCCATCATGATGCTGAGCGGAGAAAGGAAAAACTAAAGAACAGGGCTGCAAAGAGACATGAATAGAAGATACAAAGTTGCTGGTCACAAGGAGAGAGATGGAATAATGAAACATCGGCTTGGGCTATGCCCAATGTCGACTTCAATAAGGGTAAACTAGACTCAGAATTGACTTGAATAGAGTCTCGAGGCCGCAAATGTGTCTGAATAAGATCCAAATATGTCACCTTACCCTTTCCGGACAGAGCCTCGTGTAGCGATCAGAGTTTCAAGAGAGAATGCAGGTTCAAACGTCTGGAAGGGTGAAGGTGTCAGTGACATTCCAAATGCTCGCTAAGAGAGTGCTGTCAAAACCCGTCGCTAAATCGCTGTGAAGGAAAATCATGAAACTGGTGGTAGAAAGAACTTCGAATGCAAGAATGAGTCCCCATTAAACCGCTGCTGCTTCTCCATTCAGCTCTTCTATCGGTTCTGTCGGTTGTGAAGAACAGCCTTCCTTATCAGCATCGGCATGCGTCGGATCTTCCTTGACTTTTACCGGGGGAGAGGCGGCTGCCACGTCGGGCAATGTGCCTCGATCACTGCCGGGATCGTTCTCTTTATTCTCGTCCTGATGATCTTTGGACGGTGGCAGGTGCATCTTCGGCGGTGTTTGGTGTTTCGCAGCATCTTTGGGCTTGTGAGACGCTGCGGCCTTTGGTCTGGGTGGACTGTTGGTTTGGATCTTCTCGTGGACTTTCCGAGCACTGCTTGCGGTAGGCCTCATCATTCGTGCTAAGAACCCGTCATCGGGTTTGCTAATGCTAACCCGAGATTTGGGTCTGTCATGACCATTTGATAAAGAGGCATGTGATGTTTTCTTCGCCAATGTAGATGTAGTGGATGACGTGCTCGCTCGAGGAGGTCGTACCGATGTGGAGGATGGCTTTTTGGCGACAGATTTACGGGAGTTGGGCTCGGTGGGTGAGCGGAGTGCTTCGAGTTTGGCACTGGACGCTGCTGTGGATGCGATTACGACAGGAGGAAGCTTCGTTGGTCTGGTTGGTGACTTGGGTTTCACAGTCTCCTGTCTTCTGGCAGCCTTGGGTGATGTTGGAGTCCGTTCTTTCTTCGCACTTTCTGTTGCCGGCTTGGGCTGGGATCGCGTATCTAACTTTTGAGCGCTTGACTGTCTCCTGTCTCCTTCGGAAGCATCCTGCTTGGCTGCGTCTCTGGCTCTCTGCGCCGCTTTTGCCGATTCCATGACACCTCTAATCTTTGCTGGACCTCCTCTGAGATGTGCCGTTGGCGAGGTCTGCGATTGGGGCGAAGGTCTGGAGGTGACAGGAGATTTGGGAGCAGGTTTCGTCATGGCCTGTCTTGTAGGAGGAGCCTTGACTGGCTGGGCGCTTTTCGTCGTCTGAAGGGTGGTGGTGGGTGGAGGTCCTTGCAGGCTTGCCTTAGCAGCTTCCATCTTCTGAACAATCTCCGCAGCCTTTGTCTCATCGTTCGGTTTCGACGGTGATTTGGAGAGCTTTTCCCGTAGCAATCCGGAAGACAGAGCCTCACCGAACTTCCTCGCCTCTGAAGTATCCTTTGGGGGCGTGCTATCAACAAAAGCGGAGCCTTTCAAAATAGTTCCCAAACCACCTTCCATGGCGTTGTCTGTAGAGTGTGCATGTTCAGGCTTTGATGCCGTCTGTACTTTCACCGGCGGCTGTGTCTTGGCCAGGGGATGGTCTTCATTGCCGCCGCCCATTGTATGACTCTCCTTGAGTTCGCCTTGGCTGCTCACTGCACTGTTTATCCTTCGAAGGCCGAGAATGGGTGCACCTCCGTTGTCACCGGTTTTTTCGACTGCGACGAAGCTTGCCCGAACTTTACTGACAGGCCTACTATTGTTGGAGAGTTCTGAAGGGTTCGGAGATCGGCCTCGGCTTGGGGGAGACGTTGACTGATCGCTGGCCTTATTCTCGAACATGGCCCGAAGGTTTCGCACTCCGCCGCTTCCAGAGTTGGCAGACATGACTATAAACGCAGTAGCGGTCAGCAATCAGTCTTGCGGGAGGAAGTGGCAGGTGGAGGGAAACAGGCAGAATTTCTATTCACCACTGGCACCGGGAGTCAACATTGGGTCCGCATTTTGAGCAAACCAGATGACAGGCAGTTGATACTAGAACAAAGGTGGATCTGGGGTCTTGCATGCGCGATGCCAACAGGGGGAAATTCGAGACGTGTTTGACTTCATACGTCTGCCGCTGCAAGCTTGATGCCGAATGGGTAGTGGGCTACCTAGTATCCGTACTTACACCCGAGTTTTGCTTGATGTCCAGTGGACTAGTTGGTTATTGCTGCTTGAGGTACGGAGGTGGTCGATTATGAGACCACCGGGTTCAACGACGCGTCGGGATGGTTGTACGGATACGTAGCTCTGAATTCGCTGTTCAGGGGCGCGTAATGTCCACAGTGCTGCACGTGACTCAGGTGTGGCGCTCGGGGTAGATGTTTCTATTGTTTCTACTGGTGGTGTTATCTAGCCTTGAGGCACTATTGAACATGGTCGGCCCAAAGTCGTCGGTCACAGAAGCTGTGCGTGTGATTGAAAGCTGGATTGGTTCTGCGGAGTACGGAGTACTCAACATCTTAGCTAACAAAGCACAATCTCAAAGCCACCCGGGACCCTTAGGCTCGGCATACAACTACAATGAGCTGCGCTCATGTCAGTTTACCAACGAACGCCTCGTGCGTCCCCATGGACTGACCCAAGGATAACAAAAACGTCTGACTTGGAGGCTCTGTCGGTACTATGGAGTACTGGTATGTGTCCGTGCTACGGACGCATGTGCGGAAGGAATATCATTCTTCCGGCAGTCAACCCGATAACGATAAGAGCAACTTCGCATCTATGGCGTGCGCCTGCGGAGGGCTAAGGAGGCATTCAGTCATGGACGCCTTCACCTCTCGCCAGAGAACCGCGTATGTGAATGTGTATTCCGTACTCTTTTCAATTCATATCCTTGAGGAACTGTGGTGTCGTCCTACATACTCCTGCCTTAGCATCCCTGCTACCATCCCGCTAGCATGTCTTCGAAGTCTGAGCTCGATCCTCTCCTCCCTCGAAACGACCCCGCTCCAGAGATACAAGGCGACGGGTATTCGAGTCTTAGAGGATACACCGATGACAAGCCTTCAGAGGCGCAGTCTTTGGCTCAGAAAGATGGTAGCATTGACATCGAGGAAGACGAAGACGATACGCAACTGTCGCCATTGACGTCGGCCAGATCTGCCTTGAGCACCATCAGCGCAATATTCACAATCGTTGTCTTTGTCGGCTTCGTGATAGCTTTCCTGGGCCCGAGCTTTCAAAATGACAACCCTATACCCTTACCACATAACCCTCCTTCCACAATCTCGGACCGGGTCTTTTCTATTCTGGACGGGACCCCGTTGATTGACGGACACAATGATCTTGCCATCTTCATCCGAGATGCATATAAGAATAAAATACACTCCAAGGAGTTCAAGGACAAATTTGAAAATGGAGGCTTGGAATTGAATGTTGACCTCCCACGCCTACGGCGAGGTCAAGCTGGAGGTGCTCTTTGGAGCGCCTTTGTGGCTTGTCCAGATGATGCCAGCGACAACTTCTCAGACGAGACCTATTCCACCGCTGTGGCGCATACCCTCTCCCAGATTGACTTAGTACGTCGACTCCAGAGTCACTATTCGAATAACTTTACTTCTGCAACAGCTCCATTGTCCGAGGCGCTGTCCAAGTTCCATGCTTCAAGATCCCTGATCTCTCCGATAAGCATTGAGGGACTACATCAAATCCCCCAGTCTGCCCCCTTATCCACGCTTCGGTTGTACCATACTTTGGGCGTTCGTGCAGCTACACTTACCTGGAACTGTCACAATGCTTTTGCTGATGCTGCATTAATCTCGTCAAGAGGAGAGACAACGGTCGCACCCTACCACCGTGGTGGTCTGACGCCAGCGGGCAGGGAGGTTATCCATGAAATGAACCGTCTCGGAATACTCGTGGACATTTCCCATACGTCGTACTGGACCCAGAAAGCGGTCCTCAGCAACGGAACCTCTGCGGCTCCAGTCATCTTCTCACACTCATCGGCCTTCGCCCTCTGTCAGCACCCCCGAAATGTGCACGATGATATCTTGGATCTGGTGAAAGAGACTCGGAGCTTAGTGATGATCAACTTCTCCCCGGCCTTCATTTCTTGCCTACTGCCTCCGAACTCAAGCGTGCTTCCAGAGTTCTACGAAAAGAACAACACTTTGCATCAAGTGGCTCGACATATCATATATGTTGGCGAAAAGATTGGCTACGATTATGTCGGGCTAGGAAGTGATTTCGATGGTATCGGCGAGCTGACTCCTAGAGGCCTGGAAGGGGTTGACAAGTTCCCCGATCTGATTGCGGAGTTGTTGCGTCTGGGAGTGAGCGATAAGGATGCTGGCAAAGTCGCTGGGGGGAATTTCCTTCGAGTCTGGAGGACCGCAGAAGGAATTGCAAAAGGTCTACAGAGGAAGACGCAGGAGGGTGAAGACGAAGTCAGTGGGTGGTAAGCTAGCGTGATGTTGATGTTTTCAACGAGCACACGGTCACTGTTGCTGTTGCTGTTTCTGTTACTTTTTGCTGTTACTACTACTATTGCAAATGCATAGTAATGCATCGGTCATGAAATTACTCTTCTCTAGCCCGGCGAATGGGTCCCTGCCACGCAGCACGAGGGACCCGCCTCCTGGGCCCACCGGAAAGGGAATTTTGTCTCTCACACAACCTACAATTGGTGCAAAAAGCGAAATGAGGTCGGCAGAAGACTCACCGCCGCGGCATATCGGAAACCTGACGAAAAAAAAGATTCGAAATCGATCAAAAGATGCTCTCAGACGGGGAATTGAACCCCGGTCACCGGCGAAATTGCTTGACAAGCCGGTATCATACCACTAGACCATCTGAGATGGATGAATCTCACCGGGTGATTCTTGGGCCAAATTGAGGTAGTTTAATTCATGAGGTTGCGATTTTATGAGCGGGAGACGGTCGTGAGTCAGCGTGTATGCCACTGCAGGGCAAGCCAGTGTGCCCCCAAGCATGCCAAGATATATTGGACCTCCAGACACAAACTTCGCTTTCAACTTCAACTTCAACCTCGACTTGAAGGTTTTATACTTGGTACATGCCGGTAGTTGTACTGTAGTACTGTACTACACATCCGGCTACGGGTGGCTATCAATGTCCACATACCATCCCACCCTTTCTTTTCCCTCATCGTCGTACCAATCCTGAACATATACAAGGTTGGCGTGGCGCCCATAGGGTTGCCCTTTCCACTGTGACCTTAGGGGCTGCAACCCCGTCTCTTCAAGGTAGCTGGAGGCCAATTCAGGCAGTGTGCCACCGCGACCGTACTCTCCTGAACTTGGTGGTCGACGGGCTGCAATCTCACCCCAGAGTTTGCTCATCATCCTCCACCACCGAGCAGTCGTCGGAGTTCACGACCACGCCGTAATTCTTGGCTGCTCCCTCGAAAGTGACAGAGACGTCGATGCACGTCCGTGGCCACGGCCTCAGTCGAGCGTGTCAGGGGATGAGGATGCCGGCCATTGATACTCCGGCATAGGGGCTTTCTTCTCTGTGAAGCCCAGCGCCGAGGCCCCAGCCATGGCCAACCTGTCCAGCTTCGTCCGCGTCACGAAAGCCAGAATCGCATTCCTGATTCTGATTCCCCACTGCGTCTGCGGATTGAAGAGCTGCATCGCGTTATCCCCGCCCTGTGAGGCCTTTGCAAACGGCAGCATGATCTCTTCATACCGCCCCAAGGCCGGTGCGACATCGCCCGCATGACTCAACAGCTCTCCGGCCAGGACGTAGCCACCAATGATTGCGAGGCTGGTGCCAAAGCCAGGCGTCGCGTAGGCGGCATCGCCAAGCAGGACGACGTGGCCATGCTGGATTTGGGATGATCTGACCTGTCCGAACAGCGAGCAGTAGAAGTCGTCGCTTTCGCGCATCCCTTGCAACACCTCTGGTGTCACCCAGCCTGCGTCGCGGAACAGTTCTTCCATCAACTGCATGTAGCTTTCATTGCCTTGGCGAACAGCTTGATTGAGTCTGTCCTTCATTTCCACGTCTCCCTTGGTGGTCACATTCATGAGATTGCCTCTCGTCCGGCCGGCAGGGTCGGGGTCGGGCCGCAGGAAGACAGCGCGCCCACCCGTGGCGTTGTACCACTTTGCCAGGCGGCTCCCCTGCAGCAGGTCGCTCTTGATGGTGAAATATGCCACATGAACGCCCTCGTCGTACAGTTGCTCCTGCGGTTTGCTGTTCAACATCATGCCGCGAATCTTCGAGCCCAGGCCATCTGCGCCCACGAGCAGGTCGTACTTCTTACTTTCCTTGCTCTTGGTGAACGTGACTACCACGCCATCGTCGCGCTGCTCAAAATGGTCGACAGACTCGTCAAAGATGAGGTTAACCCGCCCGATGATCGGATCAATGAAGATCTTCGCAAGTGCCCCGCGGAAGATCTCGTACTCAGATGTGATACTCTGAATGTCTGATCTGCCAGTGGCTCGGAGCGTTGCCACAGCCTTGCCGTTGGCGTCAACGAATTCTATGCCCTCTTCTTTGGTGGTTTGATTGCGGATCTCCTGTTCCGCGTCCATCCATTTGATGATGTCCACGGCTGAGCTGCGGATGTCGACGCTGGCACCAGTCAAGCGGAGGGCAGGATCGCGCTCGACTATGGTGATGTTGGCATTGGGATAGGCACGGAGCAGCCAGAATGCAAAGACACTACCCGCGATGCCGGAGCCAGAGATCAGGACATTGATGTTTGACATGGGGCGGCGATAGTCACACCACCTTGTTCTTTTGTTCTTTCAACACACCTTTGCGACACCTTCACGGCGGCTGGTTCTGACTGAGTGACTACCAGCATATAAATGGCTATCGGAACACCATGACGCCATGACTTTTCTTAGTTACCGCACCTTAAAGATGAAACAATGTTGCCTAGTCTAGGTAGGCAACAGCCGATAATGATACGCTGTAATGCGTCAGTAGTATTGGCTAAGGCCTATCAGATTCAGGTATGTCAAGCCACTTCACGGGGATGCACTGCATGTAGTTCAGAGTGCTGTACTTCGTACTCCGTAATCTGTACGGAGTACTCTGTTACTGTTATAGGTGGCAGGTGGGCTCTTCAGGCCCCTTTCCTTCACAGCCTCGGTTCTTAGCGAGAGACAAGCTGACTAAGTCCAGTAGCATGTCACGTGCCATGATGGGTGAGCATCATGTGCACTCAAGATAAAGAGGACCCTCTGTACCTCAAGGTTTCATCTCTTCCACGCTTTGTATGGACATTTAGCGCTCTGGTAGAGCGAATCCTGGTGTTGATATGAGAGAGTGGTGAAGAAGGTGACTGGAAGGAATTGTTGGTGGTGCAGCCGAGGTTCCGCAGGTTCTGGATTACTGATGATGACAGACAGGCTAGGATAACTTTTACCGTTTGTCTACAGATACTCTTGCTACCTATATATCTACGGCCAATGTCTAGTTCTCGGAGCGGACAGAACATGGTGAGGGCCTGAACCGGCCATCACGAGTCACGAGACACCAACAAGGACTGGCCGTCATCAGCATGTCAAAAAACACTTCAAAGAAACCCGTCATCGCCGTTGTAGGCGCAGGGCCTGGCATCGGCGAAGCTGTCGCGCGCCGCTTCACCGCCGAGGGCTTCGTGGTCGCGCTCCTGGCCCGGACCGAAGACAAGCTGCAGAAGATGGCAGAAGGCATAGATGCCGACTACGGCCGAAACACCGCTCACTACTACATTACCGACCTACGTGAAGAGCAGTCCGTCATCTCCAGCTTCGGCCGCCTCCGCAGCGATCTCGGTCCGGTCAGCGTGCTGGTGTATAACGCGGGCGCGCGGCGCGTGAACGGCCGGTCGCTGCTGGACACCACGACCGAGGAGTTCGAGGGTTTCACCAAGATCAACCTGTTCGGCGCCTTCTGGGCGACGAAATGCGTGTTGCCGGACATGCTGGCCGCGGGCCACGGAACCGTCATCTACACGGGCGCGACGGGCTCGCTGCGTGGCAACCCAGGGCTCAGCAGCTTCTCGCCGGGCAAGTTCGGTCTGCGCTCTCTGTCCCAGATCGTGGCGCGCGAGTACCAGGAAAAGGGCATCCACGCCGCCCACATCATCGTAGATACCCCCGTCGACGGCAAGCTGATTGGAGAGTGGTCGCGCCGGCAGTGGCAGCGCCAGGGGCAAGGCGACAAGCTGGACGACATCGACGCACATCTCGCCCGCCCGGCAGATCTCGCTCAGATCTACTGGTTTCTACACACACAGCCCAAGAGTGCTTGGACTCAAGAGTTGGACGTCCGGCCCCAGAAGGTCAGCATGTTCTCGAAGCTGTAATGAAGACATGCTGGTGGATGAGGAACAACGCTGCTGGGCAGTGGACACGGCTTTCACTGGCTTACGAGCCATGTTCGATACAGTACGGAGTACCATTACCTACATGTACTACATGTATGGTTGGAAAGTTGGATCTTGTACGGCGTACGGAGTAGTATATTTTTAGGGCTGGAAGGGTGGCTGGGGTCCTTAGGATCCTAATTGTGTCTACCCACCAAGCACCAGCGGAACATTGAGAACATTGAGAACACTGAGCCATCTCACGATCCGCTGCTACTCGTCCCATTGTTGTGAGTGGAAAATCAATTAATCGTTGGGTTGAAAGCCGTGGTGCCGGTGCCGGTGCCGGTGCCGGTAATTGGTTGATTAGTCGTCACTTCATAAGCCTCGGCACCGCAGTCACCTGTGACTGTGATTGGCTATCGGGAGACGACACCGGCTGACGGCGTAGTGTGCTCTGTGTTCACCCTGAAGTTCTACCTACCGAATAGATCAACCGTCAACCCTCTCGATGAAAGCTTGCTTGCTGCTGACTTGATACCAGCAGAGGTGAAGTGCAAGTGGCCCTGAAGGCTGTTGAGACACCCGTGGAGCAGAAACCGCCAGTCCAGGGGGGCACGATATCTGATATCTGATATCTGCGTTCCCAAGTGCCTCGAGGATAGGGATACTGTCCAAGCCAAGCCGGGCTCGAGACGCGCGAGGGAGAGGGGAACAGCAGAGCCTTGCTGGGCAAGGGCAGCCAACTCTCGGTCATGGCTCGACCACAAGGCGGAAAGCTGACCATCTATGTGGACTGTGGCAAGTATCTGGCTTGTTGACATGCCTGCGGTGTCCGAATCCTAATGTTGGGTGGCAGTGTCGCCGTATTCTTGGTTCGGCTTCACCAACACGATCCGCTATCGGCCGCTTCTCAATGCCTATGGAGTTTCAGTCGACATCATCCCGTTCTTCCTAGGGGCCGCTCGTGAGAATGTGGGAAACAAGTTCACCCCGACGCCACCGGTCAAGGAGCCCTTTGCCAAACAAGACTCGGAAATGACCGGGGAGTTGTTGGGACTCAGGGTGGTACGACCGAAGGATTTCCCAATCCTGTCTCTCTTTGTACGTCTCCGTCCCAAGCTCTAAGTTGTTCAGCAGCAGGCCCGTCGAACTGACCACAGGGCAGCCTGTACGGGTGGCTACTTGGGTGAAAGACCATTACCCTGCAGAAAAGTTCGAGGCTACGTTTCCCGCTTTCAGCTCCGCATACTGGAGCAGAGGCATCAACATCTCCACACCAGATGGCGTCCTCCAAGCTTTGGATGGAATCTTCCCTCCAGAAGAGATCAAGGAGATTATGCAGAAGGCGGTGACTCCGGAAAACAAGAAGAGGGTCGTTGATTTGACCATGAGTGCCGGAGCCTTTGGCGCGCCGTGGATTGTCGCAGTGAACTCGGACGGGCTGAGGAAAGACTGGTTCGGAAATGACCGGTGGGATCAAGTCTTCTATCACCTTGGTGTTCCATTCACCCCGGTAAGAATCCTACCCCCGGAAGAAGCAAAGGCGAAGCTGTGAGGCGTTGTGCTTGGAACTCAAGGATGCAGCGCCGTCTTTGGTCTGTGGTCTTTGGTCTTTTGTCTTTCGCAAGCCATGGGAGCAGGAACAGGGGCAGAGACCATGGTTGCTCCAACCATCTCAGAAGTATGGACGCGGTGGGTGCGAGGAATCTAACTGCTTGTGCTTGTGGCTTGCTGGAGACGGACCCCAGTTCAAGTTCAGCTACCATCCAGAGATGTATATGGTGGTCCTGGTATGCACAACGGATGTGTGTGCCTCTTCTGAGATCCAAGTTGCCGCATTGCTTCATTCATCAGTCCACCGCCATCAAAGGCGGCCTTCCAGAGGACAAGCCTCACCAGGCTGTGAATTGGATAGAGTCCTCCTGGTGGCCTTGACAAAGAGAGAGTTGGTGTCTGTGAGAATGTGTTTGTTTTGCCGCACCCATAGCACCTTTGACTTCACCTTCTCCTCACCGCGCCCTGAACCTGTATCCATCTTGCGCCGTTCATCATCGCAGCCCTTTGACATCGCGACATCGCGACATCGCGACATCATCACGACATCATCATCGTCGCACCAGCTGCTTTGGGACGAACCTGATCTCCCACAATCTCGGCGCTCTCGGCGCTCTCGGCGCTGGTCAAATATGTCTCGAAGACTCAGACCTTCTTCACGGCGTGAGCGTGACCATGAACCTCCTCTCCTGCATCATCCTCCACCTCAACCTCCATCTCCACGCCAACCTTACCTCTACGACATCTACGACGAAGAAGACGAAGACGATCCCTTTCTCCCCTTCCCTTACTCCCTGCACACCATGAACCCTCGAACTCAAACCCCTCCTGCGCCGGGCGAGCGGTCCCGCAGCCCCAGCATGGTGATCCATGTCGAACAAACCGTCACCGTCGAGACCGTCTACGAGGAGCCGCTCGCCGCCGACTCGACTGCCCGTCCCTTTGGCGACAACAGCAATTTCTACCAAGCCACCGTCTCTGCTGCCTCGCAACTTGCCCGGGCCCTCTTCTCTGCGCCAACCCCCCAGAGCCACCACATCCACGAACACGACGATGACAGCAACTTGCCTCTGACCCGTCCTCAAACCCGCAAATGGATCTGCACGGCAGTGCTCCTAGCCATGGCCAATCTCATAACATATGCGGTCGACAGTATGATGAGCGTGTTGGCTCCCACAATCGCATATGATATCGACGTTCAGGGCTTTCAGTGGCTCCTTGCAGGCCCTGCAATCGGTGCGGCAGCGACGGTTCTGGCAGCCGGCCAGCTCTATGCGGTTCTTCCGTTCAAGGCGGTTTACACCCTCTTCGTGGTTCTGCTCCTTCTCGGTATCATGTCACCTGGCTTCGCCTCATACATGACTTTCCTCTTCTACACACGCGTTCTCGTCGGCGTCGGTCTGGCCGGACAACAACTCGGTGCCCTCATCTTTCTCGGACACAACGGTCAGTTCGTCGACAAAGTGCGGCGCGATTTCTACATCAGCATCAGCACCGCGCTGGGCTTCATCATCGGTCCCATCTTGGGAGCCCTCTTCTCACACCGACACAAGCTGTGGGGTTGGGGCTTCTACGCAGCTGCCATGCTCCTGGCCCTCGTTCAGATCGTGCTCATCTACCTGCTGCCAAACAAGTTTGACATGGACCAGAATGCACTGTGGAACGTTGGAGACATTCTTGCCTGGGGCAGCTGGAGGGTGGTTGTACGCATCGACTTCCTGGGCTGTGTACTCAGCTTCTTTGGCATCCTCACGCTCCTCATCTCCTTCAATCTCGCCGGTTCCTGGATCGCCTGGTCGGACGCCTACCTGTACGTTCCGTTCGGAATGGGTGGAATACTCATGCTTCTGCTCTGCATCCAGCAGTACTTCCAAGTCTGCGCATCGCGGTTGACCCTTCTCTTCCCAACCCGATACCTCCGATGCTTCAAGACCACCGCACTGTTCATTCTAACCTTCCTCACTTCCGGCATTTTCCAGGCTGTCTTCGCCTACTCGGCCCTGTACCAGCTCCTCACGCGTCCAGGCCCGTCGCCAATCTCAACAGCATTCTATTTGTTGTTCAGCTTTACCGGTCCATACCTGATTCCCCTCATCATCGTACCGCTCTATTTCGGTGGTGGGCTCATCAAGAAATATCCGCGCGCGGCGAGCCTCAGTTTGTGGAGTGTCGTCATATCGGTGTTTCTGGTGACCGGCACACTGCTCCTCTTTCTCAACACACCTGCCCGACTCCCGCCGCAAGGGTTGCCGACAATTGCGAAGCAATTTGCCCTGGCCTGTATTGGATTCTGGTCGGCCGTCTCCCTGCCGCTGGCACATCAGATCTTGGATGTCTTCCAGCCGATTGATCCTCCCAACCCGCGCCAGAAGCACCCTTACCACAACCGCTCCTTCGTTCTTTTCGCGACATACCTCGGCGCCGCCGTGGCCTTGACAGTCACCGGCTCCATGTTCATGCACATCGGTCCGCGCGCCACGCTTAGTCTGCTCCATGAATATCAGGGCCAGCACCAACCCCACGGCATCGCGGCTACGCCAGAGGATGCTCGGATTCTCATGCTCGGCTACACTTTCATCCTGCAAGGCGAGACACCAGCACTGTTCGCCGCCAGCATTAGAGCCATCGAGAACACTTTCGGATCGATTTTCGCCGTCCCGCTGGGCTTTGCCATTCTCATGCTCCTCCTCAGCCTGGGTTACTTGATCGGCAAACTGTACCTGGACGGCTGGAAATTGAAAACCCTCACTGAGAGCGGCGTGCCGGACGATTGGCGCAAGGCCGTCGAACACCGCGGAAGGAGCCGTACACGAGTCGAGGCTGGAGGACGCGTGACCGAGTTGGAGGAGAGAGGCACCAGCAGCAGCGCGAATTTCGGAACCGCCACTCGTACAACCCACGTCCGCGGCCCTTGCACTCCAACGCTGCCTTGAGAGGATGTGCACAGGGCACTCGCCGGTCGAAAGACGACGCATTGTCGGCTCATGCGACCACCAGACACTCATGTTCGATTCGTATTAGCTGAGGGCTCAGCAGTTGATCGAGCTCACCGAGGAGAGGGAGCGAACAGATAGCTAACAATGATGCAACAAAGCTTGCTATGACTATGAAATGAAAAATTGACTTGAAAACTTGAAAAGTAGAGATCCTCCCAGCCTTTTCCTGTGGGTATCTGATCCGACTTGCCAAACACTCTAATTGTACATCCTATTCGCCTGTATATGATGGCATGCTATCGACTAAGCCTTAATCAATGTCGTCGTCGTCATCAGGTACTGCGTCCTCAATCTGGGGTTGAGGTTTCTGCTCCACCCCAGCATCACCGTGGCCAGCTTCTTTCGCCTGTTCTGCCTGTTCTAGCTCTTCGCCGAAAAGGAGCGTGAAAACCACGGCAGCGTAGATCTCCCCCGTCGATTTGTTCTTCAATGTATACCGCAGCTCGTGGGACTTGGCATCCACGTATTTGATGACATTAAGGCTGAAACCGGGCAGCTTGAGAGAGAAGTCGTTGAAGTCGAGGTAGGGGTTGCCAAAGTCGGCCTGGTAAAGGCGGCCAGCCTCAAAGACGAAAGCGTCTCGATTAGCAGGTGTGAGAAAGTATTTCTTGCGCGCAGCCGCATCTTCGGGGATCCCGGACTTGTTTCGAATCTCTTCGCCAGAGCCATCGCCACCCTCTTCCACGACCGTCTCGTGGAACGACGCCGCATTAGGGATCTTCCATGCGCTTTTGTCCTGGAGTTGGTCTTTTTCTACCACTGTGTCCCCTATCCGCAGGATGTTCCAACTGCTTAATGCCGGGCCAAATAAGTAGGGCTTGTCCGCATAGACGTCTCCATCTAAGCCCGGATCAATCCACCACTTGACAATTCTTAGCGCTTGGTTGAACCCAGGCGGTAATCTGTCTCTGATGGGTCTGTCGAAGTCATTGCCGAAGATGAGGTCGCTGCCTGGGATGTCCACTTTCGGGACGAACGAGAACGCTATCGAGTATTGATCGTACTTATGCAGGTCGTGGTCGAAGTAAGGTGAGGTCTCGGGCGAATCGTCTGGGTAGCCCGTGAACCGGCGGATTCGAACCGCGAGAGAGAGAATTATATGGTCATTTTCAAACGTTAGAGTTTCGTCCGCGTTGACGGGCACAAGCTGGTGTGTGGACGGGTCGTGCGACGGTCCTGCGGTCACGCGCAGCCGATACTGAGTATGAGCTGAAGCCTGATCCGGTGCATCCGAGGAGGAGGTTGACGAAGGCGTGTCGGACATTGGATGCCTCTCTACGTGTGCGCAAGTCTGGGGAGAAGGTAGAGCTGAGAAGCGACTTTGGTGCAGACGAGGCTCGGGTTGATGGATTTTCTTCATGACAAAAGGAAATGGGAAATATTTGAGGTGGTTGTGACGTCAATGCTTCCAACTGCGGCAGCTAGGTACCTACTACACTCCACACTCCGTAAAGAGTACGGATACCCCGTACCAAGTACAAGTATACCACCAGTATGAGTTCTAACGTCCGAGAAATATTGTTTCTCAATCCAGACAGACAGGGTTGTCTAGTGAGCGGATGAGAGACCAAGCATGTTGGACTACAGCGGTAGCACAGACGACTGAATCTAAGGAGGAACAACGGAAGAAGTTGATACATAAGGTACCTAGTCTAGTTGTATGGTAACGGCAAACACCAGAGCCTTCGCAGAAAAGAGTTGTGTTACGAGGGTGGCAAGGCGAAAGACGAGGATGGTGACCTGGGAGTTCAGGACTATCGTTGTGAGGAAAATCAACCTTCCATTTCCTACATTGCTAGCAAACCCTTTGCTGGTGTTTGTCTCAATTCTTTCGTGTTCCATGCACTATCCATAAGTGCGACTGCTGATCTGTTTCGGCCCCAATAGCCTTTCCATGGTAGGTGCATGGTGTTCTTCACCGCCCTGCCCTAGCACTGTATCTAGAGGCGACGAACAAACCATCTGCATTGCCGTGGAGGACTCAGGCATGGTTTCTGGAGCGCGGAATCACACTGTGGAGGCATGAATCAGTCTAGGGGGAAGCGAATGAAACACCGCATTTGCGGATCGATGAGGTGAGGGAGGACTCATTGTTGGCAGCGGCGGTGTCTGGCCTCTAGTGCAATGGCGGATCCAGAGCTCGGTGGCGGTGGCGGTCAAGAGGATACCAGGACATGAATCGGGGCTTGTGCAAGGCACCCAAGGCGAGGAGTGCAAAGTGGCCTACAAGACGCATATCCAATATCCATGGCAGACGCCCGAGGCCAATCGTTCAAGAATGAAGTCGCGCATCTCGAAACACGTGGGACACGTCCAGACGCGTCGGGGGCTTCTTGGCGGGCTCTAAGCCGGATTTGGCATCTTGTTTAGGGTCGGCGTCATTGTTTACCATCCCCGAACCATTGAAGCATCAAACAGACTACAGTATATGTGTTGCTGTTGCTGCACTTCCTTCCACGAGAACTTGGGCCATTCGTGCTTTCGACCCTCGTATAGCAAGCAGTTTGCAGAGCTAACGACAAATCTGACTGCTTGAATCCACGGGATCAAAAGTGAAGCTGGAAAAGATGATTCGACGATCTAAGCGACCCAGCTCAGCCATTTCCCCCATCAAACCCGCCGAGGATTCCTTGCAGCCTCATCCTCATGCTCAAGGGGCGACTCCATCTAGAAAGAGACCAAAGAAGAAGACACGATTCTCCGATACCGCCCTACTGGATGGGACGACCGGTCTGACACCTTATGTGGGCAAGGCATCGCTCGCCACTCCGACATGGAGACGAGCATCGACTCCTGCGCCAACCCGGCACCAGGATCATGACGAAATCCAGTTTACTCCTTTCCGCGAATGCCTGGAACCAAGAACCATCAGACGAATGAGACGCCATGGGTTGAGTGAGGAGATGAATCAATATCATGCAGACCAAAAAGCCAACGCTGCCTTGCGGAAAGAGCTCGACAGCAAAGACGCAGAGCTGAGGAAGCTCAAAGCAGAGCTGGAAGAGGCCCGCCACTTAGATGTAACACTACAGTCCACTTCAATGCCGAGCCAGGACCGTATGCGCCAGCTGGAAACCGAAATCGCACATCTAGAACACAGTGCCAGTTTCTCCGGCGCCAACTCGATGTCTAGTGCTCACGTACCAGTACGTGGTAGCTCTCCGCAGCCAAGCGACGGAGGCGATAACTTCCAGATCTATGAGGATGAGGCTACTATGAATGGCGATCAACTTGCCGATGGCGAAGATGCCGTGGCTATGGGGTTGGAACTTGAGTCAGCTCGTCAAGCGAAACAAGCATTCTTCCGTTCGAGTCAGGGATCCTCGGCTAGCAACATCCATTTCGAAGATTCTCCTGTTCGTCCAAGCACCATGCGGAAGAGCATACCCCGGTCGCCTGGGGACTTCTACCATGACCTGTCTAAGCAATTGAAAGCTGCCACTAATCGAGCAGAGGAAGCGGAACTCGCCCTCCAAGCACTCAATACCGAGATCAAAAGCTTAGGATTTCCTTACAATGACAACGACCTGACCGAATGTGTCTGCAATATAAAACATCACTTCCGTCAAATGCGTCTTGATCTCGAGCAAGTCATTCCAGGAGAAACGGCCGGATCTTTCAACAATCCCACACTGATGCCCGAGATTATTACAAAGCTGAAGATGCTGTCCGCACTGGTCCATGATCGAGAAGCCGAATTGAGGACCATGAGAGACCAGCAGCGGTGTCTCAAGGGGAACTTTGACCATGCCCTCATTGTAGCCGAGAAGGCCAACACCAAAGTCAAGGAACTGGAAGACATTATCGACCAAAACGCCGAAGAAATGCTACACCAACGAATGAGAGCACAGGCTTTAGAGCGGGAAGCCAAAGAGCATGAGTCCAACAACCGATCGCTGATCGCAGCTATCGAAAAATACCGGCAAGAGGTCAAGAGATTAGAACAACTCGTCCAATTGATTGAAGCCGAACAAGCTTCAAGACTTCAGGATGTCCGAGCAGCCACCGTGGCCGAGTACGTCCAAGAGATATCTGACCTGGAGGCAAAGGCAGCGGCAGAGTCACGGGGAAGACGAGCAGCGGAGGAGTCTGCAGTAGACCGATTGCGTCGAATCAACGAGCTTGAGGCCGATATGTCTGCAGCCCGACAACGCTCGGAAGACGTCAAGGAAAAGCTGTGCGTTCTCGAAGAGCAGCTGGCGGCCTCCAAGCGCAGCCACGAAGAAGAAGTTGGGGGTCTCAACTCCAGAATCTCGGGCTTGTCTACGGCTTTATCTGCAGCCAACGCAGAGATCGATAAGCTGCGAAAGATCAACGTGAAGCTGGAGGATCGATACCGCAGCGAGGTCGAACACAGTGCCCAAGCCGTGGAGCGAATGCAGAACGAGTGCATCCGCAGTGCGGCCAAGGTCAACGAGGAGAAAAAGAGCTACATCCGTGGTGCAAAGGTGCGATATGCCAACTGGGAGCTGGAAAGCGACGATCTGGTCTCGGACCCTGTGGCTCCCATGACTCCGGCAAGCATTGTGCGGTTTTCCGACGCCGAAGGCGCAGAAGACCATGTCGAAGGCACGGTGGAAATGAGCAGAGGCCGGCATCGTCGACACGGCTCAGCTTCAGGCCTGGGAATCATGAAGCGAGGCCGTCGACAGTACGACAGCGGCATCGGTATGGATTCGTTGAGCGAAGCTGAGGAAGACCACGCCATGACTCCAGATCTGAGTTCTGAAACAGGCATTGATCATGCAGATGTGATGGTTTGACCGGCCAGCAACTTGTCCCTGCTGGTGTTATGGGTTGCGTGCTCTATGGATTGGGAGCTTTCCAACTCTCACTCCCGTTACGTTGCGATGCATGTGCGTTGGCGAACTGGTATCCAGGATATACACTAACACTACTGTCCTTTTTTCCTTTGTGTTAATGGAGAGCATGTTATGTTGGATGTGGAGCGCATAGGCGACGGTGTTCTTGAGTTTCTTTCCATTTTCATTTGCTAGCATCACGGATTGTTTACGGCTCGTCGAGGAACAAGTTGTTGTTAGATTCGGCTAAGGGGTTTGGTAGTGGACAGACAAAACTATCGACCAGTTTTGGAGCATGGCTTCTTGTGTCCTTCTTTATTCGCGGCTGCTGACAATGCAATTCTCACTCGCCGTGTAAACGCGGGCGGAGAAGCTCTGCCACAGATTCTGTCTCTATGTAAATGGATTTTGTGGTAGATGTCGGTTCACCCTTCTCTTCGACGGGACGAGGGCGAGGGCAACTAAGTTGCCAGCATCGTCTGAAGAAATGGTCGAATTCTCAAGTGCCAGTGCCCACAAGGTATGGTTGCTGGCACGTTAGAGTATCCTTTTCGTCGACCCTGCATGCTCCGAAACCGAGTTTTGGGTATTATGCTGCAAAGGTCGCAGGCCCCAATTCCCACGCCGAACGGTTTACAATCTCTTCAAGATATCATTCACGACATCCTCCGTCGACGCCGTGCCGCCCAAGTCAGGACTCACGAAGCGACCCTCTTCCAGATTCTTGTCGACCGCATTGTAGATGACATTTGCGGCATCCGGCAGATCCAAGAACTCCAGCATGACGGCCACGCTGCGGATGGTGGCAATGGGGTTGGCAATGCCCTTGCCCTCGATATCCGGCGCGGATCCGTGGCACGGCTCGCCGATGACGATGCCCTCACCCACATTGGCCGACGGGACAAGGCCCAGGCTGCCGACGAGAGCGGCCGCGCCGTCGCTCAGCAGGTCGCCGTAAAGGTTGGGCGCGACAATCACGTCGTAGTACTGCGGCTGCAGGAACAGCTTATACACCATGCTATCGACGATCTGCTCCTCAACCGCCAGCGAGGAGAACTGCGGCTGAGACAAGGCTTCGCGCGCTGTGGAGCGGAAGAGACCATCGGTCTGTGACAGCACGTTTGACTTGTGTGTGATGGTCACAACGGCTTTCTTCGCTTGCGAGTCCGCCGAGCCCTGGCGCATCTTCTGTCGCCGGACCGCAATCTCGCCGGCAATGTTGGCAATGCGCCAGCTTGCTTTGGACGAGATACGTTTGATGGCCTCGGCAATTTGACCTTCACCTGAAGGGTCCGGGTATGTCTTCTCCTCCTTCACATACAGGTCCTCGGTGTTCTCGCGCACAATGACAAGGTCAATCGGGGATGGGGTTGGTGATTTGAAGGCGGGGGATAATGTTGTTTTACACGGCCGAACGTTGGCGTACAGAGAGAGCTTTTTCCGCAGGGCCACGATGGGGGAGGTGTAGCCGGCCACCTTTGTCGTCGGTGAACTGTTGAGAAGGATCGTCAGTGAGAGCTTCTCAATCGTTTGGTTTTGCGAGCAAACGAAGCGTCCGGTCAGCCAGGTCGCGGAAACCACTGGTACAACCAAGAACAGCATGGCTGTCCGATGGAAAGCCGGCCTACATGACCGGAGAATTGAAGCACATCAACTCCCGCTCATTCAGCCATAGTGTCCAATGTACCACCTTGGGTTCTTTTTATTTTTGTGGTTGTTTTTTTGGGGGGCGGTGATTGCGCCTCGTCTGTTATCCCACTGCCTTCGCGACCAGGCCCACCGAGTATGACATGTAATGCAGACGGGATAGTAGTACCTCACGGCTCCGAACAGAGCACCATCGCATTCCTTCTGCAGCGTCTCGACAGTTTTGTCTGGAAGTGCCGTGCCTGTGCGCTTGAAGCAGTCGTAGCCGGCGTCGAGATCAACGAAGGAGAACTTCAGGCCTAAAGACGGAGGAAGCGACTCGAGAATGCGTTTGCCAGCCTATAAATGCAGCAGAAATTGTCAGTCTGGGGCCACAGAGGTCACCTGGGCTGGCGCCGCAGAATCCAAGGTGAGCGTAAGAATTGCCCATACCGGAATAACTTCGCGACCGATGCCATCGCCTGGAATCAGGCCTGACAGAGGTTAGCAAGACAATCTGAGAGACTCCGGGCCTAAGTACCTATGCGTAAAGTTCGGCTAGCCATGCTTGTCACGCGTCTGGATCAAGATGGAGAATGGGTGCGGGAAAGAGTGCACATTGCACAGCTTCCGTCAATCGTGTTTTGGAGAAAATCTTCTAGCGCAAGGCTGAGCTCCGCCTCCGCAATCGGACATGTTAAAATCTCCACGACAAGGCTGCAGCCTCGCGATCAGACGGTCTCCTTAGGTCCCTTCCTTCGGTGCGTGACACGAGAGGAGATGACAACCACCACTACACTTCAGGTTGCGAATATATAGATCCGTTCATCGTGGTAATTATCATTGTCATTGTCATTGTCATTATCTCATAGCTCCCAAGGTGGGGTATGAATGTCATATATTCGCGTTGCTCCCCCCAGCATACAAGCCTAGAAGTGCCAACACCGTCGTTCGTTCGTCGATACAGCTAGTCGCGAACCCTCCCTTCAAGGACCGCTGCCATTCTTTCCAACTGCGAATTGAACGATCTCACTTTGTCCAACAAACCTCCTGCTTCAGAAGCACTGCTCACGCTGCTGACTACACTCCGGAGCAGAAACTCCAGCCCATCTTCGTTGGGCTGGTCATCTCGTTCCAGCTCAAGCTCCGCCCGTCTGGCAGCCTCGCTCAGGTCCCATCGCTCTCTAGCCTGCTCCTCAAATTCCCAATGACGTCGTCGAACATCGTCACATCTAAGGGCAATTTGCTCCCGTTCCTTTCTTAACTCGAGCCATTCCGTTTGCAAGGACGCTTTGTCTCTCTTGCTCTTCCGAAGTCGAGCTTCCAGATTGATCCGGTTCTCCACGGCTTCCGACAGCTCGAACAGTTCGTCGTTCAAGTCCCGGCCAAACTCCTCCAGGGCATTTCGCTTGTTTTTTAATGCTGCGCGTTCCGAAGGCTGGACATTTTCGGACATATCTTGAACAAGATTCTCGATTGTTTCTCGACAGATCTGAGACAGTACATCCACGACATTAGGTTGGCTACGGTCGTTCGGAATGTCCATTGCGTTCTCGAAGCGACTCTCATCATCGCTAGCTTCATGGATGGTTGGAAGATATGACACATTAGTTAAGCGATGAGTCAGAATCGGGAATGTGGGCTTCGACCCTTTGGTCCCGGCAGCCCGAGTGTCTCGATTTGGGTTTGTGCGATAATGGGGCACCTTGCTAGCTCTCTTGGTCGCTGCTGGTGTCTGCGGTTCTGGGGAACTCTCTTGGATATACGTCCCATCATCGTCTTCTTCAATTTCCTTTGGAGATCGTGCACGATGAGAGTTGGGACTTCCCTCACCCTCGCCTGGTGCTTTGACCTCAAAGCTGCTCCGAGTCCGACGTTGACCTGGCGGCAGAGATGATGAAATTAATTCCGCTTCAGATGGACCTAAAACTTCGGAATTCTGTGCAGGCATGTCTGCTGGTGCAACTTCAGTCTCGCGAGGGCCTGAGGAGCGCTTCTTTTTCCGCCCTAAGACGACAGACTTCCGTTTCTTTCGTTTGTTCTGACTTGACGGTCCTGCCGTGTTCAACACATGCAAGGAGCTTTCATCTAGCTTGGGCCGGGTCCTATTGCCCGATTCCAGCCCTTCGGTATTCTCTTGACTGCCCTTGCCGTCCGCATCTCTCCCATCGTCAACATCGTGTTCCAGAGCAAGGATGTTCATGCTTGGCGACGTATTGAGAGGAGATACTATCCCTACGTGACCGTCCTTGACACCTCGGCGAAGCGAAAGCGAAAGCTCTTGAAGGTGACTGTCGTCCTCTGCCGGGTTGTTCTCCTTGTTGGGTTCATGTTCGGGGAAAAATAGTGGGGAACTGGGTATTTGCGAATGTGCAATTGTGCCAGGAGTTTGAGAGGCTTCAGCGCTGCTCCCTGCATCGTCGTCCGTTGCGATTATGAATGCCTGGCTACTAATCCCCCTTCTCGACTGTCTTCTACCTGCAGTTGCTGCCGTGGGTGTCTTCAGAGACAGCTGTTTCGGTGTCACGATAGACGATGACAGTCGCCTTCTCTTAGCATGGTGACCATCTCGCTCGGCTTGCTGTCCTTGAGGCTGAGCCGTGTCCACCCCACTATGCTCCGGCTCGCGCGAATTGTGTCTGGCTGATCTGATCGATGATTGTCCATGCCCTCGCGTGCCGGGCGTCTGAGAGGGCTGGCGAGAGCTTGATCGTAGAGATTGCGGCGTCTTAGCGGTAGAACGTAGTGACCGAGCAGAGCCCGGGAAGGAGAAGCCAAAATCAACATTCTCAACCTTGCGAGACCTAGGAAATGTTAGAGTAACGGACCTTCTCTCCCTAGGATAGACATACCCTGCACCGCGCTGGCGCATAAGCGCCCGATCTTGTCTTGATATAGAAGCCATCTGAATATGCGAATCGGCCAGAAGAAACTCGAAACCCGGTCCTCATCTGTGCGCGGTCAAGGTTCCGATGGCTACGGCCTCGGCAGCAATCTTGATGATTGAAGCACTCTCTCTCGGGTGGGACGCGTCCGGATTTCCAGCGTTAACGCGACGTGGGGCGGCACTTGAACCTTTGGTGGCCACTGCCGCCAGGTTAGGGCGGCATCATCCTCATCCCAGTTTGGGCGATACCTTGGTGCTTGGCAGTCCTCGAGCTGTGCAGCGGTACGCTAGTACCCTGCGGCAAGGTAGTCTTTCTCAAAGTATGGAGTAGTCTGGACACGGACAATGGCCAAGTTCGAGTTGTCTACCGAAGAACCATGAAAGCTTCATGCTGCTGAATTTAGTCACCAGGACATTTGACAGGATTTGGTGAGATGGGTTGGTTCTGGGGAGGGAAAAGCAGTGAAAATGATCCCGCCCAGTCGCTGGACAACGATTTGAAGCAATTTCTGAAGGACCAACAACCCCGACCGTATGTCCCAGCAGAACTTCCTAAACCTGCCGACCAGCCCGGTCCAACGCCTCCAGAGCAACCCCTGCCCGACGCCAACAAGTCGTTTGAGGATAGGCCTCTGCCTAAAGAATCTCTGTTTCAGGATGGCCGGTACAAAGACCTCTGGAAGACCTACATTCCTCAGAATGACATCGAGGTAGCCACCGCAACGCCGGTAGAGCGAGTGCTTGCAGCTCGAAAGGACAGGAGACAGTCAATTCATAAGGCCGCACTGGAGAACTGCGCCTTTGAAGAGGAAATGCAACAAGATTGCTTCAAGGCCGGGGCATGGTCCAAGAAGATCAAGGGAAGAATGACTATGTGTCATGAGGAGACCAAAACATTCAATCGATGCTATGCCCTCCAGGCGAAATTTCTACAATCACTAGGATACATGACTAGTTCGACAAATTCGAATGAGGACGAAGAGAAAATCCAGATGCATGCGGATAAACTATATCACCGAATGATGGACTACGAAGCCGAGGTGGACGAGGCAAGACGGAACAACCGACCCATTCCACCTCTTTCGTCTCTGTTTAACCCCAACCGACCAGCCCCTACTGTGGAGCAGATGGCGTTGCCGAAAGCAATGGAAGACAAAATGAAAAAGCCTCTTCACGAATATCCTCCCCACGAGCGGGAGCTGGTTGCCAGGGCTGCTCTCCAGGAGGCCAAGTTAACTGATCTCTATGCCGAAGACTTGTTCAATTACACCGTCACAATGAACGAAGACCGTAAGAAGCGACAAGCCTGGTTGACTAAGACTTTTGGAGAAGCAATTGGAAAGTTCTTGATACCAGATCCTCCTAAGGAACCAGCTGTCCAACCTTACAGCATCGAACAGCTAGAGCGTGATATATGGCAGGACGAGCCGTCACCTCAGAAACATAATCGCCCTTCAAACCCGCCCGATCCGTGACAAAGTTGGCTGAAGAGAACACATCATGTCTACACTCAATTTGGTGGTTCCAATGCATGGGACAATTCCCGAACTCAGCATGGCCCGTGACTGGCAAGTCAGCAGCTGCTTGAGTCGACATCTATTCCGGCACTCACACAGTGGGAAGACATGACAAATGAACAGGACTGCTTGAGTCTGAAGGATAGTCCGGATCCTGACCTGTAAGATGTCTCATACTAATTACTCGGGGCCCTCACTACCATGGGAGCATACACGACGTTTTCGACGATACCACAGGTACTATCTGGCCACCCGGAATTGCCAGAATGTTCTGTATAGATCTCCGGGCTGGAGCCAACTAGGCCAACAGCAAAGTGCGGATGACAGGCATGATATTGCGTGTACCAGCCCGCAGACTTACCTACCCACCTACACGTGTTAGTCGAGTCCTGCGACTCGGCCAAACAGCGCTGATTTCTTGTACTATATTGGAATGGCCCCAAAACGAGGGCTTCATCTCGGTGGAGGACTCCTCTGTTGTAACTGTACCTCAATTTGGCCTTTGCTAGGCACCGCTCAGAGTATGAAAGTAACTGTGGACAAGTCTGAACCAAATTCTATCCTCTTTCCGGCCATCTTTGGCTACAGGAGTTGAATGCGGAGACTCCAGCGAGTAGGCAGTTTACTAAGGACCCTACTGCAATATTACCTTCCACATGCGTTCAAGTCCGTGAATCCGTGCCCGACCAAGAGGCCAACAGTATCACCCACTTCAAGCCGTAGATCGCGTGCTTGTCAAAGCTCCAAATCCATGGTAAGATATTACAGTTTCGTGGTGAGATGGACTCGTGGCTGGCTGGTTAACTGGGTCGGTTCCGATAAGAGGTGGGGGATGCATTGAGCACGTCGGGAGAGAGTCCGCTTCAATGGTCAGTCCTACACATCATCTCTTCGTTCTCGGCAGCCATGTTCTACTTCTCTCAAGTTGCCTCCTAGTTGTGTCTTCACTAATACTCATTGAAAAATGCGGCAGACCATACTGAGCTCGCTTCATCTTCTGTTTCGTTGACGTCTTTGGACGAGTCATGGGCTTCCTCACCCGGCATGCTGCAGATGCCGGTTCAGAGGCGGGAGCATCGTCAACTGTGCACCCTGACGCTGTCATCCCAGTCGAGCAGAATGCGCCCTTCCTTCAGTTGCCCCCTGAGATAATCTATCAGATCCTCTGCTGTCTTCCCTGCCAGTCCCTGGTCTCCCTCTCTCGAACCTGTCGACAGCTGCGCGGGCTAGCCCAGGAAGATCTATTATGGGCGAACCTGCTTCGACCGAACATACCTTCTCAAGACTTTCCACCCGACCCCTATCCAGCCTCGTCATATCGCGATCTCTATATATCTCACCATCCGTACTGGTTTCTACCACGCCACAAGATATGGATATCGGACGAGTCCTATATCGGACGGGTGATGATATGCAAATTCGATCCAAGGCGAGGGTGCATAGAAGGATATCGGTTGCTGGCAGAGAGGACTCCGTCCTCCGGGATATTATGGCCATACAAGCCGAGTGTGGTCATCCACTCCTTTCAACCTAGGGTACACTTGTGGCTCGATGATCCCATCCTAAAATTGCCGCATGACATCGTTCCCTTTAACGCACGGCAAGGATGGTGGGAGGCAGAAATCAAGATGAGTGTCGGGAGACCTGGCCACAACACATCTGCCTCCTTTTTCCTGGCTCGCAACATACCGGAGCATCTGCAAAACAAGAGCATGATCCTCTGGCCGCCGTGGACCATTCCCGGAATGCCTCGAGTACGTGCCGCTAGCATCGACAATTTCAGAGGCGTCGGTCATAAGCCACAGACGTACGACGAAATCTCGCAGACCACGTTCCGTCTTAGACAGTGGTCTCAATTCAGTACTGGCATGGCGCACTTTGGCATTCGCGTCGGCGAAGAGGTGAGTACATGGAGCACAATTGATCCGAGTCTTTATACTCCGACACCAGAAAAGCCGTACCAAGGCATTTACGTGGGGGACTACGCCGGCCACGGGTGCGAGTTTCTTTTGGTCATGCAGACAGACAAAGCACCTAGCGCCCCGGTTAGACCAGTCTCGACGTATCTTCGAGCCATGATCGGTCTTAGGAATGACGAGGAATCTAGTGAAGAAGAGCTAGAGCAAGCCACTCATGCCGCCAGTTCACAGCCGACGGTGCAAGATGATGATGGAGTGTACCACGGAGCCATCGAGGCCGTGAAATTGACCGGTGATCCAAACATCCCTCGCGGTGAACACACATTCATCGCCGACGACATCGGGCCCAACGGGTTCATAAGAATTGCCGAGGAGCATCCTTTCTGTGGGGCGCGTGTAGTCAAGAGTCGCGGTCATGTTGCCGCGCGCGGATTTCAAAATGGTAGGTGTGATTACGATCATACCTCTTTGCAGTAGCTGACGTGGCCCCAGACGAATTCATACCATCCCAGCTGATCATGATCAGCCATGATAAATTGGCCCAGTACTGGGTACCGTTCGGACATATTTCGTTCTATGAAAGGATTGACATTGACACATTGATGGACGAGACATTCAGGCCGCACAGTAGCGGAGTGTGAACACGTTGTAGATGCCGGGTTATACCTAAAGGCGCGTGTCTGTTTTGTTTGTGGGGAGTCTGCAATGTGTTGCTGCAGACCGACTTGAAGAGCAGTCTGTATAGTTATAAAACCGTGTCTGATAAACCGAGCATTTGCCACGTTAGCTAGCGCCCGGTTGGCCAGTTATATATCGTCCACCATGAACCTCTCCTATTTCAATGAGCGTCGAGTCGCTGACATCTGGAAATGGCCAAGTACACTGCCTGGGGGAGAAAGTCCAAGGGCCGATACACAGGACACTTGGTAATTTCACGGTGGATAATGGATCAAAGAGGGAGAGTCCATCTTTATACGACGCAATCGGCACCTTTTGGAGATCAGGGTGTATACAGAAGTCCTGCCCGAAGACCAATACCGTCACTGCATCCAAGTACTCCCGAGCCAAGGACCACGCAATCAACCCATAACGCCTCGTTGTTGCATCAAGTAGCATCGATTCATGTTCTCGGTCCATGATGTGATGTTCATCGCCGGCGTTCAAAGTAGCTGCTGCTTCCCATTATAGCCACTGATTGATCCATCACCCACTCGCCCACTCCAAGATAGCGGTCAACCCATGTTTGTACCTCCTTGCTCTCGCCGATAGAGGATGCCTTGACACTGGTTGGTCTAGAGTTAGTTAGTCCGAGAATATGCATAACAGGAGTCCGCATCTTGAAAGCCTGCTTTGAGAGTGACAAGAGGACGTACGTAAGACCGGTGCTTCTCTTGATTCCGGCGAGGAATGCGGAGATGAGGACAGCGTCAAAGGCAATATGGGTGAGGCGTCCCAGCTGGGTAGATTCTTTAGTCAACAGATACTGTGTCAATGGAACAGACGACTCACCACCATGATGGAGGTTGTTGTGATACTGCTAGCCTTCTGAAATGAGATGATCAATCGTTGTCTGAGTGGGATACAGGCAGCCTAATTCGGCGCATGTGAAGTGCAAGAGCGGAGTGTGTCGGACGCTGGTCAAGGTGCGTGGCTCTTTGCGGAACAACGTTGTTGCGTTGCCGAAGGCCTAAGGGCCATTCTGATGGGGCTAAGGGGCACCTGACTTTAGGCTCAATAGCTTGTGCACCGTCCACAGGGCAACCGCACCAGCCCTGAACGCTCGGTTACGGAGTCCGAGAAGTGAGGGGCGTCGGTGGTGGAGCAGCGAGTAGCGATCTCTGCTTACTACGTACCGTGCTAATAGGCACCTAGATAGGTGCCGTGATAGGTGCCGTGCACCTACACTGCCAGGTGTTTATAGGTGTGGAATATGCACCCCCCCACCAACCACTGCGACGGCCAAGTAGGATCCCACCTCGCCAACTCCGTCCACGTTGAACCAAATTTTGGCTTGTCAGCCCGACTGCCCTGATTCGCCCATATTCGAGCTCAGCTCCAGGTGCTTGCAGCTTGTCAGGAATAGAGCCGGATAAGCGTGACGTGGGAGATCCATTCGACTGTGACGAACTAAGCCAGTTCAACAATTGCTTTTTTCCTGGTGATAAGATCTCAAGGGTTTTCCCCGCTGTCCAAACGCCTTTCTACATCCCAAACCCTCAGGAAGTCAAGGTGAGTGCTACGCCGTGTCAACCCATCGTTCCTGGCACCGTCGAACTCGTAGCTGACTGAATTGGGCATTGGCCGGACAGCCTGATCTAGAACGAAGTATCTCCGCACCTACCGCCGCAGCCTCAATCCTACCTTACACAAGTAAAGAAACAACACACGCAAAATGGGTGACGCTTTGGACCATCTTGCCAATCGGACAAAGCTGGAATGGCAGTGCAATCTCAACATCGACTATGTGCCAAAGAAGAATCATCGCAGAACCAGCATCATTTGCACAATTGGTATGCCTGTCCGCTCCCCTCACCGCCGGCTGAAAATAGTATTGGATACTGACATACGTTCTACAGGCCCAAAGACCAATTCTGCCGAGAAGATTACTATGCTGAGAAAGGGTATGTGAACGCTGCGGCTTCAGAAAAAAAGGACATATTGCTGAAATGGTCGCAGCTGGTCTCAATGTCGTCCGGATGAATTTCTCTCATGGCTCATACGAGGTGGGCAAAGTCCATGGTCACGGAAGCGTCGGAATATTCCACTAACCTCCATCAGTACCACAAATCTGTCATTGACAATGCAAGACAGTCTGCCAAGGACTATCCAGGTCGACCCCTGGCAATTGCTCTCGATACGGTGGGTTGAAACCTCCAAACTCTGATACCCTGGCTCATGGTTTGCAAAAGAAAGGGCCGGAGATCCGGACAGGAAACACCCCTGGGGACACAGACATTCCTATCAAGGCCGGCCTTGAGCTGAACATTACCACTGATGACAAATATGCCACTGCCAGTGATGACAAGAATCTGTAAGGCACACCCTCCGCGGCCCACCATCTGTCACGGGGTAGCTAATTTCAATAAGCTATGTCGACTACAAGAACATCACCAAGGTGATCGACGCGGGCAAGCTCATCTACGTTGACGATGGCATCCAGTCGTTCGAAGTCATTAAGGTTGTGGACGACAAGACTCTTCGAGTGCGTGCGCTCAACGATGGACAAATCTCGTCCAAAAAGGGGGTAAACCTCCCCGGGACTGATGTCGATCTCCCTGCCTTGTCACAGAAGGACATTGCAGACTTGCAGTTTGGTGTCAAGAATGGAGTCGACATGATCTTCGCTTCGTTTATTCGACGCGGGGACGATATCAAGCACATCCGTCGAATCCTTGGCGAGGAGGGCAAGGAGATCCAGATCATTGCAAAGATCGAAAACCAACAGGGTATGAACAACTTCGACGATATTCTGGCCGAAACCGACGGTGTCATGGTGGCACGTGGTGATCTTGGAATTGAGATCCCGGCAGCGAAGGTCTTCATTGCTCAAAAGATGATGATTGCCAAGTGTAACATGGCAGGCAAGCCTGTCATTTGCGCCACGCAGATGTTGGAATCCATGACCACCAATCCCCGACCTACCCGGGCTGAGGTCTCTGATGTCGCCAATGCGGTCCTCGACGGGGCTGACTGCGTCATGCTGTCCGGAGAGACCGCGAAGGGCAACTATCCCAAGGAGGCAGTTACCATGATGCACGAGACCTGCTTGTTGGCAGAGGTGGCCATTCCCTATGCCAACATGTATGATGAATTGAGGACAAGTTGCGCGCGGCCGATTGACACCGTTGAGGCCATTGCCTGTTCTGCTGTCAGCGCTAGCATGGAACTGAACGCTGGTGCCATCATCGTGTTGACCACTAGGTAAGCCCCCTATCTAACCCTGCCACCTCGGTTTGCGCTGATATCAAGCAGTGGTCACTCGGCCCGGCTAGTCTCAAAGTTCCGGCCAGTGTGCCCCATCATCATGGTCACACGAAATGCGACAGCTTCGCGATATGCGCATCTCTATCGGGGAGTGTATCCCTTCCACTTCCCTGAGCCCAAGCCAGACTTCAATGGCGTGGACTGGCAGAAAGACGTGGACAATCGGCTGAAATGGGGCATCGCCCAAGCGATTCAGTTGGGAGTCTTGACTAAAGGTGACAGCGTAGTTGCTGTGCAGGGTTGGAGAGGTGGCCAGGGACACACCAACACTATTCGTGTTGTTCCTGCCGAGGAGAACCTGGGTCTGCTTGATTGAATGAACCCTTGTTCACAACTCTCAACACACAGACCCAGTCGAGGAGGTTCTTCGTGTCCTCTCCTATCAGACCGGGGCCTGCCTTTTGGAGCTGATGGTGAATAGCTGGGCGAACGGAGCTGGGGAAAAACTGCTGCACAGGGATAGAGGGTCTATCATTAGGGGTATCTTGTCAAAGGTACGCTGTCGCCGGTCAGTGCAGGGCAAGTTTGAAGGAGACCGCTATTATTCCGGGTATTCTATTGCTAGGTAATTCTTTAACGCGAATAACGTATCGATCCTGGACAAGCATAAGGACCATTTCTGAAACCAGAGTCAGAGTCTGTACACAATTACCCAGTCGCCAATTCTTTCTCTTCTGGAGACGAAGGAAACCTCGACACGGGCCAGCAGCGAGCGTATTGTGGCATGTGCCAGTGTCTGGATACTCCCGAGTTTTATAGCCAACCAGTAACCGCTCAGAACAACTGATCAGCCAGGCTGATAGGTATTACGTAGGAGGTACAGTACATACCCAAGTACCGTAGCTTGTACGGAGTAGATTGGGAATTCTGATCCCTGATGAGCAAGCCTAAGGAGCCTAAGGGGCTTCCTGAGTCTAAGGCTTAGGAGGCTTATGGCTCCTCAGGCCAGGATCCTTCTTGGGGCGAGTACCTGCAATACGTAGGTGCAGCTAGGCGGCCTGAACAAGATTCCCCTCTCATGTTTCACCACCGGATGCCATTCCTGGCCAACTTCAATCTCTTCGTTTCAGATCCCAACCCTCCTTTCCTCTATTGAGCGTTCGTCCATTCGTCTGCTTTGTATGTATTCTGGAAATTTTGTGTTCTATTGAGCCACGACTGCCATTGTGCGCACACTCCCTCCATCGCCGCCGCGCATCTTAGCTAGCGTGTCCTCCGCGTCTATGATATAAGTTTGGCGCTTGCGTCCCTCAGAGCACTGGACGGCAAGATCCCGCGCGACGGGACGTGTCCCTTTTCAATATGGCAAATGAGAGTATTCCGTCACCTAGGCCGAAGGTGCCTGGGTTCACGGATGCCTTCTGGTCTACCGACTATGCTGGGGGCTTAGGGGTTCTCTTTCAAAAGCTCCAACAAGGAGTGATCGAAAATCAGCAGGTCCTGACAATTGCAAGCATGCGAGCGGATGCAGAAGAGATGTACAGCGATCAATTGGGAGATATAGCGCCGACCATCGATCGAATGACTGGTGGATTCTCCAGGGACGACGGCGCAAGCGTTCGCAAGGTCGGCCCAATGTCCCACAATCTCGAGGGAGTCTGCTAACGTCTACAGGCATACGAAGGAGTCCGCAGCGAAATGATCGAAGCATCCAAGAACCACAGGAAGATTGCAGACAATATTCGCGAGTTGGTTGTCCATCCCTTTTCCAGATGGTGCGACGCGCATGCAACTCGGATACAAAATTCGCAGGATGACCTACAAGCGAAGATCAAAGCCCATGACAGACAAGCCGAGGTGGTCAAGAAGTTGAGAAGTCATTACTTCAACAAGTGCAGGCTCGTGGAAGATCTCGAAGAGGAGAACAAGCTTGCTTTCCAAGCACCCGGGAAAGAAAGCCCGAAAGCGCAGAGCCCACCACCGCCCAGAATCGTTCTGCCGGAGGATGATGCTGAAGAATTGCCAGTCGAAATAGGTGATGAGACATACCCGCCCCAACAATTGAAAGCCCTCTTGACGCATATGCTGGAGACAATCCCACTCGGGGAGTACAAAGTCCCTATTTTAGGACTGTATCAGAACGTATCCGCAGGCACAGATATTGTGGATTACATACAAAAACACATGAAAGCATCAACGGTTGGATATGCGGAGAAGATCGGGCAGGACCTGGTCGACCGTGGATTCTTACGACTTATTGGCAATGTGGGAAATACATTTGCGAACAGTTCAAGGATGAAATATCAATGGAAATCACGAGTGTTCCAGATCACAGGTGTTCCCGAAAAGAAGAAGCCTCTTGGGCGCTCAGCCACGGGCTCTTCGATGGAGGGTCTTCTGGAATCACCGACAATCGGAAACATCACAGAGACTCTACAGACGTGGAATCCACTGAACAACCCGCACCCAAACGAGACGCCTGCCGAGCGACTCCGGCGTGAGGCCAGAGAAGCAGATGAGAAGTACAAAGCTGCTGTTCGAAAGCTTGATCTACTCAGATGCCATCTGGAGGAATCCATGATGGATCATTTGAAGTTTCTAGAACGCTGTGAGACAGACCGACTGAGAGCCATCAAAGCAGTGATCCTCGATTTCTCTGGCGCCATCAGCAACAGTATCCCATCATTTCAGAGCCAAGTGGACCACATGATGCTGTATCAGGAAACGATTCAACCACTGGGCGACCTGCGTTACTTGCTGGAAAACTACAAGACGGGGGCGTATGTGCCAAAAGTCACCCCGTACGAGAATTACTATGGTACCGTGGTGGACCAGACTTTTGGCGTTGATTTGGAGGCTAGAGCGAGGGCTGACCGCAAACGAGTACCCATCGTTGTCACGTCGATATTAACGTTCCTCGACAACCATTATCCAGACCTGGAAGGCGATGAAGCCCGAAGAAACATTTGGCTGCTGGACGTCCCCTTGGCCGCCACGCATCATCTGAGGAACCAGATCAACAATGGAGCTCCGGTATCGCCAGAGATCTTGGAAAAGTATGAAGTGCCGATCGTTGCTAGTGTTCTGAAATTGTACCTTCTCGAATTACCTGGTGAGTTCTCTTCTCCAACTGAACGACCATTACTGACCCATCAGACTCGCTTGTCTCGGCGCAGGTTTACGAGATCATCAAGACAATTTACGCAACTACGCCTGATGCGGTGCCAAATCCAATCTCCAGCGACTCAATTGATGCCACGCCGAGGATCAAAGTGCTACAATCCACCCTGGGTCAGCTGCGTCTCAATAATATCGCAACTCTCGACGCCATCGTGACCCATTTCGCCCGCTTGATCGATCTGACCTCCGCGGACGACGCCTACGTCACCACACTTGCCCAGTCCCTGGCGCCTTGTATTTTGCGGCCGCGGATAGAGAACTCTCTTACTTTGGAAGAGCGCCACCCGTACAGGCTTGTTCGAGATCTATTTGACTACAAAGAAGCCATTTTTGGTGAGCTCAAACGTCAATCTTCGACTCGCACTGTCTCCGAGAGCATTTCACATCGGCAGAGGGCGGTCAGCAATACGGACGAAAGCTCACGGAGAGCTGCCATGGAGGCCAGGGCAAAAGCCATCACCGAACAGAGACAAAGAGACAAAAGCCCAGCACCAAGCAGTCGGCACAGACGTGACAAGAGTACCGATGGAAGCCTAGGAAGATTCCCGGTCGTCGCAAGTCCGAGGCTAGATCATGGCAGAAGCGTTAGCGCAGCTGGCCTGCCATCAGCTAAGCGGTCCAGCCTGGAAGTCCCAGGCAGCGTCGAAGGATCACCCGTTCAAGCTAGGAACCTATCGGCGACAGAGAGAAACTCGGCCACCAAAATCGAAGTATCAGGAACAACGACGAACGGTCAAGGAGAACCATCTCCCAGTATCCTACACTTGCCAGGAACTTTCAGTGGTGGTGGACCAGGTCCACATATCCCACCCCCGCCGGAAGATGATAGCCAGGAAGAGCAATCGCCAGCGCCAGCGCCAGCAGCGAGAGAACCAGGACAAGAACAGACCCCGAGAGTTGGCTCCTTGAAGAGGAGTGGGGCAGCAACTGAGCGGAAACCCGTCGGCCGTAGTGGGCCTGGGAGTTTGAGCCGCCGCATTAATCCAAGCGGTATGGATGAGACGAGCCCGGCCACGATTGCAACACCTCAGGGAGTCCAATTGACGGACAAACCAATGGACGATTTCGCATGACGGAGGAGCTCAACGCTGTACGCATGACTTTTGTCCAGTTGGAGCATTACGACGGTGGCCTCTCAAGGAAACCCGACCTAACCATCCTCTGCGATCCTCTTGTCTGGGAAACATCTTATTAGAGGCCGCCCAAGCTTCGAGATGCCAGATTCGTCCTGGACTGAGCAAGCGAGTTGGAGGCTTGAGAGGAGAGCTTGCCTAAGCATCCCTCTGCCCGCTGGGCAGCTGTTCTGCGGCTAAGGCCGAGGCCTCTATAAGGCATATTTAATTGCAGACCCGGCTAAGGAGGCCCCATGGATAGCACACAAAGTACTCCGTAGTAGGCAGCCAAACAGGCAGCAAGGAGCACGACAAAGATGGCCGAATCGCTGTCGAGGAATTTTCTAATGCATGCTACGACGCCTCTACGGATATCGTAGACTTTGTGAGCTATGAATATGCGACTGAATAAGTGCACAGTTTGGCAGATCCGATGCTGAGGTATGTTGTAGTAGAAGTAGTTACTACCTGTAGGTGCCCGGTACTTGCCAAGAATCAGATAGTATTGGTACATGTACTTTGGTAGTATGTACGCAGAACGACTCATAAGTCGAGAACCTTGACCTGATACATGACTAGCTGCCATCTGTGACGAGGCAGCGTGAGCTTCACACCTGTTGACGGGGCCCTTTGACATTCAACGATCAACAGTTCACAGTTCTGAGTTCACAATTTTCAGTTCTCAGTCGAAACCATGCGTCTGTTCAGGCTATGCGCTTTCGCGCTGGCTGCCGAATGCGCCTACGGCTACCTCGATACCACGCCCTTCTTCATGTTCTCGACCTCCGAGTAGGTGCTATTCCCAGGCAATCTTCATTGTCCAGCCGGGCCACCATTGAAACGTTAGCTGATACTTTTTTGCAGACTTCTAACCTCATCCTCCGACCTACAAAGTGCCTCCTCTATTGTCTCCGATGTCGCCATCTCGCTGTCCCAGTGTCCCTCCGACTACTATATCCTGGTGTCCCAACAAGGAGTTAGTGGCAGGGACTATGAATCTATAAAATCAAGCCCTGTCCTGGCCAAGTCTCTATCTGGAAGTCGTCCTAGGGTTGGCATCCGAAGTAGCATGATAGTACCAGATGTGCGCGGTGCCATCGCGCCCTCGACCTGGACTGAAGTTCTACAAGAAAAGTGCGGCGTGGAGACTACCGAGATCGATGCGTCGAAAGGCTCCATTCCAACGACCCTCACGCCGGCTCCTAGGCTGATCAAAGTCAATCTCCCTGCGCCTTCGTCAGATTCGAGGGCCAAACAGCTGTCCTTGAACGACGCCTTTTTCGCTTCGATCCTCGATATGCTTCCAACTCAGAACTATACCGTACTCTACACAACCACCCGTGGTCGGAACGGGTTGGTTGGAGCCCAGCAGCCAGAGCAGACAGAGTATGAGATGGAGTCGGCAATTCAAGATTCCCTGCATCTGGATTTGAAGAGAGATTTGGGTGCTCATGGAGCCAACCAGACGGGAAACCAGACCATAATTGATGGGCCATTGTTTGACAAATACCAGTTCTTCACATCCGGTACCGACTTACTCTTTCCCACGCCTCAGGCCTGGCTAGCTAATCCTCTGCAGGTATCTATATGAGCTTCCTGGTCGGATTCCTCCTCTTATCGATCCTCTATGTGGCCATTTCGGCTGTCGCCTCACTCCAGGTCACGTACGCGGCTTTCGACAAGGAGACAGGTGCCTTCGCTGGGAAGAAGCAGCAATAAGCATAGATAAGGTCTGGGTCTAAACAGCGCCTTGGAGCTCGTCGCCTTTTTTATGATTGGTTGGTCTTCCCTTTACCTTTCCTTCCTGTTTTGTCGCTCAGGTGTCGGCATATCAGTCTCGAGCCTAGGGACTGACTGGGTTTATCAGCAGATGCAATGGGAGGCAGAAATGATGCACCAGACTCGGCACCAGGGCATCAGCACAATGTCTTATATAGTAACGTATCATGTCAGAATTACTTGGGTCCAGCCTTTTCCGTTCCGATTATCGATATCACTTCCATGTCGAGCAGTTCCCCCGTGCTGAGCTGCAGACGGCTGCACAACAGCCGACAAGATGGCACGGAACATCCTAACTGGACGCCCACCTGTGGCTGGGGGCACTAAACATACACGTAGTCGGTGGCCTTCAAGCATGTCGACTTCTCCATGTTGTTTAAAGACATTCTCCATACCTCGGGGGCTTTGGACTTGGCTCACTCCTCAAGTAGGGGTGGCAGAAGCATTCCATCCCTTAGCGATATTTCTGCGTTGGACACCGCATCGACCATACCATACATACCTACTCAGTTCCTCTGGATCGGGGAATTTCACTCTTTGTCGATGCACGCGCGAGAATTCTCTAGACATCTTGACTCCCTACCTGATTAGACGTGTTTTATTATTCGAATATCTTTATCATGAATATCCTCTGCCCTTCCTTTCTCGCGTCGTCGTCGTGGATGCCAGCACTCTTTTTTCTCAAGCCGCTCGATTTAAATGTCCGGCCTGTACACTCCCACCGTGCTTACGATGGGCATGGACGCCCTGCTCCTTAGCCGGGGCAGATCACCTCGAATAGCAGCACAGTGGTCGAGAGAAGGGACGGGTTTTACGCATCATTGAATACTGTCTCCAAGATAGTGCCTATACTCTGCCTCATTAACGCATGCTGCAAAGCGCACCCCGAAGTGGATCAAGCAGACAAAGACCACGATCCAGTTGATTTCGGAATACATAGCCTTGAGTCGACTGGAGCTGACCGCACCGTTAAGAGTATATCGAAAACAATCAGAAGCGTCCAGCTATCAGCATGCGTCTGTTCGTCCAAGTCATATACGTTCAATGTGAAGTCCTGTTCTGCCGCCGGAAGGAACCCCCAGCTATCGTGGCTTACTCGAATGCTGAATCGGATGAGCCGCCCAAAGTCTAGGGCAATTGATAACGGCCTCCCTTCCTCCTCTGAAAGCATGTTGCGCTACACTCGGTAGGACCAAGGACTGCGACAACTGCTACAAAGTGTAAATGAAGTCAGGTCTCTTGTCCCCCAGCTTTTCGATCTCCTGTTCTGTCTTGCCCTCGATCCAGTGGTTCCGCTCGCCATTCCTGCGTTTCACATTCTCACGTCGGAGGAGGATGTGTTGTAGAACACTGCCTCCAAAGAGGAAGACTGCTTCATAGGCCAGAACGACGGCATGTCCTGGCTTGTACCGTGGCTTGTCTTCAGCCCGATAGATGTTCGAGGACACGATCCCTACAGGGAGATCAGTCGGGTTGATCAGCAATAGAATATCAAGCAGACAAGACTGACCATTGAGATTGCCCCATCCAATGACAAATCCCAAAGAGATACCTCGCTTGTAAACACCTTCAACGTTGTTCGCCGTCCAGGAGATGGTGTTCGGAATACAGGGGTATATTCCCATAGCACCGAGGAACGTTCCAGCGTATTGAACGTGCGGCGAGCCTGAGCCGAGCAGCATTGCAAACCCAGCGATTCCAAAGAAGGACATGATAATGTTGCAATAGCCTTCAAGCATCAGCGAAAAGGTATCATAATATCTAGAGATATTAAACTCACCCCGCATCCGCGTCCTGTCGGCAACGAAACCGACGAAAATCGTGACCACCGTAGCAACCGCATAAGGTGGGACACTGAGAAGTTGAGCATGGACGCTCTTGTAGCCCATCTGCTGAATGATCGTAGGCAGGAACAACGAAAAACTGTATAAAGAAGCATCCGCACCCATATACACTATCATCCCCGTGTAGGTTTTCCAGTCCCACAAGCTCGCCCAAAGATAAGCCAGCTTAAATTCCTCGTGCTCAGCGCTGGACTGCTGGTCGAGTTTGAGTCGACGAATAACACGACGCCGGTCGTCTTCGGAAAGGAATTTAGCTTCATCAGGGAAATCATGCACCTGGCACCGGTCAGCTGGTGCTCTATGTCATCAGAAAGGCATATGCATGCCATCCAGAAAGAGAGAATAGCAACAACAAGTGTGGCCAGTCCTTCAAGAATGAATATCCACGCCCACCCAGGCTTCCCGCCGACTCCGTCCATGTTAATGATGGCAGCCGCCAGTAGACCACCGAAAGATCCGGCAAGAGCTGCTGCGCTGAAGAAGATGGCGGCTCGGATACCGAATTCAGATCTTTTATACCAACAACTCAAGTAATAGTTGACCCCTAGAAGATTATGAATAGAAGTCTGGAGGTAATACTTAGGTAAGGTCTTTACCGGGAAAGAGTCCAGCTTCTGTCAGACCCAGGAACCATCGAGCAGCCATAAGACCAGAGAAGTTGTGGACCAATCCCATGGTCGTCATACTGATACTCCAAAGAACCATGATTGTTGGTAGGAAGATAGACGGTCTGAATCTTTTGAGAAGTACTTGTGTCAAGGGCTCGAAAAGGGAATAAGAGATGAAGAAGATTGTTAAAGTGTCGTTGTATTGGTTGTTTGTCATGTGGAGATCCTCTTGAAGGCCGGCGATCTTCGCATTCCCGATGTTGGTTCGGTCCAAAAAGGAAATGAGATATAGCAAGGCGAGCCATGGAATAAGTCGAAGATCGAGCTTCCATAGCAGTGCCCGATCCTGCAAAAGTTAGTCAACCGAACGCAGGTACAGAGCTGCGGGCATTATGTACGATGCGCTTCCTCTCCTCTTCGCCCAAAGCCTCATCTGGATCCGGAAGATCGACGATGGCGACAGGGACACCAATTTCTAGATGTTTCCCAGCATCTGAAGTTGAACGGCCATTGTCTGACTCTCCAGTCTTAGGCTCATTTTTCTCCATGGTGATGTGTAGTCCACGAAGAGCGGAGACAGATTGGGAAAGGAGATGTCAGGTGGGAGAGCAAGCAACAAATATATATCTGCAGGATCGCTGATACGCTGAAATGAGACGGCGAGGGATGGTAGCACAAGTGCCGATGACAGTCCAGGGGTAGACTGGTAAGGCCATGACCGCGCGTGTATGGGCTCTTCCGTCTCTTGAGCTGAGTGAGACAAGTCGGTGAGTGGACGAACAGATCACCAACCCCAGGATGTGGCCCTGGGGGGACATGGAGCAACCTCCTTAGCTCTGCTCTTCCGTAACGTGCTATTGATACCACGACCAAAGGCGATGGCACCCAGGTCTACTGATGCCCATACGAGTAGGTGCCAGGTGACACTAAGTGTGATGATCCGGCCGTCGCCACTCGGCAGAAAGACTCGTGGCACCAGGCACTTACCAGGCATGACCGGCTTGGTCGGCCATATCCCGTGTGTGGGCAATCTAAGCAGGCAGCTTGTTGGAGTGCCGATAGAGCAAGTTGTGCAGATCTGACGGGCAAGCAGTGAGGAGGAACTTCCTGATTCTCTCTGGTTTGCAGCTTTTTCGTCGGATGGATGCATCGGCCTAGGACCCTTGTCACACTGGATGATCTGTTCAGCACGAGAAGACGCTCGCTGTCCAACTACCCGACGTTGCATTGCGTCGTGATTTTAGCCACTGGCATTGGCCAAGTTGCAGATCCGTTTTCTCATTCAAGTTCGATGTCTGGCCTCGGCATTTGGCCTCATTATCAAGTGTGGGGTAAGCTGTCCATCTTCTCTCTTCTCTCGAATGTTCTCCAGCTTGCCTGGCCTCAATCTCTGGGGCAGCTTGTCTGCAACGTGGCTTGTACGATATGGAAGGTAACGAGTCGCAGGAGAGGCCGCTGGGCATTCTTCGACGTCCAAGCGTGGATATTGAATGCGTCTTTGCAGCAACGCGCGAACGAGCAATGAAGAGATATGGAGAGCACTGAGTAGAGATAACTCTGAGTCCATTTGCACGAACTCTGGGGCCATTGATATCGTGGCTGAGGCAGCCGTGCAGATGGTCATCTCATGGGTTGGATCACGAGGAGGAGCCTGCACACCTTCTGAGATGAGAAGAACGACTCGGTTGGAGGGCCCGAGGCTATTGGGTAGCCTCTGCAACAGGAAACAAATGGCCATTGAATGGGTAAAGCCTTCAAGGAGATAATGATTGTTAACATTTAGGAGTGTGTTGGTACCTCGCTGTTCAATGCTGTGGGCAGTGCCGCAGTAAGGCAACGGAAGTGAACAGCGCAGCTGCGTTCTTTGTCTTTCTTCCTTCACTGCGACATCTTCCGCACGCCTCATCCCCCAGACTTCCTCAATTCATATTGACCTGCTTTGTCTCTTCATTCTCACGTCCCTTATCCCATCGTCAGCCTCAATTTTTGCTATGTGCATAACCTCTCCTTGTTCTAGACCGAATCCTCATGGCTGCGACCAAACCATCCGAGCGTCTACTCAAGTATCCCCCCATGGAGCGACAGGACCTGAATCAGTCCCAGCTGGGCAGTTTCAAGTTCGTGCCAGTGGACAGGATACAATCCATCGATGCCATTGCCACGAATTACCTGAGGCAGCAACTTGCAGAGAGCCTCTTTCGAGCAGAGTCAGCCAGACTCTCCGCAACCAAAGCAGCTTCTGGAGGGGTCGCCTCACCAATTCAAACCACGTCTCCGCAGTCAGCTTCGACAGATGCAGATTTCTTCAACAAGCATATCAAACCCGACCTTGCTGAGTCCCGTCTGCGATTAGGTCCTGCAGCACTTCGTTCTGCAGTTGAAGGTGCCGCTAAAAGTCCGACCAAGCAAGGTCAGCTCATGGGATCTAGACAAGAGACCTTCTCAGAGCAGGCATTTCAGCAAAGATATCTTTCTGTGCATGTGAGTGGTTTAATTCACTGAGAGGCCCCCAGGATCAGACTTTGTCAGCTTTTCATCAGCGGCCATACATTGTCCTCTCTAACCACCGACATAGGCTCAGGATATCAGCCACTCAGCACTTGAGAATGCAAACATGGATCCAACTGCCGCCGCCTTTGTACCAACTACGACGCTAAACCAATCCTTGGGTCTGGCTTTGGTAAACGAGCAGGAAGCCCACAATGCGACGAGAGCGGCCCTGAGAAAGGAAGTCGAACGAGGCATGCAACAGGAAGAGCAGATCGTGCAGTACCAGCAACAAATCTCACGTCTCACCGTCACCGTAAACAACTTGGGGGCAATCATCAAACATAACCTCAGTAAACTCGGTGACGAAAATGCCGCAAGAGACAAAGATGTTGATTCAGTCAAGGACATGGAAGAGGCTGCTTTACATGAGTTCTACGGCAGTAACCCGCACCTTGCAAAGAGTCCGGAATCTCGCCAGGAGAAGCATGAACACTTGGCTTGTTTGGACAGTAGACACCCAGCTGTCTCTGCGAACGGCATGATTGTGAAGGTCGACGAAACACAGCTTTACAACTTTGAGTTGTTGACCAGTCCTGACGACGGCGGATCACCAATATCTGCTTTACGTCAAACCTTGCGAAAACAATTCTCAATTGCTGAAGATCTCAATGCCAATCAATCCATCCTGGCTACACCAGCGGCTTCACGTACCAGCGTTAACAAGCTTGTCGACATCTCTCCGGAGTCTGCTGAGAGTGATAAAGAGGTGATAGAGGAAAAATATATAGCACATGTCTCGGGATGTAGCAACCATGAGGAAGCCGGTGTCACCAAGCCCTCTAGTGCTGGTGCAGTGTTCAAGCCACGTCTCTTGGTAAGAAAATCCGTCTCACTTGGTCTGAAGGAAAACTTATTCACTGGAACAGACCGCCGAGAACCCTGTCCTGCAATTGGTAGCGCTGCCCTCTTCCTTCACTTCTACCATGTCACTTCTACCATGTCACTTCTACCGTCACTAATACCATGTCACTAATACCATGTCACTAATACCATATCCCTAATACCATATCCCTAATACCATGTCACTAACACCATGTCACTAACACCATGTCACTAACATTCACCTAGCCGGCCGCGTTTGTCAATAAATACGGACGTAAACCTTCAACCAAAGATCAAGGAGTCCTGAAAGACCAGGTTGGTTCCTTCAAGGCCTCGATTTCAACTGACTGACCATATGAATCAGTCAAACGGCTCCAACAAGATGGATTTGCCCAACCCTCACAGCCTTCGTATTTCGGATGAGGTGGAGGTGTTCTCACACAAAGGCGCGATAAACAACAGCTGTGAAAGCATAAGTCGGACAGCATTATATGACAGTAACGGCGAGCAGTCGGACACTGCGGTGGCAACACTTGGTAGTACCCAGACAAACCACGGTCCTAACAGTGCCTGGATCCAACTTCCTGGTGATTTTTATGGACATCCAAACTGGTTGGTGACCAAGGAAAACCCGATCTTCCACAGTGACGAGGAAATGCGAGAGGCCGTTGGCGATTCTGGCATCGTCTGGATCAACAACAGTCCGTTCACCACCCACCCCGTGCGCTACCTGCCCGAAGATGCGGCCAGCAATCACAACGCATATCGTACGGTTATGATCGATAACATTCCCGTTGGAAGCACCCCGAAGGATGTCCTCGCTCACACTCGCGGTGGTGCCTTACAATCACTACAGCTCCTTCCACCTATTGGAGGGGCTACTTCTTTCATGACTGCTCGTGTGGTGTTCCTTTTTGAGACGGCAGCCGATGAAATGAGAGAGCGTCATCAGAAAGCACCTTTCCACGTCAATGGTGCTCAGGTTCGCGTGTGGAAGCCAATCGATCCGACGTACCCACTCAACGTAGAAGTGGAAGACGCTATTTGGGGCGAAGAGGAGGCCAGCCGGATTCTCTTGATCGGTGCTATCAACGATTATCTTTTCGAGCTACTTCCCGGAAAGTTGGCTCGCCTGGATCTCGATCGCCCGGTGATTGAGTACAGTTGGACCTGGGATGGCTATGCCGCCATCGAGTTTGCGGATATCAAGAGCGCCTTTCGTGCCATGAGGGAATTAAAGAAGGACGGCGATTTCTACGGTGCAGACTTCCGATACGACCGCGACTACACATCTTCAAAGTACGAGTCTCTGCAGCCGAGCAAGGAGTAGAACGACACAGGACACTTTTTTTTTCTGGAGGAGGCCGGGAAGGGGGTGTTTGCTGTGTGTTGAAGAGTACAGGGTCGGAACATGCCTATGACAAGTCGTGAGCAACGAGTTCATTCTGAGCGAGCTGGAAATCAGACTTGTACGTAGCATGACCTAGTGGTATAGCAGAATTTGATAGTCTGGCTGCAAAAGTTGGTTTCTTGCATCGTATTGGTAGTGAAGCGGCCCGCCAAACTCACCAAAATAGAGCCTATGCGCGCGAGTTATCTGACTTTTGGACGGTGCATGGCTTGCAAGACTGGTTACAGTTTTGGACAGCTTCAACAGGCGATTTTTGATCGTGCATACTCTCGGCTCGGGTTCGAGCTCTATGTTGTGTTATGGGTCATGTCTTTGCGGGCTCGTTTGGCCATAAAAGCCAACAGGCTATATATGTAGGTCGGCGCTACCTATTTCATTGAGAAGACTGTGCCACAACGTCAAAACATAGCCATCCACCATCATGTCTGGTCTAGCTTTCAGCTTATCCGAAATGAAACAGCGTCTCGCCCTTTTTGGACTTTTTGCCCTTCTTCTTTCCCGATGTGCCATCTCCAATCTCGTAATCACCGCCGAAGCCCGCAGCGCTGGCGCTTCCAGCAGTAGACCTGGCCACTGCAGCCGCCTGCGCAGGAGTCGGAGTCAATCCACCGTTGGCCCATGCATTTGCTGGAGTGGCTGTTCCTGAGCCAGATGGGGAGTTGCGGCTTGAGTCGAGCCAGCGGACGGAGCCACGAGTGTTGAAGCCCGAAATCATGGTGTTCGGCTTTGGCGCAGCCGGCAGTGACGGGAACATATCCTCCGTCGGCCTCGGTGGCCGGCTGTTGTGTGTAGATTGACGGATTGTTGATGCCGTGGTGGGGGTTGGACGGGAGAGAGGCGCCACGCTCACCGTCGTGCTGGCGACTTGTGGTGCAGATGTATTGCCCCAGGCTGCTTGTGTCGCCGTTCTGCGAGTGTTGTTGTTCGCAGAGGATAAAGCAGGGAAAGGGTCCCGGCTCGTACCATTGGAGAGTGCGTTGCCCCATGAGCCTTGTCTCGAGACGGCCGAGCGAGACGACTGCGCTGTACTCTTCTTCAGGGTCAGCACTCGTCTTCCACTGCCCGAACCTGTGGTGCCACTCGAGGCGCCCGGCAATGACCCGCTTGGGCCTGGCAGACTGGGATAATCTTCGTTAATGCTGCGCCAGTCATTCCAGGCTTGGAGAAGGGATTGACGTTTTGCATCATCCTCGTACAGGTCGGCAAGTTCCCTGATGAGCTTGCCGAGTTCGGTACTAGGACAGTCGAAGAGAGAAAAGAACGAGTCGATCAGGTCTGTTGCGGAGATGGTGCCGCTACGGTAGGCCGAGACATGGGTGCGGAATTGTGACAGCTTCGTTTTGTCATTCTTCAACAGTGTCGAGGCACGGTCGCTCACGGTTTGGTGCCGCAGCGCACGGGCCTGCTCCTGGGGTGTCGCATTCGCTGTTGGGGTAGAACCGGGTTCGAGGCTGAGGTTTTCTACCGGTGGCAACGGCTGGGGCTGCGCTGCAGGAACTGGTTGGGCGCGAGGCACGTGTGGAGAACGTGTAGGTTGTGTGAGTTGCCCTCCGAAATTCCTGTTGGATACGGACTGAGAGCTTTGAATTGCCATCTGCCTCTGATATGCGAGCTCAGCGCGACTCAGAGGTTGAGCGCTGGAAATTGGCAGCGGTTCAGCATTGGGATCCCGGCCTCTCCCACTACTACGATTCTCTCGACCGTCCCTCCGCTGTGGTTGATATGGTGTGCGAATCTCAAAGCCTGAGAGATTGACGAGCCGGGCATCTCTGCGGGCGTCCTTTGAAAGCCCGTTGGGATGCTCAGAGAGTTGATGCGCCTTGAGATCCATTTCGGATTCGAACACATTGGTTTTGTTGGCTTGACATTCAGCATCCAAACAGACGAAATGCTCGGCCGCGAAATGCTTCTCCAGTTCTTGGTAGTTGAGGTAGTACTGTGGGTTTCTCCCCCCGTTGCGTCTATCACAGATGTGACACCGCTCATGCTTCTCGCGGCAATGGGTGTAAAGTTCGTCGTCCCCATAGAACCTCTGTTTGCAAAAGCCACATTCCGGATGACCTTTGAAGCCGGACTGAGTGACTGCCCCTGGCATGTCATCCCCGTATTTTTCATGCCTTCGAAGCTCGTTCAATGTGAAGAGTTCATGTTCATGAGTGAAAACTTTCTTATTCCTGGTGCATAAATCGCACATCACCTTTCCGTGCTTGGTCTTGACATGGCGATGCAGATCTGGCCATCCGCGACACGCGACGTCACAATCCTTGTCGGGACAATTGTACCTCAAGAGTAGGATAGTATCTTCGAAAATGACATCCTTCTCGTACTTGATCCCCAAATTCTCGTCGACCTTGACAAAATCGCTATCCGCGAATTCTTCGAACCGCTTGTCCGCGCTGTCAGTAAAAATCACAAACGGTGCCTCTGTCTAGGAACGTGTTAGTATACCATGCAGGCAAGCCTAGAAAGTCATTCTCACCCTACAGTGAGCACAAGCCCGTGTTTTGTACAGGGCCCGTAGCCGTAACGCACAAATGTGGCACGTTTGGTGGTTGCAAGATGCAATTGAGACATGTTCGATCGGGCTGGCACATATGAAGCACACCTCTGCATCTTCTGCCCCTGCAGTGGCACCAGTCTCCTGGGACTGGGTTTCATTTGCGTCGCCTTCAGGTTTCGAGGCAGCTTCGGTCAGGCGAGCACCGAAGCCGCCCCCGGCTGGCCCTCCTGGTCTGTCGTCTGTGGCGGACTCCGAAGCCTGAGGTATCTGTGAAGAGGTGATATCCCGCCCTTGTCCTTGTCCATGACCTCGAGCCCTTCCTCGGCCTCCTCTTTGACCCCGCCCTCCTCTTGAAGCAGTACCTCGACCGCGATTGTCTGAGGAATTGTGTGCTCCACTGTGATTCCGTGTGTTCGATCTGTCGCCTCGTCCCGCTGGAGCAGCTCGAGCCGGGGCCGGAGCCGGAGCCGCTGCTGGAGATATTGATTGTGACATGGATAGAATGTGGCAGGGCAGGGCAGGGCAGGGCCAAGTAGGGGCGGTGTTAATGTTGAGGATTGACGGTTGAGGGCAATGGCTGAATTGCACCACGACTTGACGGACACTGGCAGGGAAAGAAAAGTCGCAGGTCACTGTGGGGTAATTATCCCTACCCCAAGACTCAATAATGAATGCCGTTGAACAATTCAGACACCTGCACACCAAGCTTCCACGATTAGACTACTCCGGAGAACAAAATGAGTCACGGTCTCAGAGGGTGAAACAGTTTCTATTTGGAAGGAATGAGTCACCTTGAGACGGTCATAGATTTGGGATCGAGCGAAGCGGCCAGTGTGTTGAGACGCCTTTAGTCAGCAAGGCTGACTCTCCTGACATACTGCATTCTGCAGTAGAAGCAGATCTGTATGAAATATCCAGCCAGATCTACCGTGATCATTTCTGTCCAAGATAAATTATCCGTCCAATAGCGCAAAGCTTGCTTCCGCTCGCACGAGTTTCGCTAGCAACGACCTCAGAAGTGTGCGCCAGTTAATTCTCTGGGGGAAGAACACCAATTTCGCTGCGAGTCATGCATGCCGTTATAAACACCTTATTGGCCCGCCTCCAGAGTATCATCTTAGAGGCATGGTTCAATGAACCTTAGTCCTCGGGGTTGTACATTTGTTGCGAGATCAATTTGGTCATGGTAAACATGTGCACCTTGTCTTGTCGGAAGAGTTCTCGCATCTTCGAATCGCAAATGATGAATCGCTTATCATTGGGGTCTTGCAGGTCATTCGCTTTGATATACGCCCACACTCTTTTAGTAGTTTCGGGGCGTGACAGCTATTTCACCGAATTAGAACTCTCGTCGTCTGGAATACTCGAGAACAATTACCCGTATTTCGCCATCGAAAAATTCGGACAATGCCGGAGATAGGAGGAGTGGCTTCTGTAATTTCTCAGTCAACTGTCTCAAGCCAAATTCATGCAACGTACGTGAAATCCTGTCTCTCGCTTCGGTTTCTGGGGTTTGTGCTCCTCGTCATCTAAATCGGAGTCATCCGATCCGGTTAGTCGGTCCTTCTTCGCTCTCTTCTTCTTTTTGACTGGAGCAGTCTTTCGATTAGCGCCGCCTCGTGTAGGCCGAGCTAACTTGTCTTCTTCAGCTTGGAGACGTGCGGCAAAAGCCGCGTCAGCGTCCAGACTCGCTTTGCGCTTCTTTTTTGGCGGCGGGTTGTCTATGATTTCTGAGGTTGCCTCGCTCGCGTCTCTTTTCGCAGGTGAGGTCGATGAGGGCTCTCCATGCGTTTTGTGGATCCCATTTGCTGTGGGAGCAGCATCGGCTTGCTCAACAGAGGGCACCACTGGAGATTCGCCATTCTTTTTGGCATTGACAATGTCAAACCTCTCATCGATCAGCTGTTTGATGGCAGCCTAGCACTTGGTCAGGGTATTCCACTTTTAGATCCGTTTCCTTTCCTACTGACCTTGTGCGGAGTAATGTCATAGTCAACCTGGTCTTGGATTCCCTGTCGAATACTCTTCCTCGTGATAGTGGTGAGATCGACTTCATTCAGGATGGAATCTATAATGGCGACGTAGTGCGAGCGAACGGTTGAGGGAACTTGTAAGGGGTCAGTAAACTTTAGTGTGAAGGATAGACTTCAGGAGACTCACGGGACATTCTGCCAGGTCGTAGGAGAGGTCAGGCTTTATTCGTCAGAACCAGTCTTCTCTGGGCAAAACCCGCGGTATCGACGCTGAGGGCGAATTAGGCTAGCGGGAAGGCATCAGACATCTGCTCACTTTCACCCAGCAACAGCGATTAAGGTGCTGTGCGGGCGCTTGGTAGAGAAGACTGTTGTGAGTTTGGATCGTTGTGTAAACGGGCGGTGATAATCTAGATGAGCTCAACTGAAGATGAGTACGCCGTAAATATGAGACAACTGCAAAAAGAGGGTGGCTTGCTGAGCCTAGAAGTGACCATTGACGCCGCCTGCGCAACATGTGCCCACGGGTCTGGGAAGCTGGGGGAGATCGACTGGCTGGACGGGATCTGGAAAGTCTGCCGGGGCCCAGCCAGTTGACAAGCGACGGTTTGTAGGTAAGCAAGGCTCGGGCCTGCTACGGAGGAGTGTAGCCCGCCCGTCACCTTCAAGGCCGAGTCTTAGTCACTGCGCAAAAGGCATGGCACGTGACCGCAGAAATCTTGGCTCTTCCAGTGTCCACAACCTGCGCCTCTCAGCCGAATATTTGCTAAAGACAGCAGCAGGTCGACAGCAGCGTTGGTGGTTTACCAGACCGACTTTTCATTACTGCTGCCATTGAGCCCAGACCGCAAAGATGGCTCCTAGCTTTGACAAGCTCTCCGAGCACGACTTCGAGGATGATCTCGAGAACATTGACTTCAGCGACCTCAAGGAACGATATGATGTGCGAATGGAAGAGGGGCTTGATACCTTTGTCGTAAGTTCTATCGAAAGAGAGCGTGTTTGCATCAGACTAAGTGGAACAGGTCGTCGATGGTTTGCCCATTGTATCCGAAGAGCAGAAACCGAAACTCGTTAAATTCTTACTGAAGAGGTTAAACTCGGTGGGGAGGATAAAGGATGGCGAAGAGTCGATTTTCATGCCCATGAACGAACAGGGAATGTCTGAAGGGTAAGTTCAACACAGTTGGCTTCCGTGGTGGCGTCTCTAATACGTGTGCAGATTTGCATTTGTCGAATATTCGACTCCGGAGCAGGCGATCGCGGCTACCAAGCAACTCCATGGAACAGCGCTCGACAGGAGACATACCATAGCGGTGAACAAACTCACAGACATCGAAAAATATGGAAGAGAGGGAAGGATTGACGAAGATTTTGTTCCCCCCGCAACCGAACCGTTCCAGGAGGAAGAACATCTTCGGTCCTGGCTCTTCGACCCTGCTGCTCGGGATCAGTTCGCAATGTTTCGCGGTGACAATGTTGGCGTGTTCTGGAACAACAAGAAAGGATCCCCTGAGCCTGTTGTTGATCGCAAACACTGGACACAACTGTTTGTCTCATGGTCGCCACAAGGGACGTATCTTGCTTCTATCCATCAGCAGGGGGTTCAACTCTGGGGTGGTCCGTCTTTCAAGCGAATCCGACAGTTTCCCCATCCATTTGTTAGCTTGGTCGAATTCTCTCCTGGTGAAAAGTATCTGACAACCTGGTCAAACCAACCTATTACCGTGGAGGAGGGGAAAGGCCCTCTGACAATTGATGAAGAAGGCAAGCACATAGTTATCTGGGACATTGCCACTGGCAAGCCTCTCAGATCATTTGTGGCTCATGACCTTACACCTCCTCCTGGGGCTGATGCCAGCGCAATCCCTCCCAAAGCCAAAGTTCAATGGCCAGCTTTCAAATGGTCCGCCGACGAAAAATACGTGGCCAGAATGAAACCGCATGAGAGTCTTTCAATCTACGAGCTTCCCCGGATGAATATGCTGGATAAGGCCTCGATAAAGATCGAAGGGATCATGGAATTCGAATGGGCTCCGGCTATAACCCAAAGAGAAGGGGTCAAGACCTACGAGTCGCTGCTCACTTTCTGGACACCTGAAATTGGTTCAAATCCAGCCAAAGTCGCATTGATGTCCATTCCCAGCAAAGAGATTGTCCGAACACGAAACCTCTTCAATGTCACCGATGCGAAACTTCATTGGCAATCTGAGGCAAAGTTCATTTGTGTCAAGGTGGATAGACACTCCAAGTCCAAGAAATCCCTAGCGACGAACCTTGAAATCTTTCGCATCAAAGAGAAGGGGGTACCTGTTGAAGTTGTTGACAGTCTCAAGGACACTGTCATCAATTTCGCATGGGAACCAAAAGGTGATCGGTTCGTCATTATTACTGCAGGTGAAGCCGTTGCTGGCTCAAACACTTTCCCCAAAACAGCTGTGGCATTCTTCGCCCCTGAAAAGATCAAGGGTGCAGGGACCGGTGCCTTCAAGCACGCCCGCACTTTCGACAAGAAGAACAGCAATGGCATCTATTGGTCGCCGAAAGGTCGTTTTGTGGCCATTGCCACCGTCAGTGTCCAGCAGCACTCCGATATTGACTTCTACGATCTCGACTACGAGGGCGAGAAGCCCGAGAGTGAAGCTCATCTGGCTGCTAACGTGATGCTTATGAATACTGAGGACCATTACGGCATGACGGATGTCGAGTGGGATCCTACAGGCAGATACGTTGTCACAAGTGCCAGTTCGTGGACACACCAGGTAAGTCCCTGTTCAGCAAAGTCTCTTGCATCAGAGCACTAACATTGCGGCGTAGATGGAAAACGGCTACCGGCTTTGGACCTTCTACGGCAAACTCCTCTACGATGCACCAACAGAAAAATTCAAGCAGCTGATCTGGCGCCCTCGGCCGCCGACTGTGTTGTCCAAGGAGGAGCAGCGCACCATCCGGCGGAACCTCCGCGAGTATTCAAAGGAGTTTGACGAATTGGACAAGGAATTGGAGGAGGGCGCAAACCAAGCCGTCATCGATACCCGACGGAGACTCTACCAGGAGTGGTACAGCTGGGTGGCAGAGGAGAAGGAACTACTCAGACAAGAGCGGGAAGAGCTGGGCCTTCCGGACCCGGAGACCGAGCTGAAGCTCATACGTACGCGCAGCGCTGAGGCGGACGGCGTGAAGGTGGTTGAGGAGGTGGTCGAAGAGGTCATCGAGGAGACCGAGGAAATTGTGCAGTGATCGAGAGTCTTGCAAAGACGATGTGCCGGCTAATGGTGTCCACCTCTTTTCAACCGCTATCTCTGCACTAGATGAGTCCACGAATGGCCGATGCGAAGATCAATGCATACGCATATCGTTCCATAGACTCGCGCGGCTGTAGATATGTCGGCTCGACATGGCACATGGATAGATAGCATCTAAACAACCATATGCAAAAGCGAAAGCGTAAGCGTGCCAAAGCTTTACTGTTCTACCAACGCAAAGTCTGAAGTGCAATCCTTCAGAATGGGTTTCATTGGTGCTTCGTTCGTTGATGCCTTGACAAAGAGTTAAAATCCCCTCCCTCAGCGCACCATTCTAAAGGTTCAATGGTTATGATCATGACAACACAGAGCTTCAAATCTACCAAGGCCCTCCCTCGCGCCGATAGCACTCTTATTACCACGCATAATCAGAGCTCATCTTGGTCTTTCATACCCTCCTCAACGTCTCTTAGTTGATCGAGGTTGACTCTGCACTCCTCCATCTTCTTGGACCAGTAGAACAGATCCTGGCTTGCTGCCGCATGTTTCTTGCTACTTAGCGGTGCTTGGATCGCATCATACTTCTCCCATGCCTGACTATGCTTCCGTTTGGCCTCTTCAAACTGATCCGTCAGCAGCTTCTTGACATTAGCAAGCGCCAACCAAGGGGAAATCTTGGGTCGCATGGTTGGTTCTTCCAGCATGGCATCCTTCATGAGCTGGGTTATCTGTGCAGTGAAATCGGGTCTTTCAGCGCCGGGAATCTCGTGCATAACGTGTTTGGTTCTCTTCACCGTAAGCCTCTGGCAAACGGCGCAGTTTCCAGCATGATCAGGGCCATGTCTATGCAGGACATTTTGGACCTCCGGTGACACTTGGGCTCTGGTCGATTTCTGGGGCTGGTTGACAGTGATGTCAGGTAGAATGTACGCGGAGGTCATATTCTCGTCCATCGCTAGGTGGCGACGACGTCGAGAAGTATTGGAGGCAGCTGTCGGATCTTCGATCATGCTGTTCTCGGTGTCATTAACAGCGGGCCTCCTGTAGGCATGGGACTTGCTGTTGACATGCACACCGGGCTTACTTGCTGTTCGCTTGTCGAATGTAGGCGAGGTTGCTTGGTTGATAGGGATTGGCGACAGAACTCGCGCATCGTCGGAATTGGCAGTCTTAGCAGCTTCTTTAGCTTCAACAGCATCCCGCCTCGCGGGGGATTGTTTAGGTGACTCCATTGAACGGCTGATGTCAAACAATTCCTCTTCAACGCGTATCGACGCTCTGTTCTTCTTGGCAGGTGTCGCTTGTTTCTTCGACCCGGCTCGAAGCAACCTGAGCTCCATCAAAGCCTCATCGCGTTCCCTAGTAAGAGAGTTGATGGTCTGCACGGCTTCGTTGAGATCCCGTTGGAGAGTACGTAAGGACGCGACTATTTGTTTCTCATCGGCAGGGACAGCGTAGTGTATTTGGACGTTGGGGAGCGAACCGTGGTCGCCAATTATCTGGGAGGTGTTTGGTATGTTGGTCGGCAGCATGAAAGATTGGCTGGCGTTTTGAGACCTTGAGGATACAGCTTTGCTAAAGCGAGTCGGTCGCTTGTGATGGCGTTCATGGGGAGGAGTTGTTGAGCCTGGAGTGTACATGACCTACGGCGCATGGTTAGCCGGGCTTCACATATGCTTTCAGATGCGTCGTACTTGGTAATCGCCTACGAATGCATCGGCAGAGTGGATGCTGCTGTAGTTGGTACCGGCAGTATCATGATCGAACCTTGAAGGAGCCATGGGGTTGTGCAAATGTCGAATGCAATGTAGGATATTGTACAATCGATGGGATGATGAGAAGTAAGTAAATGTATGGGGGACTCGGCTGGCACAAAAACATGCAAATAAACACCCTGATGCGGTTAGACCCAGGAACTCCTAACTTCTGTAAAAGCAGCAGCCGCTGACGGCCAAGGCCTCAGGACCCTAGCACCTAGGTGCCTGGAATGCTAGGGTCCTGGGCCTTCAACTAAAGCCACACAGCCTGCGCCTGCTTGTCAGTTGCCAGAACAAAGCACAAAGCCCAGAGACAACACTCTTCCTTCTGTGCATCCTATTCCCACTCAATCTTTCGGTGTACGCTGCAATCGCACACACCGGCCAAAGTCTAGTCGCCAGCGTCACGATTGGTTTCAACCTCAGCTTTAGCAGCAACGCCCTAGGGCCTATGATTCTGCATGTCTTGCTTACACCGGGAGGCACTAGGATCGATGAAGAGGTGGGAATGATACGATGTGGCTGAGTCTGGATATGGTTCGACCATTTGTTGCAGGTCTACATGCATAACTGAGATAATAATGATAACACGTATCGAGAATCATCCATTTCCAGGCATGCAGTCAACGATATCAGACCATTGTCGACCCAGGGATACATGTCGTTGACAGAGGCAACAATTGTAGAGCAAGGATTGCACCAACATCAGATGCCCCTAAGCCCTTCCTTCCAGGTCTCTCGGATACTTAACGCCATTGCACGTCACTAGGCTATGATAAGCACAGGGATTACGCGAACAACTACTGCCAGACGCGCGGACCCTGGCTGTGTCTCAGCATTTAGTGCTGGGCGGCCGGCGACTGGCCACTACTGTGCCAGGCTTAGGCACAGCTCCAACTTTTGGAGGCTGCCCTGTTCCAAGCTGCCGGCAATTCATCTGACTACATAGTGCATATTGCATATACAGTGCGTGCTGCGTCTCACTCTTCTTCAATTCATCCTCTGATCCCTCTTTTCTCCACTGTATTGCCTACACAGTGGGCAATTCTCGAAACTCCAGAAGTCTCATGTTGGAGGAATAGATGCACCTTCGATCAGATCCTACCTGGTCACTCTCAACGCCCGTCCCACACTGCCTCGATCTGATGCCACGGTAGTGACCGTCAGCCGCTTTCCGGGCCTGTTTAAGCAAAAGCTTCATCTTGACATAGTCGGCATGGGGGTTGTCTCAGGCTTTCGAGGCTATGGAAAAAGGAACAGTCTATTACACCCATTAGTCCCCCGGCAGCTGCCGGGAGGAGGAAGACCAGACCACGACGACGGTGGCGGAGGCGGCGGCGGAGGAGTTAGCGGGACTTCTGTAATAGTTGCAGTAAGTATGTCTGCATTCAATGATGAACAGCGTCCTGAAACCATGCAGATCATTGCTGTAATAGTCGCCCTCATCACCCTATCCGTTGTCTTCTATTCCTTCTTGCGACGTTGGAAGATTCAGGGCAAGAGCCCTCGCTATGTTCCTACAAAGTTCTTGAAGAGCAAATGGCAGACGTGGACTCCCGGTGGGAAGTATTCTGCTGTTCGGAACCGAGATCTCTTGTCCACAAGTACGGCATACAATGGCAACGACGTTGGAGGCGCAGAACCCGCAACCGGAGTCGACCGCAATACCAGCGTCAGAAGCGTCATCACCCTACCTGCCTACTCCCACACGCCAAAGGACACAGAGCAGGTCTTGGGTCGAGAAGGGGAGAGGGAGGGAATGGATACAGTCATAGAGTTCCCCGAAACCCAGGAGGAAGAGGAAGCACGGCGAGAAGACCTGATGGACTCACTTTATCAGATCCGCTTAGCTCGTCGGCGTGAAATAGCCGAACGAGAAGAACGTCGGCGCGAGAGAAGAGAAGCTCGAGAAAGGGGGGACACGGCACGCTTAGAAGAGTTGAGGCGACAATCTCAGCGGCGGGCCAGCGAGAGTGTCAGTTCTCTGAACGGTGGAGTCAGCCTTTCCGCTGCAACTCTCCTCGCTGAACACCAATCTCGCGGACGAGAAACACGAGTGTCAAGTGTTGCATACGGTTCGCTCGGAGAGGTCCGACACGATGGTACCAGGATCCGGGCAAACAGCAATGACTCGGAGCGAGGCGGCCTGCTGAGCGGAGCGGCACCCATGGGCGAATTGGAAGGACGCCCTCGACAGCTTTCCGATGCGACTTCAATATCCACTATATCCCGACCGCATACTCGCGATCCTTCCATCAGTGGAAACAGTGTATCCACCGTGGGTTCGGATATAGAGCCTCAAGCAACTCCAGTCTCCCTCCGCCCTCGCAGCTCTCACAGCGATGGGCCTCGAAGCAACACGACAGATTCATCGCCCACAGCGAACAGATTCACGCCGGATGAAAGTACTGGGTCCGACGACATCGGCGAGTCTCGCATACCGCATGATGACCTGGACGAAGTAAACCGACCGCCAGACTATGAGATCCATGAGTGGGGTGATGCTCCTGCGTATGAGCTTGCTGTCGCTCGCCGGGCAGCAAGTAATGCTGCTGCCCACGCTGCCAGGGTTCCAAGCAGGACTCCTAGCAATGCTATGCCCCAACTACCTCAACTCAACCTGCCAAGCATCAGTGTCTCTGTTGCAACAGAACCGAGTACGCCTGTCACACCAGAGCCAGAGGCTAATACGCCTTCAGCTACGACAGGTGAGCGCCACTAGGATCGGCGATTTAAAAGTGATTTTGGCTGGCATCTAGTTCGTACCGGGAATCGATACGAACAAGCTCACCACCAGCACATTTACCGACCAAAAGATTTGGGAAGTGATCTACGAGTATGTTACATCTGGGATGGATAACAGGGTATCGGATCTTCTTCTGAGCTAAGCAATTGTTATGAGAAATGAGGTTCGGTGGATGATTCAAGAAGCATGGCGTTTATATGGTACGATTTCTTTGGGACTGGTGGCATCGACACCATTTTTGGACACGATGTAGATATCTCATCTGGAATTCCTTAACGCCCATTAGTCTAAAGTGTAGGCACAACAAAACATTCACGGGTGCAATGATCAATTTGCGAAGAAACTGGTTGATGGCTTTATCAGATTTTGTTGCATTGGAGGCTCTGCTGAGCATCCCCGTATCTTGCCCTTCATACAAAGCTGGATCGAGAATCACGAATGGATTCCGCCGTCTCCGCCGAAGCGCCGGGAACAACCACGACGTAAACGTGGTCTAGCCAGGACGATATCAATCTCGCTTCAACAGCTTTGACGCCGCCGGTGACAGTTTCTGCTTCGATGGCAATCACCACGTCCCGAAATCGGCCATTCAAGAATTCTTTGCAAGCGACTATCTCTTCGACCAATTATCGCACAATACCCTCAAATCGAGTCTTGAACCATTTGACAGTATCATCCTTGGAGACCTTGTGGTTGCGGCCAATCTTGCCCTTGGCTCGTCTCCGTCTTGCAATTCTGGCACCCGGTCGCGACAAGCAACAGTAGAAGTCCATGCCGTAGATACCGATCGCAGGATCGTACTTGATACCCAGATCAATGTGTTCGGAAATACCGAAACCAAAGTTGCCGGTTTCGCTGAAGTTTTTCTTGCGGAGCTCGTATTCCTTGACCTTAAGGCCACGCTCGAGGATTTCTTCGGCCTTAGGACCTCGGACGGTGACGTGCACGGCAATCTTTTCGTTTCGACGGATACCGAACGATCGGACGGTGTATCGTGCCTTGCCTGTACACAAGCGTCAGTTGTGACCAGATGAGGCTCCAAAGGCCTGCCACGCCTAAAACGTGGAAGTGGTAGACGTACTGTAGACGGGCGTTTGACCAGACAATTGTTCCAACACCTTGGCCGCACGAGTGAGACGATCACCAGACTCGCCGACCGAGATGTTCAAGACGAGCTTGTCAATGCGCAGCTCCCGCATGGGGTTTGTGCTCTTGTCGTTGCCTTCCGCCATCTTGAAAATTGATCTCAGATGGTGGGTTTAACGAGTGCGACAGAGTTTGGTTTGTTGAGTGCTGTGGTGATGCTTCCACTCGGAGGAGCGAGGTCGAAATTCTGAAGTGCGCACCAACAAAGGGCTTGGCGCGCCAAGAGTGTAAATGCGCTAACCCCAATTAGGGACTTCCCATGGATCTGGCAGCCTTTTCGAGTCTTGCGTGAACCAATCTTGACTGACCTCAATCAGAGTATTCTACACGTCTGAAGGGACATTGCCAGTTCGGGCCTGCATCTCTTTCCTTCCACGGAGTGTTGCAGCCATCGTCTGGTGGACGTAGTCGAGCCGCGGCTCAGAACTACGCGTAAACCACTTTTTGGAACCGTCAAACCAAAGTTCATTTTCATCGCATTCCAAGTATCCAGCCGCACTCGTGCGCAATTCAGGGAAACATGGCGAACAAGCAGGGGAAAATGGTACGTCTACCTTCTAGACCCTGGAGGTTTTCAGCTGGATGTTTCAATACTAACTCGTGGTAGCAAAACCTGGTATGCCATTTGCCCAACTGCGCGATACTCAAATACAAACACTAACTGACCGCTCAGATCAACTATCGTATGCGGGTAACCTTGAATGACGCTCGACAAATGACTGGTCAAATGCTTGCATTCGATAAAGTGAGTCTGAGCTCCGTCCCTTCTCATATTCAGCCTCTGCGAAGAAGCCACCACTAACACAACACTTCACCCACAGCACATGAACCTCGTTCTCGCCGACACCGAAGAGTTCCGCAAGGTCAAGCGCAAGCAAACCAAGCCTTCTGCTCCTGCTGCACCTGGCTCAGCAGCGGCGGTCGAAACCGAGGAAAAACGCACACTGGGTCTGGTCATTCTCAGAGGAACAAACATCGTCAGTTGCAGTGTTGAAGGCCCTCCGCCATCTGACCCTTCTGCACGTCTCGGCACATCGGCACCAGGAGGCGCCCCGAGCGCATTGCAAGCCGGGACCGGAATCGCCAGACCAGCCGGTCGAGGACTACCGGTGGGCTTGGGCGGACCGGCAGCTGGCGTGGGAATTGGTGGTCCACCACCGCCGATAGGCCTCGGATTTTCGCAAGGAGGATTTCCTGGAGGAGCTCCACCGCCAGGTTTTGGTGGACGAGGAGTTCCACTGCCCGGAGGTCCCCCACCGCCAGGCTTTGGAGGACCGCCTCCAGGTTTCGGTGCGCCGCCCGGCGGTCCCCCTGCTGGCTTCCAGCCACCTCCTGGCTTCCAAGGTGCTCCGTCAGGTCAGGGCAGAGGATTTCCTCCTCCAGGGTTTGGAGGTCGATAGATGGGGTGATGGAAAAGGACGAAGATGACAGAACATCACCCGGGTCAACGGTGGTTATGGACGATCAGCATGCCCCACACTCGTCTCGAGTGTCGTAAAGGAGTATGTTATTCGACAGAGATCGAGCACTCGTTCAATGAACTGCCGGAAGGGGTTCGCGAACAGAATTGGTATGCCTGCAAAAAGGGAGGGTCATTATCGGTGATGGCCGAGCGGACAACCCAAGCGGCTGCCCGTGTTTGAACCCACTGGGTTGGGAGAGCCAGGGCAGCAAACCCTACACGTGGCATGCGGATCGTTTTCGAGAAGGCCATGAAAGTGTCTACCCTACTCGCGAATGTGTGAAAGCTGGGGCGGAACTTGAATGAGCAACACTATTAGAAGGCTAGCCTCGATCGACAAACGACAAAGGCCGAGTCTACTGCTCAAGGCATGTGTTAGTCCAATCCTCTCTAGCCACGACGACAACGAAGCCGTCTTCATGGCCCAATCTATCTATTGAAGTCCCATATGTATGTGTCATCTTATGGAACCTGGTATCAGTTGTATCGTTTTTGGCCCTTCGATCCCTTGGCTGAGCTTAATTCAGCTGAGGGAGGTGACCTTCTCGGCCGCTTTCCAAATGCGCCATTTGATGCCATCATCAGCCTGGCAAAGTTACATGACCCAACAAAGTTGAAAATTGGGAGATAAGCCAGAGCGAAAGGAAGGGATGGTACGTAGTCTCATAAGAGCCTTGAGCGTCCAACCCTCGGTTCCTCGAGAAAATGATCACGTCAGGTTGCGAATTGCTTACGGAGTACATCTGAGAACTGAGGCCGAAAACGCGATCCTCAGCCTTTGAACGTCGTCTGGTAGTACGGATACATGAAGCACATGTCTCAGGCCAGGAAGCGCAGGCAGGCGGAAAAGGAAGGGGGTTTTTTAAAGCGGCGCGCGGCGTGCCAGGGCCTTAGTAAGAGCCTTAGGGCCCTGTTCAGCTTGGCGAGTTTGGTCGATATGCGGCGAAACTTTCATGTTGGGGTGTACAGAGGACACAGGACGGCCTGAACACGAACGCGACTTGTCCTTTTGACAAGAACCACGGAAGACAGTGCCTATAGAGTCGATAGGCCCCATTCCTCGATTAAGAAATGCCTCCTCCCACCAAGCGCCGACGAACAGAGCCTACGGTCGTCCAAGAGATCACGTTCGATCCCACCGCTCGTCAGGAATATCTCACCGGGTTCCACAAGCGGAAACTACAGAGAGCGAAACATGCACAGGAAATCGCGGAGCAGAAGGCGAGGGCAGAAAGAGTAATAGCGCGGAGGAAGGTAAGATGATCAATGGCCATTCATCTGATCGTCAGGCTTATTATATCGCAAGCTGCGAGAACAACGGAAGGCAGATCTCGAACGACATGTGGAAGAGATCAATGCCATGATCAGACCGATCTCTCCAGACAGCGGGTCGGAAGATGCTGGTACAGACTCCGACGACGAATGGACTGGCCTCTCCGAGCCAGATCCAGAACCCATTGACCACGAAGCGGAATACATCGACGAAGACAAGTACACCACCGTGACTGTCGAGGCCATGGACGTCAGCCGGGAAGGCATTTTGAATGCCCAGGTTGATCCAGACAGTAAAGAACATAAACAGGCAGATTTGGTGGACGCAGAGGACTCGACTTCCGTGAAGAAAAAACGGATATGGAAGAAAGAAAATCCAAAGGATAAGGCCGAAAGGAGTAGAAAGAAGAAGAGAAGTTTCCGGTATGAGAGCAAGGCGGAGCGGAAAGTTTCACGGACAAAAGAGAGATCCAAAAATCACAGACAAGCTCGAGAACGGCGAGCCGGATGAGAATGCCGTCGTTCATCAAAACTATCAACGCTCGCCCAGTATTGAATGCCCATGGTATCGTAGGCGTGTCATGGTCTATGCATCGTGCCTCCAATCACTTGCCAGACGTGGTCGTTAATTCTTCACACAACCAGAATACAGTCGACTCGCTTGCAATCAGATATTTCCCATGCTCTGCTCCAATTCCTGCAACTCCTTTTGCAGATCTGCATGCTTCTTGGCCATTTCTTCGTACTTGGCTTCCCATTCGTCTCGTGCCTGTTCAAGGGCTTGAACTTTGCGCTCGAAGTGGCCAGCCTTGACGTCGGTCTGTCGGAGCCTGGGTCGGATCATTAGCATAGTGATCGCACACAGCAGAGTAGTCGTACTTTTCGTTGGTCTCTCTCAAAGTCTTGTCAGCAGCCTCAGCCTCCTCCTCGAGCAGCTGAAGTCTTCGAGTAAGGGCCTCATTCTGTTGACCGTGCTGCGAGGCTTCACCAGCTGCTGCCTTGGCTTCTTTGATGCTGACTTCTAGCTTTTCGACTTCGCCCTCGAGCAGTTGGTTACGGTGTGTCAAAGAAGTGATCTCCTGCTCCTTCTGAAGGTTCTCATGTTCCAATTGCTTGACTTTGACTTTAAGCTCTTCAGCCTTTGCAGCATTCTCATCCGCTTCGATGCGGAGAGAGTTCATCTTCTGTTGGAAGTTAGCGAATGCGGACGCCATGATGAATGTTGTGGTCGATTGTTGGTAGGTGATTAGGAAGATGGGGAAGCTGATTTCGACAGGGACGATAAAGAAGGAGCCGAAAGATTGACAACAGAACTGGTGAGGCAGAATTGCGACTGTTGTGGCAGTATCGAAATGCGTGGTGCCTGAACGGAGGGGCCTGCAGTGAAGGAAGGTGCAGCTGCCCGAGACGTACCTCCTTGATCCGATCCATGGTGAAAGGCGTTCTATGTTATGTCCAAATTACACTCCAAGCGGGCGCGAGACAGAAATATCAGTGCGGTGGTCGTTGTGAATGGGAGGATTCAAGGCGGCAACCAGATGTGAAGGTGTCCAAAGGGAGAATCAACTGGCGGTCACTTGGGGTGGCCGCAGGAGTCAGCGGTGGGAGGGATAGGCGGATGGAGGGGATGTGGTAGGCTTAGCGGCCCACCACCACTTACTGTAGCAGCTTCAGGGGAGTTTATCGAGACCAATGACCGTCCGCGTTCAGGATGAGGCTCCAGGCTCAACCGTCTGGGCTTTAGGCCCGGTTTCACTCTCCTCAGGACTGCCCAATGCCCAATAATCCATGGGCAGGGGGGGTAGGAAGCCTGAGGAGCCCCTAACCCTAAGGCCAGAAGGCTGCTGTGGCCTAAGGAGCCTGCGCAAACCGGTTGCGAGGGACAACCATGTCAACATCCATCCTCACCTGCGATTTCTATGTGTACCACTGGGAGCTACACAGCGCGCGTCGGCGAGATCCTGCTTTCGATAAACGACATTTACAACCACAACGAAATTATCACACCGGAACTCAGCTACTCGCTTGATTTCCAACAATGTTAGCCGCGAGAGATCAAGAGAATCTCGTTCACGCACGCCAAACCGCCGCCGCCGGAAAGCCTCTCAATCAAGGCGTGCGAGCACTGCAATCGAAAACTCCAGGAGGTCTGAAGACTCCTTTTCGAGCCGCGCCGCATGACGAGAACCGCCCCTTGGACCTAAAGGGCCAGAAGACAGCTGCTCAAGATGTTCCTGGCAAATTAGACAAGAATTCATTTGTTACCCCCTTTGGTATGGCTTCACTGATCCTTGGTTTACGAGCCGGATTTGACTGACGGGTCGACAAGCACCTCGCAACAGAGCACCTCTCGGCGCGAAGACAACCAACGTGAAAGCTCAGGCATTCCAGACGCCTGCACCGTCATTGACCACGAAGCAAGGCCCTACTGCCCAGAAGGCAACCACAGTGCGTCGCTCCGGGCGTTCTAAGATTACAATTGCCCCTTCGGAGCCCATTGAAGCGGGTATCTTGACGGGTCGAGTTGCAAAGGAAGGAGAGCCAGACTTCGGATACGCCCCACCTCCGCCTATTGAGCTTCCAGATCCCCCATTGGACTTCAGCGAGGATCCTCTTCTGACGGAGGAGCTTTTGCGAGGTTACGGCGAGCTATACTGCCATTCGCCGAAGGACCGGAATGGGGTCTCATTACGACTGAAGAGGGAAGAAGATGAATACAACCAACACCAAAAGAAACAGGAGCAAGAAATTCTAGACAGCTGGAACAAGTCCAGCCTCCTAATTGGTGAGGACGTTGATAGACAAGTTGATGCTATGATCGCGGCGGGGCCGAAAAAGAATAGACCGCAGGTGTCCAGAGTAGACACCATGAAAGCCAGGTCTGCCGTTGCAGCACTGTCCGAGTTGCAGCATCGAGCACCAAGAGCCGCTATGAAGCCAACCCAAGCGTCCGAGCAGAAGAAGAAAGGCATCACTCCTCTCACAAAAGCAAAGCACCCTTCAGTGCCACAGCCCTCACTGTCAACACAGTCCCGCGGAGCTGCTCTATCCAAAAACACCATTGGGTTTCCCAAAGCAAAGAAGGCGCCCTCCATAATCCCTACAGGGGCTCAAGATGGATCGACCAAAAGTGGTTCTACTTCAAGACCGAAAAAGATTAGCCATGCTTCCATTCATCCCAAGGATTTTCGCGATTTGTACGGCTCGCCTCCGGTTGAAAGTGAAATGTGGTTCCGACTCAAGGAGTACGAGTTGCTGGAGCAGGACATCTCAAAGGACAACGCCGACGAACCCGAGGACGAGTTGTTCAACACCGAGTTCTTCCCCTTTGAGAACAGTAAACTGGACGATGACGACTTTCAACTACCTATGCCAGAATGAATGTCGCTACTGGCGCGGTTGATTCGCACAGTATTGAGCCAGGACTGGTGGAGGCTGTCTGCACCCAGCTTGGATTCTCTTTGACAACGATCCGTAACGACTCATGATACCAATACCCGGTTTGATTACTTGGTTCTGCTTGGGAGGAGAAGTGTGCAGTTGTACACTCAGGCGTAGCGTTTCTCCTATCATCTGGACAGCGAATGCCAGAAGATATTCGTGGGACAAGGGGGAAATCACGATGCCGTCCAGGCCGAAGTTCGAAGGAAAGGAGTGTATTATTGCGCGCAGTTTGGAGTGCTGAATCAAGGGCATACTTTTCGAGCCTTTTGCTCGGGCAAACTCAATATACACATTTTTGAGTGTCTCTTTTCCCCGACGATATCATCACTATCGGTTTTATATCACGCTGAATCTCCTTGTTCTGTTGAAACTGAATCATGGTTTTCACGGCAACTGGTCCACACCGCCGTTGACACCGCCATTTGTCGACGCCTTGACAAACTCGATTGGAGGCTCGGTAACAGTCATGTTCCAGCCAAAATAATCCTTTACCTTTCCTTGCTGGATCCCTTTCAGAGTTGTCAACAGTTGAGTGCACACGGGGCCCGGTTCCAGCTTTTCGTTCACAGGATATTCAAACTTGTCCCCGCGAGACGTCATAGTAATGCTTTTGATGGGCACAAGTGAGGCGGCCGTTCCCGCGGCCATGACCTCTGTAAACTTCGGTAGTTCCTCGTACTTGATACGGCGTTTCTCCACAGTGTATCCCAAAACGTCCCTGGCGAGCTGGCAGGCAGACTCGGATGTCACAGACTCGATAACGTTCTTGCTATCCGGCACGGCGACGGTGGTCTTGCCATCGTCGACGCGGACACCGATGAACCCTGAGGTCGAGAACTCGTCAATCTCGGTACGGGTCTTACTGTCCAGATGCAAGGTGATTCCGTAGCCGGCCTTATGGGCCTTCTCGCTGTGGCGCAACACAGGAGCATAGTTACCGCCAAGTTTGACACTTCCTGTTCCCTCGGGAGCGGAGCGGTCGAAGTCCTCGAGAATCAGGGCATCAACGGCATGCGAACCATGGTAAACGCCGGTGGGCATGACAAAGACCACAAAGGTATATTCGTCCGTGGGGTTGAGGCCGAGCTGGGCGCTGGATCCAAACAACAGTGGACGGATGTACATGGCGGCACCAGTCTCGTGGGGCGGAACGAACTCGGCGTTCGCACCAACCGCCAGGTTGACACACTCTACGAAAAGCTCTTCGGGGACAGGTGGAATGGAGATGAATTCTGCCGAGCGTTGCATCCGTTTGGCGTTTCGGTCGGGCCGGAAGATGGTAATGCTCCCATCAGGTTGTCGGAAGGCCTTCATGCCCTCGTAGCATTGCACGCCATAATTCAATCCAGGGGCCATGCCGTGGATTGACAGATGTGGAGAGGCGACGAAGCGTGGTTTGCTCCATGATGGGTTAGGCGAGGAGTAGCGGAAAGTCGATTCAATATGGCCATTGACTTCCCGGACTTTGAACCCGACATTGTTCCAGTCTGTAGCTGCGGTTAGACATTCTGCGAGTCGAAGGAGGCCTGGTTCGACTCACCAATTGTGCTGACTGGCGGAGGTGGGAAAGGAGCCATCTGGATAGAGCCACCGACTGATCAAGCGTTTCTATATGGGTTTAAGCACCGGCTGGCCTGGATACCTGTTCCGAAAGATACAATGGAAAGAACTGGCCGTCGAATAATGCACAGTCAAAAGTTTCGCCTCTGGATGTAAACTCGAGGCTCTTTAAAGGTTTAACACAAGGTTTCCTTTTTTTTTCCTCCCACGAAACCGCACTTCGCACACTCCAGCAGGTGTCAGCAGGAGTAAGCAGGAGTAAGCAGGCGAGTGGATTTGACGCGGCGCAGAGTAGGAGTATAAGCAATGAGTCGTCACACAAGACGAAAGGTCGAACCTGGGGGAAATGGGGCCTCTTGGGAGTTCGGTGAGGCGCTGGAATATTGGTATTCGTATTTTGGCGACGTCTGATTCGTCAATCGGCAAGCCGGGAAATATCTTTTTTCTTCGCTGAGCGAGATCGGAGACTGGGATTGTGAGAGAGGAGAGAGGCAAGGCGAGGGCGCAGGCTGCATGTCTGTTATAGGCCAGTCTGTCTCGCCGCTTTACAAAATATACGGAGTACGGAAACGCATATCGTGCCATGGGTGCAGGTTGCATTAATTAGACGTGTACGGATACAGTACTCCGTAATTCCTGAGTATCCGTACTTCGTACTCCGTACACATACAAACCTCCTTGACCACCTGGGCATGGCACTTCACCCAGCTCATATCCACGGTGCATTCCTTCTGGTACTTCCTTCATTCTTCCCCATGTAATATTCGACCCAGAGCATCTAGTCCTTAAGTCCCTCGCAACCCCAACCTTCCCGTTTGCGTCCTTCAAACTGCGCACCATGCCTCGAGCTCCGCCTCCGATCATGGTGGTCATCTCTGCCGTTGCACTATTTGTCTGGTACGTTGTCTGGACAAGCAGCCATGAACGATCTATGACGGCTCTATCACACGCCGATCGATTCAAACCTTTGTTTCCGACGCAGGACATCCCCGTGGCGAGTCCGCAGGTGGTGGCCGGAGAGCCTGTGATGGGCAAGCTAGGAAACGAAACCCTCAAGGCCGAGTTGGGACGAGCAGCATGGAAGGTTCTTCACACCACCATGGCACGGTTCCCAGACAAGCCCACACAGGAGGAGAGCGATGCGCTCAAAAGTTACCTCTATCTGTTCGCTCGCCTTTATCCTTGCGGCGAGTGCGCCGAGCACTTCCAACAGATCCTCAAGAAGTACCCGCCTCAAACGTCTTCACGATCGAGTGCCGCGGCATGGGCATGTTTCGTGCATAATCTGGTCAACGAAAGAAAGGGCAAACCCATATTCGATTGCGCCAACATTGGAGATTTCTATGATTGCGGGTGCGCCGATGACGCAAAGGAAGCCATGGCTGTTGCGGGGGCCCAAAGCAGCAGCATCGCCCAAGGGAACCCTATAAGGCATGAATTGGTGGAAATTGAGGTCGAAGGCCCGACCAGAGGAGGATGAAATCAATGACATCTCGTTCATAAGGCTGTCAACTACCTTTCTCGGCCTAACTCAGCTGGCTGCTAGAACTCCGTCTTCAGCCTGTTCACCTCCGACCCGATTCACAACGACGAATTGCATCCATCCTCTGGAAGCATCCCATTGTTGCGATGATTTAGCCCTTCGATCCGCACTGCCTCGTACGCTCCAGTGTGAGTTTGTCTGACACAACAAGGAGCTGGTTTTCTCGTGGTCAACCGTCGAACGAGCTTCTCACGCAATGTGTGGGCAAGCCGCGTGGGAGTAACTGGTGGTGTCAAGGCCGCATGTGACATTGGCGACTCGACTGGAGAAGGTGGCCTGGCCGTTACCATATTCCCTTCCTCCCCGTTCATGAAGGGATTCAAATTGCGGAAGCCAACATCGACGAAGCACCTCCGGGGAATGTACCAGGTGTTGTCAAAAGCGAATTGGCTCTCTCCGAATCCCGTATATACTGCTGGCATACCCCGGTTGGCGCACTTTTGGCAAGGATGTCTCAGGTACACGTCGAAATCCTGGACGACACAGCCCCGCGCGCTTGGAAATTCGCAGACGTTATTGCGGAATCGATGTGTTGCGGGATGGGAGCACAGAAAGCGATATTGTCTGGTGGTGCACATGGTGGTGCCGGAAGCGCTGGAAGAGATGGACAACGAGATAAACTCGACGGGACGAGGATGACAGTCAATTCTGATGAAGAGAGTTGGTTTAATGAGCGTCTGCTGCCACCACTGTTCGCGCTTGCAGAGGGTTATCTAACTGGGGGTTTTTGTCCCTTCAACAAATGGAGCTGGTGAGAGTCGGCTGTGTCACCATCAAGACTGGATCTTCATGGAAGGGTGAAGGATGATAAGTCACTTCCAGTCTGCTCCTGGCCTGGTTGTTGGACCATATTTAGCAGCCAACAATGAGTTTGTTGCCGCCTTTGTGTGACTAGCAGCTAGATCTTATGAATCGACATCCAGACCGCCACTGACAGGATCAGTGTCGATGTACGAACAAAGAGGATCAACAAAGACGAAAGCCGGCGGGCCCATTTCGTAGTCACCTAAGCAGCAGGTCGGTCGCGGGCACGTACGTACCTTAGAGAGCAGAGGATGTCCTGCCTTAGCAAAGGAACCTGTATAATTCGACGTAACAGAGCTGAGCAACCCGTAGTATATGCCAAATATATTATATATATATACACGTGGTATGTACTCACCTTCCCACCCACCCCTCAGAGAGCCTTCGCCACTGCTTCCAAACTCCAGCCTACAGTGAGTGGTAAGTAGCATATAATACTCCGTAGTCAGTCTTCTCTCCACAATCAATATCTAATATGTGACTGGTAGAGAGAGACCAGGCGGCCTGTCAGTAAGTAATTCGAGTTTCCACGTACCACTGGTTTTGATTCTGGTTGCTGCGGTTGGATTGGGTTAGGTTTCTGATTTTCCTGCAAACGAGGCTGAATATTTGGTATCAAGTTGGCAAACTTGGTGCTCGGAGTGCATGGTGGCACGGATATGTATAATGAATGGCTTAGCTAAATTGCTAACGGTTATATTACCCATTCAGTCATTGCACAACGTCCCCCAAAAGAAAAAGGAGAAACAGTGAAGAGCAAACCTAAGGAGCAGAGATTTCATTGCTTTAAGAAGGAAACCACTCAGGCTAACATGTACCCGAATCCCCCCGACTCCTGGCACCGACGGTCAAGTGTAATCTAGTCGAGTAGTCGACCAGGCGACATCAGCCTCCTCAATCATCCTTTTGCCAGGGCCTCTCCGGCTTCGACCAAGCCATATGGGCGGTCAATGTGAGAAGCGGCTGAGACTTGCCGGTAGATCTGGGGCTTTCGCCGATCATGTTGGCAGGGAAACCCGGGTCAAAGGGCTGGACGGCATCGAGGAAGGCAATCTGTTGGTCGGTGAGCTTGATAGACAAGGCCTTGATGTTGTCGTGGAGGTGCTCGACCTTGCGGCCGCCGATAATGGGGAAGACGTTGGGGGCCTTGTGTAAGACGTAGGCGAGCGCGATGGTCGACAGGGTGTCGACCCCGTGCTCGGCGGCCACCTTCTCCAGCACGGCGCTGATCTTCTCCTCGTCGGGGCTCTGGCCGTCTTGCTGATAGAAGGACGGGCGAATCTGCTCGCCCTGCCGCTGGCGCGCTTCGATCTGCTTCTTCGACTGGAACTTGCCGCCGCCGATGACATCCCACGGCGCCAACGCCATGCCGAAGTGTCGAGCCATCGGGAGAATGTCGCGCTCAAAGTCCCGCCTCATCACATTCCATCGGCCCTGGTACACACTGAACGGCGTCTTGCCGTGGGCCAGCGCGTACGTGTTGGCCGTCGCCACCACCCAGGCAGGCGTGTCCGACACTCCAAGGTAGAGCACTTTACCCTGCTTCACTAGGATGTCGAGGCTATCCATGACTTCTTCGATCGATGTGGTCCAGTCCTAATGAGATCCAGGCGTCAGAGGAAAGTAGCGCTACTTTCCGGGAGGAACAAGACAACAAACATGAAAAGGAGGGTATTGCTGCCACTCACCCACCAGTGGACGTATAGGAGGTCAATGAAGTCGGTTTGAAGCTTCTTCAACGAGTCTCTGACCGACATGTGAAGCGACCGTTTGTGATTGCCCGAGTAATTGACCGTCTTGCCTTTGCCCAGCTCGTGGCTACGGTACATGGTGCTGTACCTGAAGGATGCATGCCGGTCGTCAGCAAGAGAGACGATGCTAGCAAGATAACAAGGGACCGCCCGACATACTTGGTCGCAATCACCATCAGATCCCGATTCTTTCTTGCTGCCATCCACTCTCCAATCCACTTTTCAGATTGCTCGTCTTGGTAGTTGTTCTGCTCGGCAGCAAAATCGTCAGCCGAGGACACCGTTTTTCCAAATAGAGCTGGAATAATAAGGATAGGAAGGGAGAGCCACAGTTGCTTACAGCAGTGTCGATGAAGTTGCCGCCGGCCTCTGCGAATGCATCGAGCAGCTTGAAAGCGTTCTCTTTAGTCAAGCTTCCCATTATCGACGTCCACGCGTCGCCGATGGACATGCCTCCTAAGCATAACGGCGATACCCTGATCCCAGCGGTGCTCGAGAGAACTCTATACCGGCCCAACTCGGTGGGTGGTTCCGGTGCTGGCAGGAGGAAGTCGCCCATTGTTGTATGTGGTGTAGGAGCTGTCTGGGAATGTAGTACTCAAGCATAGATTTTGGGAGCAACTCTCAAAAGAGACTGACAGCCGGCTAGACTTTATATCGCTTTCTTTCGCCTGTAACTTGTGCCTCCCATCTTTTTGGCCGCGGTCGACCGAAACACAGGCGGAAGGGGATAAAAGTAGTGTCGATGGTGGCAGACGCTAGCTTGCAAGGACGCATTGTGAGAGGGCGGCTTGCTTCGTTTCTCACTGCTATAGATTGACCGCCAGTAGTGGAGGAGGAGGTAGAGGAGGTAGAGGAGGTAGAGGAGGTAGAGGAGGTAGAGGAGGTAGAGGAGGTAGAGGAGGTAGAGGAGGAGGACGACGACGACGAGGACGACGACGACGACGTCGTCGTCCTTGGTCGGCCGAACCCGCATTGTTTCGTCCACGTGTGGAGGAAGTGGAATTGCACAGACGACAGGGATCTATCCAGTTAGCGGTCAGCAGTCAGCAGTGTCAGCAGTGTACATGATATTAGGACCGGCCATATCGGACAAGGCTCAGCCTTATTTCCACCGCCGTAACATGCGACTGGAGTACATGTACGGAGTTAACAGTATGATGTGAAAAGAAGAAAAAAAGAATAAGAAATCCGGCCCCTGGAGTTAAGAGAACAAAACTTTTCTTGCATTGCTAATTGGTGGCCTGGCAAGCCTGATCTAATGCAGCCAGCGAAGACCTTTCCTTTGGGGTCTCGTAAAAAGAGCTCGTGGAAGCCGCACTGGAAATCTCAGGGAGATACAGACCGTGCGCAAATCATCTTCTTTGGATTTGCCTGCAAGTCTGTTGTTCCAGATCTCTCCCCCCCATCCCGTGGGCCTCCCAAAGCTCGTTTGATCGTTCATGTCGAAAAGTCTATTTGATCATCATGTCCCATCGCCCGAAAGAGAGAGAACCCGCAGATAACTTTTGGTAGTGGTGGTGAAAACACGTCTCATCATAAAGCCGAATAGGCCTCCATGCCTTGGGGCCTCATTTGGTCTCATTATGAGTGTCGTCACCCGTGTCGAAGTTCTGGTTGCTTTGCGCCTCGTCACTCTCTTTCGTTGCAAACCGACGCCGTGTTGTGTCTGGTGTTCATGGCACACATCGTCCGTCCTCTGTCCACATGAGGAAAGTTCGACATGCTGGGGGTATCTGAAATCGATCGGAAAAGCCAACGCTATCTATCATGTATCATGCTGTGCCCGTTAAGAAGTCTCGAAAAACGCTCCTTGTGTCCTCGCCGAAGCAAGCAAGCCCACGTAAAGTTCGGCCTGCTTGTTGCTCTTCGACACCCGGACACTCTTCGAGAGTGCAGAGACGTCGAAATAAAAGAAAAAACGAAAAACGAAAAAGCCATGCTGAAAAAGGAGATGACTGGTCCATCCGCCGGTGGAATGTGCATGCCGTGGGCTTTTTACCACCACGACGATGGGCCACTGGCACCGCCTGGGTTGCCGTAGCTGCCGCCGTAGTTACCGCCATAAGCCCCGCCGCTGCCGCCGCCGCCGCCGTATGCTGCGCCACCACCGTAGCCTGACGTTCCTGTTAGTGAGTGCCCCAGGGAAAGAACTTCATGTGAGAACTTACCACCGCCACTGTAGCCACCACCGAAGCCACCACCATAGGAAGGAGCACCGCCCATGCCTCCGCCTCCGCGACGCGCGTCACGAGTTGCAGAAGCACCACGGCCGCCGCCTCCACGGCCACGACCGCCGCGACCACCGCCAAAGCCGGAGCTCTCACGGGCAATGTTCTCCAAAAAGGTGGGAACTTCCTGGTGAGCCTCCTTGAGAAGTTCGAGAAGCTCACGAACAATACCACGGTTCCCACGATTGAAGAAGGCGGTCGACAGACCGGTGTTGCCAGCACGACCGGTACGACCAATTCGATGGACATAATCGTCAATGTCGGTAGGGAGATCGTAGTTGACTACGTGAGTCACGTTGGGGATATCAAGGCCCTGAAAATTTTGTTAGAATGGACGAATATGATTCAGATGCAGAAGGGCAACTTACTCGAGCTGCAACGGCAGTGGCCACCATAATGGGGCATCGGCCATTGCGGAAGAACTCCAGCGCTCGTTCACGCTCACGTTGAGTACGGTCACCATGAATGGCAGTTGCCGGGAAGCCTTGGTTGATGAGAAAGTCGGACAAAGTGTCGGCCATGCGTTTCGTCTCCACGAAGATCAAAGTCAGACCTCCAGAGTGAGTGTGCAGAATGTCAAGCAAGACAGAACGCTTGTCTTGGTCCTCAACATACTCAACCTTCTGGGTGATATTTTCGGAGGTCGAACCAACTCGTCCGACGGACAAGAAAACATAGTCCTTGAGGAAGTCCCGGGCCAGCATCTGAATATCCCGTGGGAAAGTGGCCGAGAACATGAGGGTTTGACGGTTTTGGACGTCGGGCATGTCTTCGCCCTCCACGATGCGGCGGATCTGAGGTTCGAAACCCATATCGAGCATGCGATCGGCCTCATCGAGAACCAAGTACTTGATGTTAGCAAGCGAGATGCGGCCTCGTTCGATAAGATCGACCAGACGACCAGGTGTTGCAACCAGCAGGTCACATCCACGTTCAATGGATCGAAGTTGAGTACCAATGTCGGCACCTCCGTAAACGACGCAAGGTCTCACCCAAGAACGGTAGGCGAATTTGCGTGCTTCGTCGTAAATCTGGGAGACCAGCTCACGAGTAGGAGCCAAGATCAAAGAAGTAGGGAATGCCTTTCGCTGGCGGAAACCACCGCCGGATGTGGGTGCCCCAGTTGGACCACGCTGGAAAGCCTGTGAGAGAATTGGAAACAAGAAACCTCCGGTCTTGCCAGAACCAGTCTGTGCACAAGCCATGAGATCTCGGCCACCCATAACGATGGGGATAGAGTACTTCTGTACAGGAGTGGGAGTGGTGTAGTGCGCAAGCTTGATGTTCGCGATAAGGTGATCATCGAGAGGAGGGTTCGTGAAGGCGTTGACAGGTTCGGGGACATCGTGGCCGCTAGCCTCAACCGGGATGTCATCATAGTTGGCAAAGTTGATGCCAGAATGAGATTTGGAAGGGTCGTCAGGGGCGCCGAACAATTCTCGCTCTACCTTGGGATTTGCGGGGCCTGGGATGTGTTGTCCGTCTTTCCATTGTCCATCTCCTGACCCACGAGCTGAATTGCCGCCGTAACCGCCGCCATGGCCGCCACTGTAGCCGCCACCGTGACCGCCACCATGGCCTGGAGCGCCGTATGCATTCGGGTTGAAAGGACGAGGATTGCCCTGGCCGGCCCAGCCATTAGGCTGAGGACCGCCAGCGGCAGCGGCAGGAGCGCCTGGACCAGCAGCATTGCCCCAGCTGCCATTGTTATTGCTAAACGAAAGAGGTCAGTAAGGGCTTAAATCATTATTTCTGTGAATACCCACGTGTTGTTTGCCCATGCGTTCCCGTTCACACCCTGTGTTGCGGGTTGAGGGATCGAGTCACCTCCAGGAAGAGGACCCGCTCCATCCATGCCCGTGGTTGGCGGTGCGCGGGCACCAGGCTGACCGCGAAGGTGAGGAGGAATGTAGGCAGAACGACCACCAATCATCGGACCCTGTGGAGCGTGCTTGGAGTCGTTCAATGAAAGACCGTTGAGGTTCAAAGAGTCGGCCATGTTGATTATTTCTGTTGATCTGAAATCTGCTGAGATGAAAAATGTCAGTCAAAGTCCTCAAATAGGGATCCCATAGATCGAAGGTGCAGATATTTGGGAGCAGAAGATTCCAGCAAGACCTCGGAGAGACAAGCGGCGAGATCGACTGGAAGCCATGACAGTCGATAAGATCTGCCCGGGAGAGAGGTAAAAGGTTGAGCTGTCGGTGAACGTACACTTCGATTGAGATCTAAACGTTGGCGTAGTAAAGGATACTTGGTTGTCGGAAAGAGGTAGAGTTTGGTTGTGATAGGAGCCCGTTTGATTTAAGTGAGGCTGCTGAGGTGGAAAATGAGGTGAAGATTTGGGGGGGTGAGCGGTTTTTCTTGTCGTTGCGCAGATGCTTTCGTGTCCGCAGATAGAAGAGAGACACAGAACGCCTCTCCAAGTCTATCCGAAAGTGAAACAAAAGGCAGAATGAAAAGACCTCGATGATTGTCAGCGATGGTTGTGATGGGGAAGTGGAAGTGTGAAGTTGGGAGCGTTGCAGAGGGAAAAGTCTTAAAACACGCAGGCAGGACTTTTTCTCGTGGGCGGCGAGATGCACCACTGCGCTGCAGCGTCCTGGGCAGCACTAGAACCCAGTAGAGCCTGGAGCCCGGCCTGCATGCGACTTCTACCAGATAATCTTTTAGTGGCGCTAGCCCGTCGCCAAGGCCAGCTAGACGGGGTTTAGCTAAACTCAGATAAGGTTAAGGGGCAAAAGAATTTTCGGTGGCGACTGCAACCCCAATCAGCGCAACAGCATCGGATACCCAGATGTGATGGAGCAAGCCCGCAAGATTACGGATTCCCGTATCGTCCTATGTCTCAGGGGCCACACGGCTAGTTGGTGGCTACTTATCCGGCACAACATCTCGTCACTATGGTCTGCAAGGCTGTTAGACCAAGAGCTTAGTGTGTTAACCGTCAGTCGTCTACATACGTATCTTAGGCCATGCTTTTCTCATCTAGTTTATCATAGCCAGATCCCCGCCTGCGGAACATGAATACCGCCACACAAATCACAACCAAGAAAATGACAGCCTTCAGCACATATGTTTGCGTGATCATAGCTTCTGCAGGTGTGGTCGAGTCTGCGGCTGCTGGGATGTCCGCTGGCGGCGCCCCCTGTTGCTGCTCAGGTTCTTTGGCTCCATGCCCATCTTCTTCGACATAAGAAGGATGCGCGTCCGAGTAGAGAGGTTCTATCAGGCAGTTTCAGTATAATATTTCGAGCATGACAATCCGAGAGCAGTACCTGCCCTCAAATCTACAGCTCGGCATGGATACCTTCCGCTGGCACTTCGAGCTCCCCACTCTTCACAATCTTGACCGGCTTTGCAGGTCGATCTCCAGAAGCCTTGGGAACGTTTTCGATCTTTTCGACGATATCGTAGCCTTCGAGAACCTCACCGAACACGACATGGCGACCGTCAAGCCAACTAGATATTGTCAATCAGATGTCAGGAGGAGAGAGAGAGATTCGAGCCCATACTTGGTGATTGCAGTGGTAATGAAGAACTGTGAGCCATTGGTGTCTTTCCCCGCATTGGCCATGCTCAACATGCCCTTCTTGGTGTGCTTCAACTTGAAGTTCTCGTCTTCGAACTTGTTCCCATAAATCGACTTGCCACCGGTGCCATCTCCTTTGGTGAAATCGCCTCCTTGGATCATAAAGTTCTTAATGACACGGTGAAACTGCGACCCCTCGTAGCCGAAGCCTTTCTCGCCCGTGGCCAATGCTCGGAAATTCTCAGCAGTCTGGAGGCAGGCAGAAGAGTTAGACGGGAGACACAACGGACAAGTGACAGCTTACCTTGGGAACTGTCTTTCCATACAAGCCCAGGACGATTCGGCCCAGCGGCTCGTCGCCATGTTCGATGTCAAAGTAGACCTTGTGCGTGATCTTGGGCCCCTTGGCCGCCGCTGCAGTCTGACCCATGAACAGAAAGGTTGCGGTCAAAATGACCATTAGCGAGATAAGAACTCGCTGGATGTTGGCCATCTCGAAGATCATTGATGTGCACAGCTTGCTGGGAAATGATCTTGTGAGAGGGATAGGTTGGTAGCAGGTGCGGATGACAGGTGGACGGTTTCAAGAGTGGGAGTGGGAAGCACCTGGAAGTGCCACAGGGGCCCAGTGCTCCGCCCCTCACCCTGCTTTCGCAAGGCTGCGCTACGCCAGTTCCACCCCGATATCTCTGATCTAATGAACTCGCTGTTGCAGAGACCATACCTACATTTAGGCGCTCAACAACTCTTCCCAATCGGAGGGCGCAGTCCGTTCTAAGAAATTCCCCTGTATCTCAACATCGCGAGAGTCGCACCCGGTCAAACATTCTCTCTATCTATATGAGGATACGGGCCTGTGGTCAACCGCAGCATCCGGTAATGTCTGCGGCTTCCTCCTTTCGCTCAGTGTTGTTCAGGAGTTGGTCCCAAGTGAAGGTGAAGGAGCCAATAAACGCGCCAATCAAGATGCAAATGATGATGTACCCTTTTCCACGTCAGTCTGCTGTCCCTGGCTGAGTTCTGGGGGAGGTTCATTACCATTGTAGTACATGGCCAGCAGCATGATGAAATAGGCGACACCGAACTGCACCGTATGAAGAAGAGCTCGAATCAGCTGGCGTTGCAACAAGCTGGCCTTGCCTGCCGCTCCAGATTGACCGACCACGGCTGCCGGTCGAACCAAACGACTTGTCACAGGTGTCGCGTTGGCCTTGCTATTCATTCCCTCGGTGCTCTCTGAGGCAGATTGGCTTCCATTACCCCGGTTCATCAGGTCCCTAGCGGTCTTCTGGCTCTGTCGACGGATAGAAGCCTCATACTCTCGCTGGCTCCTGCGAAGGAATTCTAGACTAATGACAAGGCAAATGACGCCGATGCACGATCCAGCAAACCCGCCGCTGGTCGTGACATGCCATGTCTCGGAGATGAAGCCTATGGAAGATCAGCACAGACACGATTTGGTCATGCTGTGATGGGTGACGTACAAGCTCCAACAGTATCCCAATTCCACAACATGGAGATCTTGCAAGAGTTGTCACCCATGCTCGTCATGCTTGCTGCTGCTGATGAGACAGCAGTGGATAACGTGGTCATCGATGGACTCGTCGATATTGAAGTTGAGCTGGATCCCATATCCATGTTTGCTCGATATCTGTCAACTGAGAGTTCGGACTTCAAGCAGGCAAATATTACAATAAGCCACAAGAAAAACTTACGCGTCTCGAAGGATGTAGGCTGTTGATCTGTACTTATGGTCGCAGACCCCGGCCAGTATCTCCACTTTGAGCAAGTTTCTGGCTGAAGCCGACTTGCCATATTTGGCACGAGCATGTTTAAATATGGTTCTTTATGGCTAACTTGACTAGTGTGGGCGACGAGGCCTGCAGGTACAGTACTGGTCGAAGGTGGATGTAGCCACCAGCTATGGCCTTCATGTTGAGGAATACTTCTCAGTGAATCGTGACCAGGATCATGTGTAATTAGATGTCCTCCATACCCAGGTCCATGTTCCACTGCGTTTGCTCCGTAGTAAACAACTGCGTCCAGAAGCCGTCGTCGTTGATAAGGTTTGTAGACAGAAATGGATTCTCCTCCATGGATTCACTCGTATCCGCGCCACCATGTTCATGGGGGCTCCAGAATTGCCTCGCAGGACATCGATCTTGATACCCCGGTCTGGGCATATTTTGCTCAAATATTGGTCCAGGCCGAGGCTGAGGCAAAGTCTGCTCGTTCACAAGCTGATCGGGAAACGACGTCGAATGCACAGGCGCCTCGTCAGTCGAACTCTTGTCCTGTGGCAAATGCCTGAGCCTCTCGTACGTATTTCTGACATTTTGAAGGATTAGGCCCATAATTGAATAGAGGTCTCGCTTGTTCGTCTCTGCGATGGCCCCTAGTCGTTCCCGGGTGGCCCGCTGCGTCCTGTCACACAGGACCTCCAAGTACTGTTCTAGCTTGACTGTATCGCGTGCCACCTGGACGTCCCACAGCGGTACTCGAGGAACTCCGATCGACAAACGATACATGACGGTGAGACTACAGACCAAGCCGGCCCATTGAGCGGTGCATAGGAGTGGATATGAGCTTAAGGGAATGCTGATGAAGCAATCTACATACCCCATGGCTGCCTGCAGGCACTCGACCAAGATGTCAATGCGAGAAGGTGAGCCAGCGGGACTGCTCGCGTTGTCCATAGGAACCACCGTCGCCATATGTCGCCTGATTGGGGAGGTTGAAGTCAGGAGGTCTTGTTCAAGGGTATGGACGGTAGCAAAGTGAAGGGCCAGCTCGAGGGTTGTGGAGCTGGATGCTGTTGGAGTGAGACTGTTCATAATTTCCTGCGTAGATTTGCGAAAGGATCGAAGATGGGCGTCGACGCGGTCAAGACGGCCTTGAGAATGGCTCTCGTTGCTGCCAATGCAGAGCGCGTTGTAATAGTCGTCTCCTGTTTGATCAAGTTGAACGAGAGGTAAGATTAGTCCGTCTGTTGGGTACTCAGGGGCTTCAGATAGTGATGTTGCACATTGAAGGATGTACTCAGAGTGCTCCAAGGTGTTTGGCTTAGACCATGTCCAGTTTTGCATTGTCGAGATGTGGTAGCATCCAAGGAAAACTCGTCTAGCCTCTCTGCTCCAGAAAGCGTCGCCTTCTGAGTCGGCTGAAGGCGTATAATGGTTGAGATGGAGTCCAACTTTCCGCATCGCGAGAGTTGGAGACGTGTTGAGGCCAAGCTCGACACAAAGGCCAACCGCCATCTGAAGGAGCTGATATGACTGATCCCTCTTGGGGATATGGAAGAAGTGGCCCCATGCGATATAAACAAGAATACTTTGCAGAAGATCGATGCTTTTCTCTGCTTCAAACATGAGCTTGCTGAGCATGACTTCCTTGAAGCTTTTCTCTAGCACTTTCTGCAGATGGACTTCAGCGGACATGGCGACTGCTAAGGCTGCGTGTAGTAGCAGGGGTCGCTCTCTCAACACTGTGGAGAAAGTTTCGTCTGGCGGAAGCACGACAAAAGGAAAGTAGGCACACGACTGACGGAAACGTTCGATGTAGCGTTCAGCGTCCTCCATTGAAAGAAGCCCTTGTGCGATGAGAACCTCAGGGGTGGCATCGTCACCATCGTATGGAGCAAAGCCCAGATTTCTGGTACTTTGAGACCCGGCGCCGGTCTCAGAAGCAGACGAAGTTCTAGAGTCACGGATTCGTGACACAGGAGGAGATAGGGGCACCGTGATCTCGGGAGCTTGAAGGCTACTCCTGGTGGCACTGCTTCTGTCGACATCACTGCCCTGGCTGACCTGAGCAATGACTGCTTCCAGCTTCCTCTCCAGGGCGGCCACTCGTGCTCTGGAGTCAGGCTTCTCGCGCTTGCGACGCGTCCTTGGCTCCTCGAAAACGCATTGTGCGCCTGACTTTGCACACTTCTGACAGACCTCGCCTTCAGGACTAGGCAGGCAGCGCACTTTGAGGGAGCGGCAGGCCTTGCAAGCCCGGGCCGTTCTTGGCCGTGCTTGCGTCGGCATCTTTCCTTGCGGTATCAAGCCGTGGGGTTGGACGGAAGAAAGACAAAGACGGCGTCCGTAAAGACTAGCCGGCGTGTGTCTGCGATACAGCTGTCCATCTTGCTGCTGCCTGTCCTCCGTCTCGAGCTGGCAGCCAGCAGGACGAGACGTCGAGGCGGAAGAAGTGAAAATCGCGGCACGGATGTCACAAATTCGCCGACGCCGACACGTTTGTGGGGGCGAGTTGGCCTTGTTGTGCTCGTTCAACCCATCGAAGCAGTGACATGGCCAGTCGAGAGGTCGATATGAAGCCGCATCATGGATGCTGAATGAGCAAGTTGCCCAGTTGGAATCCACCCTGGCCAGCTTCCTCCTCCGAGGCCACGGTCACGGTAGTGACTGCCAGTCCGCCATGCGGTGCCTGGAGGACACTCGTCAAGTATTTAAACCAAGGTTGGTGCAAGGTTGGTGCATGGTTGAATCCTACCTATACATTTCAACTCTCAAATCATCATCACAGCAAGCCTCCAGGCTCAGCAACGTGGGTTCTCTTTGAACAAGTCGCACGCTTCCCAACATGGCATCCATTCAATTCGGTATATTACTGTTTCCCTTCCAGCTCAGCGATTGTGCCATGCCCCTGGATATCATCTTCTCCTCAACCAAGCGAGCCCTCGCCAGCATGGAAGGCGCCGGGTTCCCAGCCGGCATCTCCGAAAGGGGCATCCCTGAGATTCAATTCCACTACATTGCGGCCACCAGCCTCGATCCAGTCCGACTGTATACCGCAGGCTTCACGACGCTTCCCACCACCACTGTTGCGGACTGCCCCAAACTCGACTACCTCCTCATTGGTGGGCCGGAAACCAGTTACATTCAGAACTTGCCCAGTGAAGTCTCGCGGTTCTTGCAGGAAAGAGTGACAGAGGTCACCACTATCTTCACAACGTGCACCGGTGCAATGGTGCTCGCTGCTGCTGGTGTTCTGGATGGCATCGAGGCGACCACCAACCACGGCGCGGTTCCCCTTGCCCAGCAGCTTCTGCCCAAGGTGAAATGGACGAGGGAGAAGCAGTGGGTTGTCAGTGAGGGTGGCAAGTTCTGGACAGCTGGGGGTGCATGCGCGGGAATGGACATGTTCGCTCATTGGGTGATGGGGAAGTATGGTGTAGATGTTGCTACGTATGCTTTTGCTGCTCTAGATTACAGCCCGAGGGGTCAGGATAAACAGCTGGTTCAGTTGCCCAGCGTGAAATGGACCGCTTGAGCTGCGACCGGGAACTAGGACGGGGCCATCACCAACAAGTTGCCAGACATGACCGCGCACATTGCGAGCATGGGTCCATAGCGCTCATGCTGCGGCATTTGTCTATACAGCTACTGAGTACTGATTTGGGCATGCCTGTGACCTGCTTGATGCTATGATATTTCCATGTTATTCTGGTAGGATTGGAGTTGATGTTCTGAGGGGGTATATTGCTGTTGCCAGGACCATCTTCGAGGGTTGTGGTATGAAATGCTTTGCTTGGTCTTTGTGACGCTGCTTTGGAGAGCAAGGATACTAATGCCGGTCACTTTTACCAATCACAGCCGTCGGCGCCACGGAATTAGTATGGCTCTAATGGCCCCGAGTCAGGTGAGCACAGGGCGGCATGCTCCTCGTCCCAAACGGAGAGAAGCCGCGAGCAGTTTTCCCGCACCTTGCTTGTACCGAGTCCAGAGTCCAGAGTGAACTATCTAGAAGAACATGAACTGAACCACCCACCGCCAACCATCTCGAGGTAGTTCTAAAGGCGGAGGAGGCGGCAATCATGGTGAGCCACACACCGATCATGGCCATCCGGTCATGTGGTGTCCATAGCTCCAGCCCGCCGACTGCAGACTGACATGGTGTCCGACAGGTCTTTATTCTGGGGGTCAACTTCCCCGAGCACCGATTCATCTGGGTACGAGCACTGCCAACTGAGTCCATGACTACCTTCGATGGTCCGATCTGGAAGTGTTGCTAACGCACATTCATCTTCATTACAGCGCTCGCTCGAGACCTTCTTCGGCATCGGCCCCTACAGTCGCCAACGCATCATGGCCCGCTTCCACCTGCACGACACGATGAAAGTCGGCGACCTCACCCAGACCCAAGTGCTCGACCTCACGGCGCACCTCGATGCCATGAAGCTCGAAAACCACCTGCGCCGCCAGATCCAGCAGGACATCCAACGCCTGAGAGATACCGGAACCTACAGAGGCCGGCGCCACGCCATGAACTTGCCGGTCCGCGGCCAAAATACCAGGAGCCAGATCAAGACGGCCAGAAAACTCAACCGGGTCGAGAGACACTGAAGCTACGGATATGTTCTTGTCTGGTTGTGTGGGATGTCTTGATTGCCGCGCCGTTGGCGGTGGCGGAGGTCAAGAGAGGAGATCGACTTCGTTGGTCTGAAGGTGCGGTCGTGTACGAACACCTGAAGGAACCTTGCATCGTCACAGGCGTTGGGGGAGTCAGGGCTTTAAAATGTACACTTGTGTCCTTACGAGCTAGACATGGGACAGTGGACATGGACTGTTCCTAGCCGAGGTTTAGGCACGAGGGAGGCTGATAGTAGATCAATCTATAACTCATATGTGTACCGTACCGTGAATCCCAGGATTGCGGCAGGTGCTAGTAGATCAGGACTCTTTTGTTCCACAGATTGTCTGCTTCTAGATACAATACTGCGTTGCTCAAAGATTGGTCGTCACCGTCATGCTATTACTCTGCACCAGCAGCGTTGATGGCAGTCCGCCAACCAACACCTCCAGGTCACTGATATATCTCAGACTGTCAGTCTCGCTTCTATAGGTGCCTTCAACTGGTGCTGGCAATGTGGTGAAGATGACCGCGGTATCATCGCTGTTTTGCGATATCAGATCGTTGAGGATCAGATGCTGTGCCCGGCTGGGAAGGTCATTGAACGACAAAGGTGCCGCAGCAGCTGTAGGATATCCCGACGCGGGTTTGGGAGGGCTGCCATTGTCCTTGGCCCGCTGGTAGATGGAAACACCCCCGGATTCTTCCGGTTCGTCAGCCTTTTGTCGTCGTGGATGAGGATCCTCTGCAAACATGATCGAAGGCCCTGCACCTTCCTCACTGGCCATCTGCGTTGCTGGCACCGGTTCAGATGTAAAGTTGGGCGACGGCGTTCGGGGTCGTTGCGAGCGCATCGCCTCCAGGCCTTTTCCTAGAGAAGCCGAGCGCCGCTGTGAGCTTTCACTGTCGGCGATTGGAGCAGGACGCCCTCGATTTTGCTGTTCATCCGAACTGTCAAGGATGTTCTCGTCGAATTGGATCAATGGTTCAGGCGGACTCGATCGTCCTTCCCTATAGGTCACGTCCTTTGTTCTTTTGAGACTTGATTTTTTGGAGCTCGCTCGACTGCTCTTCTTCGGCGGCGTTCTCACAGATCTTGGGTCTCCTGAGGGTGACGGTCGAGCGCTTGCTTCCTCTTCCATGAGACTGCCTTCAGAGGATCCATCGCCGTCGTGGTATTCTTCATATTCTGCCTCTGTGTCCTCCTCTTCCGATTCGGAGCCATCAGAGTCGCTTGGGTGAGACGCGTGTCGACTGAGCATGTCGTCATCCAGGCGCGACGTTCTCATAGAGAGACTCAAGCCAAGGCTAGAGAGGTTCCCGAAAGATGGCCTTTTCTTTGGATCTGCCAAAATCCGGCGCAAGCCCTCAAGACGAACGATGGAGTTCTCCCTTTTCCTTTGCAAAGATGCGCTGGGCCAAACGCTGTCGTCTGCAACCGTCAAAGCGTCCACAGCGCCAACGTCAGCAGATTTCGACTTTCCTCGGATGATTTGGAGTTCGCGCCACCACAACTCGTCTTCCAGCACTTTGTTGACTTGTCCCTGCGTCTCATCGTCGACGTCCTCTCCGTTAACGATGCAGTTGTAAGACTTGACGGAGCCACAAGCGAGCCAGAAGACCAGTACCCGGGCTTGGATTCGAAGATTTTCTAGGAGAGTAGTGACACGACTCCTTTCCTCTTCTACGTCTGACTCATATTCAACAAACACCGCCACGCGAAGTTTGTACGCTTTCTTCCAAGACGGAACAGTGTGAAGGATGCAGCCCAGTTGCAAGATGAGCGTGTAGGTGTCAAAATTGGTCGTGAGGACATTTCGACCCTCACCCTCGCCATCACCCTCAGCATCTGCTATCACCTCAGCCGACATTTGGATCGGCCATAGGTCGATGTATTTTTTGGTTAATTCTTCCGGGCTCTTCGGTAGCTCGAGGTCATTGAAACCAGCGGCAATAGCAACATTGGTCTGAAGTTTGAGTATCATATCCTCCAGCACCATGACATAGCTTTGGATGTCGGTCCGCTTCTCCACATAACAGGTATCAGTCGGTAGTTCACCTCTAATCACGCTCCTGCTCGTCCGGCGCTTTTGAGGGGAGGCGTGTTTCCGCTCAGGGGGAGGGCTAGGGACATCTACCAGCGGTTGCTCGGCCCGGAACTGTTGTAGGTTATAAAATCCGAATATGACGATGTTGGGACGCATCCCGCCCAATCCCGCCGAAAGAAATATATTTCGGGCTCCCCATTCTATGGAGGGCGAGATGGCAATGTTGACAAAAGCCTTGATTTTCGAGAAGTCGATATATTTGTTCCAGGCTGCTTGCTGACGACGAGCCTCGGGTACCGAGGCGCCAAAGTCCTGAGTGACAATGACATGTCCGATGATAAAGAGAGCTCCCTTCTTGAGCGAGTTACAAAATTGGATGAGCTTGTAGCCCCGTCTCGGGTCATTGACAAAGAGCAGGACCTGAGGTCGCCAGAATTTGACATGCTCGCTCTTTAGCCGCAAGAGATACTTGCGGACTTGGTGATAGATAAGAACCTCCGAGATGGATCCCCAAGGCTTCGGTGGGGTGGTGTAGTGGATCAGGATGATCAGAATCAGAAGGAGGCAGACGGAACCCGAGGCCGAGATACCATCGACAAAGAACATGCTACCGACACTCAGCAGCGCTCCCATGAGGGCAGTCCACCAGTTGAAATAGTGGAACGACGGTCGAAAATTAGGAGCGGATCCAATCTTCAGGAGGAAGGTTGCTACATTGAGCGCAAAGAAGGTCCTATTTGACTTGTAAGAATCCAAGGCTACATACATCTGGACACACTCACATGAGATAAGTCATTGTAATGAGAGATGCAATTCGGTTGATGTCGAGGAGAAGTGTAGCTTGAGCAACCGCAAATGTGAAGAATATGGCGTAGATCGGTTCATCATTCTTCTTCGTTCCCTGGCCGAAGACTGAGAGGCCTGGGATCACATTATCTCTGGCAATGGCTTGGAGTTGTTTGGCAGGCCCGATTATTCCCATCAGAACGGAGAAGAGGGTCGTCGCTATTTCTCCAGCCAGAATCAAGACCCCTGAGACATTAGTGTCCTGAACGACGTTGGCGTTTCGATAAAATGATTCTCGGGTGATGCTTGCCGCCATGGCGACGATGACAAGAGCGTATGAAACAAAAGTGAGGGCGAGACCAGCAAGTGTACCCCGTGGAATGGACTTGCTGGGATTCTTCAGGTCGCCTGACATACTCGCACCGGCAAGGATTCCTCCAGTGGCAGGAAATAGAATTCCAAAAAGATCTTGATAGTTCTCTTTCGTGCGTAGCTGACTGCCCGCAGCACCACGGGTGAAATGAGGCAGAAGATTCGCTTTCAAGGTGTCGACACTGAGACCCGTAAAGCGAGTGTATTGCTTGGTAGTTTCAAAAGGTTTCATAACAACAGCTGAGAGGGGGATGCTGAACGTGGCAACGAGGAGAATAACGAGCAAGCTGTTGCTTGCGCGGGCGAAGATCGTACTTCCAGCCAGACAGATGGCGACACAAATAAGGACAACAACAGTGCTCCACAGGTATTGCCACCACCCTCCTTCGGGTAGAGTATTCGCCCAGTTGCCAGATACAGACCCGAAATTATAGTTCAAGCAATCAATGAGGCCAACAGCATTCATACCGGTGTTGAAGACGAACCCGAGATAGGAGACAAGGCCGATCGCGCCACCAAATTCGGGCCCCAAAGATCGCGAAATCAGGTAATAGGCGCCTCCACCTCGAACGATACCGTTGGAAGCAACAGCCGAGATAGACAACGTGGTGACGAGATCGATCAGATAGGCCGCCACCAACATGGCAAGCATTCCGACCACTCCACTCTGGCCGAGAATGAACCCAAACCGGATAAACATAAGGATACTTAGCACGTTCAGGCTCGTGGGAACGAAGACTCCAGAAAGAGTGCCCAGCTTTTCTGTGCCTCCAACAGGCCGGGGAAACCCACCGACCCTGGGCGGAGAGGACTTCTCAGCCTTGTTCGGGCCATCACGGTCTGGAAGGTCGGCCAAATACCCCTCTGGCTGGGCAGTCTGATTATGCCCTAGTTCCAAGGCCTGAGGAAATGGCGGAGCATCTCGAGGGCCGTCGAAGGTCCCATGAATCTTAGAAGTCGACAAGTCGTCAGGGCGGGTAAAGGGAGCAGTTGAGGCGGTCGAGACTGCTGTTGGTGGCCTCGAAATCGTGTAGGCAGAGTCTTCGGGGCCTGACACTGGTCTTTCTTGGTCATCTGGTAGAGCTGGAAGCGAAGACCTTCTCAATAGTTGGGCAGCATCGTCGGTGGCCGTACGGGTTAGGAACGTGGGACGACTTCGAGGGAGAGTGCCTCGTCCCAGATTGGGCCAATCCTTTCCTCCTGTTCCAGCCATGATGATCCGTGAAGACGCGTCTAGGATCTAGATCCATCATCCACCTAGGGTCAACATGGACAAGCGAGTGGTCACTGCGAGATCATTCGTGTAGGGTGTTATAGCGACGAGGCTGAGTCGTATCTTGATGATGCTGTGATAGTGTATGTACCTATCACCCGCGCCACGCCAGCGTAGTGGGTATGACTGTACTCCGTAGTAGTTGCGGGTATCCTCTAGACTCTAGGGGGCTCGGAGGAATAACGAAGACGAGATCTGATGGATAGGCTCAGAGGCAGATGTGTGTCGGCCTGTGTGTGGTGGAGAGAAGCGACAAACTATTACGAGAGTAGGGTGAGAAGAACGATGATGCGATATGGTAGTACGAGTAGTATGGGAGGTAGAGGCTGAGATCTCGGCCTGGGATGGAGCTGCTCAAAGGAGCGGTGTTGGAGGAAAATTCCGGGCTTGGCTCGCCTGGTGGTGGGCAGGCGAGGTACCGGTCTGGCGGGCGGACACACCCCTAACTGGCCCGCGGTTTACGAGCCAGCCGCCCTAAGACGTAGCCTAGAAGCTGTAGCTGTCCTGGCGTCATATTGGCGTGGGTGCCTACTAGGGACATGCAGTACAGTGTAGACCCGGACAAAGACCCAATCAATCTCGTCGCTCTATTTCTCTTGCTGACACCAAAGCCACCATCTGCCTTGATCACCTGCACTTTTCTTTATCTACCACTCTCAGATCGATATTTGGTACATATTGAACCCTCAGTGCCATTGTCCGCTGATTTTATCATTCCCTCTGTGCCACGTATGTCGTTGCGAAATCCTTCGACTCAGCCTGTCCCTCCATGTCGTCGCCCGCTTCCAGACCATTAGAGATCCGTCCAACAAGTCGAGGCCTTTCCCCGGCAGCGGGCTCTTCTGTTCACTCCTCTCACCACTCCAGACATGCGTCGATAGCGCGGTTGTCCTCCCCTGTACCCTCTCACCGTCTCAACACTCCTCCTGTCCAACAAGTTCCCACTCCTCAGCAGATAGCGGCCGATCAATCCAGCGATTCGACTCTCCCGAAACTGGACAGCGCTGGCTCTCTGCCGGGCCCTGGTCAATCTGCCCTTTCTGCAGCCCTTGCTGATGGAGCTCTTCGCACCCCTCCTGGAACCTCGACTGATACGACCCCACGGCCGTCGTCGTCAAACGCCAAAACCGGGCTAGGAAACCATGACAGAATACCAAGAAGCAACTATGGGTCTTTCGATACTCGAGAGATACCCGGGAGTCCCGTACCTACTGAAGATCCTGAAGTAGTAAAACGACATCTGGTGCAGCCAGACCAAGGGTCAGCCCGGCACGGGAGATCTCTGCGCCTGGACCTGAACGAACCAGGCACTGGCTTAGGACCCGATGAATTTTCAAGTCTACGTTTGCAGGGAGGGGACATTACACGAGCTGTCTATCGGTGGGCGGAGGACCAGTCTGGAAATCCACCAGGTCGTACACAGAGAAGCAAGAGCTTCAATGTCCAGCGGCCGGAGCCAGAAAATGAAGTCTTGGATATCCACCACATCCGTGTTCCAGGTGGATTCCGCCGACATTACATACGACGAGCTGCGGGGAGCCCTAGTACTGCAGCTCGAGCCTCGGATGCTGAAGAAGCTGGGGGACACAGCGGCAGGGTGGTTTCCGCTGGACATGCTAAGCCCATGCTCTTCACCAACAATTTCTTGGAATTTCTGACGCTCTACGGGCACTTTGCTGGAGAAGATTTGGAAGAAGATGATGAGGCTTTAGGGCCTGATGAATATTTCTCCTCCGATGCCTGGGATGAAGGCAGTGATGAAGAACCTGGCGAAGACAGTGCCCTGCTCACTGCCAGCACGCATACACTCCGCAAGAGGAAGCACAAGGAGAGGGCCTCCCAAGGTAACAACGGCAGTTTGAATGCAGCTCTGCTACTCCTGAAGTCATTCGTGGGCACTGGGGTGCTCTTCTTACCCCGAGCATTCTTGAATGGAGGCATGTTGTTCTCCTCGCTCGTTCTCCTCGCCGTCGCCGCCCTCAGTTTTCATTGCTTTATCCTGCTCATTAATACTCGGAACAAGGTTGAGGCATCCTTTGGTGAGATGGGCGGCATTCTGTACGGGAAGTGGCTCAGAACATTGATCCTATGTTCGATTGTGCTCAGTCAGGTTGGCTTTGTATCGGCTTATATTGTCTTCACGTCGGAGAACTTGCAGGCATTTGTGCTAGCAGTCTCCAAGTGCAAGAGTTTTATCGACATCAAATTCATGGTCTTGATGCAACTCGTCATCTTCTTGCCCCTGAGTCTGATCCGAGATATCAGCAAACTCGGCTTCACCGCTCTCATTGCCGACGCTTTCATCATGTTGGGGCTACTCTACCTCTACTACTATGACATCTCCGAGATTGTCCACCACGGAGGCGTGGCCGACATTACTTTATTCAATCCATCGACATGGACCCTATTCATCGGCACTGCGATCTTCACTTTCGAGGGGGTCGGCCTGATCATTCCGATCCAAGAGTCAATGAAGAAGCCGCAAAAGTTCCCGGGCGTCCTGGCTATCGTCATGGTCGTCATGACGGTCCTCTTTACCTCGATCGGAGCGCTGTCGTACGCGGCCTACGGATCCAAAACCAAGACCGTCGTCATCCTCAATCTGCCTCAGGACAGCAAGATCGTCAACGCCGTCCAATTCTTGTATTCACTCGCCATCCTACTGAGCACACCACTGCAATTGTTCCCGGCCGTCCGCATCATGGAGAACGAGCTTTTCAGCCGGTCGGGCAAGTACAATCCTTACATCAAATGGCAGAAGAATGTGTTCCGCTTCTTCTTGGTCTGCGTGTGCGCCCTCATCGCCTGGGGTGGGGCTGGCGATCTCGACAAGTTCGTTGCTCTGGTGGGAAGTTTTGCATGTGTGCCGCTGGTGTACGTTTACCCTCCGATGCTGCACTTGAAGGCCGTGGCTCGAGGGCCGTGGCAGCGCGGGCTGGACTATGTGGTCTGCATTTTTGGGTTCGTCGGATGTGTCTATACCACGGCTCTGACCGTGCAGCAATGGGCGGCTGGGAGTTCGCCGAAGGCTCCCGGATACTGTGATTCATAAGCGGACCCCGGCAGGGATGTAAGGGGAGGCTCGCAACCCCTCGTTAGATTGTATAGCAAGTCTTGTGCATTTGGACTCTACAATAAAAGCAGTTGGGTCGGGCCTAATGTGCAACTGCTGGCTAGGACACAGCATTGCTCGGAACCGAGTCGAGCACAAGTACATAGTCCAGAATAGAAGAACTACATACAATCCAACTAGATACAATCCAACTACATACAAGCCACATTCCCGCTGCACTCACTGCATCAGGCTTCTCCCCGCCATGCATTTGCTGTCCAAGAGCAAGGCGGCGACTTGGGAGACGAGAGAACGGTACACACCCTTGGCTCTGAGAGTTGGAGACTGCGAGTCCGATAGGGGTACGAGATGCCGGAAAACACGAGGAAGAAACGTGCATTGGGTATCGTGCAGTACCTCTGGCAGAGAGCAAATAATGACCACAAGATCATTGTTCATTATCGTGGGGCCTGCCCCGGCGCTCAGAGTGTCGCTCAATTGGCAGACAGCAGCATTGGGAAGATGACTTCTGGAGATCCTTTCACGCCGGGCTGTACGGCGGGAGGCCCATAGATGAAGTCGGCGCCTAGCTGAGCGTGGGCAAAGGTTCTCATCGAGTCTGGAACCTGCATCAAATCGAGCGCAAACTTCATCCTCTCTGGCATGAACGGCTGCAGAAGGATGGAGATGACTCGGATAGCTTCGGCACTGGCATAGAGACCATACTGTGCGATGCGGCGTTCGCTGGCATCATCCGACTTGATCCGTTTCCACAAGGCCGAGTTATGGAAGAACTTGTTCATCTGTAGACCTAGTAAGCATGCAGGCCTGACAGAGGAAGGGACATGATCATTCATACGCTTCTGATCAGGTCAGTGATGAGACCGACGGCGATACGTGGGTTTGGCTCGGCCATCCATTTTCGCACATTGTTCCGCGTGGAGGCTATTTGCTTGCACAGTTGCTGGATGCCTTTGTGGAGGGCCTGGATGTCGTCGCCGTATCCATCAATCTCTTCCATGGAGAGAAAGTCCGAAAATCCGGCCTGGTCTTCTCCGACGAGTTTGACGGCTTCTCGGACATTGAAATTCTTACTCTTGAACACGCGATGCAGCAGATTGCCATATCCGTCCCTCAGAATGTGTTGGTATGTTTCTGCCACCTTGGAGTTCTCGTACATGGCATCATCAACGATACCGCCGTTGTAAGCCATGTAGAACCTGATGCTGTCTACCCCATAACGGTCCATTGCAAAGAACGGATTGACTCCGTTGCCGGCCGACTTGGACATCTTTGCGTTATTCATGGTCCAGTGGGCATGCGTGAGGAACTGTTTGGTTACCGGGAGACCCAGGGCCATCAGGAAAGCCGGCCAGTAGATGGTATGGAACCGAACGATATCTTTACCGATGACCTGGCAGTTAGCAGGCCAGAGCCAGTTCGGATCGGCTCTGTCGTGGTAAGGATATCCTGCCATGGTCAAGTAATTGATCAAGGCATCTAGCCAGACGTAGATTGTTTGGCTCTCATCGCCCGGCACTCGGATGCCCCACTGCAGGCGCGAGCTTGGTCTCGAGATGGAGAGGTCGTTGAGGCCACCTTCAATCTCCTTCATGATGAACGCCTGACGCTGCTTCGGGATAATGGCCTTTGGGTGTTCCGAATAGTACCTCAACAATGGCTCTTGAAAAGCCGACAGCTTGAAATGGTAGTTGATTTCCGAGGTCCATTCCACCTCTTTCCCAGTCTCGATCGACACGATTTTGGTGTCGCCAGTGGAGGGGTCGAGGATATTCTGGACCTGGGATTCGGGATAGAATGTCTCGTCGCTGACGCAGTACCATCCCTCATGTGCAGCCTCGTAGATATAGCCCGCGTGATTCAGCTCGGTCCAAAAGTGCTCGACCGCAGCCTTGTGGTCGTCGTCGGTGGTTCGGATGAACCGATCGTAGCTGATGTTGGCCGCGTTGCACAGCGCCTTGAACTGCTGCGAATGGTGGTCGCAGAACAGTTTGACATCGGTATTTGCCTTTTGCGCGGCCTTCTGGATCTTCATGCCATGTTCATCCGTGCCCGTCAGCAGAGTGGCCCTTTCGTCACCGCAGAGGACTGCCCATCGCTTGAGGATATCCGTGAGGACAAGAGTATACAGGTGGCCGACGTGAGGCGCTGGTGATTCCACGTCAGCGCTGAGAAGGGAGCCGTCCACCGCGGCATCACGTACCCGAGTTGACGTAGAAAATAGGCGACGTCACATAATACGGCTTCGTCCCAGGAGCTTTGGCTGGAGCTTGTCGAGTTTCGACAACGGTTGCCAATCCACGTCTCTGTAGGCTTCGACTGCGACTGGGTGATAGGAGAGGGATGCACCCTGCAGAAGCTCGACATTGTAGGAAGAAGCTTCGAGCGCGATGCTCAATGGCAATCATGGTTCGGCAGCGGCGTGGTAAGCAAGCAGGACCTTGAAAGGTCTTTGATCTGAAGCTTGGTTTCAGTTGACAGACGGTCCAAGTCGAGGCTTCGATGAATATAATAAATTATTTCCCGCACCTGCGTTTTTCTCCACCTATGTATGGTACCTTGCTACTCACCCCAATTGTTGTCCTATTTCTCTACGGTACTCAGTACTTGCTCACGATCACCGTGGAGCGCCCTCTACATGGACTGTGTCGTTGATGAATGTGGCACATTTAATCACAGCCTGTGCCATCTGAGCCATGAAACACAGGTAATAGGTCGAAAATCACCAGGACGAAGCCGTCATGAGCTATACTTCGTGAAGCGGCAGAACTCCTCAAGCAGATTCCTGACCCTATGCTATGCTTATTGTGTTAAATAGTTGTCGCAGGATACTGTCCTGTCCTGTCCTGTCCCATCAAGCGCCCACAAGCGTCACCGACCGCACAGGACTCTCCCGCCCGACTGTAAACGATATTAGATCACTAGTACGTCGCAGCCACGATCCGGTCCTCCAAGGACCCTGATTTGCATTTGGGATCCCACCACGTCTGCTCAGGCGCCCGCGTTTGGCGGCCTCAAGTTTGCCTTGACACGTTCTATGAGCTCGGCCCTTGTCATCTTGGAGTCAGGTTCCAAGTTTCGCTGCGCGGCAGTCAGTGCTATTCCATGCATGTTGAGTCGGTGTTTTTGCTGATTGCTGCTAGGGCAGGGGCTCACCGATTTCAGCCACCGCTTGAGTTCCGTCTCCGTCCAGTAGTCAGGATCTACATGATTGAGTCACCCAGGTGCCTCGCAAGGGCTAGCAACCAAGGAACGCTGAGATGAGGAACATACTGCCCGTAGGATCTTTCTCGGCAGGGAACATATCACCTCCCCACACACTCCATAGCGAGGCAATGGTGACGAGGCCGGCAAACCCTAGAAAGAGAAGAAACAGATCTGGCGTTAACATCTTCCAACCTCCAGACAGCCTCGACTGGGACGGCGCGTGAAGCGACGCCAAGCGAGTGTTCGCAATAGTGTCGGTAGAAGGTGAGACACACCAAAGAATAAGTGCTAATTAGACGAATGTTAGCAAGATGTTGTAGCGCAACAGATGTCGAGGAAAAGATTTGGCTTCTCTTTTGAATGCCAGATGCCAAACTAGGTGATGCCGAGGACGCTGAGGACCTCCTCCCAGTGACAAGGCGGAAAAGGGTAGCCAACATACACGAGATTGCAATGCTTTGTCCAAAGCCGTAGGCATATTCGGCTGCCTAGTGTAATGAGTGCCACGGGGCCTGTTGCAACTGCGTGACGGATGGGTGGAGACGCTGGTCCTCGAGAAGAGCCGACAACAGCAACGAGATGGATCGAAGCGATGATGGGTGATGCCAAACAAATGGAGGGAATGGAGGAATGGGACAGTTGGCCTGTAGAGACCCATACGACTGTCTGGCCTGTTTATATTATTGTCGAATGTCGGTTGTGAGTGGTCTATGCTGAACATACTGGACGATCACGTGGATGTGACTTGACCGCCACCAGACATGCCAAATCCAACATCACGATGATTGATTGGCATCCAGGAAAGTGTTCTTGGGCTTGGACGGAAATAGCATCAACTCTTCAACGTCGGACATAGAACCATGTACTCCGTAAGTATCTTAGCACCTAAAGATCCGGGTCAGAGACAGGAGCTTCGATGCTGGCTCACCCAGCCTTGTTGCACCCAACAACAATCGATGAAACAGATGTAATGCATCCTAGATCCCAATATGCTGTAGAGCTTGTGACAGTCATCCTTGCTACGGGTATCTTATTGACGGGATTTATCCACGTCTCGTCATGTGCGTCGTTATAAATACAGAAGCTGCCAGCGCAGAGGCTCCTCAGCTGAGCCATTTTGGAACGAACGAGGGTCTTGATCTAACTCTTTCATCAAGCCGTACCTTTAACGCCATCGCTTTTGACACAAAATTCAACGATTAATCTTTGGAGATCCGCCAGCTTGAACGGTTTGGTCATGAAGCCGTCCATGCCGGTCTTGGTCGCCCGCTCCAGTGCTCCCGCGGTAACATCAGCCGTGACCGCCAGCACGATTGGGGGCGCCATGGAATCGGGGTTGGATCCGTGGCGAATCCCCGACCGGTCTTTTCGAAACATGTCCAGAATGCACTCGGTGGCCTGGTATCCGTCCATTTCAGGCATCCATAGGTCCATCAAAATCACGTCAACCTTTTTCTTAGCTTGCCTGCCGTTTAGGCCACTGCGTCTGCTACCGGTAGCCTGGATTTCTTGCATGACCCTGACGGCTTCCTTGCCATCAAACGCCTCGTGAACATCCTTGTAACCTAGTTTGCCCAGCATGTTGACAAGCAACTTTCGATTGATTTTGTTGTCTTCGGCAACGAGAAACGTAAGCGGATATTTTTCGGCCAAGTTTCTATCATAAGAATCCCTGCGCGAGGGGAGGCGAGGAGGAGAAGAAACTCGGCCAGGTTTACCGATCGCGGTTGAACCTGGGGGACCCTTGGTCATAGTCGGAGGGCCTAGAATTTTGATTCCTTGCGGCATCGGACTTTGGACGGCTCCAGGTGCTGATATATGCGAAGCAGGTAATTGTGAGGACGGGGTCAAGGTTGTGGGTGGGCGCGAGACAGTCTTTGGCACATCCGGGGTTCGACTGCGGGGGCTAGAAGCCCGACTGACTTCATCGGTCAAGTCCAGCGGGATCTTAATCTCGAACTCGGAGCCCTTGTCAGGTCCGTGGACCGCTGACTTGACCAAATTGATATCGCCGCCCAGTCGTCGAGCGAGCCCTTTGGCAACCAGAAGGCCAAGGCCGAGGCCCTCCTTTGACCGTGTCAATGAATCGTCCTCTCGGGAAAATGGTTTGAATAGCTCAGGTTGGAAATCTTCGGGGATCCCATCGCCCGTGTCCTTGACATTGACAATCAGATAGCGTTGGGTTTTTGACTGCTGTATATTGAGATTGATGACCCCGTCGTCGGTGAATTTTACGGCATTGAGAAACACGGCTGATACCAACTTGGCCAGGTCGCGTTCATCGACCAGCAGAGTTTCTGGAACGTCTGGTGCTACCGCCCACTCGATCGTTCTTTGTGAGACAGTGCCGTTTGACGACCGCGACCTGGCGACTATCCTTTCCCCGAAGGTGGTGTGTTCTCCAATGGCCGAGTCTGGCCTACCTCCGACTCGTAGCGACTCATGGATCACAACCGGGATAAGGTCTCTAATCCTGCATTGTTTGAGCCCGGGGGTTGGCAACGCGTCCATTTCAAGAGAAAACTTTGTCGACGGGGTGGTGAAATCGCTGGATGGTAAACCATCTTGCATGGGCGTGAACAATGCAGGGCTGCGGTCTTCTGAAACTGTCGTTTGAGGTGTCAACGTAGGGGGCTGGAAGGACTGGGGGAGAACGCTTTTGGGTGAAACATCGGCGCGAGTGGACAGATGCCGGATTTTGGTGGCATTGCCGAAATGCCAGGACGTAGGACTGCTTCGACGTCGTTTGTATGAGGTCACATGTATATCGCTGCCTTCAATGAGCCTCGCAGGTTTGTAGTCGAAATACCCAGTCGTCGCTGATGGGTTGGCGGAAGATTCGTGCTCGTCTTGAGGGGTGTCTGGGATTTGCAAGTTCATATCGTAGGCATGAACAACATTGTCAGCAGCTTCGACCGCCCGCTTGGCGCTGTCCTGGACAGTTTCGATGCTGTCTTTGAGTGTCTGGAATATAGGTCGAACGGAAGGATGAAATTGGGCTTCGATCTGTTCCTGCACCGTGGCATGCATGACGTCCAACATGCCCACCACGCCTTGCATGGGCGTCCTCAATTCGTGTGATAGATTTTTAGCATAGGGTCTGAGGGATTGGGTGGCCGGGGGGACCGCTTCTTGGGGGATGACTTCATTCAGCGGACCAGCGGGAGTCGACTGAGCCTTGACGAACCCTTGGCCGCTGACAAGCCGCTCAGTAACAATGTCTTCCAAGGAATGTAAAAGCATTTCGGTGTAACTCCACGAAGTGTTCCGACGATCCAGGCCTTCTTGCGTCCACATCATGCCGAAGTGAGCGAAACATTTCTTGTCGTGGAATAGAGGAACCGCCAGGTAACCTTCGGCTGGGAACGGTAAGGTATTGGGATTGTGAGCGACGAAAGAGCTCATTTGGTTGGGGATCAAAAACACCTTGTCATGCTTCATATGAGCACAAGGCGCTTCCCAAGCCCTATACTCGTAGTCGCGGTGCATAGCTTTCTGTTTGTCACCGTCGTTGTAATAGTAGGCCACCCCGAGCAGACAGGATCCTGGTTCCCCGATGGGCGGCATCTCCACTGTTGATTTGTGGTCGTCGGCCAGGACTCTTTTGGCCACGAATGCGTATTGTGCCTGGCAGATCTCAGTCATGCCCTCCATCAGTGTCTGCCAGAAGCCTTCCGTGTCTGCATCCTTCAGGTTACGCTTCAACTGCACGAGCTTCTCGGCGGCATTGTTTTCTGCAGAGGCAAAGTGCCGGGCAAGGTTCTGGACGAAGCCCTCCTGGCCATAGTGCACCGACACGCCAGGCTCCTCGCCTGGAAGGCAGAGGGATTGTCGCTCGATGACGGGTGACGAATCTGGGTTGTTGAGGGGTTTGGCCATCCCTGGCAGACCCGCTTCACACCTGAGCCTCTGTCGGCAGGTACGATCGAGACGAAGACGAGAAATTATGAGCTGATGGCCAGTCAAAAGAGGGCGGCTTCATTCAGGCTGCATAGTGAAAACCAAAGCGGTTGAGGGTATTGAAGGGTGTGCCTTGATGTCGCGGACGGCATGCCTCGAGAAAGACTGGCCGGTGGTGGTCGGCGGCGGGCAGTGAGATGGCTTGGAGGAGACGAGGGCAAGTGAGGAATCGGCCCGAACGGTTGTGCCTGATGTTTTCGAGAAGGGGAGGGCTAGGTGTGTGGACGGACGCGACGATGAGATGTGTGGAAAAGACGGTATAGGGTTTGATGACCAGATGCTGGCCGCGGATGTTTGAGCAGTCTGGGGATGTCAAGGGTTCAAGTTGTGAAAGTCAAACAAGCACAAGGCCAGGGGGAACGTGCGCAAGATTGAAGCCGGTGCGCACAAGCGAGTGTCTGGATAGTGGACACAGGGCCAATGATTCGCGGAACGTCCTCTGTATGGAAAGCCCGGACTAACAGGGCCCAAAAGGCCCTGGTGAAATCTCATACAAAGTTTGACAGGTCCGTCAGGCGTTTTTTTAAGGGTGCCCCCGGGGACCTGGCGGAGCCTGAGAAAGCCATCCCAGGCGGACTGCAGTGGACGATGCGTAGGTTGAAGCATGGACTCATAGAGCACTGGAGTGATGACTCCGTCCAACGGAGTACGTACTGATTCTGTCTGCTGGCTACTGGCGGCGGTTGTCCGGATCTCTAACACTAGGCAGGGGCCGCTATTTGGTACTACAGCCTACTATCTTGATGGGAGCGATGCCACTGTCCACCCCCTTCCCACTGCACCGGAAAGTTTCGTGCTGGCTGGTTGTGAAGCTCGTGATAAGGTAGAACAGCACAGACACCGGGAGGGCCGCTGCAGCCGGTTGTAGAGGGCGGGCTGAAGCAGCGCTCATGCTGGGCAAATAAGAAAAGTCCCGTCGGTCACGATTCCAGCTGCGTTACTTGAGTTACTTTCTTCTTCTCACACAGATTCCAAGGCCGACGTCGAGATGGATAGCCGCAGCTGGGGTTGCAGACTGGGGCCCGCAGGCATCTAGACCCTGGGAGACCAACTGGACTCTCCGCCCAGCGAACCAGTCGAGCTGCTCGGCATTGTCAGAGTGCGACTAGGATGAGACGGTGGAGGCCCGAGAGGGTTTAGGAGACGTAGTGGGCTGCCAGCATCATGATGGGTAGGAACTCCGAGCCTGGTGATTGGCAGTCAGCTCGCCAGTTGTGCTGTTGTGGCGGTGGGAGGCACAGAGCAACAGCGCAGCGTCCGCCAGGGCACTTGGCCAGGCAGGTGCCAGGCAGTGAAGGTCCCTAAGTCCCCTGAGCGGCAGTGTCACTGGCCGGAGGGCGAGCTCCAAGGCCCCCGCAGCAGATTGTGTCAGACGCTCCTACAGAGGAAATGTCCAGGTCGACCAAAGGGGAATATCAAATGTCCATCCAATGTTCTAGGCCCGGCCGCCGGCGTCCGCCTTGCACGCCATTATTATTATTGGGAGATCACAGGGATCGTGTGGCGCCGGTGACATCATACTCGGCTAACACGGCAGCGATATCGATCGGACCTGCTCAATCTGACGCAGCCTGAAAATCCCCCAGGAAATAATAATCAATCGGCCAGCAGCCAGCAGCAGCTAAAGCCTACAACTAGAACTCTGTAGTACTAGTACGTACCTGTAAATCAATCATTATTAGCTCTCTGATGAATTCTTCGATTCGCAGGCACCTACTTAGTACTCGTACAGGTCATGTCAATGCCGCTTGGCACGCAGTCAAAATAAATTGCAAGGGGGACGCAGGCTTCACTGGCATGTTGCTGCAAGGGAGCCAAGCACCAAGCAGCACAGCCCTTTACCGAACGTGTCAGAGTAGTAGATGTCAGCAATTCTGTACTACACTGACGCACACGGAGTACATACTCTACCTGCTACCGACCTACACATCTACTAGTAGTAGAACCTCAGGCAGGAACACAGTTAGGTGACAGTAGTCCGTACTCTGTAAGATGGCATCGTTCAGGAGAGAGCCAGTCGGAGAGAGCCAGTCAGCAGTCAGGATATCATCTCTACGGTACGGCACCTACACGGAGTACTATCTAGCACTACTCCCCCGTAGACAACCACTCATTCACTCTCTTACTAGACCAGTTGTCCACGATATCCATCTCTTCCACCATTACCCTAGGTAGGTTAGATACTCAGTGCCGTTGTCTGTCTGAGACACAGGGTGAGTGAAGACACGTCGAAATAAGGTCCCCCCTTGTCCTGACTGCTCAACCACAGGTACTCCCTAGTAGTACACAGTGGGATGAAGACAGGGCGGCCAAATCCGCCGACACATACAGCTCTGTACCTTCTGCTGATAACTACTAGGTAATTAATAAAAACGAGCTTGGATCAGACTGACCTTATCTTATCGTTCCCAGGCAGGTATGAGGGTATGAGGGTATGAGGGTATGAGGGTATCAGGGAGGGCGACCACATTCAGTGACGGCCTAATGCGCCCAACACCGGCACCCAGCTCACTCTTACTCTTCATCTTCGTCTTCGTCTTCGTCTTCGTCTGCTCGTCCCCCTAGCGTCCTACTTGATGCTTTTACTTAGCAGTGTCTTCCCTCTTCTGTGTCGCCCGATGTCGATAGTGCCGCCGATCGCGATGCACTGTAACCATGCTTAACGCAGCGACCGGGATTCGCGCCAGTCCCCATTGCGTCATCCTCGATCGCTAAGCAACAAGCAACAAGCAACGACTCCCAAAGTCACGGCAGTTCGCGTGCTCGCGTCCCTCTCTGACTGGCACAGATCCTGGATAGCACGCCTGCTGGTTCCTGGCGGGTGGCAGGGGTGCCTTGTTGGAGTTGGTCAGCTCGCAGCTCGCAGCTCCAGCAGTGCCGTGCCATCGACGCCCACACAATGGCCTCGAGCTTTTCTCTACCCTCTTTCTTTTCTTTGTTGCCTTCTACTTCGTCGACGGCCTGGCTCTACTCGGTCCTCATGTTGTCGCTGCTGCAACTCGCGTGTGCCCTGGTGGTGCCGCCTCTGTTGAACCAAGCCGGGGCCAACCCGGTGCCCCATGTTCAACAGAAGTATGCCCCCGATTCCCTGGGGGCCGTGGCCAGTGAGAGCAACATTTGCAGCGGGATTGGCATAGATCTCTTGCGGCAGGGCGGGAATGCAGCGGATGCAGTAAGTGTGTCTCCCATGGCGACAAATGATGTCGCAATAACGAGGTCTTCAGTTGGTCGGCACCGTCTTCTGCATTGGCGTTGTCGGCATGTACCACAGCGGCCTCGGTGGTGGAGGGTTCATGATCGTCCGCAGCTCAAATGGCAGTTATGAGTTCATAGACTTTAGAGAGACGGCACCGGCTGCCGCCTTCCAAGACATGTACAACAACAACACCAATGCCAGCATTTTTGGAGGCCTAGCCAGGTATACGCTCACACGTTTAGCGAAGGCAAGGAATGCACACTGACACGTATTATATTAGTGGAGTTCCAGGCGAGGTTCGAGGGCTCGCGCATCTGCACCAAAACTATGGCAAGCTTCCCTGGAAGCAAGTCATGCAAGGTGCAATCAAGACCGCAAGATATGGCTGGTCGGTGAGCCAAGATCTCGTGAGGTACATGAAGTCGGCAAATGCCTCTGCGCTGGTGCCCAACTTCCTCGTGGACGACCCGAACTGGGCCCTTGACTTTGCCCCCAATGGTACTTTGGTCGGTCTGGGCGACACCATCACTCGAAAGAGATATGCAGACACCCTGGAGACGATTGCAGAGCAAGGACCAGACGCCTTCTACAATGGACCTATTGCAGAAGCCACCATTGCTGCCTTGCAAGCCCAGAACGGGACGATGACGCTGCAAGATCTGCAAAACTACACTGTGGCAATCCGACCCCCCGTCAATATCACCTATCGTGGGTATCGGTTGTTCAGCTGCAGTGCACCGAGCTCGGGGGAAGTGGCCCTGTCTGTACTGAAGACGCTGGAAGGGTATCCTGATTTCTTCGCCAACGGCCAGGTCAATTTGAGCACGCACAGAATGGACGAGGCGATCCGATTTGGATACGGGGAGCGAACGAACCTTGGAGATCCCTCATTCGTGGCCAACTTATCCGCCTACCAAGCTGACATGTTGACGCCCGAGTCGGCGGCGGAAATTCGAAGCAAAATCTCCGATTACACCACACTCAACGTCTCGGCATACGATCCATCTGGCATCGAGTCCTTGGAGACTCCGGGGACGTCCCATGTGGTGACGGCAGATGCGTCGGGATTGGCCATCTCTCTGACAACGACGGTCAATTTGCTGTTTGGATCGAACCTCCTGGTGCCGGAGACGGGTGTGATCATGAACAATGAAATGAACGACTTTTCCATCCCCGGTTCCTCCAACGCGTTTGGGTACATGCCCAGTCCGAGCAACTACATCCGTCCAGGCAAGAGACCGCTGTCCTCGATATCGCCCACCATTGTGGAGTTTCCGAACGGGACACTCTATTACGTGATTGGAGCAGCTGGAGGGTCGAGGATTATCACGGCCACGATCCAGAACCTGGTGCATGTGCTCGACCAAAACATGACGGCGCCGCAAGCGCTAGCGCAGCCTCGCCTGCACGACCAACTGATCCCGAACCAAGTGTCGTTCGAGTATGCCTACGACAACCAGACCGTGGCCTTCCTGAAATCTCGGGGTCACAATGTGACTTGGATCGCCCCGGGGCAAAGCTCAGCCCAAGGTTTACGACGGCTCTCCAACGGCACCTTCGAAGCAGCAGGCGAGCCTCGCCAGCTCTCGTCGGGCGGATATGCTATATAGCTATATAGATTTCGAAGAAGTACAGGGTAGATCTGGTTGGTAGTTATACCTGGCAGCTATACCTAATAGCTGTATGGAGTATTACTCCGTACCTGGCACCAACCTGGAGCTACAGTATATCCTCCGCCTGTCACGTGGCAGGCCGGCTAACCAAGGCCGAGTCGGGCGGATAAGGGGACCTTCAACCTTCACCGCTACTGTCCAGTGTCAGGAGGCCCTTAGGCCTCCTGAGCCCATTCGGCTACCTACGGCCTCTTGGCTATTAGCATACATACGGGTAAGGCCTCTTACCTCCGTCCTGGCGGTACCTCTGTGCGCAGTGCGAGCATGGCTCCGCATAAAACCTTGTGAAGATTGCATAACTGCGGCTTGCGTCGTACAGAGTTCTTTCTACGGCATCTCTACGCCAGCTCTACGGCATCCTATCGCGTTAGAAGTGGACAATGTGACGATGCGTAACGTCTATCGCTTAATAAGTCATCTAGATATGACCGTGGCCGGTGGAGAAGTGACCATAGCCGACCCGTCTCCCTCTCGGAGGCCGACCTCCGGGAGACGAGTCTAACACATACGGATACTACTTAACATCATACTAACATAGTATTTACCCCCGGACATACCTTAAGTACGGGGCAGAGACGTCTGGAGAGGATTAGATGGGGTTTGGGGTTGCGCAGTCCGTCAACACTCTAGTTCAATTTTCCTTCACTGCCACCTCTGTTTGCCATGTCAGTCACCCAGCACTGTTCCATTCCCTCGCTCCTGTGTCATGCTCTCGTGTCTTGTGATAGCGATCAAGATCTGAAGCACGCTTCCGATCGGGTTAGTTAGTGGGCACATATTGACTCCGCACCCTTCCCAGAGTATTCCATCTTCCATATTGCAGGAGTACAACAGTGTCCAAAGGTGTGTTCCAATGTGAAACCTTCCACCTCCCTCCTCCCTCCTCCCACCTCCAACCCGCGGCACGCTGCATTACATCCCGTCCCGGCCTCGTTGCCCCGTGGAGAGCTGACCAGATAGCTTCTCAGGTCCCATGGCGACCTCCCAGCCGCCCGATCATGGCCGCTTCGGTCACAGTCCACGCGAGCATGATGACACACTCTCTTCCACTGCCGCGACATCAATCTCAGAGAAAGACCGAACCTCAGACCCGGATCGGCCTGATCCAGACGTGGAACGAGGAATACCCGTGATTGACATCTCCCAAGATGCCGACGAGAAGTCGGTGCCGGTTACTGCTGTGACCCACGACCCCAACGTCGTCGACTGGGACAGTCCCACAGACCCGGAGAAAGCCCTCAACTGGACGGAGAAGAAGAAATGGTCTAACATCGGTATCATCTCTTCCGTCACATTCTTGACGCCACTGGCTTCGTCTATGGTCGCACCCGCCATACCCCTCATCATGAAGGAGTTCCACACGACCGACACTACCATCGGCAGTTTCATCGTCTCCATCTACATCCTGGGCTACGCAGTTGGGCCGCTGTTTCTCGCCCCTCTGTCAGAGGTCTACGGCCGCTTGCCCGTCTACCATGTGTGCAACCTCATGTTCGTCATTTGGACGATAGCATGCGCGTTGGCCCCTTCCGTCGGCCCTATGCTGGTATTCCGACTTTTTGCTGGTATTGCCGGCAGTTGTCCTATCACTATTGGTGCTGGTTCTATTGCAGATCTGACCGTCCCAGAAAAGAGAGGCGTTGCCATGGCGCTGTGGACTTTGGGTCCCCTCTTGGGACCCGTCATAGGACCGGTGGCGGGCGGTTTCCTAGGACAGGCGGCTGGCTGGCGCTGGATATTCTGGCTCGTCACCATTGCTGTAAGTTGTCCGAGTCGCGGCTTCACCGCTTTGTATCGTGTTTCTAACCGAGGTACAGGCTGGTGTGGCCTCGGGCTTGGCTGTCATTTTCTTGCGCGAAACCTACGAGCCAATTCTGCTCCAGCGACGCACCAACCGGCTGCGGAAGGAGACTGGTAATATGGAACTGCGGTCAAGACTTGACAAAGGCATTTCGATGCGCCAATATTTGTGGGTTTCCATCGTCCGACCTAGCAAGATGCTCGTCTTCTCGCCGATCGTCTTGACTCTATCCATCTACATGGCAGTAGTATATGGCTATCTCTATCTGCTATTCACCACCATCACGCTAGTGTTTGAGGAAGGCTATGGCTTTAGCCAGGGTGTCGTCGGGCTTAGTTACTTGGGCATTGGCGTCGGCTCCGTGATGGGGCTTTTTCTCTTCGGCGCTGTCTCAGACAAGACGGTCAAGAAATTGTCTGCGACGGGCGGCATGAAGCCTGAATATCGTCTGCCGCCCCTGATTCCCGGCAGCCTGATGATCCCGATTGGCCTTTTCTGGTACGGCTGGTCGGCCAAGGCTCATATCCACTGGATCATGCCCATCATTGGCACGTCCTTTGTCGGCTTCGGCGTATTGGCGACCTTCATGCCCATCCAGACCTATCTCGTCGACGCATTCCACAGGCACGCAGCTTCGGCAATTGCAGCAAACACTGTGCTGAGGAGTCTGGCAGGCGCCTTCCTCCCGCTGGCGGGCCCCAAGATGTATGCGGCCTTGGGTCTCGGATGGGGCAATTCACTCCTCGCATTCATCGCTTTAGCAATGGCACCTGTTAGCTGGATTCTCTACCGGTATGGAGAGAAGATTCGAACGCATCCAAGATTTCATGTGGAATTCTAAGAAGTGAGACATCATCATGGCTAGACGAGCGGCCGAATTTTGACGGCATCTTCACGTACGAAAGGAAGGGAGGGTTGAAACATTGGCGAGCATTTCAGCATGGCGAGGGGCCTTGGAAGGATCTGTTTGGGAACCATCCCTGATTCACCAGCCTCCGGTCTGGACTTCAAATAGACCAAAGAGTTTAGATTATTTTCATGATTGTTCATGGGCAGACTGGTCTGTGAGGTGCTGCTTAGGCATGTATGTTCCCCGTGCCACAATGTCAGTCGGTTGCTATTGAATTGCCAGTGACCGGCCACATTGACTTAGACAATGACCGGCTGGCCAGACTGCACTTGTGTCTTGTGGTTTGCTACGTTGACCTGTGGCAAGGCTAAGGTGCGCCCAGTTTACCGCCTATTACTCCAGAATCTGTGGGAAGGAAGCACCTAGGAGGGGTTAAGGCACAGTATGTAAGCCACCGGCTGAACCGCCAATCACAGGTACTGTGCATATGATTTGTTATAGCATGCATTAATTAGGCTTAGGAAGCCTCCCTCTTCCCTACACTTCCACTTCCACTTCCACCTCCACCGACGTCAAACTCAAACTCAAACTTTACGACCTGCGAGTATACGAGTACATACATACTGATCGACCCCTCGACGACGGTAGGGTTTAGCCTCACTCATCAAACCGACTCCTACTACCATCTACCACCTGCCACCGGCCACCTGCTATCTCCTCCCCAACGCACCCGCTTACTATCAGTACACCTCGGTCGTGTTCTCCAAGCCATGTCTCACTCAGGATGTCCGAAATGCGGGGCCTCCATCACCGGTGGCAAGACTTGTAGCTCTTGCGGCGCGGTAAGTCTGTCGTCCTCTACATGAGCGGCGCTTCCTGAGATCGAGAGAACCTCGGCTGACCTGTCTGCGCTGTTGGTAGAGTTGTCCACGGTAAATGGGACTGCGATCATAGGAACGAATGACGACCACCATATATCATGACCACGGGGACGGATGATGACCATCAATTGGCAAGATCGCTCATGACAGTGGACTGTTACTGCCTGATATGATTGACGACGGGACCGAAGCGAGGCGAGGCGAGGTGACGCTTAGTTTATGGGACAGGTGCTTCTAGGTCGTCCCTTTGATACACTACCAGCTAGCTCGAATGAATCCCAATGATTTGACGGTCGGATACAATTGCTCTAAGCCTGGGGGCAAGAAAGTACACCCAGAAGCGTGAACTCGTTCTCGGCGTGGATCCATAGAGCTCTCAGGCCTTCTCATATGATTACGGCGGAACCACTTTCTCAAAGAATCCCAGAAGGTCTCGCAGCTCGGACGCACCAGTGGCATGACCCATTCCCGCGTACAGGTGTTCCTCAATGTCACCTTGGTCCACCCATTTGGCCAGCTCTTCCTTGCCCTGCGTGTACAGTTTGGTCGGAACCAGCGTGTCCATTGTCCCATGAACGTAGAACCATTTCTTGCCACCCTTCACTGGTAGTTCGTCGGCATCTCTTCTTGATCCTTGTGGTAGCCTCTCTTTCCTCAATGGCCCAATCCTATCTCTTAGGGGGAAATAGCCGCTCAGGCATACCATCCCGCCGATCTTGTTCCTCAACCGGCCTGTCAGTCCCCAAACCAGACTCACAGCACACCCCTGACTGAAACCACCCACAAGTATCCGCTCCGGGGGCGTCCCGCTCTTGATCTCTTGCTCCACCAACTGGTCGACAATGTCCACGCTCTTCATGATGCCCGCTTCATCGTCCGGCGCGTCCTCGTCCTCGTCTCCCACATGCGGCTTCATCACATTCGGCAGTGCCTTGGGTACGTACCATGCTCGTGTCATTGCCTCGTGGTTGTGCGAAGCGGTAGGAAGGACCCATTTCAGGTGCTCCATCTTCTTGGCGAACTGGAACTGTTGTGCGAGGCCAAGTGGGAGGCCTTCGGCATCGTCGCCATAACCGTGTAGAAATATCAAGGTGGCCGCACGGTCAGGCGAGGACGCTGGAGCGGTGGGAGTAACGACATATGGAGGCTTGTCGGACATGGCTATCTTTCATGCTCGCGAGGAAGCCTCCTTGTTGATCGAATTGTCTGTTGGAAAGTGAGCTAGCGAAGAGAGTCAGAAGACTTGAAGCTCCAACAGATGCTGCGAGACCAAATCTTATGGACGCGCAGACGGACAGCCAGTGCCACTGTGCAAGTCGACAACCTGTATGCCGGTTAACCAAGCAATCAAGCCTACAGGTTACATCCAACTAAGTTTTAGGCTGTACGTGTATGCATACCGTAGGTCATCGGAACGAGGCAGCAGAGTGACTTTCTCGTTGAATCGCCGGGCAATGCGTGTTGCAAGCGACTGCGTTGCGTGCGGGGGTTACTTGCCTGAGGGGACAGGATCTTGCCTGCACATGTGGCTGTAAAACCCGCCATATTTCCGATTCTCCGCACTGCAGATGGAGAGAAACTTCAGATACTGTCCATGTCGTTTGGAAGCCCCGGTGCACCTAACATTTCTCTTTGGAACCGCCCAATCTGAAAGTCACAGAATCGAACAAGCATGAAAAGCCTCAAGAGAGGCCTGGCAGCCGATCCAAATGCCGTCAACATCTCCAGCAAGGTGTTCATCAGATCCGCAAAGAGCGGCCGAGTCCAGAAAGTGGTGAGAGAACAGTATCTGAGGAAAGACATTCCATGCTCCTCTCTCCTCTGCTCCGCTTGCGCTTCCACCGCAGTCGCCGATGCCAATGGAGTTGGTGAGTTTCTGTAGGAACCATGGTCGAAGGATCTGTCTGACGCTTGCGCAGTGCCAAAGTTCGTGCTTTCGAAGCGACCAGCCGGAACTAAGGCATTTCCTGACGGCCACTACCTTATACCAGATACGAACGTGTTGCTCAGCGGGATGGATCTCTTTGAAGAGTCGGGTCATTTCCACGATGTCGTCATCCTGCAAACCGTCTTGGAAGAGTTGAAGAATAGAAGTCTTCCTCTCTACAACAGACTGATGGCCCTGACGCGAAGCGAGGACAAGCGTTTTTATCTCTTCTTCAACGAGTTTCGCTCCGACACTGCGGTCCGGCGGGCAGATGGCGAGTCAATCAATGACAGAAATGATCGTTCTGTCAGAAAGGCAGCTGCGTGGTACACGAGTCATTTGGCGAGGGTGACAAAGAAACCTCCTGTGATAGTGGTTCTCACGAACGACCAGGAGAACCGGAGAAAATCCAAGAAGGAGGGCATCAATGCGCTGTCACTGCGCCAGTACGTCGAGGGTCTGGATGATGCCGACCGCCTGCTTGACATGGTCAGCCAGGGCGCGGAGGGACAAGAAGGTCGCGCATTGCAAGGAGAGTTATTCTACCCAGAATACTACTCGATGACCCGAATAATGACGGGTATCAAAGCGGGAACCTTGCATCAAGGCGTTTTTAACGTGTCGCCCTACAACTACTTGGAAGGAACGGTCAAAGTCCCCGCATTCGACAAGCCATTGTTGGTTCTAGGACGAGAAGCCAGTAACCGATCGATATCAGGAGATGTTGTGGTCGTCGAAATACTTCCCAAGGACCAGTGGAAAGTCCCGTCGACCCAAATCTTGGACGAAGATACTGTTAACCAGAACGACAACCCCGATAATGAGGAGCAGGAAGAAAGCGTTATCACCGAGAACGAAAAGCGAGCTCTCCAGGAAGACGTCAGGCGGGCTCACTCCGCCGGCGCAGACACCCGAGCTCAGCCTACGTGCCGTGTGGTTGGCATCATGAAGCGGAACTGGAGACAGCTGGTTGGTACTATAGACAACGTCTCGGGATCTGCAACTGGGAATCGCCAGACCACTGTGTTCCTGGTTCCTATGGACAAGCGCATCCCGAAGATACGCATTCGTACTCGTCAAGTCGAGGAGCTGATCGGCAAGCGGATCGTGGCAACAATCGATTCCTGGGACCGAGATACCAGATACCCTGTCGGCCATTACATTCGGTCTCTCGGTGAGTTGGAGACGAAGGAGGCCGAGACTGAAGCCTTACTTCTTGAATATGATGTCCAATATCGACCCTTTCCCAAAGCGGTGCTGGATTGTCTCCCGTCTGAAGGCCATAACTGGAAGGTTCCGACCGATACCTCCGACCCAGGCTGGCAGGGGCGACGAGATTTACGCAACATTCTTGTGTGCTCAATCGATCCTCCCGGATGTCAGGATATCGATGATGCACTTCATGCTAGGCCGCTTCCCAATGGAAATTTTGAAGTGGGTGTCCATATTGCGGACGTCTCCAACTTCGTCAAACCCAACAACCCCATGGATGCTGAGGCATCTTCGCGCGGCACAACAGTCTACTTGGTGGACAAGAGAATTGACATGCTGCCAATGCTTCTCGGTACCGACCTTTGCTCACTGAAACCCCACGTTGAGCGGTATGCATTCTCCACGCTATGGGAGGTCACACCAGACGCAGAAGTCGTCTCGGCTTCTTTCACCAAGTCCGTTATCCGTTCGAGGGAGGGCTTCTCATACGAGCAAGCTCAGAAGAGGATCGACGATCCAACTGCGACAGATGAACTTACCCAGAGTATGAGGACCTTGTTGTCACTCTCGCAGAAGCTGCGCCAGAAGCGAATGGATGCCGGAGCATTGAATCTGTCGAGCCCTGAGGTCAGGATCGAAGCAGACAATGAGTCCTCAGACTCCTTAGCCGACGTCAAGACTAAGGCGCAGCTCGCCACAAACTCGCTCGTCGAAGAGTTTATGCTTCTTGCCAACATCACCGTTGCAAGGAAAATCGAATCGGTTTTCCCACAAACTGCACTGCTCAGGCGCCACGCTTCACCTCCGGCCTCCAATTTCGCGGATCTCAGTGATCAATTGAAACGGATGAGGGGCTTCGAACTGGACGTATCAAGCTCAAAGGCACTTGCAGATTCCCTGGATCAATGTGTGGACCCCACTCACCCTTTCTTTAACACCTTGATCCGAATCATGGCCACACGATGCATGACCTCTGCAGAGTATTTCTGCAGCGGATCTCATGCAGCACCCGAGTTCCGGCATTATGGCTTGGCGAGCGAAATCTACACCCATTTCACCAGTCCGATCCGCCGTTACGCCGATTTGCTTGTCCACCGACAACTCGCCTACGCAATCGGATATGAGGGTGGAGGGAACGAGATTGCCGACGAGAGTCTCCGTAACAAAGGCAAGTTGGAACGAGTGTGCCAGAATCTCAACTTCAGGCATCGGAACGCCCAGTTGGCCGGGCGGGCAAGTATCGAGTACTATGTTGGGCAGGCACTCAAAGCCAGAGCTGAGAAGACTCCAGGGGCTGCCATTGATGTTGAAGGATATGTCATGCGCGTGTTTGAGAATGGCATTGTGGTCTTCGTGCCTCAGTTTGGCATCGAAGGACTCGTCCGGCTGGAGGACTTCCAATTGAAAAACGACGAAGCGGCCAAGAGAGAAAGCATCTTTGACGCAGATGGCTACACGCTGACAGTTTTTGAGAAGGGCCGTGAGCAACAGGGAGTCACAGTTGAGCTGTTCCAACAACTGAAGGTCAGAGTCAGTTCCGAGGAGAAGAGCGGGGCCAGGGAAAAGGGGAAGAGAAGAGTCAGGATTGTGGTTCTGTCAGTTTGAGGACGCCGCTCGACTTCGAGGGCCTTACAGTCTGCTTACGCTGTTGAAACCGACTCGTAGCGCACATAGATTCCGGGCTACGGCTTAGTTGTCTGTACTGTATAGCAGGGTCTTTTGCCGAGAAGAAGCATTTCTCTGGTCTGGTTCCCGCGACACAAGCATTGCTTGAGGGGAGAATGGTCTGGCCGTCAACATTTTCATCTTTCCAGCATTTGAGTCTGTGTGTTTGGCGGCCTTGAACAGATTGCAGTACAAGATTCGACATGATAGTCTGGTGATAGATGGGTCTGTCGAAGGGCAATGAGGTTCAGGAGGTTGAGGAATAGTTTAAAGCGGCACGGCTTTGCCTTTACTGAGGCCGCCAAGGTGTGCAATATTGCTTACACATCCTGCACTGCGAACCTTTAGCATTCTCCCACTTCAAGTTCAGAGTTAACCCTAACCCTAACTCGATCAGTATTCCCATCAACGACAGCTTCATCATTTGAAGGTCGTCTCCGTCATCATGCCCGGGGCTCCAAATAAGCGCCAGAAGCGGGAAGAGTACAGAAAGGCCCACGCGAACTTGAAAGCTGGCGGCGACACCTCCGCTACTGGCGGCAAGATCGAGCTGCCGAAGAAAAAGTTCTACAGACAACGCGCCCATGCAAACCCCTTTTCAGACCATGTCTTGACCTAGTAAGTGCCACGGATCTGGCATGTGGTGACTCTGTGTTGTCTCGATTCTAATCTGTCTGGCCCCGTCTAGCCCTGCTAGTCCCGCAGACATGGACTGGTCGACACACTATCCTGCGTTTGTGAAGTCGAAATCCGAAGGAGAAGACGGCGGACCGAGTGTCATGGGCAAAGATATCGAGATTGCAGATATAGGCTGCGGGTTTGGCGGCCTCCTCATCGCACTGTCGCCCATCTATCCCGACTCTCTGATCCTCGGTAAGTCAATCTACAAGACCAACTGATCGTCCCCGGCGGGCTGACCATTACAAAGGAATGGAACTGCGGTTTCAAGTGACCGACTACGTGGTCAACAGAATTGCCGCGCTGCGGGCACAAAATCAGGACAAGGCTCAGTCTACCGTGGACGGACCGGGACCGTCTCTCTACCAGAACATTTCCGCTCTCCGCACCAACACCATGAAGTTCCTGCCCAATTATTTTCGACGCGGACAGCTGTCGAAGATCTTTCTATGCTTCCCTGACCCTCATTTCAAGCAGAGAAAGCACAAGGCCCGCATTGTGTCTGCCCAGCTCAACGCCGAATATGCGTACGTCCTGAGACCGGCTGGTCTGGTCTACACGATCACCGATGTTGAAGAACTGCATCATTGGATGGTCAGGCATTTCGACGGGGAGGAGGCTGGAGATGCCCAGGAACTGTGGGAACGGGTGACGCAGGAAGAACTCGACCGAGACCCCTGCGTCAAAGCCATGAGTCAAGAAACCGAGGAGTCCAAGAAGGTCACGAGGAATGGAGGGCAGAAGTACATCGCCGTCTTCAGGAGAAAGGAGAACCCTGAATGGCCGGGCTGACTACAGCGTCTCTACAACACTTCTTGGAGGCTGCCGGCCGCCTTCGACTGAGCACCAATCTTCAGCACCGTTGGCTGGTACCTCAAGGCTCCGACCCACCACTTATCGATTCTATCAGATCTCGGCGGCGGTTTCTTTCTTCTCTCCAAACAGGGTGTCGTCGCTCCTTTTTTCTGGATTGCTTTCATCCAGAGTCATGCCTACAACCTCGCCACTTTTCAAAGCATCAACATCAATCTGCGGTCCAGTATAGTTCTTTCGACCGTCGACAATCCATTGGATGACGGAAATGACGAGCACAATTCCAAACGCCGCCACGCAATAGTTCATGTTGCTACCTGTCACCGGGGTGAATGGCGGGAACATGAATAGAACAGTGGTCAGGATTGTGTAGGCGATTCCAATCTGGGATGGCATCAGCATTGTTCATTCTTGCTGGCGAAGCATACTTACCAGATTGCACGTCCACCCGAGTGCAGTCGGCAGAACGAAGGGTCGAGATGCGGGCAACATGTTGCGACCTCGAAGACAATGGATCGCCGGTGGGATGGCGTACGTAACACCCAAAGCCACCACGGAAGCTGAGACAATAGCATTGAAAGCGCTGGTGGAGCCTAGGAAAATGCAACCGAAGATGATGACGAGAATCAAGGTCAACCACAGGGCATTCAGTGGCACGTCAAGCTTGGGATGGACCTTGGCAAAGAAGCGGGAGGTGGGAAGACCACGGTCTCGGGCAAAGGCGTAGACCATGCGGCTGCTGGTGGTCATGATGCTGATTCCGGCGAACTGCATGCGAGGGTCAGCTTCTGCTACACAGTAGGTTTGGAGGGTGCAAATGCCAAAGGGCTGGAGCTTACGAGCAAGCAGACCAGGGGGAACATGAGCAAGCAGATGGAACCGGCCTTGTTACTGGTCGCATCATAAAAGATTTGCAACATGGGACCTGCGGCCGAACTGATGACGGTGTCGATATCTTTGGAGACGAAGAGAAGCACGCTCAGATAGACAAAGCCGGTCAGGACGCCGATCAGGACGCAAGCGATCATGATGCGCGGGCCATCGACCGTGGGATCATGAAGCTCCTCAATACAGTGCGATACCGCGTCAAAGCCAGTCAAGCTGTGGAGGACGATCTTGTCAGATTTGATGGTGGGATTGATTCAGGGTCAACTTACCCGAGACCTCCTTGCAACAGGCCCAGCAGCCAGGCCAGACCATCCGGCCAGCCGGTTTCGTTGATGAAGGTCCGGTAGACAAAGTCGCCAGACTGGTAGTCGGGCGAAGCGCAGGCCAGGACGGTAATGGAGATGACCAGCCAGCCGGTGATGGACCAGATCAGGGCGCCCTTGGTGACCCATGGCAGCAGCCGGGTCATGAAGGCGTTCACCAGGAAGGCCACGAGGTTGTATCCGATGTAAATGAGGAACTGGTGCCAGCGATGGGGTTCGTAGGAGGGCGTCATGAGGGAGATGACGCCGAGGATGAGCTGACTGCCCAAGAGACCAGCCGTGGCGGTCAGCGCGACCCAGCCGGCGGTGTTGATCCAGCCCGTGATCCAGGAGAGAATGGCGACCCAGCGCTTCCAGCTGATGACGGCGACCCAATGATACTGGCCTCCAGCAGTTGGATATGCCGAGAGGAACTCGGCCAGGGATGCTGCCAGGCACAGATTGCAGATGCCGGCGACGACGAGGCCCCAGATGACGGAGTCGGGACCGCCGGACGGCAGAGCCAACGACATGCTGGCGCCCAGGGCGGTCCATGAGTTCAGGATGGCAAAGGCTAGGCCGAGCATGGAGAACAGGGAGAAGTTGCGCTTCAACTCCTGCTTGACCCCCATGCCGGCCAGCATGGCTGCATCCTCCTGGACGCTGGTCCTGCGACGCGGCATGCGGGACGAACGACGCCGGGCCTGTCCTTGTTCTTGTGCCTCAGACATTGTTGTGAAAGCCGTGCGACGTCTGCAGCTGCAGTGGAGTAGGAAGAGAGCGGAGGCCGACAGACCAGCGAGCCGGCGAGGAGAGGACGATCTGGAGATGGAAGAGAAAATTGCAAGGAAGGCCGTGGTGGCAGCGGGCGAGTCGATGATGATGAATAACAGAAATCAACATGGCCATAAGCACCATAAGCTCGTAGTGATTGATACGTCAGTCCGTGCTCCGCTGTCAGGATGTGTCAGTGATGATGGTCAGGTCAGGGTCAGGGTCGTAGGGCGCCCTGTGGCTCCTGGAACTCTACGGCCGGTGAATGGCCGCACCATTGGATCGATCACCTTAGGACCCTCGCGACTCCAGAGCGGCGAAGAACCGAACCCACCATGATGGTCCAGGTCCAGGCTGACTCTCTCTGTACTCAAGAAAGAAACAGGAGACTGGGGATGCCGAGCGAACACCGCGACTGCCTCCAGGATCCAGGATCCATACAGTATCCAGTACACAGTACGGAGTAGACAGTATACATTGCCTACAGGACCTCTTCCATAGCTTCAGACCTGCTGGTCAGAATGAGAAAACCAGCAACTGAGGTACCCAGCCAGGACGGAGAGATTCCTCATTCATTCTGAATATCTCATCTCAACAGTTGCCTCTTTGTTCAATTTCCCTCCGGCCAGAGTGCAGTGTGCAGAGTGCAGTGGGGGCATCACGCCTTCGACGCCTGTACTCGTACCGCCTATAGGCACCGTAATAGTGATAGGTAAGGTACCTGGTACTAGGCAATCCGGGTCTGATGACCTAAAAAGAACATATAATAATAATAATCTCATGCCACTCCGGGGCTGTGGCGCAACAAGGTCACATCGGAGCTGGTTTTGTTGGACCTTGGACCTTGTTAGACCTTGGACTTGAAACCTGGGACCTCATTAGACCTTGGACTTGGACCTTCGACCTTGGGCGTTGGGCCTGGGAACCTTCTCGTCCACTTCCACCAGTCCGGCCACGTCCGTTGGCTCCTGAGGAACAAGGAAGGATCTTGGGACGCAGGACCCGCGCGCTCTTTCAGTACTAACTATTACTCCTACTTACTACCACCGTGACTACTGACTGGCTTAGGCCCAGGCTGGCAACTGTCAGGAGAGCCCCTAAGCGTCAGTGAGGTCCAGCCTCAGCCTCAGCCTCAGCCTCAGCCTCGTCAGATCCTGTCGAGGTCCCTATACCCCTCTACTACGTACGCGTCCATCCCATCCGGCTACTCGTTACACATCTCCGTACAATGCATGCATGCCATGTGTCCTACTAGGGCCACCTCACCTGGTTACGACAATACATGCTTTGTGTCCTAACCACCTCACCTCGTCTGGTTACTACAATGCACACTTTGTGTTCTAGCCACCTCACCTCGTCTGGTTACTATTCTTGCCTCCAAGTCACACCTCACCTCGTTACTATTATTGCCTCTACCCTCCAACTCACAAAGAGAAGAGCCGGACCAAAAAAAAGAAAGACCTTGACCCTGACCTTGCCAGCCGGCCACCTTTGTCTGTCCGTGACAATGGCTGTCTCTTTCTCTTGGTAGGTGCAACAAAGAATTCAGCATGGAGCATCTGAATCCGGCTGCCTTTGATGTTTGGGCATTGCGGTATTTCTATTTCTATTTCTATTTCTATTTCTATTTCTATTTCTATTTCTACAAAGTCAAGCAGCTCCTTCTTCCGCTAGACTTCTTCATCCTCTCAGACTTCACTTCACTCTGTAACGCCGACCCCGCCTCACGGAGCTGGAGCTGGAGTTCTTGACATTCGTGAACAGATCGGTCATCGGACCTTGGAGACCCCGTTTAGTTCGGAGCAAACATGTGCGAGTCACATACCATCCATCACATCTGTGGCCATGCCAAATTCAAGACCCTCGTCCAGTGCGCTGACATGATTGACAGACTGGTCGCCTCCCATCTGCTGGTCAGCTGTTCCCATCATCTTTGCGACGACATCGGCGACAACCCACACATCTTCCCCGACATATGTGACTCTTGTAAGCGGAGCGCCGTCATCGCCGACTGGATTGACCAGCAGCCGGGCGGCAAGTTCGAGGTGCTGCGGGCGTGGAGGAGACAGAATCGACCGCAATCGAACTCGAGCGAAGAGCCAGAAGCTGCCCATGTTGACCATGGCGCCGATATGCATGAAATGGAAATGGAGGCCGCCGAAACACTGTCGGAGGTTCCAGTTTCCGATTGCCTAGACATTTCCGCTTCAGTTTCGGTTTCCACCGCCGATTCAGCAAGCCCCAGCCCTCCGGCACCGTCGTCCGTTCAGAGTGCGTGGTGTAGTGCCCCTTCCGATCATGCGAAGACGGCGGAACCGAGGAATCTCAAGAAGCGTTTGGCGAGCTTGACCACTCGAGCCGACCGGCTAATCGCGAGGATCCGAGCCAAAGAGACTGAGACGGCGACGGTAGGAGGGACGTTGGACAACTGAAGGTGTGTTCTGGAGCCTGAGCCTGAGCCATGAGATGGGGGTTCGATTCCTCCATTGTAGGGATACCTATGTAGGTGCTGTACAGTGTACGGAGTGCTGTAGGGACTAATTCTAGGTGACTCCCCGTGGCATCTACAGCAAGCTTTCTCGCCCGGCACCAAGCTTTTTGGCTTGGCCGCACCCCGATCAAAATCAAGTTGGAGTTGGAGTGAGAGTTGGAGTTGGAGTGGGAGTGCCCGGGATGGAGCTGGAGCTTGCGGGATCGACCCGATGCCGTCATAGAAGTCACGTACCAAGGTACAGTACGTACCTCCTACAATCCAGGAACAAGAACTCGGTCGCGTGCTGAGCTCTCATCTTCCATTGTTATTGTTGACTTGTGCTCCCCGGGCACCTAGTCTCTACCTTTGCATCTAGCATCTTCGAGGTACCTGTCTCCAATTCCGGCTCCTGTCTAGTATCCGTGTCCGCTTGTCCTCCTCAAACCACTGGTCACCGACGTCACCGCCGCCGCTGTATGGCTAGTCGTCATGGTCGGAAAGCGAGCATTCAATAGCGGTCGCCGACCCGAAACCCCAAAAGACCCAGACGATCTCGAGTCGGGCCACAAGTATAGACGCTTCCAGGGCTTCAGAGATGCGGTCGAGTACGCCATGGACCGCCAAACCACGGCCAGCTTGAAGGCCGAGTTGCTCAAGGGCGTCAAGCAAGGGGCTTTCGAGAAGGCCAGGAAGAGTGACGAGGAGGTAAGGCAAACGGGTTGGAAAGGGCCCTTCGTTCGCTGGGAGACATGTGGGCTGAAACAAGCGTGCTCCAGCTGAAGGCCATCAAGAACAAGAAACTGCGCCACTTCTACCAGAGCCAGAATGCGACGCTGAACGCGTGGGCCGAGGTCGACACCATTGTGCTCGCCGTGGCGGACGAAGTGATGGAAAGCATGAATACCGACGCCGACCACGACGGCATCCGCGAACGCGAAGGCAGACTGCAACACGTCGAGGAGCACGTCGAAGAGATGCTGCCGTACAAGGTGCAGGAGGAGCGAAGAAAAGCCGCCAGGCGTGCCAGATGGGCCATCAACATCAATGTCATAGCCAACATCATCCTGCTCGTCGCAAAGGGAGTTGCGGCCCTGAAGTCTTCCTCGCTCTCCCTCATCGCCTCCCTGCTGGACTCGGCCCTCGACCTCCTGTGCACCGCCATTGTCTGGACCACGAATCGCCTGGTCTCGTGGAGACTCTCGGCACTGGCCAGGAAGTTCCCCGTCGGCCGACGGCGGTTCGAACCCGTGGGGATTCTGGTCTTCTCCATCATCATGGTCATCTCGTTCCTTCAGGTCCTGCAGGAATCCGTCGAGAAACTCCTTCCCAGCGGCAACCACGAAATCGCCACGCTCCCAGCCCTGGCCATTGCCTCCATGGCCGGCACCGTCGGCCTCAAAGGGCTCATCGGACTGGGCTGCATCAAGATCAAGACCACCCAAGTGCAGGCTCTGGCCCAGGACTGCAAAACCGACGTCTACTTCAACACCCTCTCGTTGCTATTCCCGCTCATCGGCAAACACGCCGGCGTCTGGTGGCTGGACCCCCTGGGCGCCGCCCTGCTTTCTCTGTACATCATCTACGACTGGGCCGACACCTGCGTCGAGAACGTCACGCGCCTGTGTGGCCTGGCCGTCGACGAGTCCCTGCACCAGAAACTCATCTATCTCGGTTTCCGTTTCAGCAACCTGGTGTCCGGCTTCAAATCGGTCATGGCCTACCATGCCGGCGACGGCGTCTGGGCCGAGTACGACATTTTGCTGGACGGCGCGACGCCTTTGCGCCGTACCCACGACATCGCCGAGACCTTGCAGTATTGTGCTGAAGCCTTGGACGAAGTCGACCGTGCTTTCGTCACCACCGATTGTAAGTGCCGTGCCATGTCGTGCCCTGCCGTGCCTTGTACAGGATGCAAGAATGAAACAACCTTTCCATTTGCGAATCGACCTTGCTGACCGACTCTGACCCGTTGCAGATTCCGTGCAAAACCCTGGCGGACACACGCGAGATGTGAGATAGCATCGCATATATGCCTAGCCATAGATGAACATGGCCGAGCTGCTGCTCGGAGCATGTAGCTGTCGACCGGTCGGTCGATGCAGGATACAAAAGGACAACGTCACCGTGACACTCCTTTATACTACTCTACAGCACCAAATTCGCGCCAAGGTCACACCGTTCGTCGCCATGACCTGACCTATCCATGCGGCGCCAATGAATCGAGATGAAATGTACAGTATAGTTGGACGCTCTATTTACTGTATTAGATTTGAGCGCGCCATCGCCATCCCACCCTGGTCCAAGTCCAGCATCGTAGCTAGACGCCAATCGAGTACGTAAGAGAAGAAGATATTACACCAAGTGGCCTGATACCGCCGTCGCACAGCCCGACGAACCGGTCAATCCTTGCCCTGTACAAAAGTTCCCAGGACCCGAGCACAGTTCTGTGCGGCCAACCAGCCGCTCGATCCTGTAATTCCTTCATCGAGCCGTCATTTAGCAGCGCGCTCTCAACCACATCGCCATACACCTGGAATCCCGTGCCGGTATAAAGCGTAGCAACTTGACCGGCAGGCAGCTCCTGTTGCCCGTGACCGATACCAAACAAGTCAGAAATCAAAGAGTGTAAACGAAACCAAATAGAGTCGTCAGGGTATCATGAAATCGTAAAGGCTCCGCGTGCAAATACTGTACATATACAAACCAAATGCCCATCAATTCGTGAAAGGCAATCACTTCGGTCGCCGCCACGATTCCAATTGAAGCAACAACTCTCAGCTGGAGACCGGCACGGACTTCTCTTTTTGGAGGAGATGCGTCCAGTGCAAGAAGTCAAATCTTTCCCGATCCTTGCCGGTATGCGATGCGTCTGGATTCGGACTCTTGTTTGGTTCCCTTGGTTCCAGAACCAGGGAACGCCGATACTGCATTTGGAAATTCTTTTCGCCGGCGGATCGCACTCGGATCAATTGGTCTTGCATCCAGGTCTGAAGCTCCGAGATCTCGGAGAGACGGTATGGAATCTGGAACCTTTGGAGCTCCGAGATGATCTTGGCCGTCTTGATGTGTTTGTCGAGGTTGATCACCGGTATCTCGCCAGCATCGATGACGAGAGGCCGTGTGGCTGGATTGGCGGAATCAATCATGGTGAGGTCGGTCAAGTAGACCCCAATGAACGGAAGGCAAGGGGGCAGGTGCGATGAAACACGCTGTCGAAGCACCGTATAGTTATGGGAAACGTCCACCACTTTGCAGAGCTCGTCGAACACCTGGGTCGTTTTGTGCGGAACAAGTTCCCATGTCCTTTTCATGCGTTTGAGGTTGGTCGAATTCAGGGCGCACACAATTGCCATGACCGTGTCGTAGTTGTGCAACTCCAAGCACTTATTCGCAATCTTGACCCAGTGCTTGATGATCGCAGCCCGCTTTTTGGGCTCTTCCAGTTGGAGCACGGAATCCGAGACCAGGTTGGAGACGTCGGTTGAAAGTGTCGACATGGCCCGTACGTTGACGGCCAGCGAGCTCGTCCGTTTCGTCCACTCTGTAGCCAGGAGCTCCTCTGGCAAGATCGAGCAGAAGATCTTGGAGGTCTTGAGTGTAATCTGACGAGCAAGCTCCAGGGGGTCAAAATCGAGGATGCTGATGGTTCCCCCGCCCATTTTCCAAGCCCTCAACCCGGTGAGCTGACTTTTTGATATGACTGGAGCTGGCAGGGGCGCATTTGGGTCGAAATACGCAGCCGACGACGTATTTGTCTTGCCAATGACCGACACGACTCTGGGCACTATAGGGCCGTGGGCAGAAGACACCTTGTCAGCCAGTTCGAGGATCCTGCTCCCTGCCATTGGAAGCACTGGCGTCAGCTGCTCTCGTGCAAAACCAACAATGACAGGCAAGGCTGTGTCGTCACAGTCGTGCCTCCAATGAGATTCCATCCAGCCTTTGAGCACATTGTACACACGTAGCCGGACGGGCTGGGTTATCTGTGGGTATGCTCCGACATATTCGAATCGATACACCAATGCCCGAGCGAACTCTTCTGGCTTTGCAAACAGGCGGAATGTCAGATAAATCGTGCTGGTGAAAGACATATCGGGTGCAGCATCATGCGTCGTCATCCGTTCCACCAGCGCATTCAAAGTCCCGCCGACGACCGAGCCCTCGCGGTTGAAAACAAGCTCCTGGGCGAAAGTGTTCACCAATATCTCCGCTTCAGCGTCTTCGTCGTAACCGCCACTGCCGAGGGTCCCGTCGAGGGGTGAGTTTCCCACGAATGGGTCGGTCCGAGAGTCAATTCTCTCTCCGTAGACTGAAGCGACCCGCGTGGAGGAGGTGGATAGATTGCTCGGATATGATCGTCTGTGAAGTGGACCAAAGCTGCCGTCACTGCTGGTACTTTCACCTTGTGCTCTCGGGGACCGCCTAAATGCTCTCTTATCAGCCGGTGACCGACTGAACCGGGAAGACATCGGAGCATTTTCTTGGTTCGAGGACGATGGAGACGGCAAAGGAGGGGACCGCATAATGTCGGTCATCGTGTTGTCCTTTGGCGTAGGTGGGATGCTGCCGTAACCAGTGGAGGATAATCCCGTAGTGTCAAGGGAAATTGATATGCTAGGACGTCCCTTGATCGTCTCAGAGATATCCTTGACAGATGCTTTGGACAATGAGGCTCGAGGGCCGACAAGCGGTCCGATATCATGGTGAGGTGGCTCTGGCGTATTGGTCCCATTCGAACCCCGTCCTAGTAGTCGCCCCAAATCCTCGATTTCGAAATCGCCAATTTCCTCAAGCGTGGCCTTAGTCCTGGCAACGCAGCGACCTGCAGCACTCACACAGGCGGTGGCCGCCTGCAAAAGATTGTGGGCCTCTTGTGGTAAGTAAACCAAATCTCCATCCACCGAATGGACGGGTTTGAAAACCTCTCGAGCAGCATGCACTAGCTCAGTGATTGCGTAGTACATGGCGTCTTTCGCCTGGATCAAGGGGCGCGAGGTGCTGTAGTCTCGCTCAATTACGGTCTCGACAATCGCAAACAGCTGACGACAGGAACGCACGGCATTTTGCGTAGTCAGCAACAGCTCGGAGGATGACCGAGACTGCATGTGAGAACCCAGGAACGAGGCAAGAACGGTCAAGAAATCATCGTAAGACCGGTGCAGGAACTCGGAAATGAGCTTGGAGTTCTTCTCGTTTGCCCCACGAGTATAAGACATTCGATGGGTTGTCGAAGAGGGCCGGCGCACCGAAGTTGGCTTGTCGGTTGAGTGGCGGCTGTTTCGCTTCGACCAAGTCGTGGTATCGGCCACTTTGGCCTCAACTGATATCGAGCCTCTTTGTTGGACCATCCGGCGTGTGTCATCAGCCGCCGGTGAAGACGAGGCCGTTGCTAGTCTGGGTGGCCCATCAGCATCCTGATGTCTCGCCGGGCCAAATGACAGGGCAGCGGTCTGCTCGCTCCAAACATCAAAGAAAAGGACCGCCCGGGTTACGATTCGGAAGGCTTTTAGGAGCATGTCATCTAGTCTGATGTCGAGATCCTTGTAGGCAAATTGAGCCATCACCATTTGCTGCAGTAGCCTGGCAGTGCGGACAAGCAAGGCAAGGTCGGATAAGAGACTCTTGCGAGTCCTCCGAATATCGTCGTGTTCCCTGACCAAGGCGGAGTCTCGAGTGAGACAGCCACACCTCTCGAGCAAGGCGCGCACTCCGGCGACGAGACCTCTCATGTAGTCCTGGTTGCGGAAGAGATTCAGATTGGAGTCGCTGCCACACCTGACCAAGTCCCAAAAGTCGGTCAATGCCCTGAGAAGCGGTCGCATGGCGGTGTAGTCATAAGCCTCGCAATAGTTGGTAGGCAGCCAGCCGCGGGCGCCAGTCTCCAAGAGCGTCCCGTCGGCCCAGCCATTGACATGAACAGAGTGTACCAGAATTATGTCGCCGGCATCGAGAGGCAGGGTGACTGTGGTCGACGCGTGGGAAGCGGCGGGCTGGAACGGGTAGAGTGCCCGCAGGTAGTTGTGGAATCGTGCAGGAGGGCCCGACGCGTCGTTGAGCGCGTCTGGCTCTAGCAAGGCTGTCGGGCTTGAACTGTCTGCCGCAGCAGTAGGGTCGTTAAGGCCGGCCATTGCGCCGCCCTCGTCGCCGTCTTTGCATATTCGGAGAGGGGCTACATGAATGCTCGAGGACTGCGAGTTGCGCATGGTGCTGGAGACGCTCGTCGTTCATGTCGGTCAGTATTCAGTATAGTCCCATGTCGGCATGCGGTGTACCCATTCTCTTGACAGCGTGGCGATCTCCAAAGTTCGGACTGGGAGTGGTGTGTCAAGGAAGGGAATCGGGTAGGCGAGGAGACCGCAGGGCGAGATCTTGGAGGGTGTGTAAAGGTGAGCCCGATCAGGACAATTGAGGAGCAGGAAGGGTTGAGAAGCCCCAGAGGCGCCGCTGCACCATATGTGTCCAACACAACAGGGGGAGAAACTTGAGCGCAGCAGCTGAGGCGAGGGGCGTCCGCTGTCCGCGGGTTTGGCAGACGCAAGGGCCAAAAGGAGGTGGCAGCTCGGCTCGCGTCACAACACAACACAACCGAATCGAGGAGGCAAGACAGATTGGTACAGAGAAGGCACAGCCGTCGACAGTATGAATGATGGAAACGAGTCGCGTCGTAGACGGCGGCGAGGGATCAGCGGAGGGTCGAGTCGAGCATTGTGATATACGGAGAACGGAGTACGGAGTTCAGAGTAGGGGAGGGAACATGGGTTGATGGGTTGATACTACTAAATTACTAGTGTGTGGTCCGGAGTACGGAATATGTATAGCACGGCCACGGATCTAATCTGCCGTGAGCGAGAAGGAGCAACCGGTGCAGGGAACCTGAGGAACTTAAGGGACCTAAGGAACTGGTAGGCACCTCGTAGGGGCTTAGGGGCTTATGGGCTGAGGCTTCCCCAAAGGCCTGGCCTAGAACGAGCACTTGGAGTTCCTAAGGTACTCCGTACAGAGTATCTGGTCCTCCGTAATTGTATAATACTGTACGTACGAAGATGGGCCGTGTTACCACCTGCAAGTACCGGGGAGCTGGTCCTTTCGTAGTTCCTGTATCATTATCTAGCAGTAGGTATGTATCCGTACCTTAACTGAGAAGGTTTACCCAAGTCATGTCACCAGAGTCCCCTTGATTAAGGTACGAGAATGAGAATGAGAAAGAGACTGAGAATCTGAGTACCAATCCCATTCGCTTTGGTTGTCGTTCTACAGCTAGGGGGCTAACCTGCTGCCAACGACGACCATATTATTGAAGCTCCCAAAGAAAATTTCGTTACACATTCATCAGACAGAAAGACTGTCTACAGCAGCGAGCCGAGCACGCCGACCTGCTTCCTGCGAGCACCTAAGCCCGTTTCCCAGCAGCGGTGTGGTGTGGTGCCGTCTAGGAGCCGACCCGTTGTGCTCGCTTCCAGACATAATTCTCGTTGACCGTCGTGGGCTCGAGCTGAAACCAAAAACTAGACTTGCTTAGGCCCGACGCCCAACAGCCGCGTATTGTGTTTGAAATTCTCCCAGCGACTCACGCACAATCGCAAACGGCTCCACGGTAGCACCTCTCCCAATTGACACGCCAGGATAGATGACAGCGCCCTTCCCAATAATCACTTCCGATGCAATCGAGACTTGTTGCGCTATCCAAGGCGCTCCAGTTCCTTTGCGGTCGACCAGATCCTTGCCCACGCTTTGCGTGAAGATGGTGACGCCGGAGCCGATGAAGGTCCGAGGCCCAATATCGACCTTTCCACAATCGTCAATCTCACAATTTTCGCCGATGAAGACGTCCTCCATGATCTTGATATTGTAACCATAGGTGCACTTGAACGGCGCTTCGATCCTAGACCCGTGGCCAAGCGTGCCTTTCTCGAGAGGGAAAGAGAAAAACTTGTGGGTATTGTCTCTGCTCGGATCGAACACTTTCATCAACTTGCTGTGAATTTCCTCCGGGCTGGCTGCATTCTCTAGCGCGCAGGCAGAGTTGTATCGTGCCAGAGCCGTCTTGCACCGTTGACGTTCATTCATCAGAGTCTGGTCGTGATGGTTGTAGCTCGTACATCTCAGCATCTTGGAACGTTCCACATCCTCCTTGGTGAAGGTCCTGGCCCCAGACTTGGGATTCTCGAAACCTGTGGACGGCATACGCACGTGTCCGCGGCCGGAGGCATCATGATGTTCTACAGGCGCGTTGGCATAGGCCGGTCGATATTCAGGCGGTTGGTGAGGAGGCCAATGGGTAGACTGCTGCTGGGCTCCTGCAGGAGGAGCAGGCAGGGTGGGTGGGCCTGGTTGCAGAACTGCATGCCGAGGGGATATATGTGACGACGGTTGAGGAAGAGGAGGCGCCGGATGTTGAGGATGGATCGCGCCCTGGGCAGGTGGTCGTGGCATGTCTCTGTTTTGCGCACTCAAAGATGGTTCGGATCGACCAAGCTCCGAGAGAGGAGGGAGATGCTCTGGAGTATAAGATAGTTGGGCTTGTTGTTGTGTCCATTGTTGTGGCTGTCCAGGATAGGATAGCTGACCTCGCGGCTCGTTACCAGAAGGACTGGTCGCATAATGTTGTTGGCGCCGGCCATCGAGGTCTTCAACTGGCCCTGACCGCGCGTGGCCGGTCCCATAAGGCGCGGCGGGAAGGCTCGCGCCCGAAGGCTCCGAGTTCGTGCCAGGATGAGGAGTTGGGGCCTCCGACACGTCACTTTGCGCATCTTTCGACTGTAGAGGCATGACGGGCCTGGCCGGGCCACCGTTGGCCGGCCAGATATGGCGTCTGTTCGTTCGCGTGTAGCCTTTACAATCGAAGCCTCCTCGGATGCAGTTAGCGCCTGTCGGGCCGGTTGACGGTCAGCATGTACAGGATTACAGTTTGGCGAGCAGGATAGGCAACAGGAACACTTACAGGTCGGGTGCTGCTCATCGCATTTTTTCTTCCTTGCTCGGCATGTCAAGCAGCCGGTCTTTGTCCGGTTGCTGAAGTTGCGTTTCCGTTTGGGACCACCAGCCGTGGACACATCCCCATTTGAACTCGGCGATGGATCCCACGATCTTGGTTGGGCATCTTCGTGCCCGGCGGTTTCCCGTTGCAAGGCTTCTGCCAACTGAGAGTCGGACGTACTCGGTCGGACACCGTTTGAAGAACTCGATGCTTGACCCGGCCTGTCAGTCGGCCACGGATGACCATCTTGGTTGACTGGACTAGGGTTCGGGTAGTAGGCCCCTCCATTTTGATCAACACTGCCTAGAACATGGAGTGCTCGATTGGCCATATGGTGAGGCTCTGGTCGCTGCGAAGGAGTGTATTCGTACGGTTGATGTTCACTATATTTTTCCGGCTCAACCGATTCAGACCGCTTCCGCTTGTGGCTGGACAATTCTGTGCTCTGTGTTTGAGGGTATACGCTACTCGGAGTCTGGGACGAGAGTTCACTGCCCCTGTTGTCTTGCGGAGACGACAGTCCGCTGGAGGCGTCACTGTCTGTCGGCATGGTCAGTAATATGCTCTTCAATGCAAGTATGAGACCGACCATTGCTGGAGGCGTGATTGACTGCCACAAACCCGCGAGGGCCGGCCGCCTCTGGGCTCGAAGCCACGTCGTTCTCAGTAGCGTTGCGGCTGGGCGGAGGCATGGCTGCTGCGAGCTTGGAGGCGAGTCCTTTATAATTTGGGCTTTGTGGGCGGGAGCGAGAGATATAAGTGCCAACACAGAGACCTCTTCGGCCTGACAACTCCTGAATTGCAAGAATTGGACAAGGATCAGCCAGGCATAGGAGAGTGAGACGACGCGGGCGCTTCCACTGGCTACCCCCTCGTCCAGAACGGTGCAGATGACGTCTTCAGGGCTCAAGCGCGCTCGGAGATATCTGTCTGGTGACTCTGGAACAATGCAAGAGATCAACACCCACGCGAGGAGCGAGTATGATACCGGGCGCTTATTGCCTGTCACAGCCGGGGGAGATGGAAGCGCTGGCGGACGCCGGGAACACCTGACCTGCCTGGAGGACACAATCGGCGGGCCCTATTTCAGGTAGAGAAGAACCTCAGTGAGCGATGGGTTGAATAGCACCAGCGATAGTGACTTAAGCTGGTGGTGAAAGGGCCTCTTCTCATATGGTATGCACTGGCATGGAAAGTTAGCGGGAGCCGCGAGAAGCGCAGGCGGAGCCGGATGGAGGATGGACTGTGCCGCAGTTGGACGAATGGGTGCTGTGGGAAGGCGCAGACGAAGCGGCCCGAAGTGCTTCTTTGTATGCAGTTGGATCCAGGCGATGCAGAGACGCGAGAAGGTCTCCCAGGTAAGGCAATGGGGGATTTACAGACTTGGGACGAGGGAGGTAGTAGGTTGAGCAAGACTGGGAGGAGGAGTGAGGTCGAGGGAGAGAGCAGAGGGCGAGCGAGGAGGGGACTGGGGACTGGGGACTGCGCTTTCTGCAGTCGCAGTCCCAGTCGCAGCCGCAGCACAGCGCGTTGCAGGGCCAGTAACAGAGTGGCCGGCAGGGCCTGGGTCGTGATCATGGTCCGACCCTGGTGCTGCTAGGCCAGTAGGCAAGGATCAGCCTGCTGATGAACCGCTAGAAGGAGGAAAAATTGAGGCGCCACTGTAGGAAAGCTCCAAGGGGACGCGTCCCGGCGCTTCAGGGAGGCGCTTGCCGTCTGCCGCAACCCCCTTCGGCCGGTGCTGCAACAGTGCGGCTGCGCTGACTGGCCGCGAGTACTCCGCCATTCTTTGACGGAGGCCAAGCAGGACCGCGGTGGCGGTTAGTCTCCCGTGCAGAGGCAGAGTCCAGCAGCGGCTTGATGTGTAGCATGCTCTACGGAGTACGGATACGGGTGCTGGTGTGTCCCTAGATGGACCGACCAGAGGGATATTCAGAGCATCCCGTGTTGTTGTGGTATCTTCTGCTTGCTACAACCATCACCACCCAACCCCCCTTCCCTCTTCCCTCTTCCCTCTTCCTCCCGGGGTGGCTCCTTTAGTGCTCGAGTGACACAGCACGCCCAGCGCCCTCCTATGGTGTGCACATCGCCAATTCTGCAAGCCATCACCCGATCCCCCCTTGGGCCGCCAGTCTCTTTCTGAGTCTCACCCGCCCCGGCCACAGGTGTTGCGTTCAGTGTCACCCAGTCCGTCGAGTGCTTTGCTGTCGGACAACTGCATGTTCCAGAGAGCGCAAGGGTGGCGTTAGACTTCCCGCCCGAATCAGCCTGGAGCAGAGTCGTTGATTCATGTGATGGAGGACGAGCCAACCCAATGATTGGGCAATGGTGGAAGGATTCGTTTGAGCACCGTGGTTGCCTCGTTCTAGGGCCGTATGAGCATCCAGGATCACTCGAATGCAGCTGTCACTCGGCGGCGGAAGGCATCTCTGGCCCGCTTTTGGTCGTATTCCCAGCAGTCTGTGACGGTCTGGTCAATGCGATGGCTGAAGGCTCCCCTGTAGGGCCCTGGTCATGGGCACAACTCATGCTGCAGCTGCTGCGCGGCCCCCTCTGCCGCCGTCCGCCATTGGCCTCTAGGGTTGTGACGACGGATCATGCGCGCACATATCACGTCGCTTGTCTCTTCAGCACCTGGCGGCACGGGCCCGAGGAGAACGCACCCAGTCACGTGAACACGCGGCAAGTGAAACCGCGCTAGGCACTTTGCCGACCTTACCGACCTTACCGACCCGGCCCAACCGCGGAGGGGCGGCTTAGGAGGCCATGATATTTTTGGGCGCGCCAGCGATCGATGGGGCGTAGCACCGTGGCACGGCCGAACCAAACCACCACTACCACCACCACCCGACGGGACCATGGAAGACTGAGGTTATATAAATCTGTACTAGTATCTTGTGCACTGTATCTTTCTCCATCCCATGCATCCAGCGATTTCATCCAATCAATGCACCAACTTAACTCTCGCCCGTATGCGTCTAATCCAAGAACGGCCCCAAAGCTCATCCACCCGCCGTCCAAGTCTTCCAGCCGGCTCCAAACCCAACCTCGTCACCACACCAGGGCTCCATTCCCCCAAGACCCGACCCAGGATCGTCGTCAAGACCACCCAGAGCCCCGAGGACAGTGACAGTGGGCCGTCCGTGCGCGCATTGAAAGGGAAATGCACAACGCGCCAGCCGGTGGACGAGTTGGCCGCATTCGGCCAAATCTAAATCGTCGTTGAACATGATTGCCGTACGACACGATCGAGACTTTAGCATCTCGAGCACACCCGTTGGACACCCGGCAATCTCCGCCACCCATTGGCAGCCACCGTGGGCTGCTTCATTTCTCACATCTCTCCAGAGCGAGCGAGAACTTGAGGCTTGTTTCGACCATACCTCATCCCGCAGAAGGTCGACTAGGACGTGTGGCTCAGCCTGGCAACGTGCCGCGACTAGCGTAGGTAATGTGGTGACACTGATCATGCAACTCGGACCCTTGTTGAGCTTCGCTGCTGGCTGTATAGACCGGTGGTTCCGGACCACTACGTAGGTGAAACACCACCTCTCAAAGTACTCCCGTCGTTCCTCAAACAGCTTTGCCTCATCATCACCAACCTCGAAGACCACTGGTTTATCGAGGTTGCAACGTTTGCGGTGACAAAGTTCCCGGTATAGGTCCTCGAGTCTGATGCGCTCATCGGCCGCGTGCTGATCAACAAGCACAACGAGCTCCTTTCCGTGTGACGTATTCGATCTGTCCCCTGTTGCGGGCAGGATGGCAAGGACGAACTTTCGGTCCACCTGCCGGATGATGGTGGAGCAGGCAAGGGAATCTTTAGTGACTTGTCCGTTGCTGGCATTGGAAAGCACACATTCCTCAGACTCCCCATGCTTGCCATTTGCCGTCATTGATTGCTGTGTCCACGCGAAAGCTCGGATCGGTGGCTCTGTCCGTCGAAAAGACCGCGTCGTGCTATACTTGGACAGCTGAGGTGGGAGCTGAACAGCTGCGCTGACACCGCCTCCCGCTTGTGCAGGTTTCGACCGACCTCCTACGTGGCCACTATGATCAGAGCACGTATCACTCGGAGAAGGCTTGTCAGGCGGACCGATTTTACCGCTCCTGGAGGGCATGACTGCTCCCGTACGTGGATGGAGGGGAACAATCCGACCATTACGCGGGTTTGTCCAAAGCCGGGCACTGGCTTCGTTAGGATTTTCAGTTCCTGTGCAATCGAGTTTCTCAAGATCTGCTGGATCTTCTCCAACACCATCGACAGACAGTTGGACCTCTCCATTGGAGCTTGTTGGGGTTTGTGGTTTGGTGGTGCCCTTGAACATATCAGGCCCACAATTCAGGGGTTTGTCACTCGAGTGTCGTCCGCTCTTCACACGATGCCAATTATTCAATTGATGGGCCTGGCTAGCTATTTGGGTTCGCTGAGATGCTGACCGCAGTAAAGGCTCTTGCCCGCGGAACCGGCCCGTACGAACCGCGGAAGTTTGACTCGTTCCTGATCTGAACCTTGTTGAATAACGCTCGAATCCGTGTGACTCCAAGAAGGAAGACACCAGCACTTCCAAAGCCGTGACTAGACGGCTAATAGTAGGGCAAATCTCTGCCGGTGCCTCGTCCAAATTCATCAATGCCTGGAGATTCTCGGACATCACGTCAACTCGAATGTAGAACATCGGCCATCTGTCTATGCCTTTCCCATTGCCAATAACTTCTCGAGTTCGATTAATGTCACTGCTGGGGCCAGGCACGTGGCTTCGGAAATTTCCATCTCGGACGACAGCGCCAAAACTCGAGTGTTGAAAGGTCTGATTGATCGCATCGAAGAGGGCCATATTTCCCGGAGCATTAGTCACTGGAAATTGGCCGACAGAAATATACTGGATGTCTCTGCATGGACAAGGCTCAAGCGAGAAGACCGCATGGATGAAGAACTCGCTGGACCGGATTGATGCTGGCCTCCATGATGTAGAGTCAGGACTGGACAGAAGCCAGGCCTGGAAGAGTGTTGAAACAGTGGCATCGACCGTGACCTGGCCATTTTTCGCCTCCCTGGGCTTGACATGGGTATATTGCCGTCTACCATTCGTGAGGCAGAGACGCAAGTCAAAGGATCCTGATTGCGCAAGCACATAGCCGACGAGTCTTCTTTTAATTTGGTCAAAGCCTTTGCCTATTTCCACCGGAGAGGAATACCGCTGAAGCGTATGCCGCGATCGGACGGGGACGTCGCCAAAAAGATTATGGACAACGACGGTTGTACCGTGTTCGACGATTTCAGCATCTTCCCTTCCCAATTCCAGCTGCCGTGAAATGACTTCGCCACGATGAAGAATCAGCCTGTTCGCACGCAACTCGGACTGCTGTCGAGATGTGATAGAGAGGAGCGAGAGATAAGACAGGCTCGACAAAAAGCGACCATATCGACCGAAGGTAGGGTGAGGAGGGTTGAGCTTCGATGTACCTAGGCGACCAGGTTAGTGGTGCACTGCCAGGAGAGGTTGGGGTCTCCATACAATGTGGCCTCGCCAACCGACCGGCTTCAGTAAACTCGGCTCCTCCAATGCCGATTCCGTCGTCGCGCACCGAGAAGTAACCCTTTGCAAAGTCCACCTCAACAGCAATGGAGCGTGCACTCGCATCTAGCGCGTTTTCGACCAGGCCTTTGATCACATCTTCATGAGACGTGATCTGCTGAGACGATGCAATCCTCAGACGCACATTTTCCGGAAGCAGGGCAATGGAGGGAGAGTATTCGGCCATGCTGGCATGGAGGAGATCTGGGGTGTTGCGGTTTGGTGGCCGGCATCACGGAGGCCGCCAGGGCGGTGGTCGAGGAGGAAGGCGGGGTGTAAGCAGCATAGCTTTCATAGTGCTTGCATCTTGGGTTCGTTACTATAGTAAGCAAAAGCAACTAACGACATTTATAGATTGTTCAAGGTGAAGTCACAATCTAGAGAGCTGCGTCGAAGAAAAGATTCCAGCGAGACGAGACGCCGAAGTGTAATAGAAGAACTACGGCTCAGGCTACTCGTTCACCCCGAGTAGTAGTGCCGCTTTAATGTGTCAACCTCCGTTTCTACTGGTATTACACCACTGATGGCACTAGGTTTATAAGTTGCGCGACCATTTCAACGCAGGGTTGAATTCATATTGCTATTGCTACATACCCACCTATAGTCAGGCGCCATCGTCCAAGGGCATCATGAAGCAGACCTTGATACCAAGACGGGTGTGGCGTGTTTTCAATGGTCTTAACACTGGCACTTCGGAACTGGCCTGATAGCCATTAATTCGGAATTTATATGCATTTGTCCAATCCCCATCTTTTACCTGCACTGTTGCCTAGTTTTCCATGGGCTAATGCATTCACTAGGCGCGAAGAGGGCACTTAGCGGCGTCTGACTGATGCTCTTGTTGTAGTATTAGTATCTGCCTTCACTCCCTCCTCCCTCGACCCTCGACCTAGACAGAGCCTACTCAGCATCTCTACCGCTCCGGACTATACCTTCGATATTGATCCAACTTTCCAAGGATACACCGATACTGTTCTTGAAAATGCCAATCGATCATACTTCCCTCCCCGTTCCCTTTAGCAAAGTCGATGATGAAGTCAACTTCATCCTTGCTGCATTCAAACATGTGGGTGTCAAAGAATTCATAAGATACCCCGGCGTCGTCGGCCTAGGCGACGATACTGCCTATTTGTGGATAAGTGGTATCGACGAGGCACGCCAACCCATCCCCGACGATGTCAAGTTGTTGAGAACACACCTTGCGCTCGCCGTCAAAGGTAAAAAGACCCCGAAGTTGTGTTCAGCTGGATCTTCACTTTTGAGAACCTTGTTCCCCCAGGTCACGTCCGCTGACGAATACCCGCAGACCGAGCACAAGTCGACGCATTCCATGTCGCTGCCCTAAATGCAGGCGGGAAGGATAATGGTCCACCAGGCCTCAGGCCCCAGTACCATTCAAATTACTACGGTGCATTCGTCATCAGTCCGGCAGGGCATAATATCGAGGCCGTGGTAAATTGTCCAGGAAAGAGTGCGCAGTGATGTTGATACTTGAAAAGATCATCCCGTCCATAGCCGTAGGTGGCCGGCGCCCGGTGAGTGTTTGAACGGGGATACTGTCGGTGCGGGCAGATCAGGGAGACGACCAAGCGTGTTCAGGGCTGGGGAAACTGAAATTGGCGATGCCAACGGCCATGGATATGCAGGATGATGCAAACCACTGCGAGATGGGCCTATAGGGATGATAGTTCGAATAGGACGTCGGAAGGCGAGGAGCGCGAGCTGAAGTCCTTGGCCAGTTGTCCTTAAAGCGGCCCGCCCACGACCGGGGTGAGCGTCCACGTGATACGTAAACTCCTTGTACTGCCAAGCAGTTACTGCAGCCTACAACTTGTACATGTATACAGTACTCCGTACATCCTTACATGTACATACTACCTATGGTGACCTCCTCTATATCGGTTTGAGCTCGACTTCACGCCCATTTCTTATCGCAGCTAACTGAGACGCACAGCTTATAGCTGATGCCCCCTGGAGGATTGAATGCTGCGGACGACATGCAGCACGAGTTCCCAGCAGATGAAAGCTGTCGACAGACCTCTGCCATATTGAAGATCTATGCTGCCATATTTTGACATTGATGAGAAAACGCCATAGCCAGCCATGACGGTGACCAAATGGACGACACTGACTCGACAGTGCCTGCTCAGGCGTATGTCAGTGTCCGAGTTCGGCGATCTGGTACGCAGCTCCGGCGAGATTGATGGAAAAAAACTGTTCAGCGCATTGGTCGAGTGTCGCGCTTCGTTCTGTGTCGCCGGCGATCCTCTCATTTCGTTGTATCTCGACCATGTAGGAAGCTCAGGCCTCCTCAGTATATCCGATGCGCTTCTCGTTCTCATCAGCAAGTGGAACGCAGCCGGAACGCCTTGGTCTCAGACTCCGCCGGAATGCTACGGCCAGACTCTCCAGGATCTGACCATGCTTGTTGTCTCGCCGAAGTACAAGATGACCGCATCAGAAGCCCGCATCGCTTTGTTGATCTCCTCAAGATGGCTTTCATCGGTGGTTCGGGCCTTGCCCCACGAACTGGCCGATTCGTCAAGCACCGGCTACACTCATGTCATCGAGGCTCTTGGGTTTCTTGTTGCATCGATTGCGGCGACCGATGGCGGGCTTGAAGCTCTGTCGCCCGCCGACAGTCAAAAGGCAGACGCCCAGGCTGGCCCAGGCCCCGGCCCCGGCCCTGAACCGCGGGAATCCCTGAGGCATGCCTTCGAATCATGCTTGCCTTTATACTCCACGCTTTCTGCCCAGCTTATGGAGCGGTTAAACACCGTGCTCAAACACATCAGCCTCCTTGATAGTGGCAATCCCCAAGAAGGGACCATGTCTGCCCAATCGTCTGCCATGCAAGCTTTGCAGTTCCAGGTCTCCATCCCGGAGTCTCAGATGGTGGCTTCAAAAGCAGCCACCATCATGTATCTCGAATCATTGCTCTTGACAGGTGCGACGGTCGATGACTCCACCGCCGTCAACTTCATATGTTCTCGCCACCAGGTAAGCCGGAACACGAACTGGTTAAATTGCATCTCCTCGTACTGACCAGGTGTAGAATGACTATCACTCGGCGTTTACAGATCTTTTACGTGCGTCGTTTCACATCCTCAAAACCCAGGCTCTGCACCCGCCGCGCCGCCTCTGCTATCAACAATGCCAGCTCTTTGTGCAAAATAAACTACCCATACTGCTTTCGATGATATCGGCTTCCTCCTTCAACAGCTTCCACACCGAGCAAGCCATTACTGAGACATGGGCCCAAGTAGCGCCATTGCTCTCTGACCAAGTTTTGGCCATGACTGGATCCCGCTTTCTGCATACGTGTAGCCTGCACCATTTGATGACGGTGCAGGCGGCAACCCAGCTAATGGGAAGCGATGATCTGCCGAACAGCTTGAGCAGAGGGTTGTACGCAAAAGATGACCTGGTGAGCCAAGTTCGCACCAGCCACATGAAAGGCCCAAAACTGGTGGACGAGCTTGTGCGCGGTGACGGAAGTGCCCCGTTCATCAGCCAGAGTTTGGTCGAGGTATGGGCTCCTGCACCACCCCTCCTGATATCCCCCCTGACCGTTTGAAGATTATGCATAGCTATTGCCACAGCAAGGAGACGCAGTATCTCAAAGAACTTGCGAATATGATTCTGCGGAAGCCTGCTGCTATCAACTGCATTGCCTTGTTCATCCGCCCGGCTTATTGGCTTGGTCCCCTCTGTACCCTGTTGGATGACTGGCGCTGGGATGAAATCCACGGTGAGTGAAGCCTCCGTCAGCATGGGGTATGCATGAGCTAATTCAGTCCAGGGGAGGCTCAACCGGTCTATGACGAATTCGGGGCCGTCTTCCTTCTGGTCTTGGTCACCAAAACTCGGTTGGGACTGTCCAATTCGGATATTGGGGTCCGCAAGAAGGATGGATTCCTGGCGCAGTATCTTGATCAGGAGAATCCAGAGGAGAGCCTGGATGGTCTCTCTGAGGAGAAAAAAACCCATCTTGGGAACTGGATCAATGCCCTTTACCTCGCCGAAGGTCTCAGTGACGAACTTTTCACCAGTTGCTCACCTCACGACTTCTACCTGTTGATACCCGCCCTTCTCCAGCAATCGGTGGCAGCCCACCACCAAGGAAAGCTCACCCAGGAATCCCTGAAGGCTGGTTTGGACTGTGAGTCATCAGCCCTTTGTTTCCGGCCTCGATTGACACGTCGCAGATCTCCTCGAACCCTTTCTACTGCCTTCGCTGATTCCGGCATTGAACTGCATTGGCAGTCTACTCCGGGAAAATCCAACATCAGCTGGAATCGTGCTCGAAGCCTTGGTCAAGTCGCCCGAGAGCGCCGACTCTCAAGCGATTCACCAAACCATTCTGGCAACGTGCGCACCTCAGCTCGAGACCAATATTCGAGCCTTCCAGCCTGGCAATTTTGACTCGGTGCTCAAACTCTTAGAACAATGTCCTGAGTCCTCATTCTCTTCCGCTGAGCATCAAGAGGTGCAGCTGCAGGACGGCCAACTCTTGCACGGTTTGCAGTCCCATCTGGTCGCCCTGATCGCATCCCACGGCGTCCTCGATGTCGAGAAGCAGGCATCGAGCCCCAATGTACCTGCCATGGTACGCCGGGCGGTTGAGGTCCAAGGCGTGGAGGCCGCTTTACGGGCCCTGGTTGGTGTCTTACTGCAGCTGAGTGACAGCCCCGACTTTCTTTTCTCCCTGGATGCTGTTGCCACTCTTGTGACGATGACTGGCAATGAGCTTCGCGACATACTCCGTGTGCAGTACGGCACTCTCGGGACACTCTTGAAGAAGGGCGAGACGCTCTCGGCGGAAGCAGTGGTGCGCCTTCACCGGCTGGTGGAGGCCTACACCAACCTCCTGGCGGTGCACGACATGGGACTGGACTCATTTTCTTTTGCTCAACAGCTGACGAATATCGACACGACCAATCCCAATCTGGACGGAAATGCCACCGCTTCAAGAGGCATAGATCTGCAAACCGAAACAACGCAGACGGATGGTATCGACCAGGTGTTGGATGAGGTTGCTGCAATGAGCAACATGGACTCGAACGACGCTGATATGAATTTCGATGCGCTTTATGGTTTGCAAAGCGCTGACATGGATCTGAATGATCTAGACTTGGATATGTTCTAGATAGCTTGGGGTGGGACTGCCGCTGTTGGGAAAGGCCTGGATATAAGTCGGGCCAGTTGCCGGACCATCAATCAGCACTGGGGCATCATTGTTTATTGTACCATACCTGGAGCGCTGACAATGGACTTATTGACGCCTCAAAAGTGACAATGATTCCAGGCATATCACGTTCCTGACATTTGAGCAAACTCTGAATCCGGCCTACAAAGAGCTTGATGCTCCGCCACACGGACCCAGGATCACCTCAGGGAGAACTCTGCCCCGACGCGTTGCAAAGCGAGGACCATAGATTCCCGCTGGTCAGCTTCGAGACATTCGAGGGTGACCAGGTAAGTCAAAGGAGCATAGATCTGCAGGGTCGCAGGCACATTGATGCCGCGCTGGTGCTGGGATGTCCCGTCACTGACCACAGGAGTAGGCGTCGTACGCACATGGCCGTGGCCATCCACATCGCCAAAGGCGTACGCAAATGTTCCCAAGAAGTCTCGAACAGTGTTATGAACCATGGCAGTGTGCCACGATATCAAGTCGCTCACGGCCACTGCTATGTTCCACCTGGGATCCTTCACTGACGTTTCAGTGAGGGCTGCTAAGGCATCCAGGAGAGCTGCATGTAGACAGATATTGGCCACGAAGTAACGGTTCCAGTGATAAAAGCCGGCCCAGGAGTCGAACCAGTGCAGGCCGAAGGTGGAGTCCCATGTCCGTGTCCAGGGTGTTTGAGCATGTGGACGGTGGGAAGGGTCAATGACCACCTTACGGGGAAGCCAACTGACAATGTCGCACCATCCGCTTGCTTTGTCCTCGAGTCTGGCCGCAGCTCGTAGATACGAAGCCACCATTCGTACCTGATCAATGGAAGGATTTTGGGCGACCAACCGGAAATTCTTGATTCGGGCTCGAAGCTTGCAGACGGCATGGAAGTAAGCCTGCACCTTGGTTGCAGCAGGTGGAACAACACATACAGCGTTGGGTATCTGGGACTCCAGCATTAGGTATTCTTGTTTGGGCTCCTGGCTTGCAAACAGTGGCTTCCAATGCTAGCTAAATCAGCACTGCACTGCCCTTCAGGCGGCTTCGCAGGCTGAACATACCATGGAAGACAAGATGACCGCGAATAAATGGCGGCCCTCGGGGGTGAAGAACTGTCTTTCACCGCGGAGTCGAAGGAGCATCAGCGTGCCGTCAATGTGTGTTTGTTGTGTGGACACGCTTGCCGAGTTTGTTCGAATGGAACCAGGCAGGCTTGCGAGAAGCTGTTGGGAGGTTAAGATACAACTCAGGCTAACAGACCGCGGCTTCGACTTGAACCATACCTCTCTGAACCCTAGCAGCCACACCGAAACCAAGGTTTCATCCTTCAGGCACAATTCAGGGTCGGCCAACGCCGCTGTCACCCCCAAGACGGCTTCCGCGTATTCGGTGTCGATCATGGACTGCATGTTGACAGTTGGGGAGCGGTTGGCGAGGTTGATAATGCCGACGGACTTCATGGCACTGTACAGATACGATTCCGGGCCTGCCTTGGCCAGCATATTTGGGAGAAAGTTGAACGTGTCATTGCCGTACAAGGCACGTGAGTTGGTATCAAGTTGAGCGAGAGAATACCACAGGGCCTGTTCGATAACCTCGTCCGGGGTGCTGTAGATGAAGCTCGGTCTCGGAAGGGGTGGCGACGTGATCGAACGGCTGTGGGAAGGACCGCTCTCTTCATACTTCACGGCGGTAGAAGGCTGAAGAGCCCTCACAGATGCCCGGGGAATGGACGAGGGACTGGACATGAAGACTGTTGATCGGATAAGACCGTAATCGGGCTCGCGATATCCAGGGCAAGGCTTGTTGAGTCTCATGCAATTGCGGCATCCAGGACGACCTTCGTCACACTAGGGATACGTGTAATGTCTTGTCAGCATGAGAGACAATTGTATCACCCACGCAGTATGTGGCGGGGTTGCCGCCTACCTTGACTCTTCGCTTCCGACAAAGACCACAGCCGGTGCTAGGCCGACCAATGTTGCCCATTACTACTTGGCCAACCAGTATGCGCACTGTGTATGGAGTACGCGCAGAGCGTGAGGTTGGGGTGGGCGTGACAGTGGCACTGGCAGGGGCGTACGATGCGATGCGACGTGCATGTCCTGTCTCTGCCGGAGGAACTTCAGGCAGTCAAATACTGCCAGGGTCGGCTTCCGAGTAGCACGGGTCAGAGGTTAGATAGAGATTGTTGAGCCGCGGACTTGGGACTTGGGACTTGGGACTTGCTGACGCTCGGCTGTCAGAAGAACGGCTAGCATGGACGGATCGATGGAAATAGTATGCTGACTGGCACCCAGCATGACCTCCATCAAAGGAAAGGGCGCTGCAGCCTCGAAGGCCTTGCCCAACATTGGCCTTAGGCTTGCATGGTGGCGGCAGTGAGGCTGCGGAGGAGAGAGCTGGCGCTGGAGTTGGAGCTAGGCGTCGCTTCGAGACGCACGTCGGATGGCTAACTAGAGAGGTCTTAGGCTGATATCGACCCCTCCTGTCCCTTTCGAGAACAGCCAATATCAATGCGAGCCTGAGCCTGAGCCTGAGCCTGAGCCTTAGCCGTTGACATGCATGGATAAGAGTTCGCTTCGTCGATCGAAAGGCCCAATCCACCAAGCACCAGGCACCAGGCACCAGGCACCGACCGCGGAGAGGGAGACCACTGACTTTTAGTCGTCAATATGGGATCTTGGTCTCTCATCTGCTCTCCCATATTCGGGTTCGTCTTGCCACATTGCTGACAGTATCCGTATAGCCACGTCGTCCTGGATCTGTGTCCAGTCGCCGCCGACCAGCTGGCTCTCCGCCTTCCTGACTCACCGTCCGGGTGCGAACCTGTTTCACTCCCGTCCAGCGCGATTCCATACCCCTTGCGACAGATGCGAAGACTACAACTGCAACTCTCCGAGGCGATGCGATGGGAGAGTCTCCTCCGAGGACAGCCTCCATATCAAGGGCGCAGTGGTGGCGGTGGAAGGAAAAGAAGAGTACAGTGGGTGCCAAACAAGAAGAGACAAAATGACCCTGGAAGCCCTGTCGACTCACTTCAAGGAAAAGAAGCAACTCGATGGAAGTTGAAGTTCAAGTTGTGAAGAATGTCTATCTAGCTCCTCAGCCATCTCTCTTTTGGAGTGCTGCCCTAGTCAATTACAGTACAAGAATGCCGCAGCAAATTTTCAAGGGTCCATCTGGTAAAGACACACTCGTGATGAAGATGGAGGAATGTGTGTGCGCCACAGTCGCTCTAAACAAGCCCTAACGGAGCTCCAACTTGGTATGTTCTCTGATAACCTTGCCATACTTGTTCAACACCAGGGGAATGGGAATACAGGCAAGGCCGACAAAGCCCAGAAGGGAGTTGCCCCAGCCCAGACCCAGGGCGTCGTACATGGGCGGGCCGGCCAGCGGGAGCAGAGAGCCCAGCAGCGACCTGGTGGCAGTCAAGACGGCGATGGCCGAAGCGGCATAGGAGGGATAGCAGTCAATCAAGTAGGTCTGGATGGGCAAAAAGACACCCATCATGCCGAAGCTGAAGGGGATCATGCCGATGATGGGGACGATCCAGTGCACCTTCTTGTCGGCCGTCCAGCCGTACCAGAAGAAACTGATGGGGATGAAGATGGCGAAGAAGACCATGAGCGGCATTCTCATTTCCGGCTCGAATTTGCCGCCGTTGCGTTCCGTCAGTCTGACGACCGTTCGATCCGAGGTGAAGGCGATGGCCGCCAATCCGGCGAAGAAGCCGACGCCGATTCCCAAGTAGGCGAGCCCGGTGATCTGGGGGGAGAAGTGGTACTGACCCTCAAACACCGAGGTGATGGTGGTGAAGAGCAGATAGAGCAGGCCATAGACGATGGACATGTAGGCCGACAGAACCAAGACAATGGGCGACTTGAAGAGCAATTGGGCGGGCCGCATCAGTCCGTACAGGAGAGCATGGCGGGGGCTGAGTGGTCCCTTTTCTCGGTCGTACCAGCTGATCAGGTCAGTGCGGCCCAGCTCTTTCGTCAGCCGTTGCGTCTTCCAGCGCACGAGGACGCGCGCATAGGTTTCACGGTTGAGCAGCTCGATGGCCACAGTGACCAGGCCGGAGGCGATCAGCAGCACCCAAAACACCCAGCGCCATCCGGCCTGCTGAGCGATGAAGCCGCCACAGATGGGCCCTACCACCGGGCCGAAGAGAGGACCCAGACTCCAGATGGAGGTGGCCAGGCCACGCTCTTCCACGTCAAACAGGTCGGCAATGACACCTGCGCCCAGGGTGAGGCATCCCGAACCACCAATGCCGGCGAAAAACCGGAAGACGATCAACGCGCTGATGTTGGGGGCCAGCGCACAGCCGAGCTGCCACACGACGAAAACACAATTGGCGCCGCACAAGACGATGCGCCGGCCGTAGATCTCACTTAACGGGGCCAGGACCAAAGGACCAAACTACGACCGTCAGCCCTCCGCATGAGATTCGGTTGACCGGCACTTGCAGGCGGGGGAACGAGAAGGACTCACCACATAGCCGAGGAGGTAGACGCTGACGGCGAATGACAGCAACAGCTCCTCGTGGACGCCGAAATCCACGGCCATGAAGCCCACGGCCGGGGCGAACATGCTGGACGCCAACGGGGAGACGAAGGTGATGGCGGACACCAGCATCAACAAGGCCCATTTCCGGCTTCGCGGGAAGTTGAGCGGGTTTTCCGGGTCATCCTGCGATTCCCAGCCCACGATGCCATGGTCGAGGTCGGTCTGAGGGAACTGCGGGTGGTGATGATCAGTTGAGTGAGCCGTGGGCTGGGTGGCCACGCTACGCCGGCTGAACGCCCGCTCGAGCACGACGGGCTCTTCATCTTTGTCGTCGATCACGTCCTTGTTGAGATCGGTTGGCAGGGATCGCACATAGACCCGGTCCCCGTCCTCGTCTGCGTGCACGTGGCCATTCTTCTCGTTGCTGAGTTCGGAACTAGTCGTGGGCGCGGCCGTATCTCTCGACCCGGGCTGGGAGGCGGGGTTGTAATGTTGGTGTTGACCGTCCTGCTGCGTTTCCTGTTCCTGTTCCTGGCCGGCCTTCTCTGGCGGTGGCGGGTTGGCGGCCATGGCGAATGGAGGGCTCAAAGACCACGGCGTTACCCTCGGAGAATGCAAGATAAACGAATGTCTGCCGAAGATGCCATGAAGACTTGACACTGGCAGGGAAAGGGAAAATCTATGTTGGAAAAAGATGAAAAGGGACGCGAGGTCAACACGAGATGACGAGATCGGAAAAAATAGGCTCCGAGAGATGGGATAAAAGCTGCACTGGGAGATGTGCAGCCCTCAGGGGGTTATGCCCAGGCGAGACAGCTTGGGGGGGCCGTGGGGGGGGAGCCTTAGGCCCAGTAATGATGGGATTAGGGGGTGGGGGTGGGATTAAGCATGCATAACAGGTGGATTAATGCTGAACTAATGAATGAATAGCGCCTATGAGCCTGCATAAGACACGGGCACTTCTAGGTAAGAGTGGTACAGAGTCGAGCCCCTAAGCCCCTAGAGCCCCTCAGCCCCATCCTTACTGCGTGCCTTAGTCGGGTGATGCCGGCTCACGGCTCTGGCATGCGTATTTTCAGAATTGGATATCTAGCACCATCTAGGTCCCTACAGCTTTTATTATAATTCGTCTGATTAGGGATTCAATATGGGACGAGAGCCACAGATGGGATGATGACTACCTTACCTTACGTTCTGCTGAGATGATCACATGCGATTTCCTGACCGCCAGTTGCCAGTGGTCTTTCTCCCTACAGTCAGTCCCTTTTACATTCGGCGGCATCTTTCTAATCCGAGTCTTCCTAGACGGGGCTGAATGTGACCTAACATGGCTTTCACTCACATGTCACGGCGTTCCATGTGTAACGTGGCTACGCCGCTACGGAGTACCGTAGCAGAGATTAAACACAGAAGCAGGCTTTTGTGGGAATCTCAGTGGATACCAATCAATTAATGAAGATTCTATCCGTACACCGTGCTGTGCGGGAGGTTGTTTCCAGAGTGGTACTAATTAATGAGGGAGGCCGTTGGTTATGTAACAGCTACGGTCTCCACTGCTTGCCGCAAGGCTGATCTAGATCGAATTGACGATCTAAGTACGGATACCTAGGTACCGGACCATACAGGCCGTTGACTCTTGTGCCTGTCACGACAGACGCAGTGCCTACCTACCTAGGTAGGAATGGTTCATACTCCCAGGAACGAACAGTCACTTTGTTGCCCAAGGGGAAATGCATGAGCATGAGCTCTCCATCAGGACCATGGAGAACCACCCATCATTCCATGCCATCCTGTCGATATCGAGAGTGCTAGGACAAGGTCTTGGTCAACCATCCACTCCTGACGGCGTCGGGTAGGAGCCTATACTGAGTCGATGCTTCCCTCATTTCCCATTTGTATAGCTAATGCCGCGTCAAATGTCCTAAGAAGTGGTCTATCGTAAGCTCTGCTGGATATAGCGTTTCAAACACCACATCGGCATAGTCAGGGTAGTCAGAGTACAAAGCCCGAAAGAACTGAACAAACTCCCAATACTCTGGATACCACCCTCCATATTCCCAGTCAATGATGCCACCAATTCGACCCTTTTTCACTATGGCGAGCATCAACTGCTGGACTTTGATCGAGAGAGCCAATGTAGTTTCCCTCGAGCGAACGAAATTGGGTTACAATTTGACGTAATTATGCTGTATAGCGGTGCTTCTCCTCCTCTGAAAGTCCACCCCAGATGTTGTGTAAAGTATCTCCTTCGATCATCTCCATTTCGATGAACCCCGTTTTGTCACACATGCCCGATGAATAAACTAGAGGAACAGGGATATCGAGACCGGAATTTCGAATGAAAGAGAGAACTTGGGCTTCTTGAATATGCACGGCTTTGCCATAATTTATGATTTTGTCCTTGTAGCGGAAAACCCTACGGCCAAAGGAGTCAAGAAATATTGTGGAGGGATCGATCTGGGACTCTTGAAAGGCATGGTCGAGCAGTTCCTGAGTCCAGTGTGCGTCGACGGGAGGACTCCATGGCATTAGTTTCAACTCATGCCTGGACTGCGGGGGCAAGGACTGTGCAGTCGAAAGCGCTTGAGGAGAGGAACAGGACTGAAGGGTGAGTCTGAAGGTGAGCGAGGTGAGTGCGCAGGTGAGAGGAGGGATGAATAAAAGCGGCGCGGTCGAGGTGCCGCAGCAGGTTTAGGCCGCTATTATCCTAGGTGCTGTATCCGTACATAAACCCTCCCTACCAGGTCTCCATACTGCATATCTGTGCTGTACCTAGCCACTAACGAGCTGCTACCGACTTTGACCTTGCCTACTTTGATTACTTCCAGTACTCCGTATCCAGTATCCGTTTTGCTATGTGTATGGATTCACAACCGCGCCTGTCCGGGTACTAGGTCGACGGCGTACCGGGCCATACCCCTATCATGTGCACACAGTGTCAGTATCATAACTAGGTATCCCCCACCTCCTTCTGCCCGCTGACAGCCATCATATGGAGACGGAGAGCACTCACCAGGACGCCTGAAAGCCGGTGCCACCAGCTCCGTAGTTATGAACCACTAGCCTTCCGTCGATTCTCTCAGCCTCGATACGCGCACCGCCTTCCCTGCCCGCTGCGAGCGTCCTCAGTGTCAGTCAGCAGGAAACAACTTATCGTGGTTAAGTTGACCAAAACAGAAGACAATTGCAGGCCAGAGAGGTGAGCAGTTCACTCACGTCGAAGGCCAACGCCATGCTTGACCACTTTAAGATCCTCGGGCTTGCCCAGTTGCGGCACCAGCTTACAGCATCTCCTCTTGATGACATCCGCGAATGCGAGGTCCACGTCGCCGTCCCAGTTGTTCTTTTGCCGACAGCCACCCAGGATGACACCGCCACGTTCTCCACGAGGGAAGATGTGAGTGGCTTCGCCGCCTCGACCGGGTGCCTGGAAATACATCTTGCGAATGGGTTCTTCGGGCCCTTCGACGAGCAGAATCTGGCCCTATGGGGACGGAGCATTAGGACGAGCCCAGCATTGGAACTCCCACGCAAGACCGACGATATAGGAGGACTGCTAACTGACCCTGGCTGCGAACATCTTTTTGTCTTCCACCCCACCTAGCGTGAGAGCACCCAGGCCGGTACAATTGAACACCGCCGTCGCCTGGGGGTACCGTGTGAAGGCTTCCCTGATGTCCGTAAAGATGCGTCGATGTATCGGGATGCCCGCTTTGGCTGCCTCGGTCTGAAGCCTGCCCGTCGTCAGCCAGTCAGGCCAGCCAGCTTCAGGCAAAATCTCCGCATCGCAACTCCAGGTAGGGACTGTACCACGGTAGATATCTCTGCACATCGATGACAAAGCTTGCCATTTCGAACCCGAACACCGTCCCCGCGGGCAGGTCTTCACCCTCGATCTTGGTCAGGCCGCCGACGAGCTCTTCGAACCAGAGTTTCCCCGTGGCCGGGGTCAGTATTTCGACCTCGTCTATGGGGTTTTCGTAGTGGAACCGAATCTTCATGGGCATGATCCCCGCGTCTGGCCGCTCCTTTGTCAACTGCTGGAATTTGCGATACGTGATCGCCTCCCAGTCCTCTTGTGGCCCATTGTCCCGGGCAGCTGGAAACCAATTGGCCCCTCCCCAGGCTGAGGCGTATTCGGGAGCATTGTCTCCCGGCAGATACTTGGCCGCAATCACAATCTGCGCACTGGGGTAGCGTGACTTCAGCTCCAAGGCGGTCACGAGGCCTACTACACCAGCGCCAATGACTAGGAAAAAGGCTGCGAATGCACCGGATGCATTTGTCAGAATAGGTCGCCGTGAAGGCAGGCTTGGGCTGGATGTGACCTACGCATTAGGATTCGGTTTTCAGGTATGTGTCGGAACGATCTGGGTGAAGAGATCAGGTCAATACGGGGTGATAATGGGATCAGGCTAGCGGAGGGACACCAGCATCAGAATGATCAGGATGTGTATTGGCGCTCGACGAAAGCCTCGCGGCATTGCAGTCTCTTTCCCAATCTGTGGTTGGCTTGAGGCTTGAGCCGAAATTTCTCGGTAAGATTGTCACCAGGCCGACCCCCATCACGCAACCTCAATACTTCCAATCCACCCCTTACAAGGTGCCCAACACTTTGAAACACTGTGTTGAAGAGGATCGAACAATAATCATCATCAGCTTCTGGAATTGCTTGATTGATTCACTTTCCCAGCTGGAACTTTACAAACTACTCGTCGCAATTCTAGGGCGCTTCCACCAGTACCACACCCACATCCTTCTTTCCTATCACAGCTTCGAATCCCGGGAAGGTGTGTGGTCAGTCGTCCTGGGTCAACATCAGCAAGAACCCATCGTAATCTCCCGTGCATGACGACCAAGCTTACACGGCGGCTATGAGGTCGATTTCGACATCTGTCTTTGCAGGAAACGCGGTGACTTGTACGCAGGTTCGAGCCTTTGATCAAATTACAAGGGTCAGTCTTGGTTGGAACCGGGTTTCCAGAGAAAAAGAGAAGATGCTGTCTACCGGCTTCGGGTCGTATTTGAACACTTGCTCGTAGGCTGCGTTCATCTCTCTAAAATCATCCATCGACGTCAGGTAGACGTTGACCTTGACCACATTTCGGATACTCGATCCTGCAGCTTCCAAGACTGCCGCAAGATTCCGCAACGTCTGGGTCTGCCGCAATGTTCAGCAGTCGATTTTGCGTAGGAGAAGCTGGACGAGAGAGTGGCCGTAAACCAAGACGGTACCAGGGACTGTCGACTCACCGTACGATCCCCTGCATTTCCCAGAATGAGTTTGTTTGTGGCTGGATCGACTCCCGTGGCACCTGAACAGTATACCATCCCATTGCAGATGATGGCCTGAGACAACAGGCCTCGAGGGGCCGGAGCCTTGTTCGTCAATACTTTGGAGACTCCCATTGTGGACTGGTCCTTGCCGGTAAGTTGAGCCGGCCCCTTGGGTTTGATAGGACTGCGTTATATCTTATACTTGGTTTGACCGGAATTGCCGTGCTCGGCTCGCGTGCTGCCAGGCCGACTGCAGTGGAGCTCTCATGAGAGTGACACCGGCTCAGCATTCTTACTCACATCTGCTTATAGGTTATTCTGGGCCAACAGGGGGTGCGATATGTTATTCTCGCCAATATTGACTTTATCCCTAGAGGTAACGACTCTCTATCACTACTATTGAAGACTAGACTCTGAACCAGAGGAGATGATTCGGGTGCTACGACTCGATCTGGTTAACTGGCGTCAGGGGCTTTCCTGTTTTGAAGAAGGCCTCGAGATTATCTAGGTTGATCCTTTCAAAGCTCTGCCAACTGGTGCGAGAGCAAACGCCGATATGTGGAAGCAGTGTGACCTTCCAATTCTCCTTCAGCTTGGGATTGATTCCCGGTTCGTTGGTGTGCACGTCGAGGCCGGCTCCAACCACTGATCCATTCTCCAGGGCCTCGAGAAGGGCATCGTCGTCGATCATTTTGCCTCTTGCAATGTTGACCACTCTCAAGCCTTCCTTTCGGGCCAGTGCGAATTGCCTTCGCGAGAGTAAGTGATGCGTTTCTGGCGTGTATGGCGCCGCAAGCACAATGCAGTCGACCTCGGGGATCATGTCATCCACCGTCGAGTGATACAGTGCCCCGTTGGTGAGAGTCCGCTCGGCATCTTCCTTCCGTCGGGGACCTTGATAGTGAATCCTCATGCCCAGGGCCGATTCACATTTTTGTGCAATGGCCAGTCCAATGTCGCCCAGGCCCACGATGCCCAGTGACTTGCCGCAGGGGTCGACGGCTCGGAGTCCCAGCTCCCGGCTGGCGTTCCAATCGTACCGGGCGCACCACTGGGCGTATGTCAGGTAGCGAAAGGAGTCCAAGACCAGGGAAAGAGCCGTATTGGCGACGGCCTCGGTGCAGGCATCGGGGGTGTTGCAATACCAAATCCCGCGAGCCGTGAGAGCTGGGATATCGGCGGCATCATGGCCGTGGCCGCTGCAGCAGATGATGCGCAGCGTCGAGGGGAAGTGTGGCACGACCTCGGGCGCAAAGGGCAGCTGGGTGGCGAACTTGCCGGCCTTGTGCCAGCCGTTGCGACAGATGGCCACCAGCTTCGAATAGGGGCCCCCGGGCTGCAAGCGTTCGATCAGCTGCGCCGTGGAATCGCAGTCGTAGTAGATGAGATTGAAATTTTCGGCCAGTGCTTGTCGTCGTGCCACATCGACCACCTTCACGGAAGAGTCGATCAGGAGGATATCAGGCTTCTCGGCCATGGTGTGCGGCAATGTCGGTGAGCTCGAGGCAGAGGTGACTTGATGCTGACTTGATGCTGGTTAGGACACAGCACTACCTGAGCAACTGTTGTAGTGCTGCTGCTCATTACCAGTATCGGACGCCCTGCTCGGCTCGTGGTGGGACCGGGCCGATATCAGGGGCGGGCTGGGTCGGCACCGTCGGCACCCAACCGACACACTGGTTCGTCTCGGCTGTCAGAGGGACAGAGGGACAGTGCGCTGGTGATTCGGCAGGGATGCCGTGCAACGTCTATGTCAGCTACAAGACAAGATCGTAGTTTGTGGTTTGACCAACAACTGTCGGGCGGCTCTCACTCGATGGCAGCATTGGCACAGGCAGTCACTGGCGTCAAAATGAGCAATCCTCCCACTTCTGTCATTGCTCGTCGGAGAGTTGCCGAGCCAGAAGATGAATCCGACTATCCAGGCGGAAGCAACGAGGATCGTCAGGTGGTCATCGCAGAGCGACGCAACACCGGCCCCAGATTTGGGTTGGGCTTGGGATTCTTCTCGAGGGTCACGGGTGCGGTTGCCGCGATTGTGCTGGGGGTTTGGATGACCTCCCTCTATGGCTACCAAGCTGGGCGGACCATCAGTCCTCTCGACTTCAAGGCCCGGACCGAACGAGTGCTGGCCACCACGCCGCTGATCGACGGGCACAATGACCTGCCATATCTGTTGAGGCTGGAGCTGAAGAACCGAATCTACGATGGACGCAAGTTCAATTTCCATGAAGGTGAGTGCGACTATACTGTGCATCCCCCCTGGATGGGCATGGACCTGGTCTACTTCCGGGCGCGATGCTGCGAATGACCACTGATGCGTGATGCCGGGTATCTCGACAGGTCTGGCCAGCCACACAGATCTGCAAAGGATGAAAGAGGGCCGGGTGGGCGGCCAATTCTGGTCAGTCTTTGTCGAATGTCCCGATCTCGTCCACCTGGACGACCCTTCGCACGCCGTGCGGGATACACTGGAGCAGATCGACGTGGCCAAGCGCATGATCGCCCATTACGACGAGCTCGACTATTGCGAGTCTTCGGCCTGTGCGAGGGCCGCGTTCCGACGGGGCCAGATCCCTTCCATGCTGGGCGCCGAAGGCATGCACCAGGCCGGCTCCTCCATCGCGGTCATCCGGCAGCTCTACGACGCGGGGGTGCGCTACATGACCGTCACTCACAACTGCGACAATCCGTTTGCCACGGCAGCCTCGACCGTCACCGAGACCGGCAAGGACGCGGGCCTCTCGGACTTTGGCGCTGCCGCCATCGCGGAGATGAACCGGCTGGGCATGATGGTCGATCTCTCACACGTGTCGCACCAGACAATGCGCCAGGTGCTCGACCGGACGCGCTCCCCGGTCATGTTCAGCCACAGTGCCTGCTACCAGCTGGCACGGAACTACCGCAACGTCCCGGACGACGTGATTGCCCGATTGAAGACCAACGGCGGCGTGCTCATGGTCATGTTCGTCAAGCGCTTTCTGAACGCCCAGGAACCCGAGGCGGCCAATCTCGAAACGGCGGTCGACCACATCATGCACGTGGTCGAGGTGGCCGGCTGGGATCACGTCGGGATCGGGGCCGACTTCGATGGGACGGTGACCTTGGCCCACGGCATCTCGTCGGTCGCGGACTATCCAAAGCTGATCGAAGCCGTCATGAGGAGAGGCGCCAGCGACGAGCAGGTCAGAAAGCTGGTGGGAGAAAACATTCTCAGGTACGGACTCCGTCTTGCCCCCGATATTGATATTTATTAATATTTCCGCGTCGGCGGGCTGATGCTAATGTGCTTCTAGGGTCTGGAGGCAGAATGAGCTGAACGCCCAAGTGTGGAGGAATGATTTGCCCGTCGAGGATGTCTGGGAGGGCCGTCGATGGACTCGGTGGAACAACCCGCTGCCGCTGATGATTCCGGGAAACACGCAACGCATTGCCGCAAAGGACTATCCCTAGATGCTAGATGCTAGATGATCGCCGGTTCTACAACGGAACTGTATTGGTCTGCCAATGCTATTCTGGACCATCAAGCCGATTGCTTTCTCCAGCCGGTCCTTCATCTATCGTATAATTTGCAAGTCTTTTAATTCCCAGTCGCCTTTGCCTGTCTTTCCGCCACACTGCCGTGCGCCCTCACGTTGCTGCTGGAGAACTTGTCGCCAATTTTGAACGCACCCACGATCTGCTTGCTCGCCACTGCATCGGGGTCTGGGCCGTAGCCCCCGCCGCCCGGAGTGAGGACGATGATGCGGTCACCGGCGTTCATGGGCGTGGTGGCCTTGCCGCCCAGGCTGATGGTGCGGACGGTGCCATCGTCTGGATCACGCCGGATCCAGAGGTTGACGCCTCGCTTTCCCTCCTCGCCGCCGGCCATGCCGTAGGGGGCAATCACTCGCCGCTCGGACAGAATCGAGACCTGCATGGGAATGCGGAACTCGATGTCTCGCACGCAGCCGTCTCCGCCCCGGTGGAGGCCGGCGCCGCCGCTGCCGTCGCGGATGGAAAACTCGTGCAGCAGCACGGGATAGCGCCGCTCAAAGATCTCGGGGTCCGAGATGCGCGTGTTGGTGACATGGGTGTGCACTCCGCTTTCGCCGTCCCAGTCGGCGCCCGCGCCGGAGCCGCCGGCAATGGTCTCGTAGTATCCGAAGCCGGGCACCACTTGGCCGGTCGTTGCGTCGGTGCCGCCGTAGCCAAAGGTCAGATTGTTGCAGGTCCCTTGCGACGCCGCACAGGCCTGGAAGGCTTTGAAGATCAGGTCCACGATCCTCTGCGAGGTCTCGACGTTGGATCCCACCGTCGCGGCCTTCAGGGAGGGCGACAGGATCGAGTTGGGCGGCACTTTGATCTGGATCGGCTTCAGGCAGCCCTGGTTCAACGGGATGTCGGTGGAGATCATGGATCGTAAGCAGTACTGTGGAAAGGTCATGGTCAGTCATGTGTTCTTCTCTTTCTCTGGGGTTCCCGTCCGACTTACCATGATGCCCGAATACATGACCGCCGGCGGACAGTTGAGATTGCCGAATTGCTCGGGGCCCGAGCCACTGAAGTCGAAGATGGCATCGCCTGTGTCCTCGTCGATAGTCACCTTCAAGGCGAGCGGGGTCCCGTCGTCGAGGTAATCCGTCGCCTGGAGCTCGGTGCCCTGGAAGCGCTTCGCAAACACTTTGAGCAGCTCCCGCACCGACTGAGCCGCGTTGTTCTGGATCGCCTCCATGTAGAAGCGAACGACGGGCCACGAATACTCCCTGACCAAGGCCCGGATGAGCTGGATGCCGCGGTTGTTGGCCGCCACCGCCGCCTTGAGATCGGCAATGTTGTCGCGGAGGGTGCGGGTGCCACTACAGCCCGGGTAGGAGGCCGGAATGTCGACGAGAATCTCCCTCAGGCCGGCTTCATCGAAGACGCCTTCCTTGACCATCTTGAAAGACTCGACCGCCACACCCTCCTGCCACAGCTCCGTCGAGTTGGGCGGCATCGAGCCCGGTTGGATGCCGCCAATGTCGGCGTGGTGGCCGCGGTTGGCGGCAAAAAAGAGAATCTCAGTGGGATGGTCGTCATCGTCGAACACCGGTGTGGTCACGGTGAGGTCAGGCAGATGGGTGCCCCCCGAACACGGATGGTTGCTGAGCAGGACATCTCCCGGCTTCAGTTCTCCGGGCTTGTAGAACCGCGCCTGGTAGGCGATGGCATAGCTCATGGAGCCCAGGTGACCGGGGATGTGCGGGGCGTTGGCCACCAGGCCGCCGTCGGCCGAGAAGACGGCGCACGAGTAGTCGAGCCGCTCCTTGATGTTGACCGAGATGGACGTCTTTTGCATGGTCTGGCCCATCTGCTCGGCCACGCTCATGAAGCGATGGCCGAACACGCTCAGTTGCACGGGGTCGACGACGTCGGTGGCTACGGCGGCCTTTTCCACGTCCATGATCTCGAGGATCAGGTGCTCCGAGAGCACCGTGGCCTCGCTGGCCGGGTCGACCACGATGGTCTGAGTCGGGTCGACCACCATGGCCGGGCCCTTGATATGCGTGCCCAGCGGGAGATGCTGCAGGAAGAACACCCCCGTTTCCGTCCAGCCGTGGGCCTCGAAATACACCTTCCGTTTCGATTCGGGCTCGACCGGCGTGGCGGGCGGCGTGGTGCGCAGCTGCTGCAGCTCCTCGAAGGGGCTCTTCAGGTGGAGGTCGGCCCCCTTGCCGACGCTGCGCACCCGGACATCCTCGACCAGGATGTCGCGCGGCTGTGTGAAGCCGAACTCCTGGTGATGACGCTCGGTGAAGGCGTGAGCGAACTGGGCCATGTCGCCGGGGTGTGGGATCATGAGGGCGGTGTCGCTGCCCTGGTATCTCATGCTCAGGAACAGCTCGTGTTGGATGTGCGACTCGGCGAAGCCTTGGGCCGTCAGCCCTCGCACCCCCGCGGCGCACAATCTCTCGAACCGCGACTCCAGCCGGGGCAAGGTCTCGGTGGACAGGGTCAGCGCCTCCGGTTCCTGGTTCTCCACGGTCACGTCGGCCAGCGCCATGCCGTACGCGGAGAGGATGCTCGAGTATCGGGGGATGATGACCCGTCGAATGCCCAGGTCTCGGGCCACCGCGACTGCGTGCTGTCCTCCTGCGCCGCCGAAGCAGCCCAGGTTGTGACTGGCGGTGTCGAAGCCGCGGCCCTCACTCAAGGTCCGGATGGGCCGCGTCATGGTGGCGTTCGCAATCGACAGGAAGCCGGCGGCGACTTCTTCGGCACTGAGCTGGCCGGGGCCGACCGTGTCCCGGTTGATCTGCGTGGTGATTTCGGCAAACTTCGTCTTGACCACGTCCAGGTCCAGCGGGCGAGGAAACAGATCGGGGATGATCCTCCCCAGAAAGAAGTTGGCGTCGGTCACGGTGAGAGGGCCTCCCTTCCCGTAACAGGCGGGCCCCGGGTTGGCGCCGGCACTGCTGGGGCCGACTTTGAACAGGCCGTTCTCCCAGAACAGCATGGAGCCGCCGCCCGCAGCCACGGTGTTGATGTCCAGCTGCGGCGTCTGGATCGTCACTTCGGCAATGGTGCTCTCGAAGATGTGCTCGAGGGATCCGGCATAGCGAGCGACGTCGGTACTGGTCCCGCCCACTGTCGAGGCCGCCCGGTTAGCTCACTCTGCCTGAGGGGAGTGGGAGAGGGGATGGAGAGTGGTACTCACTGTCGAACCCGAGGACTGGCGTGCCGTCCTGGGCGTCGTAACATGTCCTGGAGAGGCCGACCACGCCACCGGCCGGCCCGCTCAAGACGCCTCGAAGGCCGGTGAAATTGCCGAAGGCGGTCAAGCCGCCGTCGGACTGGTTGAGGAACAGCTTGTTGGCATTGCCATCCTCGAATTTGCCTTGGAAGCCCTTCCGGAAGTTGGTGAGGTAGTCGTCGGTGATGGGAGACAGGTAGGCGTCAGCGACGGCCGACTGGCTGCGCGGCACGATCTTGGCCATGGTCTGCAGCTCGGACGAGGCGGCGACTCTGAAGCCCATCTCTCGGGCGATGTGGGCGATGGCCAGCTCGTGGTCCTGGAAGGTGTACGAGTGCAGCATGGCGACCGCAACACTCCGGTAGCCTTGATCCCACAATCCCTGCAGCTGGCGCCGCACGACCTGGTAGTCGGGCGACTTGATGATGCGCACCGCCTCGCCCGTCAGGCCCGTCCTCAGCGCCGGATCGGCCGTGACGTCGATGGGCTTTGGGTCGGGATCCTCGGCGAAACCCTCGATGGTGACTCTCTCGTCCACCTCGACCACGGCGTCGTACAGCTTGCTCAGCCGGTGCACCGAGAGGTCGAAGATGTGAGGGCGCGCCTGGTTGCCGATCCGGAGGATGTCGCGGAATCCGCGCGTGATGAGCAGGGCCACGCGCTCGCCCTTGCGCTCCAGCAGCGCGTTGGTCGCCACCGTCGTGCCCATGCGAATGAATTCGATCGGGCCGGGGTCGAGCGGCACTCCTCGCGGGATAGGCGCGCCCGACGCCAGCTCCAGGATCTGCCGGATGCATTCGGTCGGCGCGTCGTCGTACTCATCGGGACTTTGCGAGAGGACCTTGAACACCACGTCCTGTGTGCGGCCGGGGATCTGGGCCCAGGCGTCGGTGAAGGTACCGCCTCTGTCGATGGCAATGCGAATTCCCGGTTCTCTGGCCGACATGGTGGCGACGGCGATGTCGACGTCGATGTCGATGTCAACAACTAGAAGCTTCGATTGCAGTTGCTGCTGGACTGGCACAAATGATTATAATAACAATACCTGGCCGGCCGACGGATACATGGGTTAAGTCACTTGGGACCTTTGTTCTTCGTTCTTCCTTCTTATGCAAGGCACTGTGTGGACAGAGTAGGGCGTACGGTAAGATAGTATACTAGCACCTTGCCACCAACACGGGTTACTGGATTGGTTGCCTTGTTTGCACCGCGGGTGCAACGTGGATAGTGGACAGTGGACAGGGATAGTAGAACATTGTCTCAATTCGACCCGACCGACATACCTATATCGCTCCATCAGCATTGCCCTACCATGCCCTAGCCCAGAGCAGATCCCGACAAGGTTCGGTCGCTACAGCCTGCCGTGCCGACTGACAATTGATGTCGATGCCGAGGACGATGATTGGGCGCCAGGATTTGTCTCGTTCGATACACAAATATTCGCAGTGCTACGGAGACAGTATCAGGGTGCACGGATCCATCATAGAGGACAGGGTGTGGATCTCCCATCGCCGGCAAGCCAGTGCTCAACGCCGGCTCAGGCGCCCCATTAGGCTCAGGAGGCCCGGCTGATAACTTATCAAGCCGAGACGATGGAATCCACTCTTTATCGATCCATCTCGGCCTGAAAGAACCAATTGGACTGGATTGCCCTGGGTATCAATCAATTTTGCACTAGGGTCTGGTCCAAAACACATATGTGATGACGAGGCTGCGACCGGGGGGCCATTATTGACATTCACAGTCATCCAGCTTGCGAGACGGAGTCGGAGACGGTGACGTTGACTCACGTATCTGAGTTTGGGTCTGTGTCTGGATCTGGATCTGTATCTCAACTCCAGTCTCTGATCCAGCCTTATCATCCGATGGCTGGGGGATGATGGTGCCGCTGTGAAGGGGATTGGTTACCGTACGACACCTCGGCTGGCCTACATACTACATTATATGTATTGTCGCTATGGGTCTGCGTATGTATATCGATATCGCGCCGGTTGCTAATTTATTGACCTGCGTCTTCTCGTCTGGCTGCTGGCACAGGCACAGGCACATCACGAGAAAGCCGTCCATCTCTTCTCGTTTGATCTGATCTGTCTCTTTACGGCTGGATCCTGCTGAGAACAATCACTGCAACTCAAGGTCAAGGTTGCCTTCTCCTGGAGACTGCGTGATCCTTTTGAGAACCAACCCCGCCATTCAAAGCGACGCTTGGACTCCCACAATGGTCGAAGCTGTCACTGTCAACGACACCTACACCCGTGACCCAACATCGACATCGAAATCAACATCAACAGACTCCCATCCAAATCCGACAGAAAAGCAAATGGCCATGGCTCTCACCCAGCCAGCCGAGGCTGCCACCAAGCCGGACCAGAAGCAGGACCGGGACCGGGAACAGGAAGTAGGATGCGCCGTCTACCTGGACCCGGCCAAGGAGGCGAAAATGATGAGGAAATTCGATGTATGTGTATATGTGTACCTATGTATGGCCATGGCCGTGCAACAGCCCTGAACTTAAACCACAATCACAACCACAACCACAACCACAACCACAACCACAACCACAACCACAACCACAACCACAACCACAACCACAACCACAACCACAACCACGCTTCTACTTCTACTTCTGCTTCTGCTTCTGCTTCTGACACTGACATGTCTGCTCTCTAGATATTCGCCGTCGGCGCCATGGGCCTGTTCTATATGATGGCCAACCTCGACCGCAGCAATCTGGGCAATGCCAACATCTCCGGCATGCCCAAAGACATTGGTCTGGTGGGCAATCAATTTGGCACCGCGACCACGCTGCTGTACGCCACGTACGTCCCGTTTGAAGGCCCCGTGGCCGTGCTGCTCAAGATCATCGGGCCGAAACAATTGATGTCAGTGTCGGCTTTTTGTTGGGGATGCACCACCCTGGGCATGGGTAAGTGTTTGTGCTGTTTCTGTTTCTCCTATTCTTCTGTCCACTATTCTCTATTCTTCTCTTAACTGGTCCCCACTAAACAGATCTGCTACAGCATTCATCCAAAATTACAAAGGCTTGTATGCCTGTCGCCTGCTGATCGGTCTGTTCGAGGCCGGCCTCATCCCGTGTATCAACGTCTACCTCGGCTGGGTGTACAAAAAGTCGGAGCGAGGCAAGCGGTCCTCCGTCATCTTCGCCTTCAGCGCCTTCTCCAGCGCGTTTGGCGGCATCCTGGCCTTTGGTCTGACCCAGATCCACGGCCCCAATGGATTCGAAGGCTGGAGATGGCTGTTCTGCATAGAAGGCGCCATGACCTTGCTGCTGGTGCCTGTCTTCTTCTTCCTCTTCCCCACCACCCCCACCACCGCCTGGTTCTTGACCGCGGAAGAAAAGGCCATGATGAACGCCCGCTACGAGGCCGACAAGAGCTGGGGCCACGACGAAGCTTTCTCCTGGCAGGAATGCTTCAAGGCCTTTGTCGACCCCAAGTGGTACGCCTTCTGGGTCTATCAGTTCTCCGTCGACATTTCGCTGTACGGCCTGACCACCTTCTTGCCCGCCATCGTCAAAGGCCTGGGCTATACGTCTATCCACGCCAATCTGATGACCGTGCCCATCTACATGTGTGCCTTGGTCTTTTTCTTGGTGCTCGCCTACTTCTCCGACCGGGTGGGGGTTCGATGGCCGTTCCTGGCCGGGCCGCTGCTCTGTCTGATTGTCGGCTACGCCATTTTGATCAGCGTCGAGAACCTCAAAGTCAGGTTTTTTGCATGTTTCAGTACGTTAAGCCTCATCCTAGCCCTAACCCTAAGCCTAACCCTACGTCAATGTGATTCGATTGGATACGATGACGATAATGATCGTTCCTTCGTTCCTTGGTTCTGTTTCCTTGGACCTGGACCTGAAATGCTGACTGGACTCTAGTTGCCGCCCTGGGTATCTACCCGACCACCGGCCTGTCGATCATGTGGCTACAAGACAACGTGGCCAGGCACTACAAGCGAGCCACCATGGTCGGCTTCACTCTCACCTTGGCCAACACGGCCGGCGTCGCGGTGGGACAGATCTTCACGACACAGTCAGGCCCGCGATACATCAGGGGTCTGTCCATCAGTCTCGGGCTGGCCGTCCTGGCCCTGGTGGTCGTTCTTGTCCTCGCAGCCTCCATGACCGTGGTCAATCGAAAACGCGCGGCAAAACTCCTGGCAGCCGAGCAGGCCGGAGACCCTATCGAACCGAATCCTGAGCTGGGTGACTACGATCCCCATTTCAAGTATTCTATCTAGAGTTGGAGTTGAAGTTGAAGACGAAGACGAAGACGAAGTCCAATTTAAAGTCGAAGTCGAAGTCGAAGTCCATGGTCTCTGTGAGGGAAAGGCCCTTCCAACGGGTCGTTTGTGGTTTGGCTTGCCTGGCTGGAGCAGAAGCAGAGTCGAAGGTCTAGAAGATACCTAGGCTGGGTAGTGGGAGAACTGTCATGTGAGATATGTGTCACCCCCGGCGGGTAAGGTACTCGATTTACCTTGCGTTATTTACCTTGGGGAGTATCTAGTCTACTGTATGCCTGTGCTGTTCCGTCTGGTACCATCTTCATATGGAGGAAGGGGAAGACGGCGTGTCCCCTGGACCTCCCTCCTGCCGTCCTAGTATCTCTATCATTAACGAATAACGAACCGGGTGATAAGATGGGAGAATAGAATCTGCGGACCTTCATCTGTACCACTATGAGAATCAACCATGTCCTCAAGTCTAGAGGACTGTTTTCCTTTCTTACAATACATAGGCTCTAAAGAACTCTTTTCCATTCTCGCAGTATTTACATAGGCATCGGCGGGACGCACTGCCGTGCCGAGAACCAACCGGCCTACTAGTATGCACTGTGGCCAAATACCATATCACTACCCCATATCACGGGCGGAGGGAGCCCACATCAAATATCAGACTGCCCTAGCCGATGCACACTGTATACTAAAAGAGTGTCAAGCTGGACAGGCTTAATTAACACGTCTAAACTCATACCGCTCAACCGCTGGACAACTTGCCGTTGACATAGATCAAAGTCGACGTCCATATCGAATCTCAAGCCGCCCCAGCCGCTGGTTGCTATATACTATCTCCCGGTGAACAGAGGAACCCTTCTCAGATCATACAGCTCAACCGCTGGACAACTTACTGTTGACATCCATCAAAGTCCCGTCCACATCAAATCTCAGACCGCCTAGCCACTGGACACTATATACTAGACCCCGGCGAACAGAGTGCCACGCTCGACAAGCTTAACACGTCTCAGCTCACATCGCTCAACCGCTGGATACTATATAAGTATCAAGCTCGACAGACTCAACACGCTCAACACGTCTCAGCTCACACAGTCAACCGCTGACAACTTGCCGTTGACATCTATCAAAGTCCGTCCAACATGGCACACACAGACTCCCCCGTAGTCCATCTCCTTCAACAACTCATGGCGATCCCGTCGGTGAGCGAGGATGAATACGAAATTGGCCAGTTCCTCGCGCAATATCTCTCAGCCCGCGGCTACACGGTGGAATTGATCCCCATCGACTCCAGCGGCCGGCGCAACAACGTCTACGCATACCTCGGCCGCGATCGCCAGGCGCGCACCTGTCTAACCTCCCACATGGACACGGTGCCGCCACACATCGAGTGGCGGCTCGACGGCGACATCATCTACGGCCGCGGCGCGTGTGACGACAAAGGGCCGCTGGCGGCACAGATCGTGGCGGCCGAAGAACTCCGGGCCGAAGGGCTGCTCCAGCCAGGCGACACGTCTCTCCTGTTCGTCGTGGGCGAGGAGAAGGGCGGGCCGGGCATGCTTGCGGCCAACGACATGAACCTGTCATGGGAGGCCATCGTCTTCGGCGAGCCCACCGAAGGCAAGCTGGCCGTCGGCCACAAGGGCCACTATGTCTTCGAGCTGTACGCACAAGGCGTCGCCTGTCATTCGGGATACCCGGAGCAAGGCTACAGTGCCACCGCCACCCTGGTCGCCCTCCTCGACGAGCTGCAGTCTCTCCAATATCCGGTCTCCACGCTGTTGGGCCCAACCACTTTTAACTGCGGCAAGGTGCAGGGCGGAATGGCCTACAATGTCCTGGCGGCCGATGCTTACGCCCTCTGTGGCATTCGCGTCGCGGCTGATCTGCCCGACATTGAACAACTGGTGCAGCACACCGTAGCGAAATACCCAAATGTCACGCTGAAGAAGAACTTTGCTTATCCCGAGACGTTGCTGGACCATGAAGTCGAGGGTGAGTTTTTAGCCCGTTACCAGTACCATTACCATTATCATAACCATTTCCTGTTACCACTACCCATGGCCCATTACCTATGGCCTATGGCCCATCCCTATTGCCGATGCCTATCACCATTACCATTACCATTTCCAATTACCACTACCCATCCCCATGGCCCATCCCTATTGTCTTTGCCTATCACCCATGGCCCATCCCAGAAGGTTGCCTACGTATACATGCGAGACTGTCATGAATCACACATCCTCGACGATCATCCTACGCTAACTCACTAATCCATCTAGGCTTAGAGGCGATGCCCGTGTCGTTTGGAACAGACATCCCCCGGCTCCGTGGCAACCACAAGCGATACTTGTACGGGCCCGGCTCGATTCTACACGCTCACGGCGAGAATGAGCAAGTGGCCATCCCAGACCTGATTCGCTGTGTGCAGGTGTACAAGCAACTGGTCAAGATGTCTTTGGGTATCAAATAGACATGGACATGAACATTGACACGGATATGGATATGGACATGGGCCATTTGGGACTGTAGAGGTAGAGGTGGAGGTGTCTAAGGTTGAAATGTTCTATGTTCTCTACCAAAGTCGTATAGGGGAGCCTAGACTATACTATAGGTGTACCTGTGCCAGTCTTCTAGTTAACGGGTAAGACTGACAATGCCATTTAGGCTAAGGGGCCTAAAGTTAGCGCCTAAGTTTAACAAGAGGGTGGAGGGTAGAGCTGTCCAACTTAGGCACTAACTTGGGTATTCCCAGCCTTGCCCTTTAACTACAAGGCTGGTATAGATATAGGCATACCTACAGTCTGGGCTCCCCTATACTCCTTTGATAGAGAACATACATTTCAACCTTTGGCAGGAGGGTGGAGCGTAGAGCGGTGGGCCATGGACCATGGAGCCGAGATCGGCTTCTGCTTCGGCTTCGGGCGCGACGACTCGACTCGACTCGGCTTGTCAGCGAGTGACCGATATCATACTGTAGTCCATATGCGACGGGTCTAAGGCTCAGCTTAGGCTCAGGCTCAGGCTCCAGAGGGATCTCGCAGACACCGAGACACTCGATCCAGGGGATCCCTCAGTGCATATACTATAACCTAAACATAGCATGGCCACAAATATCAACGTCAATATACCTATAGCCACAAACACAAACACACCAAAGTAATCCATCTACGTACAGTATTTGTGTCCAGCATACACAGTTACACAGTCACCAACACCAACACCAACGCACCGGAGAATCCATATACGTACAGCATCTACCTCCAGCAGTCTTACCCCGCCCCTGAACACAGACTGCCCTGCCCTCCCCTACCACCATGGCCGCCAGGTTCGCACAGATCCCAGTCCTCCCACTCGACGAAGCATTCGCCGTGACGGCCGAGTTCAAAGCAGACGCCTTTCCCCAGAAAGTCAGTCTCGGCGCGGGGGTCTACAGAGACGAGGGGGGGAAGCCTTGGGTTCTTCCGAGCGTGAAAAAGGTGCGTGGGTAATCAGCATCTTCATGTCAAATGTCTTGTCTGGTCTGGGTGATTGTTCTTGTTCACGTCCAAATCTCGCCTGGCACTCGGTCTTTTTGTGATTGTTCTTCATGTCTAATATCTCCCCTGGCATTTGTGTGATTGTTCTTGTTCATGTCCAAATCTCCCCTAGCCTTTGATTGTTCTTATTCACATCCATATCTCCCCTGGTTTTTGTGTAATTGTTCTCATTCACGTCTAAATCGCCCCTTTATGCGTGATTGTTGCCGTTGCCGTCTATATCTCCCTTGGCCTTTATGTAACTGTTCTCGTCATCTCCATATCCGATCACATATGGCCTGGTATACTATACCACTATATTCCATTGCGCAATCGTCAGGCCTGTTCGAGACCCAACACCAGGAAACATTGTCTAATCACAATCTACCCAGGCCAAGGAGAAACTCCATCAAACACCCAATCTGGACCACGAATATCTCCCGATCCAAGGCTCAGATCCATTTCTCCAGCTGGCGAGAGATCTTGTGTTTGGAGACTCATCCCTCCCCAGTTCCAACTCCAGTTCCAACTCCAGTTCCAGTCCCAGCCCCGGCTCCGGCTCCGGCTCCAGGTCGAAAGACAACACCAAACCCCAAACAAAGAATGTCATCTCCTTTCAGACCATTTCCGGCACAGGAGCCAACCATCTCGGAGCACAGTTCCTCGCCCAGCACCTGCGGCCGAAACACGTCTTCATCTCAGATCCCACATGGGCCAACCACCACCTAGTGTGGACGGTGGCGGCGCCCGACGTGGTCCAGAAGACATATCCGTACTACCACCCGGCCAGCCGGTCGCTGGACTTTGACGGCTGGCTGACCACGCTGGAGAACGAGGCGGTCGAGAACGACGTCGTGATCCTGCACGCCTGTGCTCACAATCCCACCGGCATCGACCCGACCCGCGAGCAGTGGGAGGTGCTGGCCCAGCTGTTCAAACGGAAGAGGCTTTTCGCCTTCTTCGACTCGGCGTATCAGGGCTTCGCTACCGGTGATCTTGACATGGATGCTTGGGCAATGAGGCATTTCCAGACGGTACTGTTTGGTTCAGGACCGGAACCAAAAACGGAGACAAAAACGAAAACGGAATCGGAAACGGAATCCTCTGCCACTGCTGGTAATGATGATGAGGTGGTGGTCAATGTCCAGTCCAGCACTCAACACCAACAAGGCCACCCCGGACTCTGCATTGCACAGTCCTTCGCCAAAAACTTCGGACTGTACGGCGAGCGCGTGGGCGCGTTCCACCTCAGCCTGCCACTCTCCGTGTCCCCGGCCGGCGCGTACAGCCAGCTCCTCCGCCTGACGCGAGCCGAGATTTCAAACCCGCCTCTGTTCGGCGCCCGGATCGTGCAGACAGTCCTGTCCGATGTCGACTTGAGGGCCCAGTGGCAGCAGGACCTGCAGACCATGTCTTTGCGCATCAGAAGCGTCCGTGGACTTTTGCGCAAGGCCATTGAGCAGCAACAGCAACAGCAACAACAGCACCAACAACAGCAACAGTCCTCCAGCGGAAGCGTTGCCACCGCCATCACCGACTGGAGTCATCTGGAATCCCAGATCGGCATGTTCAGCTACACGGGACTGACGGTCCCCCAGGTCCAGCGGCTCAAGGAAGTCCACCACGTCTACCTGATGCGCAATGGCCGCGCCAGTCTCAGCGGCGTCAATGAGCATAATGTCCATTATGTGGCTGCCGCTATTGCCGAAGTTGTGGCCCAGCCGATCGATGCGAATGAATAGTAAATACCAAAGCGACCAGACGAGTTTGGATAGGATGCCATAGCAATCCACAACTCATGAGGCATTACTATCACTATCACTATTACTGTTACTGTTACCGTTACTATGACTGTTACTATTACTATTACGGTCACTTTTGTTCCTTTTGTTCCTGTTCAAGTTTCTGTCACTATTACTGTAATACTACTACAACTATTACTATTACTACAACTATGACGGTCATATACACCAAGTGGCCAATTCACGAGTGAATTAGTTCCTTCGTCCTTTTCGGCGACTGTCGTGGTGTAACAGTTTAAGTCAACCGTGACAATAACCTATACCTATAACGAGTACCGCGTCATAAAGAAACCACAACATACAACACTGGCATAGAATACTGTCTCGTCTGTCCAATGCAACGTCGTGCATGTACAGTACTGCCCCTGTCCTGTCCTTGTCTCGTCCAGATCTACTTACTACTCACTACTCACTAGTAACCCTAACTATCTTATCTCGGCTTGCCAGCGCCCGGTCCGGGAGGCCGATCGGCCGGTCCACTCCTATTCCTACCTAATGCTAGTACGGCAACGGTAAGAGGAGAAGGACAAGACTGGGTATGATACCGTCCTACCTACACTAATGATGCGGGATCAGGAAGGACGAGGCCGTGCCAGCCGAGTGAGTGCTAGTGGCACATCATATCATATGAAGCTTCGTTCCTAGTAATGTGACACATGCATATCCGATCATCCAGATCGCCGGATCCGTACATTCTGCGGTGAGATTGTATCTGTCTCTGTCGATACGACCTGTTGGTGTTTGGCTGGCCAAAGAAACAAGTCTTGTTGGTGCATATCTTGTCACATTGTGATCTCCTCTCCTGGACTGTCTACCTGGTAGACACCAAGCGAAGAGTCCGACCTCATCTTCGATACAATCTCGCTCCCTCCATCAGACGCCAATTCCATCAGCCATGTCCCCATCAACCAAAAACAAGCCGCAGAGGCCGTTGACCGTGGCTGCCGCCCAGATGGGCCCAGTACATCTCGCAGACAGTCGGCAAGCGGTGCTGAACCGAATGTGTGGCCTCCTCGACCAGGCGGCCGAACATGGCGTGCAACTGGTCGTCTTTCCCGAACTCGCCTTTACCACCTTCTTCCCCAGGTACTTACTTGACCCCAAAGACGTTGGCCGCTACTTTGAGATCGAAGACCCCCAGAACGGCTTGGGCATCGCGCAATCCCCAAACGTCAAGCCGCTGTTCGACCATGCAGCCAGATTGGGAATCGACGTGTGCGTGGGATACGCCGAGAGGAGTCTCCAAACGAACAAGCCAGGCTCAGACTCACAAACCTCGCATATCGACTACAACTCATGTGTCTATTACTCGGCCCAGGCCCGCGCTGTCGTGGGAAAATATCGCAAAATCCACCTTCCAGGCGCCGTGGAGCCGTACACGGCGCCCGGAGCCTTCCAGCAGCTGGAAAAGCGATACTTCCGCCCTGGTGACCTGGGCTTCCCTGCATTCCGGGCTCCTGGTCTGGTGGAAGGTGCGCTGAAAAAGGACAGCAAGGTGACAGCCCCTGGACCAACAAGCGACAAAGGCGACCCAATTATCGGCATGTTGATCTGCAATGACCGGCGCTGGGCCGAAGCCTGGAGAGTCTATGGCCTGCAAGGCGTCGAGGTCGTCTGCTGCGGATACAACACCACGGCATTCGCGACCAAGGCCACGGGCGAGATGGTGGACATGACACCCGAGGATGCGGAAGAGGAGGTGTTGTTGCACCACCGGCTCTCCTGCCAGGCCAACAGCTACATGAATGCCTGCTTCAGCATCAACGTGGCCAAGACGGGCGCCGAAGACGGGAACCCTCTGGTCGGCGGCACCATGATCGTGCACCCCAATGGCCATATCATCAAGGAAGCCGAAACCAAAGAGGACGAGTTGGTTGTGGCCACAATCGACCTGGCCGACTGTGATCGAGGCAAGGGAAAGACCTTTGCCTTCCACAAGCATCGAAAACCGGAGCATTATGGCGCCATTGTCGAGCAGGTGGGAGTCGTAGAGCCAGAGCTGCTATGAACATGATTTGGTAGCTGTAAAAGGAATGACAATTCTGACCAGACCCCAGAGGGCCTGACGATCATTGAGCTGTTGTTTCTATGCTTGTCTTCGGGAGGAGCTGCGTAGCTGTCTGACGTCTTGATCTGGCTATATTATAGTATTCATATTGCTTGTTGGTACGCAGACAAAGGCAAATACGGTCAGTCCATCGCCTGGTAAGCAGCAGAAAGGAGGACCGACTCCCTATAGTATGTGCCATCAGGAAGTGAGTCTTATCCCTCAAAAGCTAATGGGTGGGCCGAATCTCTCAGCAAGGTGTCCGAGGTACTCCAGTCCAGGACATGTTCATGTCATGTCTCCAACAATTATGCCGATGTTCTCGTCCCAGGTCGCGTCTGCATGGTCAAGGAATGTCTGAAGCATCGGGTTATCAAGAGGGTCGACGGTCACACGACCGAGGCCAGTCCAGTCATAGCTGGCGAAGTTTGCATCCGGAACGGCAAAGTCGTCCCAGTCATAGTTTTCGAAATCCGAACTTCCCAGAGGTGGCAATTCTGGCGCATCAAGGGCTTGAGCCGACGAATCGGTTTGTTGAGCATTGGCTACAGAGGCCTCGTGCCGAGCTGTGACACGCCCGCGTAGTCGGCCAATGCTCCATTGAATGTGGGAAAGACGAGGATAGAATTGCGCGGCCGACACATTGCCGGAATCGCGCATGGTCCGCAACAGGTGGAATGCCGTCTGGACGGCGTCCGAGTCGCTCGAGTTGGGCGAGATGATGGCTGATATTATCAGCACCAGGGTCGATGCAAACAGATAATGGGCGTCGAAGTGGCCAAAGAGAGCCAGCGCATTCTCGACGTACAACTGCGACAAAATGCCGTTGGAAGTGCGAGCCGCCGAGATACACGACTCGGCAAGCATCGTGGCCGTCTCTGATAGCGGCTCGGCGGCAGGGCCATCATTGAGGGCTGCATTCGCATTCGGATTCGCATTCGGCTCGCCAAACGGGTTCTTGGTCTTCAACACATGCAGCAGCACCGGCCGCGTGGTTAGGATGATGCACTGATTGAAGTGCAGCTGCAAGGATGTCAGCGGTCGGTTCGCCGGCCCCTGGCTCAGCCGCAGACTCGGCGCCACGTTGGCGTCCCACTTGCGCAGACTCTTCAAGATGGTACGCACGTTGTGCAAGAAGCTGCCGCGCAGGGCGGACGATGGGCTGTAGATGTCGCGCATGATGGATCCTGTGATGCGCGCCAACTCGATGTTGGCACACAGGTGTGCCGGTGAGCCGAGTTTCGCCTGATCCTCCGGCGACAGGTGGTCCGAAGAGGGTAATCGGACGTCGATGTCCTCGTCCTGAATTGTCAGCGGTTGGCCCAGCCGCGAACTGGTCGACCGGTCAAAGATGTAGGCCGTCCACCACAGGCGAACCCGGTGCTCGACTTCCACGGCTGTAAGGTCCAGGTCTTCAGGAGGATCACGATGGAGTCCTAGGCAGGTACTGAAACGCACTGCTAGTCCACTGTACACGTGTGCGGATTTGACCCTGCCGAGCGCGTTCGAGTAAAAGCACTAGATGAGAAGTCAGTTGCGACCGGTCACGACTCGAATTGAAGCATCGGCTGCCAGCAATGTTTCCTCGATTTGCTATCTCGGTACCGTATTTCGTTTCAGGGCAATGTGGTGTGGCAATACCCCAACGACAGGCCGAATTGGAGGACTTACAAACAAAAGCATGGTCTCAATCTGCGTCACACTGGGTTCTTCGTAGAGATCCTGAAGAAGATTGACGGCGCTGACGAAGTAGTCGGTGCCAGGGACGCTGGGCGGATTGGATGGCAGCGTTGTCGAATACAGCTCCCCAAGGGCCAAAACGACAAAGAACTTACAAGCCCAAGCCGGGTCGGCATCCTGAGTGTCTTTGGAAGCATATGCCTTTTCCAGCTGCTGCAGGAATTCTTTCTGCAGGAAGAAATGATAGTCCTGGCCGATGAAGCGCAAAGCAACACGCACCAACAGCGTCGCCCGAATGCGATCAGGGAACTTGCAACTGTAGGGGTTGCCGACTTGACGAGTAAACTCAGGTCTCTTCACGTAATGTTGTTCTGGCAGGGTGGAGGTGGATGTCCCTTCAGGCTGAAGGCATTGTAAGAGCCGATTTGCAAACACCGCGCAGGTGGACTCCCCGACAAAGTGCTGATGGGAGAGACTTCGAGATTGCTTCAGGGGATTGGCGATCTCACGGTCTGCGGACGGTGGATGGCTGGGAGGACGGGACTGCAAGGCCACAGTCGTTTGAGACTCGTCGGTATGACTGACCGCGACGTGCCCGTCCGATTGTGCTTCGTCTTGACTGATGGCTTGTAGCTTCTTCAGGTAGCTGTAGAATCGCTCAGCATCAGCTTGTTCTTCAGTCTGCATCTGCACCTGCTTGCTACCAACCTCTCGGCCACGGCCACTTTCCGGTCTCGGGCAGGGTACTCGCAGGTCGAGGCGTGCCGAGTGCTCTGGCACCTCTGGCAGGGCTGGCCCCCGGAGCATTTGACCTTGTGGGCATGACACCGGCGACAACTGGGACGCCCATATTAGCCGCCGACCACGGGTGCAGACCAGAAAACGCAAGGCTTACGCAATGTAGGACCTCTTGGGCCGCTTCCGAATCGGCCTGCCGACAATGTTTGTGTCGGCAGTGTGAGGCGAGTGAAGCGAGCTAGGGGAGGCGGACATTTGGGACTCGGAGGGGCGTCATGGGAGAGATTGTAGGTGCCGGTAGTGGGTGGGTGAGCAGGCCGGTTGCAGCGGCAGGTCAGGTATTAAGGGCGAGAAGAGATATCGGCAAGGTTCACATCCAGCCGAGCAGTGGCTAATTTCCCACCGGCTGAGGCTTGGTTGGGCCGAGCCAAATCAATATATTGAAATTCGCTTAGTTGACCAAACTTGGTGCTCGGAGTGCACGGATAGTGTAGTACTCCGCACTATCAGATATTGTACGGGGGAGCAGTGCTGGGATTTCATCTTGATTACTAAGCGAAGCAGTAGGTATATATACCTGGTAAGGGTAGGTGCCATCGGCTGGCGTGCCATTAAGACGGGTTATAAGACATGGATCTCAATCTCGCCCTGGCGACTAGCTAAAATGATCTATATGTACCAGCGTGTTCATATCAGGGTTTAGACTGCTGACTCTGGATGGCCTGAAGCACGACTTGACTCGCCGTCCTCACCACCTCCTCGTCCGCCGGCGCCAGACTTTCGGTCCAGAGTACCTGCTGCGCAACACCCTGCCAGATCATGGCCTCTGTGCCCGGGAGGACCTGCCAGCCCTCAGACTCGACAAAGCTGTAAAAGGACGTGCGGACACGTGGGAAGTAACACATTTCCAACACGGCGCCTTTCTGCGGCTGCGACTGCGACTGGGACGGCGGAATTGGCTTCGAGAGTAGTGTGCGCGATACTTCCAACGCCAACTTCTCTTCGGCCGTTGAGGGCGGATAGTCAGGGACAGTGCCGACGACGAAATAGGGTGCTTCTAGGCCCTCAGCTTGCTCGACCGTCTGGACGTGGACTAGCTTGGCTTTCCACCCCGGCACGCGGGAGAAGGCCGTGGCAATGTCGTCGACCTCGTGCTTGAACCGGTTGACGAGGTAGATAGTGTCGACGCCCAGCCAGTGATGGAGGCTGTACAAGGCACTGCGACAAGCGCCGCCACCGCCAATCACCAGCGCAGGTTTGGATTTGCCAACCACCAGGCTGTCAGGCGAGAGGTTGCGTAGGAAAGCCTCGCGCACCCCAATACAGTCGGTGTTGGTACCGATGTACCGCCGGCCGCCCGTGGGCGTGAGGCGGACGAAGACGGTGTTGATGGCCCCAATCGCCCGTCCTTCAGGTGTCACCTCGTCGACTTTCGAAATGAACGTGACTTTGTGAGGCATTGTCACCGCGCTTCCGACCGTGTCATGGGCCGGGAGCAGCGATATCAGGTCCTGTTGGTTGGTCGACTCGAGTAGATTGTATGTCCATGGTAGACCTGCCGACTCAAACAGCGTATTGTGCAACAGGGGCGCCAGAGAATGGGCGATAGGAGAGCCCAGTAGATATGTCTTGCAGTGTTGACCCTGGGGGATTGTCTTGTGGAGAGAGGCGCCATACTCGTACGAATGCTCCAAGGTCGACGACAGAGATGGCACCGCAGCCATGATGAGTATGATTATCGCTGGTGGTATCAAAAACAAGGCATCCCAATCGGCGCTCTCAATTTCCCCTTCTCTTTTCTTTCCTGTCCCCTTTTAGCACTGATACCATATACGAGCAGAGTAATGGCCAAGTATGCCTCGGTGGCTTTCGTGACCCCGACACCGGTGTTGTGGAGTCCCATGGGATCCAGCTGAGATTCGCCCCTGTCCCTCCCTCCACCTGATTCTGTTGATCGCCACGGCCGGTCAAGAGCTTAGCCGCTCACGTGAACCGCCCTCGGGAGGCTTCCTGCCAAAGTCAGCGGGTGGCCAGTCGCCGCGTATAAGAACTGGGGAGTTATTTGTAGCTCTCGATTACATTGCCGCCATTCAAGGTAGATTCTGATCACGTTGAGTTGAACCATGCCGGACCTGCATTCTCTGCCTGCCGGATCGCGGCCGGACAAGGCTGTGCGCAACAATGGGCCAGACAACTTGGCCATAGAGCGTTACAAGCTAAGGGAGCTGGCCGAAGGCTGGCCCTCCTATCGGTATGGCGTTGCATTGACCCTCAGTAACCCCCTGGTCTGATCAGTGCATCCAGGGACGCATGTGAATGGGAGAATCTCAAGTCCATCTTCCACCCAGATGCCTACATCTACACCACGTGGACGGGCAGAACGCACCACCTCGATTTCATCCAAGCCTCACAGAATGGCATGGATCGTGGGGCCTTTATCATGCACCGGTGCCATGGGGTCAGTACCGATATCAATCTAGAAGCCACCCGGGCGGTCACCAAAATGAAGGCCACCATTACTCAACGCTTCAACATCGACGGCGCCGAAGTCGACGCCGAGAGTGATTGTCGGTTCTGCTTCTTTTGGGTCAAGACCCCGGAGGGCGAGTGGCGTGCGAGATACGTGAGACACTGGTATGAAAAGGTAGGAAGGGCCTCTCCACGCGCTGTGGACCACTCTAATCGGCTAGGACAAACTCATTCCCGTCAACCCCAACAAGGTGCCCCAGCTGGATGAAGCAGAGCTGGAGAAGTTCCCTAGCGGCTATAGGTACTTGGCGTATCTCCAGGAAAAGACCATGGGAGTCAAGGTGCTGTTGGATATGCCCGGTCACCGGCGGGAGAATGGCGCGCCCGGGGGGAGCAGGAAATGTGGCGAGAAGCACGACCTTTTGTACTGGCAATGCAAACGGTGGGTAGAAGGCGAAGAGGTCGAGATTTGAGAGAGGCACGCAATTGTGTGTCTTGTTGGACTCCGTCGGTTTGAGTCTGATTCCATGTCCTGATAGAAGCCGGGGGCCCTACCCCAGTAAAATACCACAATTCATGCGGTCATCTAAGAAGTCTCGGAAGCTGTCAGATTAGAGGGCGAAGCGCGGATAAATGCCTACCCGTGTGATACAGCATGGTGCGTTTGTCGTGGCCACACAAAGCTTGTACAACCTGTATCATAATATAACAGCCGCCAATGGCATAAAGTTATCACGAGGATTCTCATGTATGTTGTTCAGGACCAGACCACGCTCTCTGCTGTCCGCCATTTCTCAACCTTGATTGCAACCACTTCAGGAGTCTGCGCCGTTTAACAATGGGTCCTATCACCCCCCAAAACGATGAACGAGCCTTTACATACCTGGTCGGCATTGGTGTTACTCACTCAGTTGCACCACCGATGCATGATTTCATTGCCAGATCCCTGGGCTACGACTGGAAGTTTCTGGCGCAAGAATGTCCTAGCGTAGAGGATGCGGTGGCACTGTTCCGCAAACCAAGCTTCGCAGGAGGCGTTGTCACCATGCCCTACAAAACAAGTATCATGCAACACCTGGACGGTCTTGATGAGTACGCAACCACCATCGGGGCCTGCAACAACGTGTATAGAGCCGCTGATGGCTCGCTGAGAGGAACCAACACCGACTGGCGAGGAATCAAGGGCTGCCTGTTGCAAGGCGACCCACAGGGTGAGGGCAAGGGAAAGCCTGCTCTCATTATAGGCGCTGGAGGAGCTTCGCGGGCGGCTTTGTTTGCCCTCCATGACCAGTTGCAATCCAATCCCATCTACGTCGTCAACCGGGACAGGGCAGAGGTCGACGCTCTAGTCAAGGACGCCCAAGCGTACGATGGAAGGGTCCAGATTATCCATCTCCGCTCGGTGGATGAAGCCAAAGCGCTGCCAGCGCCCTACTACATCGTGGGGACAGTGCCGGACTTTGAGCCCAAGAGCCCGGAGGAGATCGCCGCCCGAGACGTGGTCGAACATTTCCTTTCTTCCAGCGCAGAGAAGGGCGTCTTGCTAGACATGTGTTTCAAACCACGTCGGACCAGATACTTGAAGTTAGGAGAGAAGCATGGGTGGAAGACTGTGGAAGGGGTTAACATCATTGGTCATCAGATCCAGGAACAATACAGGCTTTGGGCTGGCGAGAAGGCCAGTGAACGCATAAATACCAAGGGCGCCTGGGAAGTGCTGTTGCAAGCAGCAGACAAGAGCCCTGCCATTAACTTCTGATGAATGGACTGTCAAATGCTGTAAAAAGCGTGGAGCCTGTCGGACAGCTTCGTTATGTGGTCCGCTTCAAATTGCGGCATGGCCATCCGGGGACACCCTGTAACAGGCGGATAAGTATTATCCGATCGTATATATCAAAAGCATAGTGCTTCAACCGGCAGTCAGTTCTCATTTTTAACGTAAATCGAGCTTTGTCATTTCCAGCATGCCTTTCAGACCTGCCATCGCGTCCATGTCCCTCGGCCGTGCCTGGGTGCATGAACTGGACAAGAAGCTTCGCGAAGCGTCGGAAGCCGGTTTCGAGGGGGTCGAAATATTTTATGAGGACTTGGAGTATCTGGCCCGGACATATGGCGAAGTCAGCCCAGCCACTCTCTTACAGGCATCTGCGAAGTTGCGCCAGACCTGCGATGCGCTCAATCTGACCATCATCGGCATGCAGCCGTTTCTCTTTTACGAAGGCTTGATTGACCGCGAAGAACACGCAGCTAAGATCGAAAAGCTGAAGGTCTGGTTCAAGATTGTGAAAATCTTGGGCACGGATATCATACAGATCCCATCCAATTTCCAGCAGGGTGGCATCTCCGGCGACCTGGATCTGATTGTGCGAGACATGATCGAAGTTGCAGACCTCGGCCTCAAGGAAGATCCGCCGGTAAGATTCGCCTACGAAAATCTGGCCTGGGGCACTTATGTCGACACGTGGGAGAAGCTATGGGAAGTGGTCACACGCGTCGACCGTCCGAATTTTGGCTGTTGTTTGGATACATTCAATATCGCTGGTCGGGTGTGGGCCGATCCGGCGAGTCCCTCAGGGAAGACTCCCAACGCGGATGCCGATCTGAAAGCATCCCTGGAGAACCTTGTCAAGACTGTAGATGTCAACAAGGTCTTCTATGTCCAGGTTGTAGATGCTGAAAGAATGACACCGCCGCTAACCCCGGATCATCCGTTCCACGTTGATGGTCAGCCATCTAGGATGAGTTGGAGCAGGAACGCGAGGTTGTTCCTGTACGAGCAAGACCAGGGTGGCTATCTTCCAGTGGTCGAGGTAGCCAGGGTGTTTCTCAAGGAGCTCAAGTATGAGGGCTGGGTGTCGATGGAGCTATTCTCGAGGACCATGTCGGATCCGGATCCCAGTATACCTCACACTCACGCTCAGCGCGGGATCAAAGCGTGGAAGCAATTGGCCAAGGAGTTACAACTATAACCCGCAGTGGGCTCTATGGTGGGAAGTCTTCGTGCTGAGATCTGGCCTCGGGACGGAGAAAACGCAGAAAGTCGGGATCAAGCTCGTCGCCAACGAAGCCCAGGTTGTGGGCAAAATCAGGCGGAGGACTCGGCCTACGAACATTAGCATAGTCCATGGGGTCAACTCGCACCATACTCGCCTTTCCACAGGCACCAGAAATGGCATTCCTTCCAAAAGAGCGTCAAAGTCATTGACATCACTAAACCGATCGATCCCAGAGAGAGAATGGTTGTCCGAGAAGCGATCAGGGTCAAATGGTACAAAGTCAGATCTTAACCCTGGGCCCTGTCGCAGGTCTCCAAGCATATCATTTGGAGACAGATGTTGGGAGGGCGGTGCTGAATTGGAATCCAGCTGTCTGGTAGGCGCATAAGACTCTGCAGGCGTCGGTTGAAGGGCGGGTTGGATGTGCTCTATGGTGGATGGATCCTCGTGGACCCCGAACTTCCGGTCCTGCCTAAGACTACCTTGAATTGCCTCAAGGCGCATGATCAGAAGAGAGGCAGTGTTATCTGGCTGTAGTTGAGTCAAAGCCTTCATACACTTCCACGCCTGCACAGCATAGCCAAGTAGTAATGGAGAACTAGCTCCAACCTCACCGCTGGCTTTGCCGAGGATTTCCACAGTCGATCCTGCAGTCTGCTTCGCCAGATCCAGAATATTCGCATCCACCCGGGCCGTCCTCAGTAAGAGAGAGCACATCACGAAATTCCACATCAAATGTAGATTCAATAGGGCAGGGTTTGACGCACTCATGTCGTGGAGTTGGTAGTGTGCTGGCAGGTTTGCCTTCCAGTTCCGAAGGTCGCTGACAGAGTCTTCTTGTCTGGCGGCATCCAGAGGTGAGACACTGACCCTTGTCAGACGCTCCATAAGTCGCGACATGATATTAAAAGTACTAATCGCCCGTAGCGGGCGCTTAAGATTGGTCCTCTCGGTGCCCATCCAGCTGGAAGGCGGGTTCCAGACCTCCCATTCCTCCAGAGAATCCTCGCTGAGAGACCCATGAGCGAGTTGGTCGTTTGGTGGGAAGTACGGCTTCTTGCCAAGCAGCGCCGAGAGGAAATTGTCCAGCATTAGACAGCCCAGCAGGGTGTGGGTATGTCGTGGTGAGCGCTGCTGATGGATCAAGAGCATCCTTGCAGCCTGACCGACCAGAACCCAGGCTGGCTCAAAATGACCCTGGCCGGCCTTGATCATGACTACGATCAAGGTTGCCTGAATAAATCCGAGCTCAGGACTTTGGTCGTGCTCACTGATTTGTCGCCGGATGAGGGTCAGAATGTACGGAGATGAGGGCACGGCTTCAGGCTGCAAGCGCTTTTGGCCCGAAACAAGGACCACAATGGCCCACAAGCAGATTTTCAGGCCCTTGTCGCCGCTGGTGAGACCGTGCACCGGAGTATCAGAGTACGTGAGGCGTAAAATGTCTCGACGCTCGAGAATTGGGAACCAGCAATGGATGTATGTGAAGTAGAAATCGACCAGATCTGAAGTCTGTGACGGCAACACCTGCTGGTAGAGGTCGCGTAGATCCCCCTCTGTAGTTCTCAAGCTTAGAGGCGGCATCTCGCCTGCCTCACGAACAGACAGCGCATTCCTGGCTCGTTCAAGGTCGCCATCTGGTGAGCTCAAAGGGCTAAGAGACTCGGGGGATGACGCCGCTGCATCTTCTGAGCCAGCGAGAAGGCGTTCGAGGTCTCTCGAAAGACCAGATTTGCGCCAGATATGGGCAGCTCGAGCGTCTCCGGAGGACCAGGCGTCCACATCTTGCGACCGTAACATCATTCGAATCTTGTGTTCTTCACGAGGAGCTTCCCGCAAGATCAGGCCCAGGAGAGCCTCCAACCCTCGTACGTATCCCGTCTGCAGGCCACGTCGTCGGGAACTGCTGTCGTATGTGCAAGTGCGTTTGGACGAAGTGCAGACCAGGCAGGCAGGCAGTTCGCCCCCGCACTTGGACTTGCGCTTTCGACATGGCTGGCATGCTTGTACTGTCCTTTGGCGTTTTCGAGCTGAGAGGCCCGACTCCGACATTGGTCAAGGGCTGATCCAGTGTTGGCAATGTCGGATTTTTCACCTAGCCCTCGCGATTTTCAACATTGCGCTTTTCCTACGGCGCATTGATGGGCCCAACTGTTCCCTCCTGGCCCGACGACGGATATGTAGACGGCAAAGTGGGAGGAGGGACTGGCGACACTCGTTGGAAACAAAAAGGAGCTGCTGTGCTGTGAGAACGACGTCGACGGTAGAGATGGCACGTCCAACTGGAACTGGCCGCAGACAGCCCTCACGTGATCGGATAAATGCATTGCCGTCACGTGGCCCGCCTGCGGTTTGTGCCTGCCTGTCCGGCTGCGGCCGACCAGCACCATGCCACCCAAGCTCGACCACAGACCACAACAGTCATTTCCGTGCTTCTGAGCGTCATCGTCGTCCGACGAGGTTGCTCACATCGATGACACCAAATTCCATGGCAGCGCGCGTCCACCACCTACGTTGGGATGTCTGGTTGAACGTCCCTCGATATCTGTCCCGTCCGGGCTATGATGGCACATTCACCAGTCCCCCCTCTCGGCGGGCAAACACGACTGCAACCAAAGCGTACCTTTGAAGCCTATGAGGCTGACTTCGGCGTTCAGTTGGAGCCGGCCGCGTCAGAGAGTGCTGGCAGTAGGAAGCTCACAAGGCCTGGTAGGGCGGAGGCACCTGCTTTATCAAGACCTCCATCCCCCTCATCGGGAAATTCGCTGTATGACCCGCGCGCTTCGATTCTCCTTGTCGGGTTCTCCGGGGCCGGCAAGCGGACGCTGGGAATCATTGCGGCGGCAGCGCTGCGAAGGCAGTATGTCAGTTTCAGCTCTTTCTTTGAAAGCCACATGGGGCAGACCCCCTACGAGTATATGTCGGTTCACGGGCTGCCCGGTTTCCGACAAGCAGAAATTCAGATCACAGAGAGGCTGCTCAACACTTGCAAGGAAAACCATGTGATCGGTGGCTTGACCGGGCTCGGCAGCACTGCGCAGAGAGAAGTCTTGAGATCCTTCGCGAAAACCAATCCTGTCATTTATATCCAGAGAGACAAGGTTGACATCGAAGGCATGTTTGGCGATAAGGGGAATTTGGATCAACTCTACAAGGCCGGTGATACCTTTTACCGTTCATCTTCAAACTTGGATTTCTTCAATATCACGCAGACGGTGAATACGGCGGACAATGCGAGTCCGGTTGGGACCCTCAAGCTCAAGCAAACCGAGACGGACTTCATTCGCTTCATCCATCGCATCTATGGCCGCCCCCCGAAGCTCCTACACTCTGTGGACCCCTTTTCTCCCTCTTACACCTATGCCTTGCAAATCCGGCTAGAGTGGCTAGCGGCAGGCTCCCTTGAGTACGACAAGCTGGAGTGCGGAGCTGACATGATCAGCTTGGTCATCGATCCCAAGCTCGACCGCATCGGTCACCTTCAAGACCAAATCCCGAAGCAAATGGCCCTGCTGCGCAGATATACAAGAACCCCCATTATGATCGACGTCCTCCATGCACAGCCGCAAGATGCTGTCAATTACATCAGACTGCTCAGACTCTGTCTACGTAGTGCCCCCGAATTTTTGACAGTTGCATTGTCGCTAGACTCCGGCCACCTCCAAGTTGTTGCATCGGCAAAAGGCTTCACCCAAATGGTTGGAGTCATCCACCAAGATACCCCGTGGACAGGTTCACCAGCAAAGTTTCAGTGGTCCGCTCTTCACGATCTGGCCAAGGAGCTTTCCTGTTGCGCAGTTCGGCTCACCAATCCTGCAGTCTCCACATCTGAAAATCTGCCGTATCTTCACGATGCCGGTACGGCGAGAGAGGTCTGGACTTTGCCGTTGATTGCATACAAGACGGGCGCCCACGGCCGGACGTCGATCTGTTTCAATCCCGTCCTCTCCCCTGTCGTGCTTCCCAGCTTGCAGCCACAGGGGATTACTGTGACGCAGGCTCAAAGTGCATTGTATTCCAGCTTCATCCTCTCCAAAAAGAAATTTACGATCTTTGGTCGGAGTGTGGCATACAGTCTCTCTCCTGCAATGCACAATGCTGCTTATGCTGCCTGCGGCATGCCCCACTCGTTCAGCCTGTTGCAGTCAGATGAATTTAGCAGCATTCATAGCTTACTCGAGGACGAAGAATGCGGGGGGATCACGGTCTCATTGCCCTTCAAGCGAAAGGTTTTACCCATGCTTGCCAGCATCAGCTCTGAGGCGCGGGACATTGGTGCAGTCAACACGGTAGTTGTGCAACGAGAACGGGCTGAGGACGGAAGTCCGCAAATCAAACTTAAAGGCTACAACACTGACCACATTGGCATTCGAAAATGCATCGAGCGCAGCATTTCGCCGGCAAACTCCATTCGGGATGGGAGCACCGCGCTGATCATAGGGGCAGGAGGCATGGCCCGGGCGGCAATTTATGCTTGTCGCATGCTGGGACTGACAAACATTTGCATCTACAATCGAACGCTGGAACATGCTCAGGAGCTGGCGGACTACTACAGCCGGCAGAACATGCACATCCATGTACTCAGGACCACCCAGGAGCCATGGCCTGGACAATTGCGGCAACCGACAGTCCTTGTGTCCTGCATTCCTGCTCATAGCATCGGTGGCCAGAGTGCACACGACTTGACAATCCCGGAGCACTGGCTGCAGAGCCGCACGGGAGGAGTCTTCATCGAGGTATGTCCAGCCTGTCCAACTAGAAATTCTGACTAACGTGCCTGCAGTTGGCCTACAAGCCGATTGTCACGCGTCTGATCCGGCAGTTGCAGCTAATGTCGAAGAGTGGCTGGATCACAGTCGATGGCCTCGATGTGCTGATTGAGCAAGGCATTGCCCAATTTGAGATCTTCACGGGCAGACCAGCTCCAGTGCATGTCATACGGAGGGCGGTGCGCAAACAATATGATGCAGTAGTCGGAGCTTGAACTGCCCAATAACCTGGACCGACTCTCAGCTCTGCAGGTCGTGGAGGCCGGAAATTTAGCTGCCTGTGCGGGTGGCTGGATGGATCCGGCACCCTCCTTACCCCTGCCCCGTCAGCCGATCTCTCGGCTGAGCGCTTTGCCGACCTTGTCATGTGGGAGGCATACTTTACCCTGGTCAGGATGCATAACGCTCTCGCGCCGCCATCACCCCTTCAGGCCTCGGTGCCTCAGAAACGATAACATGGCCTCGCTATTGATCAATGGCACCAAACACGACATCATCTCATCCAACTTTGCCAACTCGCGCCAAACATTTATTATCCCACTGGCCGTTTCGGACGTGACAGTCGTAGCCAAGGATCTCGAACGTATCAGCTATGGCGGAGACGCATGGGAACTGCGCGTCGACCTGCTCCAACCCACAGGCTCGACGGGCTGCCCTTCCAAGGATTATGTCGCCGCCCAATTGGAGTTTCTGCGGCAACACTCAGACCTGCCAGTCCTCTTCACCATCCGGACGCTTCCTCAGGGCGGCAAATTTCCAGAGACGGCAGTAGATGAAGCATTGGAGCTGATGCTACTGGCAGCCGATCACGGGTGTGAATACATCGACGTGGAGTTCTCCTGGCCGGCTTCCCTGAAGCAAGAGCTGTCTCGGCGCAAGAAGAGTAGCAAACTGATCGCTTCATTTCTCGACTGGACGGGGAATATTCGATGGACCGATCCAGTCTTGCAGCAATACGTGGAGACCAACGACTACGGCGGTCCGCTTCACACTTCCTGATCGGACTTTCTGAGGCTGACGTTGAACACAGACATCCTCCAACTGAGCATCGTAGCGACAGACATCATAGACTGCCATGAGCAGGCCTTTTTTGTGCGCAAGTACCGGGAGAACCATTCCAAGCCCATCATCGTCGTCGGCATGGGCGAACACGGTCAGCTCGCTCGCGTCACGGGTCCCGTCTCTTTCGTCACCCATCCTCTGATCCCACTGCCATCTGCCCCGGGCCAACTGTCTTTAGCCGAGATTCACCAAGCCCAGCATCTCATCGGACAACTCCCCAGACGCAATTTCTACATCTTTGGAAACAACATTTCTCATTCTCTCAGTCCCACCATCCACAATGCCGCGTTCGCCGAGCTTGGCCTGCCATACCACTATTCCATCCACGAGACGCCTGAGATGGACGACAGTGTACGCGAAATCCTCCTGCGACCAGACTTTGGTGGCGCATCCGTGACATACCCACATAAGCGGAACATTCCCCATCTGCTCGACTCAATCTCTGAGCCGGCCACGAAGCTTGGAGCCATCAACACCGTCATTGCACAAGACACCCCGTCAGGGCGGAGACTGAGGGGAGACAATACTGACTGGATTGGGATACTGAAGTGCATCCAGAGTGGCCGGCTGACCAACCACAAGACTGGTATTGTTATTGGCGCAGGCGGCGCGGCGCGGGCTGCGGTGTACGCATATCAAAATCTAGGTGTCCAGCACATCGCTCTGGTGAATCGGACGAAAGAGAAGGCCGGAAGACTGGCGGCGGATTTCCCCTCGCTTCAGATTGACATCTATTCTTCTGCCGCAGAAGCCCCGGCGGCAAATGTCATCGTTGCTTGCATCCCAGCAGATGATATCCAAGAAGGGGATATTCCAGATCATATATTTGCGGATGGACCTGGCCTGGTCATTGAAATGGCCTACCGGCCTCCGGTCACGGCCCTGATGCGTGTTGCTAAGCGCCATTTGGCATGGAAGGTGCTTGGCGGCGTGGATGTGCTGAAGGAACAAGCGTATGCACAGTTCGAGCTCTGGACGGGCAGGCGTGCTCCTGTATTGGCGATCGAAGAAGCACTAGACAAGGCACTGGCCTCGCACATATAGAATATATTTCATGCTGCAACCTGTGATTTTAGTCGTACAATTTCCATCTCCGCATAACGTGGCGACGATACGTTGTCAATTATGAACTGGTGCTAAAAGGTTTTCCATATAATTGGAGATCTGACTATGGCTGTTCATGGTGAGCATGTGGTGTTGATGAATTTACGACGGGCATTCTGGACAAAGCCAAAGGCAACAACAACACGAACATCAAGATCAACATTAGGTCCAAACACAGTCTGTTTTACTTTTTGAGGCTCCAGATAGAATAATACTGATAATATAACTTTGCATTTCTACAAGCCTAGCTACAGTAATACCTCTGATTACAACCTAAGCCATCCTTTCAACGTGAAGGGCGTCATTTTCAACGTGGAGGGCGTCATGCTTGGTGCCGTTTCCCTCAACAATGTCCACCTGGATTTGCTCGCCGGTGTTTTGGAGACGGTTTATGACTTCCTTGTGTGCATGGCGAGGCTTGAGAGACTTGTCAAACAGCATATCCATGCATTCCAAGGGGATGGATTTGGTCTCTGGCAGCAAAAAGTAGACAAAGGGAATCGAAAGGAGTTGCAAGCTTGCAAAGAAGAACCAGACCCCATACTTCATTTCGGCAAACATCTGAGGCGTGAAACGGGCGACGAGGAAGTTCCACAACCAGTTGTTTGAAGCAGCAAAGGCCTGTGCAAGGGTGCGGACATTCTGATCGAACATCTCGCTGTTGACGACCCAGGGAGTGCCACTCCATGATGGCGTATAGCTGACGGTATAGAGGTAGAAAAAGACCATGGCTGCGATCCCGCCGGACGAGAGGCCGTTGGTTGGATGCTCTGTCGGCTCGGCCACCGCGATGTAGCCGCCGACAACCCAGAGACAAATCGAGCCGCAGAGTGCGCCGTACATGAGCAGGTTGCGTCGACCCATCTGATCAATCATGAATAAGATCCAGATAAAGGTCACGACGGTTTTGATGGCTCCAAATACGCCGGTGGTTAAGAGGCTTGTGTTGGTCCCCGTGACGCCGATGTTGCGGAAGACGGTCGGACTGTAATAGTTGATGGCGTTGATACCAGACCCGTTCTGCCAGAAGAAGAGGGCGCCGCCGAGGAAGAATCGGTATGCAATTTTCTTATTTTGCCAGACTTCTTTGAAAGGGGCGGAGAACTTAGTGCCAATTGAACTTTTCAGCTCCTCCAACGCCTGATCAATCATTTGAACTTCGACGAGCAGGTATGGGTGGTCGGCAGGCAGGTTGCGCAAAAAGCAGAGGGATTTGATCCCTTGGGACCGTTTTCCATTGGTGATCAGCCACCGAGGCGTTTCGGGGAGGAAAAAGGCGCCGACGGTGAGCAAGCCGCCTGGAATGAGCTGGATGGCAAAGGGAATGAGCCACTGAGTGTGGGACTCGGCCATTGTGGTCGAGATGCCGTACTAGAAGAAGAAGAAAGTCAGCCACCCTGATCAAGAGCCGTGAGGAGGGGAACTTGCGTTGATCCAGAACCCAACCAAGCCGCCGATTTGCCAGCCAATCTCCCACATGCCGACCAAGCGGCCTCTGATGGCCGGGGGAGAAATCTCTGCCAGGTATATCGGGATCAAATTGGAGATGGCACCGATCCCGAGACCGGCGACAGTGCGGCCTCCATACAGGTACCCAAATCCGGTGCCTGCGTCTGTTGCCAGCATCACACCAGCGCCAATGACAAAGAGCAGAGAAAAGATCATAAGCCCTATACGGCGACCGAGGAAGTGTCCCGCCGGATAGGCGAGAAAGGAACCGAAGAAGGCACCGGCTTGGTAGCACGACACAATGTTGGCCGAGAGAAGATTCACTCGAGATGTACCCATGTGGTCCAGACCCATCTCATTTCTGAAAGAGGTCAGTGCCAGCGTGCCTCCGATGAAGGCACTGTCATAGCCGATGGTCGCCGCGCCCGACGAGGCCACCGCAGCAACAAAGTAGACCTTCCAGTTGTATACCTCTTTGGGAGTCGGTCGGTCTTCGACCTTTTTGAGAAAGTTGCCACCCATCCCCAGACTGGTTTTTCTTTGGTCTGTAGAGATGCAAAATTGTTCTTCAGGGTTGAGAGCGCCAAGTGTGAGTACCAACCTTGGAAGAAGGAGAAGGAGGAGGAGGAGGAGGAGAAGAAGAATATTAGGAGGTGTTTGGTCCTTACTTCCCCCAGCCTCTATATTTTATATAGGAGTCTGACCGGATTTCCGGGGTACATACCCCTTGACTCCCCGGGACTTCTGGGGTTACAGTAGTCCGTAGACTCAGAAGACGTGGCCTACGGTTAAGAATACAACCGTTAAATTTTCAAAGGCGCGGAGTGTTGTGGGGAAAGCCGAGTTACGTAGTCATACTCCGTAATGTAACCCATTCCAGCCTTCTCCACCGATACGGGGAACCCAGCCTTGACTAATTAAATACCAAATGGATTTGAGCGCATTCTCCGCCTCTCGATATACGCCATTGAACAAGACGGCCGTCAACCGTTCCGACAGACCAGGCCTCTGACTACGCACCAGAAACATAGACAAACTTGTCGCTCTCATGTTCTGAATCACGTAGACCATATCAGACCACGGCCACTACCTGTTACTTGGCTGCATGTAGTTTATCATCCGCTTGGTATATCCTGTGCTGGTACAGAGGGGCCAGCCCCTACCTATTAGCACCCAAGGTCGACGGAAAGAGTCCAGGAATTTCTACAGATGGGTGATAGCTCGTCACACAATAAACCTGGGAGTGAGAGGCCGGGGTAAGACTCAGCCGCTCCCACACGGGATCAGGAAGGAATGGGGATCCCTGGTGTACCTAATGCCTGACGGAATATTATCCAGGAGAGCAACCGGCTGATACTGCAACCGAATGGGTCGCCTCATGACGTGCACTGGAGCAGGCCGGTGAGTAGGTCAAGTTGAGCGATTCCTTGCTGGTGGAGAGGTCTCTACCTATCGGGTGCAATCCGCTCTTCAGGACCCCTCAACGGTAGCACCGCAGCGGTAGTTCTGGGTCAATCGGATGAGCAAGCTGTTCGGATGGGAGCTACCATCGTCAGGTAAGATACATTGTGCTTCCCCCAGCCTAGCTGCTAGTCTTTACTCCTGAATGTCTGACTCGTTGGCCAGGCGTCCACCAATATCGTGTGCCGGGTCTGCTCAGACTATGATTGCTGACTGCCCAATGGGGATGTGCTGGCCTATCTTCATCTAATACTCTGAACATATAGAGATACGACTTCAGCGATGAGTAATGCTGTTGAAGCCATTCGGCATTCTCCTACGACGGATTGTAGACGTACCTAGGTAGATATGCTGAACCGCTGATGCCCCACAGAATTGGCGTGCTAAAGGTAACGGAATCAAAGTTCTAATATCATCGCTACTGAAGACCTTAACCAGAGTGTTCTAACTGCCGTCTGCACTTTCCTCGCGATCCAGGACAATGGTGTTGACTACACCGATCAGCCTAGCCTCGGCGCCTATGAAGCAGAAACAAGACATGGATTCGAGATTACCTTGCAAAATATAACCCAATAGTTATACTATTGATCGAGTTCGTCCTTCTGCAAATTCACCGGCATCGGTAGTTCATCAGTTACGCGGTATGTGAAGATCATGGGGTTCGTTTTGGCAAATCTCGTGAGAAGTCTTCTCATCAGGCTGTCAAAGGTTAAGATGTTCCATGTTCGCTATCAAAGGGGTATAGGAGCAGCCCAGACTATATAGGTGTGCCTATACCAGCATTCTGGTTAAAGGGCACGGCTGGGAAGGCCTAAAGTTAATGCCTAAGTTTGACACAGGCTCGCATATAGTTCACTAAGCCTGCCAATAACATTGTTTTAGCAACACTGTTTCGACAAAATGCCGTCAATGTTCATCTCAAACTGGAGCTGAGATGCAAGACCGTACTTTCTCACATATTCTATGGATGATACACCGACACGATGTCTCAACAATGCCTTGGAATTCAATTCACAAGGGGGACGCAACGTCAACCGGAGCACCTGTCTCGAGTGACTGCTTCAGAGCGTCACACACGATCAGAGCTCTTAGTCCGTCGGCGCCACTGCAGCTTGGCTCCTCTGCGCCTTTGATAACCTTGATGAAATGGGCGAGTTGTGACTCGAAGGGAGTCTTGACATCTACTGTCACCTCCTCAGTCGTCAAGGGAGAAAGCCAGGATTTCACTGTAGTGTTGGCATAGGACCAAATAGTCAAATCCGGAACACTCAACGTCGCTTCTGAGCCAAAGAGTCGGTAGAAATCCTTTCCCGCTTGGGGGATCAGTGGGTTTTCCCCTGTGCCGGCTTCGAAGTTGTGAGGAGATGGTACATTGTCGGAGAGCAAGAAAGAGCCCACGGCCCCCGACTTAAACCTCAGTGTGATAGCGGCGCCTTCGTCAGCATCGAAGCCTCTTCTGGAGGGGATCGGCTCCGCATATACTCGTGTGATTGGGCCCAGGAGGTAATGCATCAGGTCGATTTCGTGGATCAGGTTAATCAAGATAACGCCGCCGGTCTTTGCCCTCCTCCATACTGCAGGAGGGTCAAAATAGTCCAGCGGCTTATATGTTGCCCATATGCCATTGATGGCCACCAAATCCCCTATCCTGCCGGAAGCAACCACGTCTTTGGCAGCCAACATGTAGGAGTTGAATCGGCGGTGATGTCCCACGAGCACCTTGACTCCCAATTCTTGGGCGGTGCGGACGAGCTCCTGTCCGCTTTCGATGTCGGTGCTGATGGGCTTCTCAACCAGAATATTCACCCCTCCTCGAACCAGTTCCAAGCCCACGGCCACATGGGTGTGGTTGGGAGTGCAAATGATCGCGCCATCGGGCTTGTCAGCCGACTGGAGCAAATCAGCCACAGTTTTGTAATATGGGACTTTCAGCTTTCTGGCGAGCTCCTCCCCTGCCGACGTCAGGTCAACAATCGCAGATAGCAGGGCATTGGAGTCTGCTGCCACTGTTTGCGCATGTCTTGGACCAATAAGCCCGGCCCCGATGACTGCAATCTTGATCGGTCCAGCCATGGCGCTCGTCAACACGATCAGAAATACTAGTCAAGAGTAAGAGACGAGTCGCCTGCCCATTATTTGTTCTGTAAAAGGTATTGCACAATAGCCCTCCTCGCCATCGGGTGTTTGGTGTATCCTGTGTCGGCTTAATCCTTAGCCAGGGCGTTGCCGAAAAGCGGTATCGTCTCCTATTGGCCATCCCCGCCTTATATACCCACAGAGGGAAAACTCAAGAGGTGACGACGGTTTGTATGAGACCACAGCTTCGAGTTTTCCGCTGTTATAAGAGGCTCTATTATCAAGTCACAAACAGCATCTATACATAAATTGCCTGGCTTGTTCTCATAGACGCCCATCTGGCCCTTACTTATCACCATCCAAAACAACCACTAGCCTTTGACGTCAATATGCCTTCAATCCTTCTGGTGAATGGCCCCAACCTCAACCTCCTCGGCACACGAGAACCCCATCTATATGGCAGTACCACACTGAAAGACGTTGAGCAAGCGGCGGTGGCTCAAGCCGAGGCTGCCGGAGTCCAACTAGAATCATTTCAATCAAATCATGAAGGTGCCATTATCGATAGACTGCATGCAGCTCGCGGGGTGGTGGACGTGATTGTCATCAACCCAGGCGCCTTTACACACACAAGCGTTGCTATCCGCGACGCCCTCATCGGAGTCTCAATTCCTTTTATAGAGGTTCATATCACCAACGTCCACGCACGAGAGTCGTTCCGACATCACAGCTACTTGTCGGACAAGGCGACTGCGATCATTATTGGATTGGGAACTCATGGATACACCGCCGCCATTGAGCATGCCATTAAGAATCTTATCAAGTCATGATGGTCTTGGTTGTAATAGGGTCACTAGGAGAGTTCTAACAAGGACAACAGAAAGAGAGATAATGGAAAAAGTGTTTATGCTCTACTACTGGACTTGATATCTAACATGAAAGTCTCAAAGGTTTCGAAGGGGAACTTTCTAACAGATAACTCGTAAATTATCTACAGGGGGTCTTCAGCTTAAGCATACTCTAGGGAAATAGGAGCCTGTTTCGGGAAGACGGAATCCCGGTCTGGACCTCCTTGGAACGAAACTGGAGCTCTCCCAAGGCGCCAAAGTCCTCTTTGATGGTTCTGGCGCTTGTGGACCGCTAAAGATGAGCAATTGTTCCGGTCCTGTCATTGGTGCTACTGTCGCGGCCTCGGCTGAATGGCTGTTATGCCATGACGGAGCGCTCGTGGGGAACGAGGTTAATAAAGTTGCCGAAGTCTTCGGACTCGCCCGATCCCCGACTGGGAGATCTGTTCTTGTAGATGTCTCGTGAACCAGTCTCGAGGATACCGTATTTGCATGAAAGCTCTTCAGTCCTTGCGAGAATATTATATATTCGAGGAACTAGAGTGTATCTTCGAGAGAGAGGATGATTCATAGTAAGTCGACCATGCTCAACAGGATATTATGTAGGATGCCTGTAATATCGCTGATGTGACGGTCGGATCGGGCCTTCGTGACTTCCTCCTAAAGCACAAACTGCTCTATATTCCAAAAGTGTGAAGGAGACACCGTCATTGTATTATACATGTCATCAATCGTATTGGTGGGAGCACAATTTGCACCGACCTTTTCAATCATTCACCCAGACCTAGTGCCTCTCTTCTGGTCGGCGCCTTTGCATCGAAATACGGCTTCTCGGCTAGCGAGATAACCCTGGTTCCATGCCGGGGTTCCTCGCCTTCATAATCCCAGCTTACAACGTGAATGGTCGTACGATTATCCCATAAAGCGCTTGTCCGCGGAGTCCATTGAAATCGAACCTGGATATCCGGATTCTTCTCGTACACATCAAACAGATAGCCCAAAATCAGATCACTCTCAGCCTTGTCGAATCCGACGATGTGTGAGGTCCAAGAGCGGTTGACGTACAACGACTTCCATCCTGTCGCGGGGTGGACACGCACCAAAGGATGGGTTCTTTCGATCGAGACCGGGCCTCCGGTAGGATTCGACTTGGAAAGAAATTGGACAGAACCCTTAATAACGGCATATTGCCCATCAATGACCTTCCGGAAGGATGGCGACAGTTTCTCGTACGCAGAGTAGCCAGAGGCCCAGAGTGTGTCGCCTCCGATATCCGGCACTGTGTCGTGGTGGACATGAGTAATTCCGGCTGGATACTTCCCGTGTCCCTCATCACTATAATTGACCTTAGCCGTCTGTCTACATGGCCCAATCACTGATAGACTTACGTGTGCCATCGAGAATTGCCGCCTGGATGGCGAAAGTCGGCCGGCTTAGATGTCCTCATCAGGTCCGGCCAAATGACCTGTGCACCCGGTACACCAGGAACATAAGGGTTTACATGCTAAGTACGGTCAACAATCACTCTATGACAACGCAGGGTGAATACAAATGTGCTTACACTAATGTCGATATCGCCGTACCACTTCCCTAATTCCTGCTGTTGCTGAGGGCTCAGATCCTGATCGCGGAAGAAGACGACTGATCGCTCTGCAATGAGAAGTCCCAACTCGTCTTTCTGCTGTGGGGTCAAGTCCTACAACAGTCAACTTCGACCACACAGCCATGTCTGGAAGAACATACCTTCAACTGGAGTCCCACGATTTCTGTGCCTATATGTTTCGCCAGGTGCCTTACTTCCTTAGCAGCCCCGAGCAAGGCTTTCTTGTCTGGATCGGCACGACTACCTGGGTCGACGTATTCGCGGTCCTTGGGCTCCAACTCCAAGGCATCCTCTAGCCAAGTAAGCTTGCGAGGATAGTCCGGGTACCCATTTGAAAGATCTATCCCGGCTCTTTGCAGCCGCTCTAATGCTGGACCCGGAATGGGCAAATGCCGTTCGAGGTTCTGTTCTTTGGACTCCGGGATCTCGAGATGTGTGGTAGGTTGCTCTGTGCTTATTGGATCCGTCTTCTGCTGCCGGAGAGGAATGATAGGATATTTCGTAGGTGCCTCTCTTATGAGAGTCTCGGTGGCAGAGGGGCTCATTATGAGTGACTTGGAATGATAGACTGTTTGCACATAGGCCGTACCCGAATCTTCCAAGGGCAACACCTTCGAGGCCGATCACGAAACTGTCGTACTAGTATGACTCCTGCAGATAAATATTAGGCTGTATTAATCTTGAATGTTCTTCTTAGCTGGGCGGGTGGTGAATCAACTCCACTTTAGGATCGACAGGCGAGCACGCGATATACACTATAAGCTCGTAATCTTTCAGGATCGACGTTCGATTGGGAAGTGTTCTACAGATCAGACCCCACGCCTCAAATTTTAGATCCCGAGATAGACCTAGACCCCGAAGTTTGCGGACCCCGAAGCTTAGCACCCGTCGAGTTAGCCGAGCTCCCATTGCGCTACCATTATCCTATACAAACGGTGTCAACGTACTTTTGCTAATATATTTGTATTGGGCTGGAAGTTTCTTTCGCTCGGGCATATCTTAGCCCAGCCCTAGTAATAGCGTACATATTAGACAGCCACAAGGTACTTAATTAATTGTTAGATATCGTCGCTATCTACTAGCAGATCAAAATTTCCAGTAAACTATACTATCGTTGGCATTTACCGGAGATGCGAAACAGCGAATCAAGATCTACAGGGCCACCCACTAGTATCGGACTCAGGTCCGACCGTTGCCACCCAAAGCAGGTATCCATATACCCCGAGTGTGACCAAGTTATCAAGTTGGTGGGCTTGGCTCTCGGGGAGCTCGCATAACGGGATTTGCACTTTGAGTGGCTGGAACTGACTACCTGGCCGCGAACAGGGCAAAGGAGTGCGTTCCCTATGACCATCTGGGGAAAAGCGTTGAAGACGCCATTCATATGAGTATTCACGCCATTTTCTACGGTCATGGGTAAGGCTTTCAAACCCCTAGGGGCTCAGGGCTCAAACTCGATATATAACAAGCTAGCATTTTCCTCCGTAAAGATGTAATCTCACCTTAGTAGTGTTCAGCACTGGTCACGTCTGAGTCATGTCTGAGCCGACGGTCAAGGCACTCGAGGAGAATGTCGCCCGTCGAAATATTGAGCACGCCAAAGCCCGTGGGGTCGAGAATGGGAAAGATGTGTCTACGGAAAAGCGCACGTGGAAGAATTATTTCTGGGACAGTTGGGACAAGAGCCCTGAGGTGAGTTGTGACCGTTCAAGGAGTTCACATTCTAGCATCTGATCCAAGAACTAGGAACGCCGACTTATATTCAAGGCGGACAGTACGCTTTTGGCATTTGCGTGCTTAGGCACCTTCGTCAAGTACTTGGATCGATCCAACATCAACAATGCCTTTGTGTCGGGAATGAAAGAGGAGATGAGCCTCTACGGCAACGAGCTTATCCATGCCAACAGCTACTACTATATCGGCGGACTGATTGGGCTCTGGCCGATCAACCTTCTGCTGACGCGGACCAACCCACGATATCTCATTCCCTCGCTCGAACTGGGTTGGACATTGGCCACCTTTGGGCAAGCCAAAATGACCACTGCAGACCATATGTACGCCCTCCGAGCTCTTGTCGGTCTTTTCGAATACGGCCACTTCTCCGCCGTCATGTATCTTTGCGGCGCCTGGTACCAGAAGGCCGAGCTTGGACGACGCATGGGTCTGATCAACGCAGCCACGGCCATTGGGCCGATGATTTCTGCGTACCTTCAAGCAGCCGCGTACAATGGTCTGGACGGCAAAGGTGCCATGTCTGGTTGGAGATGGCTTTTCATCGTCGATGGGATCATCTCTATCGGTGTACTTCTCCCGCAATTCTTTGTGTTGCCCGACGTTCCATCCCGACAGAAGAAAGACTGGATCTTCACCGAACAGGTAGGATGGCTCGCTGGAGACTTTGAACCCAGCCCATGGAGACTAATCACCGGTGATGCAGGACATCGAGCTGGCGAGAGATCGCAACCCCATTGAGGGACGCATTAAACAGGGCCGCTTCACGCTTTTCCAGATCAAACGATGGCTTGTGACCCCGGAGATTTGGCTCTTGTGGATCATATCCTTCTCGAGTTCGGTTGGGTTCTACCCCTCTAACTCCATGTCATTCTGGTTCAAGGCATGGAACTCCATCAAGCCTGGCTCCTACACGGTCGGCCAAATCAACGCATACACCACCCCGATCTACGCAATGGATCTACTCCAGATGCTCCTGTTCGGATGGTTAAGCGACACTCTCTTCCGTGGGCGGCGCTGGCCGAGCCTTCTCATCGGCTGCAGCATCAACCTCTTGGTCGTCATCCTCCTTGCAGCCACCCCGGTGTTCCCAAAGCACCGCGCATTCCGCTTCTTCTTGTACACACAGACCAGCTGGGGAACGGCAGCTAGTACCATGTTCTGGGCCTGGACGAACGAGATCTTGAAAGGTGACCCGGCCACCCGTGCATTTGCCGGTGCAGGACTCAATATCTGGGCTGGGATAGCGGTCTCAACCATGTAAGTTGCGCACTGGTACGGAATTATGCTATCATTACTGACATAACCGATCAGTCCCTTGGGCGTGTTTCAAACAGTGCAGCAACCCGCCGTGACTGCAGGAAATTGGACGGCTGCTGGCTTTCTAATCTTAGAGATTTTGGCCACGTCGGCGCTGGCTTACTGGTCTCATCGCAAGCACAAGAGGCTCATCAACGATGATAATGTTCACCAAGAGGCGGAGATTGTCTATTCTGACCAGGGGACTGCTGTTGATTCAAAGGTCCCGGCGACTACGGTTGATTCAAAGGCCTCAGCGACTGCTGTTGAGTCGAAAGTCTCAGAAACTACCATATTTTGAATCCGGCAAACTTAACACCTTAGCTTGATATGAATCTAAGAGATACCCCAAAAGCTGATCGCTGGTAGCGCAGAAATAACACGTAGACTAAGCCATAAAGACCTTGGTGCTTGAGATTTCGCGATCACCAAAAAACCTCCTGATATCGTCGATCAATAAATCAGGCACGTCCAGGCTCGGGAAATGGCCACCTAGCTTGTGGACAGTGCGGTATCTAACGTTGCCACCTCTTCTGGCCCATTCTAGAGGAGTTCTGTACCAGATGTCATAAGGGAACTCGGATATTGCCACGGGTTGTTTCACATAGGGCAGCTGGTTGATGCCCTGTGGGGAGATTGCACCGTCCTGTAAGGCGAAACCAGCAAACATGTCAGTCTGAATCTTAATCCGGGGCGGTAAGACAATTACGTATTTGCTGGAGGGAACGACTAGGAGACCGCAACGCATCCCTATTCTCCTTTCCTGATATGATGCTTATCAATGAATTTGAAGATTTGACGCACCTGGGCACCATTCTTATACAACGAGAATGCACCGTAGGGTCCATTGATCCAGTGCATCATGGTCCAGGTAATCAATCGGTCCGGCGTCCAGATTTTGGCAGGGTCCGTAACGCCAGCTCGGACGCTATCATAGATCCACATGGCCAGCCCGATGGGGCTGTCGGTAAGACCTATTGCCAGACGTGAGGGGCGGGTCTGTTGCAGCTGGGCATAGCCCCAGGATGTCGCAGTGAAGCTCTGGTAAAGGTCGATCACGTATGTCTCGTCGTCAGATGTTTGGTTTTGGGCACGCCGGACCAGATCCCCCTCGCGCGGTGGCGTCACCCAGAAATTGGATAGTCCTGAGACAACATTATCGGGCAAATCCACGGCCGCGTACCGGTTGATCAGGTCACCGGCATCTCCGCCCTGGAAGACATACTTGTCGTAACCGAGCTTCAACATCAAGGCGCGGAAGGTCGCCCCGGCCTGACGATAGCCAAACCCGGGTTTTCGGGGGGAAGGGCTGAATCCATATCCTGGGATCGAGGGGGCTACGACGTCAAATGCCAGACTCCCCGAATCGGGAGGCTCGGTCAGTGGCGCAACAAGACTTTCAACTTCCAGAAAAGACCCAGGCCACCCATGCACGAAAAGCAGTGGAATCGCGTCGGGACGACCAGACTTGTGATGGACAAAGTGCAGAGGAACAGGGTCTGCGTATCTGTGATGCGCAGTCAAAGGCGTTTGGACGGTGGTCGTGAAATGGTTCAGGCTTTGGTTTAGGTGCGCTTCCACACTTCTCCAGTCATAGTTGTCGGTCCAGAACCGAGTGATTTCTCGCACATAGTGCTGAGCGGGTCCGTCGACATTTTCTTCTGGGTGCTCTTGGTCCTCAGTGAATCGAGTCAGCGAAACTTTGAGACTTGTCAGGTCAAGGAAGTCCTGCTTCACGGAAATTTTGAAGGGGAGTATTTCCTCGCTGAAAGTCACCGCGAAATTCAGCTTCAAGTCCTTGTCTGTTAATATGCTGGAGAGAGTGGGCGGAGATCCCATCGTCACAAAGAGGTTGAAATGTTAGGATGTGGATGCAGCAAAGAGGGTGATTGAATTTATCTTGGATAACGAAGAAGCGAAGACTCAATAGGTCTCTTCCCAAGCACCAAAGTATATATATACACTATATGTATATACATCCGCAGATTACTTTACAGTAAGCCAAGAGTGGCTATGCCTGTATCACAACTATTGCTACAGGTACATGTATATACATGTAGTGCAGTACGGAGGAGTAAACACCTGGTATGCGAAGCCCTTATTGGCTCCTCATTCTTTCCCGCCGCAATTGCTCCTGGAACGTTCAACATTCCAACTGCCACATTATAAACAAGCCTTGTTTACAACAAAGACTCAGAACTTCTCGCGATGAAACAAATGGCACTACTGCTATTCACAGGCCTCTTTGTGGGCCACCTGCCTGGGGAACTCGTTCCTCTTTAACACTGGCACATCCCTCGCCATGGACAACCGATACCCAGTTTCGAAAACGCAGGCCCGTCGCTCACATCTGAACCCATCTGAAGCTTTGCAGGCAACATTGCTGGATCATACTACAGGGACACTTACAGGTATGTCATTCTCGATGCTGTATATTTTTGCCCAGAGCGCGTAATGCTAACTTATCGGGCGCAGAGATTCCACAGAGCCACAAGCACAAGACGCAATCTCTAGTGAACGGAGCTCTCTGCCAGGAGACGACGCCGACGCATTTTACGAAAAGGCGACACGAGGCGACACTTGAGAGCAACACAGTGCCCTGGAAGAGAGCCAGATTGGCCGGGCAAGACACACTACAACCAAGGGCTAAGGAGCAGCCGGAGCCTGCGCAAACGACTCTGCAACAGCCAAAGCCTTGGAGGCCTCGACACGCATCGTTCTTACAGGAATCTATCCGGCCGGATCCCGCCCCTGAATCTGTCCACACTTTTATTTTGGAGTGGCTCGCATCAGTTGGTTCAGACCGAAAGGAACGCTGCTGTTCTGATAGCCATCTTCACCATTCAGACAAGTACATTCCGAGACGGCTCACGAGATCAGTACCAGAAATGGACCACACCCGGGATGCTGACGCATATATGGTGCCCCTGACGCCAGCTTCGGTCGGATCTGGTTCCTACCTAGGCGGTCCAGACATCGGCTCGGTCGTGGCATCGGACGTTACTGGTGTCACCCCTAGCTCAGGGGGATCGTCTGGAAAGAGCCTCGTCCAAAACCCTTTGTACAGAATTGCCTACTTGGCCGACAACAAAATCTTTCTGCGCGATCGCGAGGAATATCCGAAGCATATTGGTAGCCTTGTTGGTGAAATGGGAAAAGATCGTGACTCTCCCGGGCCATCTCCAGATGATGTGTGGCAAGACTTGTCTTTGAGAAAACTTGAGCTCGGAGCTGCGGAGTCGACTGTAGAACGGTACTTCTGCACCAATCTCTTGCCCAATCCCGGCCCGACTGAGAGTCTAATGTGCAGCTACCGACAACCAATGCATAGACATGCAGTCCCCAACACAGGCTCGAACTTCAAAATCAGCACCCCTGTCCCGGACATGGCATACGGATACAATCGTGAGACAGCGTTTACTGGTGCTCATCAAACTCTACTACTTACGGAAAGCTCAGTTGCTGCCAATGTTCACGATTTACTATATCCATTTTTGGTCATCGAGTTCAAGGGCGATTCACCCTCTGGCAGCGGGAGTTTGTGGGTTGCAACTAATCAATGTATGGGCGGTTCTGTGTCCTGTGTCAATGTTGCCGAACGTTTCAACCATCGGCTAGGCCACTATCAGAGCGACGAGGTCCAGCCTAGTAACACCGCCGCATTCAGCATCGCGATGAGTGGCACAGAAGCGCGGATCTTCGTCTCTTGGAAGCATGATGAAGGCAAGTACTATGTGCAGAAGGTCGACAGCTTTTTACTTCAGAGTCCTGAGGGCTACCTGAAGTTCCGCAAGTTCGTGCTGAACATTATTGACTGGGGGAGAGGCAGGCGCCTAAATGAGATCCGGAAATCCTTGGACACCTTGATGGAGGAGAGCAGGAAGGGGCCTCCTAAGCTCGCAAAGGCTCGTCCATCGCCGCTTGCCGGTTCTGAGACTCGTCCTAGCAAGAAGCTCAAATTGTCAGCATGATTAAGATATCTACTCTAGGGAAGCCATAGAGTCTACAGAGATAGTAGCTTGAGAAAACATTCACCCCGACAGAGCTGGAGATTTCCTCGTTATTATTGACGTCCGCTAGTAATGCTGACACCCACCCTGAGGCTCTATCTGGCTCGACTATGTTGGGAGTTGATGGTTGGCTATTTAGTGTGCAAGTTCGACATCTCAAGATGCTTCGTCCTCTCTCCTATACCATCTCATCCTCCTCCTCCTCCTAAAAGAAGGCAGCTGAGAGTAACATCAAGTGCCAAACTGACATCTGTTCCTCCACCGACAGGGGTACCTCAGCTCTATACGATGATTTCGTACGCATTCGCAATTGTCTCGACGCCAATCGTCTGCTACCTGTCTGATCACTTTGACTGATGAGGTATGACGAGTCTCTTGTGCATCACTTCTTGCGTTGTCGGACTGGATGCTCTTGACCACCACGAACAAGCTCGCCCTCATAGCAGCCTGTTGCTTTATCGCCGCCGGCTTGATCATTGCGGCTTGGGTGACGGCGATCCATGCAGGATACACGAAGAAGTCAAACCACGTGCACAATCAATATGGTGAGCCGGCCTGTCCGTTCTCTCTGCGCTGCCGCTGACCTGCAATTGCTGTTCAGATGCTTAGGGAGGTCTATCCAATTATTGCCACCCAGATTTATGACAGTCCGCCTCGCTTCCTCGAAAGTTACGGCATCACTTTAGGCCTTCTAGGCCTATCGCTCATGTGCCTGACCATTCTTTACTTTTCGCTCTACCGCGAAAACAAGAAGAGAGATGCCAATGCCAAAGAGCTCCAAGAAAGGGGAGATGTCTATCCGCTAGCGTTCGAGGCGTTCGAGGAGATGTACGGCTATCATCCAAATTTTAGATACGCGCTATGATGAGAAGTCATCAGGTGCTGTAACTTCCAATGGGGGCATCTCACTAAGGACTGTGCATGATGGTCTGCAAACTACCACTAGATGAACGCCACTGGACGGCATTCATGTTGGTCGCCGAGATAAGGCGCCGGCATTCAAACAATCCAATCCATCCCAACACTGGAGCTGGAAACTGAATTTAATACCCCACACAACCGCCGATAGCAGTTGCGATGTGATGACTACAGTACAACACCGAGAGAACACTACTTGTTCCACGCACATTGTAAGCCCAGATCTGGGCCTGGCCTCACCAACAAGCGGTGGCGTACATGGCCTTAGCTTATCTACGCCCTGGTCTCCCTTAAGGCCTCTTATACTCGGTCTCCGTCGATTTTCGACATTCTTCAAGATTGTTCGTGAAAAACGCACTCCATCTCTTTAGCAATAGCTCCAGAAACAACAACCCCTCACCCAGACATGTCCGGCCCGGGGAAGGAAGCCATGGTCGAGCAGACTGCAAGGTCCGATGACTCTCGTTGTGCCGATGAGGAGGCAGGCTCAGTCCTTCGGCTGCCCGAGCGAGAGACGGTCAGGCGCGACCTGCGCGAAAGACACATCCAGATGATCTCCATCGCTGGGATGATCGTACGTTCTGCTCTATGAGAAACCGAGACCATCGTCCATCTAACTTGCGGATTGTGCAGGGGACTGGTCTATTTCTGGGATCGGGAAGCGCCATCGCCAGAGCAGGCCCCGTGGGTGCGCTCCTGGGCTATGTCATCATGGGCTTCATCACCGCAGGCATCGCATACATGAGTGGCGAGCTGTCGGCGTTTCAGCCTGTCAGCGGCGGATTCGTTCGTCACGCCACCCGCATGATCGATCCGGCCATGGGCGCCGCCACCGGTTGGAACTTTTGTACGTGCTTGTGCTCACTCGGCAGCGGGCTTCTCTTCTCGCAGCCCCAGCCGTACTGGGATCTGACTTGTCAACCCTGTCTGTCTTCTAGGGTACAGCATGGCCATCACCGCCCCCGCCGAGATCACAGCAGCCTCAGCGCTGATCCAATTCTGGGACACCAAGACGAGCCCGGCTGTGTGGATTTCGGTGTTCCTTGTCGTCATTGTGGTCATCAACTTTTGTGGAGTGCGTGTATACGGAGAGGTGAGTTGATTAAGAAACAAAAAGAGTCTAGAGTCCTACAGTAACTCTAAACCAAACCAAACCAAACTGTGTCCGTCTGGCTGACGCAAGATTCGGTGTCTTCAACAACATAGTCCGAAGTCATCTTTGCCAGTCTCAAGATCCTCCTCATCATCGGACTGATCATTGCAGGGCTCGTCGTGGACCTGGGCGGGGGCCCTGACCATGACCGCCTTGGATTCCGATACTGGAAGAACCCGGGCCCCTTCAATGCCTACCTCGTCGAAGGCAACACCGGCAAATTCCTGGGCTGGTGGAGCACCCTCATCACCGCTGCCTTCTCGTACGCCAACGTGCAGGTGGTCGCCATTGCTGGGGCTGAAACTCGTGACCCACGGAAGAACATTCCGGAGGCAATGAAGAGAACGTTCCTGAGGGTGCTCGTATTCTATGTGTTGAGCATCTTCATCGTCGGGATGATCGTGTAAGACACAAATCTTTGCGCTTGAACTCGAAGATAGCGTCCTCTGACTGACTCGACTCGATAGTCCCTATAATGATCCCCAGCTGTCTGTGTCTTCCGGGACTGCGGCACAATCACCCTTCGTCATCGCTTTCAGCAGAGCAGGCATCAACGTCCTTCCCGACATCATCAATGCCATCGTCTGTACATCAGCCATCTCCAGCGGCTCAGCCTGTGTTTTCATCGCTTCGCGCACCCTGTACGGATTGAGCAAAGAGGGTCAAGCTCACCGTATCTTCCAGAAGACAAATCGCTGGGGCGTGCCGGTCTTCTCTCTGGGATTGTCTTGTCTGTTCCTGCCGTTGGCCTATCTCGTGCTGGGCACTGATGCCTCAGTGGTCTTTGGATGGTTCGTCAACATCACCACGGTGGCGGGATTGATCGGCTGGGCGGTCATCTGCGTGACCTGGCTGAGGTTCAACCGAGCATTCCAGGTCCAAGGACTCTCCAGACAATCGCTTCCTTACCGCAGTCCACTGCAGCCGTACACCGCTTGGTTCTGTCTGGTCTGGGTGATCCTGATCATCCTCTTCTCTGGCTTCGCCGTTTTCTTCCCCGGCAATTTCTCCGCCAGCAGTTTCCTGACCGCGTATGTGAACATCCCGATTTTCATCGCGCTCTTCATCTTCTTCCGCATCTACTATCGGTCGAGGTTTCTTCGCGCACACGAAATCGACATCAAGACCGAATTGGCCTACATCGCCCAGGAGAAGGAGCAGCAGGCAGAACTCACAGAGATCACCCCCCGAAGCACGTGGAAGAGAGTGTTGGACAGGGTGCTCTGATTTGTCATCATATAGGCACCCCGACCTTGCCCTTTCCACTTGGCACACTTGTGTACATGTATTTAGGATTTAGTCAAAGTTCTTCCAACCTAGGCTCTTAGTAAATAGCAGGGGTCATTTCAACTAGCTCTTAATGCTTATCATGACTGGCCTTGTTGATCGTTACCGCGGTCTCCTCAGATATTGTCATTCATGGGCTCCTGCAAAAAGGTCTCTTCATTGATGCTGAAGCCAGCCTGAGCAAAGAGCGCCTCCCACGTCTCATCGTCGGTAAATATGTGGTCACCGACTCGAGCTTGACTCGGGTGGTTCTGCTGGTGGTTCCGGTCCGGCTCGACAATCCCACTGTCACGAAGTGCGATGGGCCCATCCTGGGTAAGACCGGACGGCGTCTGTGCCTCAGCAGCACGTATCAGCCTCGTGGGTGTCGCAAGCTGCGGACGTTGACCTGCCGATGGGAGGCCTTTGACTGCGTCCTTGGCCTTCTCGTACTCTTTGACCACGTTCTTCAGAAAGTTGGCTTGCAAGGCGCAGCCATTCTTCGGGGGTGCACCTTGCTTCGCAAATGACTCGGCTGCGATCTGAATCGCCGTCATCGAAGTCTCCTCGAAATTCTCGCTCAGATAGGGTGGTAGAGATAGCAGTAGCTGTGAACGGTCAGCGTGTTCATTATAAAACGGGTCTTGCCGCTCCTGTGGCTGGGCTCCCATACCTTGATCAGAAGCACCGCAGCGTACGCCGTCATGACATGGATGGAATCTTGTGCAAAATATAAAAGATGCGAGATTTCACTGTCGGCCACCAACGCCAACATCTCGGTGGCGGTGGTGAAGCAGGCCCAGATGGCCTGCCTGGCGGTCGTCCCTTCGGTATCCCCGGCATCCAGACAGATAAAGAGCGGAACCGAAGAGGATACCAGTCGCAGGTGTGTGCCGTAGAATCGGACCAGAAATCGATGGCATGGCTCCACATAGTCTGTGAGTCGTGCTGTCAGTGTCCGTTCAGGGCGGTCAAGCTACCGGGAAGCCTACCCATGCCATCGAATAGTGCCAGCCAGTCCTTCTGCCAGTGGTCTATATCCCTGTTCAGCAATCTGGGCGTGGTTTGAATGGCCGAGAGAATATTCCTAGAACGAGGTTGGCGGTGAAGGTTGAAATAGTCGATCGTTCTCGTGCCCACGAGACGGAGGGAAACAAAGGCGCACAGTAGGACGTCGTTGCTAGGCACTGCCAGGTCGTGCTTATGCCAGCTGGCCACGGACTCGATGAGCGCGGTCTGATCGATCATCCATGGCTTCCCCATCTGGAGGCTGATACTGTAACCACCCAACCACCCTGCATCAGCCACACACGAAGTGATTGGACATTCCATTCACCCTCCACTTACCTCCGATCATATACAAAGAGAACAAGCCAGGTCCTCTCCATGCTGCGGACTTCCCGCCTTTCCAGCTCCGTCTGGGAATTGGGCCCGTTGAAGGCATCCGTACCCAGATTGTGCCATCCTAGTTCGAAGCAGATCCGGATCGCGTATCCGATGGAAAGCCAGGCTCTACTGTCGTCTGGCTCCTTCCAGTAGGTGGAAACCATGATGGCCTGCACCGCCTCGATCGATTTGACCCCTTTGCTGAAGCTTCGCGCCATCAAGGTTTCCGTGTGGGCGCGCAGGTCGAGATGCAGCGACGGGTTGAATGCCTTGGCCGCCGCGGCAAGAATGGAACTCATCAGGAATGGAGAGCGTCGTCGGATATATGCGAACGTGTGGAGGACAGGATCAAATTGATTGATGAAAGGATTTAATTTGTTCATGAAGCTGCGATGGTCAATCGACGTCAGATACGGCGAGATTCTAGAAGGGAAGCAGCGTCTAAACACCTTTCGAATAATGATCGCGCAATGGCCATGTTGACGATCCCATGCTGGATGGGATCATCGTCAAGCACCAGATCTGCTTCGACCGGCGTCTTGTCCGGACCGGCTTCCGCTCGCGAGGAGGAGCTTTTTATGGCGCTCAGAATGTTCTGTAGGGAGAAGCTTCCGTTCATAGCACCGTCATTCAGCAATCTCGACGGCTGCAGACCTTCGGACCAAAGCCGCGAGTCAGGCTGGGCCGAAGATGCTTCGTCTGGACGGTCCTCGAACTCGTCTCGCGACAAGCTGATCCGGTCGACGGGCTCGGATGTGTTGTGGAAGGCACTTGATGAGGGCCGGGCGAGTCTGGAGGCGCAGTGAGGGAAATTCTAGCAGTCGGCACGGAGAGCAGCCTACCTCACGCCCGGTTTGCGGCCTCGTTTATGTTTCTCAAAGACACACGTCAGGCTCTTCCGTGTGCATCGGTCGCATCTGCCGCCATCAAGGCTTGGCCTGCATTTCATCTTGACCTTCCGGCAAGCAAGACAGGCATTTTGGCTGCTACAGTAGACATGTCAACTGAGAGGTCCTCGAGCCATGTCGGCGGCGGAGGTGGCGCGGGAGGCTCACCTCTGTCGGTCTCCAGGGGCCCTTGATCGCACGGCTGTAGCCAGCTCGTCTTCCATCATTGGTAGCCGACTGTGATTGGGAGAGGCCGGAGCAGGCGTGGTGGAATCAGGTGTAGACTGTGAGAGCATGGTAGTTCGTGGTAGGTGGCCGGTGTTCCGAAGGTCGCCGTGAGGCCTCATCACGTGACAGTCATCACGTGATGGGAACAATTGCATGAAATCTCGTGACTTCAAAACTAACTCAGTTGGGCAATCTCAGTTTTGACTGGTATCGCCGAAAGATCCTCAATGGGGCTGAAAGAGATACTGTGTATCAGGTGGCGCGGCGGGAGCATCAGACATTTTGGGAGAAGTCCGGCTCGGTTTAGGGCGGAGATAGAAGTCAAGATAAGATTGACCGTCGCCGGCCTTTTAAGACGCCGGTCCCCTGGTGGCGTTTGCGAAAGATGCCGATGTCGATGCCGACGCCAATGCCGGGCGACCCTGGTCAGATGCCCGCGAATCGAGATCCGTGCAACCCGTGGCACTGGACGAGGCTAAGTGTCCCAGGGCCTTCTTCATCACCTGTAACTTCCCGTCTCCTTACACCAGCGCGGGAATCATCCAACGACAGCCACGATGTCTCGTACGTCGGCGCCCGCGGTGAAGAATGCCCATGTCAACTTGTCTACCGACACCATCATCGCCAATCTTCCAGCCGATGGCCTTCGCTCGATCATTCGCACCATTCTCGTGCAGGCGCCCGAGGTCACGGATCTTCTGGAAGAGCAAGCCAAGAAGTACTTGCGAAAGACGATGCCTTCCACTGTCGGCTCGCTGTTCATCAACGAGGCACCCAGCAGCGCCGGCGCCAGAGAGTCCGACAACTTCTATGCCACCCAGAAACGAATCCGGTCAATGCTAGGCTGTGGCCTTGGGTTCGAGAGTCTCGCCCTGCTTCGAATTGTGGTGGAACAGGTGGCCGATCTACACATAGACCCGAGCACGCGCGAGGGTGCCCGGCTGATGGACGTCCTAGCAGCGGTGGATGGAGACATGGTGCAAGCCATTACAGCAGTGCAGAAGACACTGCTGAAGCGAGATGGGTCGAGAGCCCTGACTAACCAAGAGATCGAGACTATCGAACAGTTCTCAGTGGCCCTGTTACGATGCCTGAAAGCGTCCAGAGCACAGGGCTACGAATTTGTCTTCGATCGGGGATTGACCGCCATCTCTGAATTTGTGACGATCGAGGACACGAGTATTGGAACTGGAAGTGACCACCTCTATATCCCAACGTCTAGCAAGGATGAGGAAAGTATGCCCAGCACCATACCGCTTCCACTTGAGACATTTGATCTGGGTCCTTTTACGGCGCCTCGGCTCTTTGGTGGCTTGTGGCAGCTTTCCAGCCCTGCTTGGGGGGTGGCTTCACAAGTCAAAATCATGCAACAATTCGCTAAATACGTCGACACCGGTTATACAGCATTTGACATGGCCGATCATTACGGCGATGCCGAACTCATCTTTGTACGTGCCCACCGATGCCGACTTGTTGGCGCAAGATACGATGCTAACGACCAGGCCTCCAGGGACGGTTTAGAGCATCTCACCCCAGCTCCTCGTCCATCATCGGTTCGACCAAGTACTGCGTCTTCCATCCCATTACGGTCACTCCGAAAGTGGTGCAAGACAACGTGACTGAACGCCTGACCAGGCTCGGATCAGAGACCGTGGACCTTCTACAGTTCCACTGGCAAGACGTACGTATACGTAGCAGCCCTCCTTGCTCCCACGGGACCCCTTTGTGGCCTGACTGGTGTATAGTATTCGGATCCTCAGTACATCAAGGCTCTTCAGCTACTCGAGAAAGACTCGCGGGTGACGGTCCTCGGGCTGTGCAACTTCGATTCTAAGCACCTTCAGCATGTCATCGACAGCGGTATCCATGTTGCAACCAACCAGGTGCAGGTATGACTGCACTTGACCCGGAATGGACGGCTGTTCGAAGATGCTGGCTGACAGGTGTTGCAGTTCTCGCTGATTGACTCGCGGCCCACATTTAAGATGGGCGACATCTGTGAGAAGCACAACATCAAACTTCTGACATACGGAACACTGGTAAGCAGGCCCCGTCCAGGATGGATGCCGAGAAGTCACAATGTCTAACACAAACTCGGATACGGGTAGTGCGGTGGATTTCTGGCCGACAAATGGCTTGGGCAGGAGGAGCCCGAACTTTTCGTGCAGAACATCACGCCGAGCCAACGGAAGGTAGGCTCCCTCGCCTTGCAGCTATCATGATGGCGAACTAATGGCCTTGTGCAGTACTTCGAGATGATCAATACCTGGGGAGGCTGGACCCTCTTCCAAGAGTTGCTGGCCGTGCTCTCGCGGATTGCGGAAAAACACTCGGTAGGCATTTCCAATGTGGCGACGCGCTGGGTGCTGGATTTCCCATACGTCGGCGCCGTCATTGTGGGTGCGAGGATGGGGGTCAGTGAGCACGCGGATGAGAACTTGGCCTCGTACGGCTGGCAATTGGACGAGGAAGACAATGCAGCCATCGACCAAGTGCAAGCCAAGAGCAGGAGAGCGCAACTCTTCGATGAGATGGGCGACTGTGGATCGGAATACCGGTAGCTGACAGCGCCAGGGTAGATTGAGGTTTGGATGATGGACCGCGCACGTTCATGGTCAGCTTCCTATCACAAGATATGGCACTCGACAGATAGTGCAGTTGCAAGCGTAGTGCCTTATAGAATCGCCCACATAAAGGGGAGATTCGATGGGCCTAGCCACATCTACCCAAAGAGAAGCCGGTCGATATATTCATGTGGTCTCGCTTTGATTCCGGCTCCGAGATATCGCCCTCCCACACAAACTTGCGGAGACCATTGACGGCTTTACTTGATAATATTGACTGAGACTTCCCCGGCCGGCGTTCTAACCCACGCCCCTCTGCCGGGGTCCTAAGTAACAATAGGACCGACCAAGAGGCCAAGCAAGACAGCGGCCAATTGATGACATGCTATACCTAACCCATGAGCCAGAAAGATGCTATTGCTATCGCTATTGCTCTTCGGTGACTTCTTGTCCCGACACCAGGCTTTGGGAACGCCACACAGGGACCTTACCTTCTACCATTTCTGTATGCCTCTTCAGCCACACAAAACTGCCTACTCAGAGCCTGCCGGCCATTTGCTCACCAGCCCTCCAGCGCCAGGGCAGCACACCACCCCGTCTCAATCCAATCCAATTACCCATTTTATTATACACCACCTTTATTGACTATGCCTATGTAATCCAACACTGCAACGACATCGCAAAGGGTCCAAAAAGTCCCAAGTCCCAAAATGCCCGCCAGCGACGATTGCTTCCAGTTATGGGATCTCCGGGTGAAAGTCGTCTGTCCGCCCCGTGAGCGTATTCTCTGTGGTGCCAAAGAAGGCGACTATTTCACCATGCAGGGCGAGATGCTATATCTTCCTGACGGTCAGGGCATCAGTCTGTATAGTCTTGGTGAGTCACGAGGTCGTGTTTTTGGTTTGGTGTTTGAGGCTTATGTGCCGGTACGAGTTTAACGTGTTTGGGGGTTCGTGCTAATCATTGATGCCCTGAACATCTAGCCTCCCTGCTGCCTTTACTACCGGCCAAGCAGCGAATGACTGATCCCAAGGACTGGATGTCAACCGATGCGCGCGTTGCGTGTCCAGATCCAAATTGCAGATCGTATTGGTTGATTGAGAGGACCGGGCTGAGATCCTTCAGTCATGCCGAAACGACGGTGGTTGGGTTGGAGGGGAATCACCAATGAAGGTATTTGATTTATCTATCTGATAAATCACGAGGACACCGCGCTTGGCTTGGTTCTCGCCTCAAGTTGCGTAGATCAAGAGGGAGAGACGGAATTTGGTGCCGTTCGAGCTTGGAGACCCTGCCACACACGTCTCGGCTGTGATTGATAGTACAGCAATGCATTTTTGCGTACACACCTACGGTAGCCGCACACTATAACACCATCTCCTGGTTTTCCGTCACAACGAAAGAAGCTTCCTGCCATATTATGAATGGACGCTCTCTGTCCTATATTGTTGCCCTTCGAGGCTTTATTCTGTCGGCAATCAAGAAAATATATGATGCCTAAAGCAATCAGGCAGCTGATCAAAATAAATCACGTTGGAAGAAGAGAGATTCCCCTGCCCCCAAGGCGGGAAAAATAGACATGTCGTCGAATAGATCGTCATCTCCCAGGACGGAACCGGTCGACACGTCGCCTGTCGGCCCGAAAAAGTCGGCGATGACCGGGAAGGCATCTGGGTTATACATTTCTCGGTCTTGGTGATGGGCAAATGTGGGATTCGAGGCCTTCTCTTGAACATCCACCGCCGTCGACTCTGACTCGGCCTGGTGGGAGGGACGAGCAGGCCGCAGTGGACTCCCCCTAGGTTGATTGTGCTCAACTGCAACACCAAAGATATGGGACGTCTTTTCGGTCCGTCTCCGTCGCTCTTGCAGCTCCTTGACCTCCAGGTAATCTGTTGCGGAAGTGACTAGGCACTCGGCAATGGAGGCGCACTGGAGGGCGTATGAGTCCTGTTGAGAGAGGCATCGGAGCAGCTCAATGGAAGTGCGAGCCTTCTTCTCGAACCCTCGGCCAAATTCCCCTAAGAGAGCCAGGCCTAGGACGAGCGCAGCAGTGAACAGCCAAGAACTGCCCAGCAGAATGAGCAGAGATCTTCTCGGGGATTGCTGGATCAAATACGTACATAATATGGGGCATGGTGTTAGGAGCGTGGTGGCGGCCAAGCAAATCTTGCACCAGATCAACTGTGAGCATGGCCGATTCGATACACGCCTCTGCCAACCTGCCTTTTCCAGTGTCTCGGGATGATAGACCAGTTGGTGCATCGGCTGGGGTGACCGTAGCAGCCAGCCTCTTATCCAGTTCGTGCATCAGGAAAGGTCGAGTGAGTAGCATGACGGCATAATAGTAGGAGCTGATGACCTGGCACGCCCCCGTGGCCCTGTACGGCACTGGTATGTCTCGAGATGTCGAGTCATGATGTAACAAGCTCTGTAGTGGCTGGAGCCAACGCGCCGCCCAGGCACGCAGCTCGTGGGAGATGCTTTCGGTCAGGTGAACAGAAATATGCCTCTTGGAGTAGATTTCGATAATGATACGCTCAAGAATGTGGAATATCTGAACGGAAGCGGCCAGGGTATCGGGTTCATCATTCTGGCCTTGCATTCCATCGGTGGATTCAGGTTCCGCATCGTAAGCCACCGTACAATCGACGTTGGAGGTGGCTGGTGGCCTACCAACGGAGGAACTGAGAAGAAGGTCCAGTATCCGGATGCTCTTCCAGAGACGATCCCTGTGTGGGTGAGTATAGGCCGGATTGAAAGGAGCAGCTTGGGTTGGAGAACAAATATACCTCGATCTGCATTCATCTGGACCAAATACTGCGTTCACTTCCGACTTGTGTATGCCGAGCGAGTACGCTAACCTCGCCGCGAGCGCTGGACGAGCTGTCAGTCTCATAGAGCGCAGCCACCAGGCTCCTTGAACAGGGCATCCTACCAAAATAGAGGAATGCTCCGTTTCGCTCGCAGACGCTCAGCATGTAAACGGCCACGAGAACAAATGCCTTGGTCGTACACACATCGAGGTTCCCATCGAGACCCAGCAAAGCGATTGTCCGTGCATGGCTGAAGTATCGATGAGCTTGGCCCGGGTCGTTCCCCTGGAATCCCACGGCTAGGACAAGATAATAAACCGCCGAGAGCATATCATCTCTACTCCTGCGCTCCCCAGTTGACCAGGCCAGTATTTCATCGGCGAGCGTGGACGGGTCGAAGATTTCGATCAAGCCGTCGGTCTGGTATGGATCAGTCTAACCAGGCATAAAGTCCACGAGCGGCGAGCGCGCACCACAGAGAGATAGGCAGAAACAGCCGCCGCGATCTTGTCGACGTTGACGTTGAGCTTCAGAGAAGGATGACGCAGATCTGGGCTTCGAGCGCTGACATGTTCGATCATGTAGTCACGGGACGTACTGGAGGTGAAGGCAGTCGGGCCGATGTGGGAGGTGACCATGTGGCGGATCGTGTGCAAGAAAGATAGCGGAGCAGAGTCTCCCACGTACGCTGAACGCTCTCCCTGTCAGCAGCTTCTACAGTAACCGATAGAGCGGCCCGCTGTGGCTTACTCAGTTTCCCTTGCCCATCGCTCAACAACCGCCCTTCTCTGGGGACGGCGGTATCGTCGTCGGTCTTAGCAGCAGCAGTCGCGGCCGGCGTAGCAACATGCGACTGCTGTCTCCTGAGCGAGGAGAAGGGGGTTTGGGTGGGAGACGATGGAGTGGAGGCGATGCGACGACGATCGGGAGAGGAATATGTGCACTGATCTCCTCGCCCGTAGCGGATGCAGAAGGCGCAGGGCAGCTGGCCGGTACAGCGCACCTTGCGTCGTTTGCAAAGGTCACACGCAGCGGCGACACGGCGACGTACCTGCGACACAGTGGGCGATCTGACATGCTCAGCATGCGTCTCGAATTGAGGCCCCATGACAGCACTGTGTATGTCTCATTGCGCAACGCAGGAGAGGGCGGAAGGGCGGAAGGACGGAAGTTCAGTGCGGTTGAGGTGACACGGTATCCGGTATCCGGGCCGTGCGGTGCTCTACTGGCCGAGTGGTCCGCAGTAATGAAGACGGATTTGAACTTGCGCCGTACCGTAGTGCCGGTGACCAGGCAGATACGTAGTACTCCGTACTGTGCTGTGCAGTCCGGCGATCTAACATGCCCCGACTGGTGTCCAGTCCTCATGGCCTGGGCTCTTCATTTCATTGTGTCTATACTCTGCTAATCTCTACTCTAGAAGCTACGCTAGCAAATATCAGCCCGGAATCTCAGTGCCGTGAGATCCTGCCAGGTCGTACTGTGTTCATACAAGCACATCCCCACAGATCTGGTGATTCATTACCATAATCAGCTGGTCAGAGCTTGTCGCAGCATCTGCACAAAGGTCCAAACATCTTTGAAGGAGTTGTACAGCGGCACTGGAGCCAACCGCATCACATCCGGTTTCCGCTGATCAGCTACAACCCCCTGGGCACTGAGACTTTTCGACACGGGCTCGAGAAGGCCAGGCCTGAACCGAACGCTCAGCTGCACTCCCCGTTGGCGCGGGTCCCTCGGGGTGATGATTTGAAAGGCATCTTTGGTGGTCTCTTCCCGCAGGAGACCATCCAGGAGGTATTCCAGGTATCCAGTAAGTAGGAGAGACTTCGTCCGAAGAGCTGACATGGACGTTTCGTCAAATACGGACAGGGAGGCCATCAGAGAGGCAAGCTCCACCACAGATGTAGTGGAAAGCTGGTAGCCGGCGGCGCCGAGGGTGGGCATGAATTCTACTAAGGTTAGATGGGGCGAAACTCTCATGGGGGAGCTTAGCGAATAAGCTTACCGTTGTCCATGTTAAATCGAACCGACTTGTCGCCTCCATACCACCCTGTGAGTCTGGGTCTGTACTTCCAAGACTTTGTCTCCGCGTCGTAATCGCGTGTTCCGTGCCTTTCGTGCACAAAGGCACCGCCTATGGCCCCCGGCCCGGCGTTGATGTACTTGTAATTGCACCACACGGCAAAGTCGACGTTCCAATCGTGTAGATGCAGCTCAACATTGCCCACCGCGTGAGCCAAGTCCCATCCCACGGGGATGCCATATGATTGGGCATGTTTCGTGATGGTTGCAATGTCCAAAAACTGGCCGCTGTAGTATTGGATGCCAGGGAGAAGGACCAGGGCAGTTTCTTCGGCATACTTGTCAATAGCAGCCAGTATGCTTTGTGTGGAAATGGTACTTCCGCCTTCGTCCGCCTTCAGCAGGACCATAGACTCGGCAGGATCAAAGCCGTGCCAGCGGATTTGGGATTCGACCGCGTACTAGGCAAGGACATGTCAGCTACCGCTAGATGGACTGAACAGATAATAGGGAACTTGCGTGATCGCTTGGAAAGGACCTCCATTCCATGATGATCTTGTTCTTGGTCGGTGTCGGCTTGTAAAAGCTTGCCAGCATCAAATGCAGATTGCTGGTCAAGTTGTTCATGATCACCACTTCCCCTGGGGACGCGCCGACCAGCTTGGACGATTTGGCAGCTGCCACCTCTCCTATTGACTGCCATTGCACCAATGGCGAGCCCTGAAGCGTCGTGAAATGACCGTGGACGCCTAGATCTGCCCATGTGTCCAGATGGATCTGAAGGTACTCTTTGGTTGCGCGCGGTTGGAGGCCAAGCGAGTTCCCACACAAGTAGATAGAATCATCTAAATTCTTTTCCGGAGACGTTGTTTCTATGCCTAACATGTCAGAACTCCGGCCTTCTGACGGAAACGGAGGGCTGACACACGAGCTGGAGCCAGGCTTCTTTTACTCAAGCCTGTTTTCGATGGAATTATGAACTTTTCGCGCAACGGTCGCAATTCATCCTGCGAGTCCAGCAGCTGGGCGTATTCGAGTTGCGTTGCTTGTGGCGGGAACCCAGGGTTGACCCCCTGCCTCAAGTTTTCGACGATTTGGGCTGGCTCCATGGTACGTGTTGTAAAGGGAAGAAGAGTCGTGACGCGGGAGACGAATATTTTCAGCGCTGTCCAAAGTCTTTAAAAATAGGCGGTTACCGGTGCCGTTGTTCGTCAGTGATCCGCTATCAACAAGTATATAGGGGGTCCGCGGCCATAGATAGGATATGGTATAGTGGAGGTATATCGTCTTCCGTCTCCGTTGCAGGCTTCCGCTCTTCCGTGCTTCCGCTCCCGAAGCCTCGCTGCACCCGAACTCCCGCTCATTTCAACCAATTCTTACCCCCTAACCCTCTCGACCTGAACGGCGGGTCTGTTCGATACCTAGTCACGTCTTCTTGATGGTAAGTATTAAGTATACCTAGTCGGTGAAGCATGTACTCTCGTGAAAAGTCTACTCGAACCATCGCAACTACAGCAACCCACAGCCCGCTGCTCGTGATCTCTCTTTGTCCAACCTGCGCCAATCGCCCACTATGCATGCCCTTGATCCTCTCCTCGAAGAATACCGCATTACCAGCAATGGTTTTCTCCCAGCGGAAGCACCGCTCACCAGACTACCAGACCCGTACTATCAACCGTGGGAGCTGATCATAGAAAAGCTCCCGGCTCTTCTGCTGTCCCAGCGATTCAGAGGCGCGGTGGATAGTATGCCGGTGCTCAACACGTCGATGCTAAGCTTGGAGACGGAGTGGAGGCGAGCATACTTGATTCTGGCATTCTTCACCCATGCCTACATTTGGGGAGGGGAGAAGCCATCACAGGTTGGCGCGCTTCGAACATTCTTCTGCTGTGGCTAACAGGGGTCAACCAGCGATTACCACCGTCCATAACAGTCCCATTCTTGAAGGTGGCCGGTCACCTGGGACTTCCTCCGACTGCCACATACGCGGCATTGAACTTGTGGAATTTTGGCTGTCTGTCATCGGATGGGAATTTTCGTATTCCAGAAAATCTGCTGGTGTTGCATACATTTACCGGATCAATGGACGAGGCCTGGTTCTACCTCATCTCCGTTGCTATTGAGGCTGAAGGAGCAAGCAGCATTCCCCTGATGCTGAATGCCATCGATGCCGCCAAGGTCGGCGACGCCAGCACCGTTATCCGCAGTCTCAAAGCACTTAGCCGCGTCTTCGAGAAACTCGGAGATCTCTTGGACAGGATGTATGAACATTGTGATCCGCACGTGTTCTATCATCACATCCGGCCGTACCTCGCCGGAAGCAAACATATGGCCAAAGCCGGGCTTCCACAGGGAGTCTTCTATGATGAAGGAGATGGAAAGGGATCTTGGAGGGAATACAGTGGAGGCAGCAACGCGCAGAGCTCCCTGATACAATTTTTCGATATCGTGCTGGGCCTGCAGCATCACCCCACTGGATCTCAATCATCGAGTGCGCCCAAGAACAACGAGCACGGCTTCATCAATGTCAGTTGTTATCGCCGTGTTGTGTCTTTCCATTCTTGATTCGCTAATACATTCCCAGGAAATGAGAAACTATATGCCTGGCCCTCACCGGCGGTTTCTGAAGTACCTTGTTTCTACCAGCAATATCCTGAGCTTCGTAGAAAGCCAACCGGCCAACACAGCCTTGAGTCAGGCATATGCTGAGTGCGTGGCCGAGTTGCGCAGATTTCGAGACAGACACATTCAGATTGTGAGCCGGTATATCATCCTCCAGGCCAGCAAGCCCCAACCCTTCTCACACCACAGCCGCCAGAACCTGGCCACGGCAACCTCCGAAGAGACCCAAGGCAAGGTGGCATCCGAAATGTACGGAACAGGCGGAACGACATTGATTTCATTCTTGAAACAGTCCCGAGATGAGACAAGAGTCTACACTGCATCTAGCAACAACAATTGACTTTCTGGGTAGCTTGAGAGTGGTTAGCGGGCTTCGTAAATTATTGGTTATAAAAGCACCGCGCAAGGCAGAAATAAATCTTAGACTTCATTGTAATCTTATCTTATAATCTAGTTGTACAATAGCAAGTCTAGACAGATAGGTTATCTACCTTCAACCTAGTAAGTGCTGAAATACATGTAACTAAAGATATAATTTGCAGGTCCCTCCACTTTCTGATCTCTCCACTCCCGTTGATTGTCCACCTTTGCCTTTCTTATCTTTTAGCCACCCCCGACAATCATAGATCTAACTAACATACCATGAGTCTGGACTGCTGTCCGTACCCTTAGTAATGTATCAAATATATGTAGCCCAATGTAAGGCGCTCTGAAACAACTTCAGCATGTACCTTAATCAGTTAACAGATTTCTACGAGGAGAGAAAGTTCGATCGTGAACCCTACCACCAATCCACCAAAGTCCAATGGACCCTAGAGTCGAGCACCGGGCATCGCCAGGTACGGTGACCTTGGTCGACATCACTGGGTCGATAGAGGCCAAACACAGCTCCAACCGCAAAGACATTGTTCTCAACCCAACCCCCAGCGCGGACCCCAATGATCCTTTGAACTGGAGTTTACATCGGAAGTGGAGAGCTACCTTGTGCGCCCTTCTCTACACCTGGTGTGTGTGCGTTTCTTCTTCGGCCTGCTACTCTGTCTTCGGGCCGATATACGAGCAGAGCGGTATTAGTTTCACCAAGCTGAATGAAGGAACTGGGTATATGTACCTGCTGTTCGGCTGGGCGTTACTGCTATGGATTCCGCTGGCTTTGAGTTATGGGAGGAGGGGGGTATACTTGACCTCCTTGCTGGGAACTTCAATGATGAATATTTGGGCGGGCTATGCCGCAGACAATCCCAAATGGATTGCGACGAGAATCCTCATCGGCTTCTTCGGCGCTCCTTCCGAGGCTTTGGCAGAGGTTACTATGACTGATTTGGTGAGTTTTGGACAGCCAGAGCGGACGCTTTCAAAGGTATCTTCCATCACTAACACTGTTACAGTGGTTCACACACGAACGTGGCACGTATATGGGTTTATACGTGATCGCCCTCTATGGAGGTCAACTGGGAGCTGTTCCTGCCGGTTTCATCAACGATTCCTGGGGTTGGCCGTGGGTTTTGTTTTGGTGCGCCATTCTCAATGCCATCGGATTTCTTGTGTGTTTCTTCTTCATGGAAGAAACCATGTACCATCGCCCAGCCCCTGTCACCACCACCAGTGAATATCCGACGACAACACAGGAGACGCTCACAGACAAGAAGAATCCCGACACAGAGACTGGCGCTGCCACTGACTTCTCGAGCGAGACAGCCTATCCTGTCAAGTCATATTGGCAAAAGTTGGCACCATTCGTTGGACGAAATGGTCGCCCGACCAATTTCTTGCAACTGGTCTATCGCCCGTTTCTCATGATGAGGTTTCCAGTTGTTATTTTTGCTGGATTCATCTATGGCTGCTATCTTTGCTGGTTTGCATTGGTTAATGCGGTAGTAAGCATATTCTTCGCTGGGGCGCCTTACAACTTCGCGGCTAGCGTGAGCTACATATCTCTACATCTGGCTGTTCTTGGCGCTAACTATGGCTAGATTGTTGGATTGACTTATATTGCTGAGCTTCTGGGGACCTACACCGCTGGATTCTGTGCGGGCAAGCTTGCAGACATGTTGAGTATTCATCTCGCCAGGAGAAACGGCGGTATCATGGAGCCAGAATTCCGCTTATGGCTGTATGGAGTTGGCTGTATCCTAACCCCATTAGGACTCTTGTTGTTCGGTGTCGGCGACGCTCATGGCTTAAGCTGGGTGGCTCTGGCCTTTGGAATGGCCATGATCGGGTTTGTGGGGCCTGCCTGCGGTGCTCTCGCAGTGAGTTACGTCTTTGACTGCTACCGTGAACTTGGAGGCGAGGTGATCATCGCCGTCATTCTCATACGCAACACAGTGAGTGTTCTTGTGCCTTATGAAGGATGTTGCTAATATTGATCTTAGATGAACTTTGGTTTCAATTATGGTGTGACTCCATGGCTCGACCACAATGGGCCTCAGAACATGTTCATCATAGCAGCAGTCCTTGCTTTGGTTACCACAGCTTCGTTTTTGATTATGACCACATGGGGGAAACGGATGAGAATGAACAGTGCTGATTTATATTGGAAATATGTCGAGCAACGCGGTACTCACTGAAGAGGCAGCCTTGGACTAAGCTATGTCGGAGACCTACGTTATGAGACACTTGATACAATGAGCCACTCTCCATCGTACCCACCATCCAATACCCCATTATTTTGATCGTTCCGTAATTCCTTTCAAAACCTTCATTCCTTCATGGACCACAGCCCAGCGAATATTGCCCAGGTGTCGGGCCATGACGGCGGTGAGGCCAGAAGTAGAGTATTTGCCGGCCACACGCCACAGATCCTCTGAGCTGATGTTGGTCATTCCACTGACCATAGCTGTCATGTCGGCTTTTTCATCACAGAAAATGTCTGGCCCATGTCCATGCATGTGTATGGCGCCAGCGTCCAGTGGGCCGGTCGAATGCTGGGCAACGCGGTTGGAGCCTGGGGTCAGCAGCTGGGGAGGCTCTGGCTGTTCGTCGGTGCCTGCGAAATGGAATGCCCAGCACGTCAGTGTGGCTAGGTACAGGCACCATGGGTAGTGGAAAGCATTGTCGACGTCCCAGTTGTCGAGATTCATGATGCCAGCGCGAAGGAGTTGGGCCGCGTGCCAGGCTGCCTTGGTGGCTGGCATGGCGATGCCGGGTTTGGCCCACTGCTTCACGACACGGCGCGAGCGGGCGTAGTCAGCGGGCGTAACGGGACGGCCGATGATATGTTGGGCTCCGGCGTAGATCTGGAGATCGAGAATCTCGACGTGCAGGATGATATGCGCGGCGTGGTAGATGGCGTTGGTTGCGGTGCTGAAACGAATGAATTCGTTTTTGAGCTGCGCCTGGTCCATCAGAGACAAGGTCATGTTCATGCAGTAGGTGTCAAAGTCGGCCTTCCATGAATCGTACGCCTGTGCGAGCAGCATTTGCCAAGATTGACTTTCATTTACCATGGGAATTGCGATGCCTAGAAACCCTTAGTTAACAAGGCCCAAGGATGGAACTATTTCGGACTAGAAAAGGGGGCAGGCGGAACGAACCCAGCGAAGTCTGGTCTCTTCTCTTCAAATCCCATTGAATGGACATCAAGCCGTGGAGCACCAGGAGTCGAGACAATGCGTTAAGCTGTGGAGGAGCGGGATTGGCGTTGGGGTTCATGTAGGTCTTGAGAACTGATAGGAAAGGGATGCGAGTTTCCTTGACTGCATGACCAAACCAATTCTCAGCAGTATCAGCTTCCCATGACTGAGGACTGCATGGAAGAAACGTGCGCAGTTCGAAAGCTGATATGCATAGCGACTGAGAGAAGAGTACGGCGTGCTGAGTATCCCACAAAAAGCAAAGAAATGCAAGTCTAATCGGAAGCTTAGCAAAGAAATCTTCTTGAAGCTTCAGCAATCACGATTGGTGCTTTCTTGCTTACCTTTTCCGTTGCTCAATGTCCATGGCTTTCCGCCATCGGCACTGCAGATCGTCTGCGTCATCTCCAATATCCGGTTCACGAACAGTTTGACAGCCGCTTCTTCTTATCAGGCTACATTTTCGGTCAGCCAGTTCATTCACTTGATCAGCACCCGCCCTCGAGAGGGAAAGGGGCCGTCTCGGGCTCGCTCTGAGCTAATGAAAGCCACGTACTTGACAAGTAAGCCATGGAACAAGTGAGCCATATTATGCTGTCTCTGCCCCGCTCTTGATTTTCCAAAGCACTCCACAAGAAGTATTGTTTGAAGAATCCATAACTCTGGCTGTGGTGTGAAATCCGGATGTTGGAAAATCTGCGGTCTCATAGCTTCATGAATGCAGACGGCGAGTCCATGAGCGTCTTTCTCGGCATAAGTAGCCCCAAGAAGTAAGACGGACAGGAGAAACAGTGGATCGACTCCGTTAGGATCAAAAGTAGCTTGATGAATGAGAGGGTAGCATGTGTTGAATCGGGTAAAGAATAGATCACTGTAACGTTGCATTGCTTGAAGCGAGAGTAAAGGGCTTTCGGAAGGGGACAAGGAAGCCAGAGGAGTCCCAGGCCCGAATCGAGCCAGCTGTTGCAGGATCCTATTGCGAGAATACTCATCCAGAACTGGCAATTTTCGAGCACTCGAGGTTGGTCGAAAGTTTTGAGGATGCAAAGTCAAGACGGGAGTTTTCGACCTACGTGGTCGACCTTCCCCTTGATAGGTGGATGAGTGGTCAGATAGTGATGTCTGCGAGATCGCTGTAGAGGGCAATCCCGTAATGCTTGGGAGAGACGGGCTCTCATCATCCGGTGGAACAGACGAAGCGGATGCTGTGGACCTCCCCCCCGCCGGCCTATGATAGCCCTGTATCGGTTGTGAGTCTGAAGGTTGCTTAGGGCCCGATTGATATGGTTCTTGGAAGGCTGCATGTGAAACCGAGGCGGAGAAGCCGTTTACTGGCCACATCTCTGAAGCCATCGACTGTCTAAATTGACTGTTGTCTAGACTGGTACTCCCACTAGCTGCATAAAATTTTGGAGTTGAGATTCGATTGTGGCTGTGAGGCAGTTCGGAAGGATTGTGACCATAATGCTGTTGTCCAGCCTCGGCTGGTATTATGAAAGGCTGATCTCTATCAAACAGCCAGTTGTAGTTGTTCATTGTCGTGAACGGCATGTTGAAGGAACTTGCTAAAAACCGAATCAGTTTATCCTTGTTTATTAGGATTCAAACCATACCAGTATCCGGATTGAACATATCGTCATCCGGAGCATCGATCTGCGGTGCCATGGAATAATCAAAAGGTTGCGAGTACCATGTTGAATTTGCCAAAAAATCGAGCGTATCATGGTTGGACATTGAGCTGGCGATGCCATTACCTGCTTCTTCTCCATTTGGCATATGATTCTGCTGGTGAGATAGTTCACCCGGTTCCGAACTTGTCAATGACCTAGGTGGTGATAATTGCTGCTGGGGCTGAAACCCCCCAGTGTTTGTGTTTGATAGGACCTGGTTCGACAAATCTGGCCCCGAGCGAATGTCATCCTCCTTACTTGATAGGACATTCTGGTGAGTGAGAGAAGTCGGCCTTTTCGACACGATATTGCCCTCAGAATCCCGCCACAACCTCTTTCTGGAGTCCATGACTCCCAAACCCTCTCCCCCAGCTTCTTCGTCCTTTTGTTTGTGTCGCAATAAGTGTCTCGCTGATAGGACGTTCAGATTGACTATCTACGAGGACGCAAACGCCTGGAATTAGTACTCACTGAGAAGATCAGGTCTTTTGAAGTGCAGACTGCAGCGAGGGCAGGTGCTCTGGCCTGAACTATGGTTCCATGTGTGCCTTTGGAGGTGGTCGGGCCTTGTGAAAGATTTCCCACAGCCGTCCCAAGAGCAGATGTAGCTCTTCTGCTTGTCTGTTTGGTTTGGCGGCATTGAGGTTGTTGGACTTCGAACAGCAAACAGTGGGGAGAAGGCAACGTTGGTAAAATGCGTGAGGAGAGCGTCTGGCACTTTGGGGGTCCCAACTAAAGACCGTGAGGATCCAGGCACCACCCCTCGCTGGTTATCATCAGCTGCTACAAGGGCCCAATGAAAAATGGTTGAGGGGCTTTTTATGCATGTAAACCCCCGTTAGCCTCGTCAGCGGGTTTTGTAGGCGGCAGGGATGGTGGAGCACCCAGTGATAAGAGCAGGGAAATCTCCGTTACACTTTTACATACTCGTGCATCCCGCTGAGTGTTGACTGACAGTAAACTTTCTAGCGAGTAGTTCGTTTTACCGATGATAAATACCAGGACCCCAGAATGCATGTATAGCCGGGTGCACTCCCACGGCGATTACGTCTGCTAGCCTCTCTAGATTTTGCCGTGTCAACTACCAACATCATGCCACCACTTGCCCCGACGGTGGCTCATGCTTATAGACCGGATAGTCGACATATCCTTTGCTTGGCGGATCGGCACCGTAGAAGGTATTACGATCGTATGGGTTCAGCGGAAGGCCCTCGGCGAGTCTGGCTGGGAGATCAGGATTGGAGATGAACCAGCGACCGAAGATGATTAGGTCGGCGCCGCCAGACTCCAGCTTTGATACTGCGTTGTCGCGGTTGAAGTTGCCCGCCGCAAGAAATCGAATATCCCCTGTCTTGAGGATATCTCGGAACGGTGTCAGAGAAAACTTGGCTGATTTACTCTCCGCGAGGGCAGCAATCTTAGCCTGCTCGTCTAGAACCTCATCGAATCGAGGCTCAACCATGTGCACGTATGACAGCCGGATCTCCTTGGGGAGCTGAACCAACTGGTCACAGAGATACTCCCAGTGTGCATTAGGGTCAGAGTCTCGGGTGTCTTGGAAGTAATTGTAAGGAGACAGTCGAATTCCCACTTTATCTGCACCGATCGCAGCAACGACAGCCTTGATGACCTCGAGCGGGAATCTGCATCTGTTTTCGATGTTGCCTCCGTAAGCATCCGTTCTGACATTCACGTTGTCATGTAGAAATTGGTCGAGGAGGTAACCATTGGCACTTGAAAGGGTTAGCCCGTTTGGTATAGCGATTTCGGATACCCTCTATCTCTTACCCATGGATTTCGACTCCGTCAAAGCCTGCTTCCATCGCTCTCTTAGCAGCGGCCGCAAATTCGCCAACTACTTCCTCGATCTCGGCGGTCGTCATTGCCCTGGGTGGAGTACTCGCGTATTCCGATCCATCCAAAGCCTTTCCCTCGAGCGGGATGTTGCTTGAAGAGAGAGCATCGTGGCCATCGAGCAGTGATGGAACCGTCGCGCGTCCAACATGCCAGAGTTGGCAGTAGATGAATCCTCCTCTGACGTGAACAGCATCTGTCACTCGTTTCCATCCAGCGATCTGGCCGGAAGTGAAAATGCCTGGAACCCCTGGATAACCGCACGCCTGTAGACAATGTAGTCAGCAGGCATTGATCTTCATTGTACTGGCGGGTGGGATCGCATAGCAGTACCAGACGGCTGATTGGGCAGGCTTCAGTCAGGAGTAAGCCTCCCTTACTGGCCCTTTGTGAATAGTACTCCTCGTGTAGATCACCTGGGACATAGACACCGTTCGACTCTTGAAGGGTTGCGCGCATACGAGTTAACGGTGCTAGGGCGACTCGATGTTCAAGTTGCAATCCTCCGAGTTTGACGCTTTTGAACAGTAAAGTGTCTTCCAATGGCCTGAAGCCGGCAGGAGAAGTTCTTGAAGGCATGGCTGCGATGGTGTGAGAGGATCAAGGTTTCGATCTGGGAAAAATAAGCTGTCTGAGGTGATATGGAGGTTGAATCTGCGACCTCGCATCAAGGGAAGCCCGACAGTGGGCGAATGGGCTAGCCCAACTCTGGCATGAGTGGTCGTGAGCTTTTCTGGATGGCATTGTTACGTATTGGTGTAGTTTGACACGCAGAAGCAGAAACATGGGGGAAAGTGAACATAGGGAGTGAGGGAGGTGGGCCTCTGCGCACATCGCCGTCTGTTACAAAGAAGGATTGAAGCACATCTCCCCCACTCTTGTGCCCTGCGGAGCAAGGTTCACCTCGACTGCATAACCTCAGGTCGTGGGATTGCCACCCTATCCACCCTTGATACAGGGGCGATACCGGGGTGCGCGATAACAGCACATCAACATCGATCACACACCTGCCTCATCAAGTGCCTGGCAAGACTGAGGCCATTTCAATATTTTTGGGATAACATACATCTGAAGTGAAGTGTCCATCTTGCTCAAAGTGCGTGCAACAGGTTAATCTGCGCAACACACAATAATACACATGGCTGGCGCTGCTCCCCCAGTTCTAGATTTCTCGCGTTAGTCTGACCTGGATTCCCGTGAACAAGACGTATGGCTGACTGATACAACAGCATTTTATGGTAATGACAAACAAGCGCTTGCGAAACTAGTTGAGGAGGTGCGCCAGTGTTGCCTACACAATGGCTTCTTCCAGATCGTTGGCCATCGGGTCCCGGCCGAGCTACAACAAGCCGTTTTCACCCAGGTGAAGAAATTCTTTGATCTTCCTCTAGAGTCAAAAGAAAAGATCTCCAGGGGTAAGTGTACTGTAATGGTATATCATTGCTCACAGATCAACCTAATCTTTTGCTTCAGAAACAAATTCCTGGTACCGCGGGTATGAGAGAGTAGGGTCCCAAATTTTCGAAGATGGGACAGCCCCAGATCTTAAAGAAGGACTATATCTTGGGGAGGACATTCCCAAAGACCATCCCTATTTCATTCACAAGAAGCTCAACAGCGGTCCCAACCTCTGGCCTGAGGATTTGGATGACGTGGAAGCGTTCAAGTCAATTTCAATGCAATACTACTGGACAGTGCTAGAATTGGCTAGAGACGTTTTGTCAGTTATCGCTCAAACCTTGGGGCTTGATGCCTCTTTCTTCAACGAGTTTACAAAGGATGCAGTCGCCACAGTCAGATGCCTACATTATCCTCCTCAGCCCAAGGACTCAGACGAGACAATCTCGCGGGGAATTGGAGCTCATACCGATTTTGGCGCCATCACCTTGCTCATGCAAGGTGATGTGGACGGCCTTCAGGTCTACGACAAGACCACGAACGAGTGGTTTGACGTATGTTTTCAACTCAGTAACAGATCCAACCCTACGGCGGCTCTAACATGTGTCCAGGTTGAACCTGTGAAAGGCGCCTATGTTGTGAATCTCGGCAACATGTTCATGCGATGGTAAAGTCAAAGATGTTCACGAGATATCGTTCATAGTGCTGACCACAAAATTTTTGATGTCTAGGTCAAATGACACGTATGTCTCTAATCTCCACCGAGTCATCAACAAGTCGGGAAAAGAGCGCTACTCGGTCCCCTTCTTCCTCAGTGGCAACCCGGACTACGTGATCGAATGCCTTCCGAATTGTCGCAAGGAAAGTGAGGATCCCAAATACCCTCCCATAACAGTTCAGGAGGCAGTGGGAGGCAACTACAACAAGACCTACGGCGCGGCAGACGAATTTTACCGAAAGAATGGTATGATAAAGCAAGCTCCAGTTAGCACTGCACAGGAAATCACAGTCGAGTAAATAACTCAACTTTGTGTTTCCGACGGCTTCAGCTTTCTAGAAGATTACGTAGTTGGGAGTCGTGGTAACACATAGCTAGTGACAAGGTCATCATAAATTTTTCTTCTTCTAAAGTTCTCGTACTTGGTGTTCAAAGGTCCATCGAAAGGAAGCCAAGGTTGTTACCACTGGGGTTTCTGGCACCCAGTTCGAGTTGAGATTGCCATGTCAAAATCAAGCCGATTCCCCCAAAAGACGCAAGCTGCTATATAAATGGCTCCGATAGATCTTCAACCTTGAAGAAATCCTCCATAGTATGAATCAAGCCAAGTGGAAGCCGCCGTGCTAGCATCGTCGTCATTGAAATTCCATCTGCTCACGTTTCCCACGTAACCGTCTGGTCTCACATTGACAATTGCAACTTGCTGATCGTGAAGTTCTCCCAGCCATTTTTGTGTACAAGTTTGACCCTGCTCAACCACATCATCCATATAAAATGTCCATCTGCTGTCTTGGAGTAATGGAGGAAGGTGACCAATCTCCACCTCATCCTTCGGCATGGTCGTGACGAGCGCGAATGTAAATAGGCTCGAGAATGGAGTGTATCGTTGTGGCTGGACAAACAAGTCAGATTCGGTTGGGGATATCTTCATTTTGGCATATGAGATGGCCGCAGCAGCAGAGGCCCGGCCGAGGACCGAATTGGCTGAGACGACGTGAGTGCACAGATCATTCAGGAAACGGGATGCTGTATGGACGTCCGGGACAAAGAGATAGATTCGGAATTGTCCAAGCATGGGAATATCAAGCTCAACGTCCACCGGGTTTGCATCAATATATCGTGACACCTTTGATGGAGGCAGAAGCTCGCCTGCTCGAAGTCTTCCCTGAGGGAGCTTCTCCGGGACGTTGAGGACATTCGGGTGATACTTCACTCCCACACCGGAAATGAAAGCCATATTTTTGGAGAAGTTCTCGGCCAGAGCTTCTGGGTCTCCAGCAGCAAATGCGTTGGCATGTTCAAAATCAAAATTGATGAGATCCTGGGCAATCTTTCCGCGCTCTTGTTGATACGTGGAGAGTAAGGAAGGCGCTGCGAGATTTCGAACCGCCAGATTAAGTTTCCAGGCAAGATTGAAGGCATCATGCATGCTAGTATTCATGCCCTGGGCGGCTTTTGGGGAGTGTGTATGAGCAGCCTTGACAGGTAAGCATCATCCACAATCACAGGATATTGAAACCATACGTCTCCCGCGATGAAAACTCGTTCACTCTCATCGGAAAAGTGGTTGGCGACACGCTGGCCAACTTTGTATACGCTGAACCATTCTAATGCCAAATTAGCATACCAGTAGAAGCTCGCTGGGATGGTTAACTCACCAATCCGCTTCCAGGTCAAAGTGTACGGGGCCAGGATCTCCTGTGCCTTTTTCATCACGAACTCCTGAGTGGCTGCATCGGAGGGCATTGCAGCTTGGATTCCGTGATCAAGTTCGATGTACAATCTCGTCATGTTGCGTTCTCGTGGGATGCAGAGGACAGTGCCAGCCGCCTCAGAGTGAATTACCACCTTGCTCCATAGGTCGGGAAAGTCAGTGTCAATGACACCTAAATCGTATTCAGCGCCGTTTTAGACTTGTCGCCAAGGTCAAAGGCATCGTGCAGGATTAATAACTGACCATCAAGGACGCCCCAAGGGGCTCTACTAGCCTCGCCCTGCATCTCTGCACCGGGAATGGCTTTTCTCACTTTGGAATGAGCTCCATCACATCCGACAAGATACCTGGTCTTGATTGATTTTGTTGTACCGCACCCGTCGCCACAGACAACCTCAATGGGTCCATCTGCTTCAGGTTTGGTCCCATATGTGATAAAAGGACTGCTCCTGGAAACTTCGACCCCTCTTTCCTTCATTTCATTGATGAAAATCTCTTCCACCATGCCTTGGTGGACTAGCAAGATGAATGGATCCCTGGAGTCAAGCTGAGGGTAGTGTGTCTCCCTTCCTGTTCTGTGCAGCTTCTCTGTGGCGGTAGAGCTCTGTAGTTTGAGCCGTCAGCAGGACACTCGACACGTCTTTTCGTACTCTCCTAAGCACAGAAGCCACGCTCTAAACAATGGAGAGAAAGAATATGAAGAGGACTATACCCAGAAACATATGTCGTAAATCTTCACCCCCTTCTGCAGCAAAGAGTCGGCGATCCGCAGCTGTCGAAAAGTCTCGATGGTTTTTGGTTGTAAGCCATCTGCTCGCCCTGTACTTGTCATATCCTTCCTGTCATCCACTATGGTCGCTTTTATTCCAAACCGAGCCAGGTTCGATCTGGTAGCCAATTTATGTTAGTCTTGTTTCTATCTGCCACCCAAGCCTTCGACAACAACTTTAGAAAAGCACTGATTTCCATTGAAATCAGGGCAAAGTAGTTCACTTACGCCAGCATTAACCCTGCGGGACCTGCACCAGCAATCACCACGTTTTCAACTCCATCGCCTCTTCCTCCATTCGTCATGGGAGTGTTTTCAAACCCTTCGTCATCTGCACCCGGAGACATTTTTGGAGTTGACGAGGAACGCAAACGCTTCATCGTAATATTGTCTGACTTCTGGGCTCAATTGAGGCTGACTTAAGGTTGCCTAGTCCAAAGTGGGCAGTGCTGCTGTGATAGCCATGAACCCCCTTTAGGGGCTGGGGGTGACTCCTCTAGCCAAGATCCTTCTGCACCCAACCATCAGTTAGCACAAGTTGTGTTTGTTGAAGTGTCATGGCACCAAGGGAAGCCTCCCGCGCACTTCCTTCGGCTTCCGGAAAGGTGCACTGATGATGGCAGACAGATTGTGGGAACCCTGACCAAGGTTGCTGTCCGTCGACGGAGAATAGTAATAAGAGTGGAGTGAGCGATAATAATGGAGTAAGAACGATTAGAGTGGAGGGGAAGCGATAAGAGGAGAGGGGAACGACAAGAGTGGAGGGGAAGCCGTAAGAGTGGGGAGGAAGCGTGACAGGCAGATTATGCGTCCGGGCATGTTGCGATACCGAGAAACCTGCCGAAACATCATCACGGAACAGCCTTGGAGCAATAATGGGGAGATGTTGGTTGCACCACAGTCATAACGGGCGACAATTTCAAGGCTGATTGTGATTTGTGAAGGGCAAGCTTTGACAGGCGGCTGAAATCCCAAGATGCCGCAAGAGGAGTGGAAGGAGATCGTGGCGCGGAAACGTACAGAACAGGCCGCGGCTATTGCACAATTCCTAGAGTCAGATCCAACCAGTCATGACGCACAAGCCGGATCAGAACTGACGGCAGCCTCAATCATTGAGATCAGCGACGTAGAGACGCTGGTCAGCAAGCTCCAGGAAGGCACCATTTCTGCCGAAGATGTCATCAGGGCATACATCAACCGGTATGCTCTACGAGGGATCTATATCTAGCTTCGATTGCTGAGGTGATTAATCAGTGCTATTGTCGTCCACAAAGCAGTAGGTCGTTGAGGATCGCCCTGAATGTGATGGCCACGAGCTGATTTTCCAAGACAAACTGCTTGACTGAGGTCTTCTTGGAAGATGCAATCGCGAGATCTCGAAGTCTGGATAAGTACTATAAAACTCACGGCACGGTAATAGGACCGCTTCACGGTGTTCCAGTTACCCTCAAAGACCAGTTCAACGTCAAAGGTTTCGACACCACTCTCGGTTATGTTGCGCGATCGTTCCATCCGGCTGGGGAGGACGCAGCTATCGTACAAATCTTGCTCAAGCTGGGTGCTGTAATCTTTGCAAAGACCAATCTTCCCCAAAGTATAATGGTAAATGCTGGCACCACTTCAAGTTCTACCAAATTCTGTGGCTGATCCTTTTTCCCTCAAGTGGTGTGAGACCGAAAATCCCTTGTGGGGACTCACTACATTCCCAGACAATCCAAATTTCACTCCTGGAGGATCTACCGGCGGTGAAGGAGCATTGATATCAATGCATGGGTCATTAATTGGTTGGGGAACAGACATTGGTGGCTCAATAAGAATACCAAGCCATATGAACGGCCTGTATGGTCTGAAGCCGACGGTGAAAGCATACCCTCAACCTTTGTGATCCTTTCTGATTTCCACAGAGTTCTAGACTGCCCTACATGGGAGTCCCAGTCTCTACGGAAGGCCAAGCACACGTACCCTCTGCAATTGGGCCCATGGCAAGAAGTTTGGATTCTCTCATAATAACAATGAAGTCAGTCATTGAAGCACAGCCATGGCTTCTCGATCCTGGATGCATTCCCATCCCATGGCAGAATGATATGTTTGAGGAGATTCAGTCCAGACCGTTGACGATAGGCATTATGGTTGACGACGGAATGGTCAAAGTCCATCCACCTATAGAGCGAGCATTGAGAGAAGCGGCGGCAATCTTCGAGAAGGCTGGACACGAAATCATCCAATGGGAGCCGAGTCTTCACAAAGACTGTATAGCGATTATGGTCAGGATAGACCTCTTCATCCCAACAGGCAATTCTAACCTTGAAATAGGACCAATTCTATACTGCCGATGGAGGGGAAGATATTCGTCGGGAAGTACAAGCTGGTGGAGAACCCTTCGTACCACACGTCGAAGCCTTGATCAATCGTGGCAAACCTATCTCCGTTTACGAGTACTGGCAGATCAATAAACAAAAGATCGCCGCCCAGCAGGCTTACCACCGCAAGTGGAGTGCAATTAAAGGCCCGTCAGGCCGCACAGTCGACATCCTCTTGACCGCTACAATGCCTCACCCTGCAGTCCCGCACAGAACATGCCGGTGAGACCCCTACAGCCCCTGGCAACCGCATCGAGTTTCTTCTTCAATCTGACCAAATAGATGGGTTGGGTATACTAAAATCTGGAATGTGCTGGACTACCCAGCGATTTCCATCCCATTAACCACGGTATCTGCATCCCGAGATCGACTTCCTGCAGATCCATACGAGCCCCTAAACGAAGCAGATGCATGGAATTGGAAGCTTTACGACCCGGAACGCATGGATGGATTTCCTGTCAGTGTGCAGATTGTTGGTAGAAGGTTTCAAGAAGAAAAAGTGCTGGGTGCGGCGAAAGTACTGGAAACGTTGAGGAGCAGATGAGACAGGATCATAGGTTTACTTTGTCAAAGCGAACTTAGAATGGGACAGATTATCCTATATAGCTGGATGCTCACCATTTTGTGACACCTCCATCGATACATAGGTCTTGTCCAGTCATGTATGAGCTGGCGTCACTGGCCAAGAAGACACAGCCACCTCTGATATCTTCCGGTTCGGCGACTTTACCGTTCATTATCTCGTCTTTCCAACTTTCGAGGAGATGCGGAAACTGTACAGGAATGAGGATTTCGCTTGTTATGCAATTTAGTATGGTCGAAGCTTACTGGAGCTGTCATCTCTGTCCTTACATAGCCAGGAGATATGCTATTGACACGAATACCCTTTTGATTTTGGATTAGCTTGTGATGAATTACGGACGCCAGGAGCTTCTTCGCCTTGACTCACATATTTAATCAATTCCGCAGCAATTGCTGGGCACATGGCTCGTACGGCGCCCTTTGTGCCACAGTAGGCACTGCTCATCTGGCTTCGAATGGCCATATAGCTTGCAATACTAGCCACCAGAATAATGCTGCCGCATCTGGTCCCGTTGGCGATCATCTGTTTGGCAGCAAGTTGGGCCGTATGATAGACCCCCATGACATTGACACTCAAGAGCGTTTGATGTTCTTCAAACGTTGTGTCGAGAAAACCAATATTTCGATTGATTCCAGCACAAGGAACACAGATGTCAAGTTTTCCCTCGAAGTCAGCTCTGAAGGAATCAAATGCTTGCTGAAGGCTCTCCTTGCTGCTCACATCCACGCTTTAGGCAGGAAGATGATATTAGAATCTCTATTCAAGGGTTCTCTTTGGCCATGGGATACAGTAAGCTCACATGTAGTGCTTTGTTTTCACTCCATACGCCTTTTCGATATCGTAGAACGCCTTGACTGGAGGAATGACATCAAATACAGCAACATCCGCTCCTGCTTCTGCGAGCCCCTCCGCAAAGGTCAGACCGCAGCCTCGAGCACCCCCAGTAACAAGAGCAGTCCGCCCTTTCAAGGAGAACTAGAATGAAGTTCAGTTTTCGGACGATTCGTATAAACAACGACCATGTTAGAGAAAAAAACTCACTCGACTCATGCTATTCACGAATCCAATATTTCAGTCCGGTGGTAAAGAGTTGGAAGCAACGGTTTGGTTGCGAAGGCGACTGGACCACGAGCGAGAGGTTTGACTTGATAAAACTAGATTGTCGTGCAATGTCAATAACATTGAACAAGCTTCCGATGGCACTGATACAGTGACCCTCAAACGGTGGCCACTTACGCCGCGACGACTACCGGCTTAGGCCCAAATGGCATGGGGGAAGAGTGGGTAGGTTCGTTATCGCCAAAATCCGCAAAGCTCAACATTCTTACCAATCACGGTCAGTGTATCACCGATAGATTGGGATCCTGTCACCTGTTTTGCTTTCTGAATGTCGGAAAACGAGGCGATCGTCTTCGATCAAATACCAAGCTAAACATACATTAACATACATTGGTCTCCACAGGCCGCATCCTTCCCTTCTATATCATTACGTGTTGATATAAGCCTATATTGTACTTGCAGCACCCCTATTCCAGTCTTGCCTCCACAGCATTGAACATGGGCAAGAAGCGTGTCCTTTGTACTTATGGTGTCGACATCGATGCTGTCGCTGGGTGGCTGGGCTCCTATGGAGGCGAAGACTCGACGAGTGATATCAGTAGAGGTATCTGAGCCCCTTGAATGGTCTCTATCGCCGAGATATCTAATCGATGTAGGTCTCTTTGCGGGAAGCATTGGTACGACGCGTCTTTTGAAGCTGTTTGAGAAATACAACATCAAAGCCACCTGGTTCATTCCAGGACACTCGCTGGAAACGTTTCCCGAAGAATGTGCCGCTGTTCGCGACGCTGGCCACGAAATCGGTCTACACGGGTATTCTCACGAAAACCCGGCTGACATGACTTTCGAACAACAAAAGGACGTCCTATCCAAAACGTTCAAGATGATCACTGACTTTTGTGGTAAACCTCCCCGGGGGAGTGTTGCGCCTTGGTGGGAAGTCAGTCGAGAAGGCACTGAACTACTTCTAAGCTATGGAATTGAGTACGATCACTCGATGAGCCACGAAGACTGTCAGATGTACTGGCTTCGGACGGGTGATACCTGGACGAAAATCGACTATAAGAAGGAAGCCAAAGATTGGATGAAGCCTTTGATCAAAGGCAAAGTGACTGGGTTGGTCGAGATTCCTGGTAGTTGGTATATTGATGACTTGCCACCAATGATGTTCATCAAGAATTCTCCCAACAGCCACGGCTGGGTAAACCCTCGCGACATTGAAGACATCTGGAAGGTAAAGTCGCACGACTTGTGTATTGAGCATGAGGCGTGCTGCTAGCTAATGTAATCAGGATCACTTCGATTACTTTTACCGCGAATATGACGAGTTCATCTTCCCAATGACCATTCACCCTGATGTGTCTGGACGGCCACATGTCATTTTGATGCATGAAAGGCAAGACTCCTCACACCTAGATACGATCCATCACGTCTCAAATCTAACTCCTAGGTCTACAGGATTATCGAATACATCAATAAACATGACGGTGTCGAATGGGTGACGATGGAACAGATGTGTGATGACTTCAAAAGCAAGAATGCTCCTCCCGAAGGTGCCTTGATGCCTGCTCCTGCAGGCGAAATCTTGAAAACCCTATAAACAAGACAGAGCGGTCAGAAGCAAAAATCATTGCTATTCCCAGCAGTGAGCTGCCGGCCATGCGAAAGCTTACACAATTCAAACAATCTACCAGCTTCGTGGTGTGATCCCACCAGATCCTACTCCCCATTCTTTGTCCTCGTCGCCCCCCCACTATCCGGATTGGCGGACCACAAACAAGTGGAGGACACGGCACAATAATCTTTCGTAGGTGGGGGTTCCATGATCATACATCGGTTCGCAAGGGTTGCGATAAGCCCATCCTGTCATGTAAGCACGGTACAGTCACTAACAAGTATTTCTCCCCGAACCGTCTGCCGGCATCCCGAGAGTCATTCTCCGTTGATTGCCATAGACACAGATGCTGTTTGAGTTTGGGGGTCGAACTCATACGGAGACTTTCAAAGGTGCAGGTCTTTTGCTGACGCAGTTCTCCGTCCAATGTGCCTAACGTAGTTGGACGATTCGAACGTTACCGTGGTTATTCCAGTTGATCATTTTGTTCGAGAAATAGAAACAGGTCGTTCTGAAGAAGAAGAAAGTGAAGTTGAGGACTTGATATGTCAAATGCGAGACGAGCAACGAATTCTTGCAGCAACTAGAAGTGACTCCCTGAAAACAAGCAGTTTCGGCAATCGTATGTTGCTGTGTTCAAGACAACTATAGCTCGACAGGGGTTTAGAGAACTGGATTTGCGCTTGCCTTCCAGCATGGACTCTATTCCAGTGAAGCAGAAGATCCACAGAGATGCTTCGACGAGATTGAATGTATGTGGTGTTCTGTTCTCATTCATTCAATCATATGCTCGAAGACGATTGTCGCAACAAATACAAGGATCAACCCTCTGACACTGTTTATGAACAGATTATAGTTGTTGGAGCTGGGCTGGGAGGACTGGGAGCTGCTGTTTCACTCCTTCTTGCCGGTCATGATGTCCAGGTGTTTGAAGCAGCATCCGCAATTGCTGAGGTATGTCCGGTCTTTTGTTCAGCTCATACGACACCTTTTGTCTGAAGACTACTTAAGAATGTCCAAGTCTTGAGCATGAGTGAGAGCCTAACTGATTCATAATCACAAGGTTGGTGCTGGAATTCAAGTCCTCCCTAACAGCAGTCGAATACTGCAATCATGGGGAATGCGAGAGATGCTGTTGCAGTACGCAACAGCTCCATCGCACGTGAATATGCTGGGCTGGAAAGGAAATTTGATCTCTTCGATGAATACGACAGAATCAGCCTCCAAGTATCCAGGGACATTTTACTGGGATTTCCACCGAGCAAATTTACACAAGGCCTTGCTTGAGCGTGCCGTCGAGCTGGGTGCGGTGGTTAAAGTCAATGCCAGAGTCATCGATGTGAAAGTGAACCAACATGGTGAAACTGCCACAGTATCGTTGGATACCGGCGAGGAATTTGTGACGGATCTGGTGGTGGGCGCCGATGGCATCAACACCCAACTGAGGGAGATGCTGCTGGGCAAGGCCGACCCACCGGCATTGACAGGTGATCTGGCATACAGGTTACTGCTGTCGACAAAGGAAATGCTCAAGGATCCCGAGCTGGCTGAGTTTGTGCAGAAGCCACAAGTCAATTACTGGCTAGGACCTGACGCCCATGCTGGTAAGTGTCTAGATTTTTTGCGCCAATTTTCAATACTGACGATGTCTGGTTTCTAGTCAACTATGTTCTCAGAGGTGGCGAGCTGTTCAACATGGTCCTTCTTGTGCCCGACGACATGCCAGCTGGTGCCAAAACACTGGAAGGCAATGTCGAAGAGATGCGGGCGCTATATAAAGATTGGGATCCGAGGTTAAACCACCTATGTCTCCTCCTTGACCTGGGCGTTGCCTGACTAATTTGATGTTCCCTCAGAATACCCAAGCTTCTCAACCTCTGCGAATCAGTTTATAAATGGCGTCTCTGCATTCGACTAGGCATGGACTGCTGGAGTCATCCATCAGGGGCCTGGACCATGATGGGAGACGCTGTCCACGCGACCCTCCCATACCTTGCGTCAGGGTACGTATCTATATTCTCGTCCTATCCATCCTCCTCAGAACATTGAGTATCTAGCTTTGAGAGTACAATTGTTCGCTAATATTCTCTTGTACAGCGCCGGAATGTGTTTCGAAGACGCCGCTGTTCTCGGCGAACTCTTCTCTCGCGCGGCTAACCCCCGAAACCCCAAAGTCAAACGTCAACTTCTCGCCATCTACGAACAGTGTCGAAAACCGCGCACAGAAATGATCGTCAAACGGGGAAACAAGCAGCAGTACCTCTACCACCTTCACGACGGGGAGGAACAGGTGGAGCGAGATCGCAAAATGCGTGAGAAGGAGGAAGGTGAGGCATTGGCATGGAGAGATATCGGATTGGCCGACAAGCTGCTGGGCTATAAGGTGGAGAGGGATGTGAGTACCTCGATTTGTCGAGAAGTGATATAATACATGATGAGCTGGCTAACGTGTCATCCTTTGTAGGTTGACCGATATTGGGTGTCAGAACTAAGCCTAGCAAGAGAAAACGATGGTTCCGATCGCAAAGGAGTTCGAGCGCATATATAAGACCAAAGGAGACTTAGACTCTGAAAATGTATAGCAGAGCACAATTCGTCACTCAGGACGGATAATAGTGTGTGTGTTACTATAACGTTGAAATTTCCTATGTAATCATAACCACGAGCTCTTCAGGGATTCCCTGGCTTTTTTGTTTTCGAGCAGGATCCTCTTTGTCAGCCGACCGAGAGCCACACTGAAGTGATACCTCCATCAAAGATAGAAGATGGTGTTGCGAACAATAGCAGGTCCTCTCACCAAACTTGAATCTGGTCCATAGGAGGCAAACCCATTGCCACCACCGTTCTCTTCTTCACCTCCCGTCATAGTACCAATTGAACTGGCGCCAGATGGGTTGAACAGCCTATTCAAATAGCATCTAGCCCGTTCACCCACGAGATCCGCAGAGTGCGCTTAGGGGCGGATGCTGACAGCTTTAGTTGCCCTTCCGAATATCGTACATGGAATCCGGCATGGTTGAAGAAGATATGATATTTTTCGTGGTTCTCCTGTTGTAGCTCGCTCGTGAAGTCGGCAGTCTCGGTTGCTGTGTTGGCGCAGGATCTGACCATCGTGATTGACGCGTTCTAAGATTGACTACGGAGTATGCGGACAAGGGGTATGATACGAGTGGGGATGATCATGACGTGGGCTTACAGTATGTACGGTGCGCTCCGTACATACTGTAGGAGCTCCCCTTATACATACTTGTTTCAGGATAATTAATAGCATGAATTCCGCTCCTACGCGTTGAGCTTGAAGTGGCATTGCTGGCGCTTCTGTCAGCTATCGTACGGGCAGTTTGAGGCCCGAGCATCTGAATGAGTGAGTGACTGAGTAAGTGAGTAGGAAGAAAAAGCGACTCGGGTGCAATGTAACTTTACCCCAGCCACCGACTGCTACGCGCCGGCCTACTTCCCCTAGAGCCCCGAAGCCCTGCCTGACTAGCTGGACCGGCTTGATAGTGCCATGGCATCTGTGGCCCTAACGATCGTTAGTATCACCTAAGCCTACAGCCATCTCTTTGCCTGTAAGCGCCCCCCGAGCTGTTAGGCTGTCGTGTAACCGAACTGAACGCTAAAACACCATCTTCAATCCGTACAGGAAGCTCTAGTATCTACGTGTACCCCACCTCTCGGTGGACTTCGTCCTTTCTGCCCAAGTCCATACACTCACGGCTATGCTGCCCATACACACTAGGGCCAGGCAATGACATTGAGTCAACCTTGAAGTTTCTACTATTCAAGACATTTGGCCAAGTTCCCCCGGCATTCTATCAATCCTGCCAACGCGCGAACTTATCGTGGCGGATATGGAGTTATGGCTATTGCCCTCTGAGTGGTAGGTGGCTGAAGATAGTGCCAAACAGTCAAAGACCCCCCTGTCTCTTTCTACAGCTGGCGTCGTGACCAGCCTCCCCTGCCTGACTCGCAGACAAGAGCATGAAAAAGAAAAGAGACCCATCCTGACACGATAATGGCCACCCCTCTCTCTCTCTCATGTCTGGCCATGGCTTCCCCTCGACATAGTCGTACTGGGACACCTAAAGGTTGGCTCGTTGCGCTCCAAGCTGCTCAAACGTTCGAGACTCCACGAGCATCCCATCTAAGTGTACGACATGACGATCACACTAGTCTCTCACCTCCTACGACTCCCGGACTAGGCTGGGACAAGACACCGCCGGCTATAGAGGACGCGCCGACACCAGAATATGAGCTGGGGAAAGATGACGGCGCCCTGCCTCTGCCTGTCTCACCCCTAGATGTTCGCAAAACGGGTGGCAGTACCAGTACCAGTATCAGCGTCGGGCAGCTTGCCATACACGACAATGATCCGCTAGAGTTGAACGACTCTCATCGCGGAGACCAGACGTACCGCACCGCAGGAGGCGGTGGGTTGTTTTGGGCACTGAGCAACCGAGAAGAGCGGAGAGGGAAATTTTCGGACACACAACATGGGATAAACCAGGGCGGATATCAGTTCCCCACGGCAAACTTTGGCTTCAACTCGACCGCCACGTCTGCGAGAGAAGCGCTTCCTTCGCAGGACCGGGCGCGTGAATGTTTGGCTTCCGAAGTCAAGGTCGAGACTGATGAACATTCGGCAACGACCACCTCAACCGGAGCAAGTGACCCGGAAGTCGCAGGTAGTAACGAAGCTTCAATTAGCAAGCGAGTACGGATATTCACTGCCCCGTACGGTGCAGCCGGCGTCAAGACAGAAAACACCATCTTTCGGCACCAGGCGACGTCTGCCACGGGAGACAGGACGACGGCCAATACGGAAACACCCACCTCTACAGCTGTGCCTGCTCCGAGCTCCGTCAAGCGGACAGTGCCAGTCGCCCTGGTATGGAGTTTGAACACAACGCTCTCCAGTATTCTGCCCTTAGAAACTGTTGAAAGACTGCAGAGCGACCCTCTTCGTTGTATTGCTACCAGTGCGGATCAAAGTTCGAGGTGCAAGAATCAGAATGCCGGAAAGCTGACACAAGAAAAGGCCTTTGGTCTGCTCAAGGGGCATAGGCCACTCAACCGTCCATTTGATCCTTCTGACGTGGCAAACCGCCTTCTCGCTCTGATGGACCAAGCGACGTGCAAACACCAACATAGGAAGCCTAGCCAGAGTCGTTGGGATGAGCTATGCTCGTACTCGTGGCGGGTCGATGAAACGGAGGATGCAGATAGGCATACAGTTCAGGCCGCGGCAACTATGGCTGCCGGCGTGGTGCAAGTCTGGCTCGAAGCACTGATGAAACTCGCGACCAGGAATCCGAATGGAAAAGCCAGACTGAGAGAGGAAGACGGTCCTTCGGTGCAGCAGACTCTTGCTTCTTCGGTTGCCATTTTTACGGCTCTGGATAGAGAGAGAACTACGTTATCTGGGCATGTCGACCGAGGTGCCACTGCTACATCAGTTGCTAAACGCCCTGGTCCCGATCGTGAGGATGCCACCACCAACAACCACAACACCGGCTCAGATTCGGTGGCGGTGGTGGTGAAACAAGACCTCGGAGCTCCCAAATTATCATATCACCTGAACTACCACTTTGAGCGGTACACCTGGGCCGGCAAGAAGAATACGCTCTCTGCGTCGGAGCTGATTCGCCAGACGCTCATGAAGCCGTTGACCGAGAAGGACTTGACCAGGACAGGGTCCATCTACGTGTTCTGGCATCCCGGAAACTTTGGATACGTCAAGATCGGCCGATCCGCAGACATTAAGGAGCGACTGAACCAGTGGCGCAGGCAGTGCAAATATGTTCTTGAACCACACACTCCCACTCCAGACGATCCGACCGAGGACGAGCTACAGGCGCACCACCCCCATCGCATCGAAACCCTCATCCAGGCAGAGCTTAAAGAACATCGGCTGTTGGGACCTCCATGTAAGGGCTGTAAGCACCAGCACTCCGAGTGGTTCGAAGTCTCCAGCAGCTATGCCCTCCAGGTGGCCAAGAAGTGGACCTCGCGCTCAACCTCCTTGTACAAGGGCCGGTATTTATACATTGAACCGGCCGAGATCGATCGGTTGTGCCAGGTAACGGCCAAGGATAGTCTACAACCAGCGGCACCTCCACGGTTAGCGACAAAGGGAGCCAAGTTATCTGGCACCAAAAAACGCCAGAACAAACATGGTGGCCGAAAGAGCAGTCCTTTATAAAGGTAAGTTTATATTACCTACTAATAAGGGTTATAGTTTAATAGATAGAGGTAGGCGCGTGGGTCAGTAATTCTAGTACCTGAAACCACCTTAGGGTTAGAACAATATTATTAGAATAATATTATAAAATTAGTACCATTCGAATCGTCTTCTCTCGACGATTCGAAATATACTAAGTTTATAACTATAGGACGCTAGTATAGAAAGTTAGAGGTCTCTAAAGTTTACGGATTTCAAAGACTTTGCCAAGACTTTCCTCTTTTTATCACGTGCTGTTACAATCTAGGGATATAATCACGTGCTGTTACAATACTTATCGTTCGCAGTTTAAAATTTATATACAATAGCTCTATCGCAGCTATTCGATATTAAACTATGGTAGATTCAGGTGTAAGGACGGTACCTAAACGCGGTCGACCGGTATCAGGCTCTTCTGGTAACCTCGAACTCGATCGAATTCGGGCAGACACCGCTGCTCGTGTCCGCCGACACCGACAACGCCAACGAGAACTCGAACGTATACAAGCAGACATTGAAGCTTCTAATACCCTAC